TATGTAGTAGAGACATTGTAAGTTAAAGAAGAATAATAGAGTTTTAGCATTTCTGTTAGGTTTGCTAATGTGTTAGGTTCGCTAATAGAGTACGTTATAAGTAATAAATATAGTAATATTATTATAAGCTAAGTAAATAAAAAGTTAAAAAAATAATAAAAAGTAAAAGTAAAACTAGTTAAACTAGTTAAACTAGTTAAACTAGTAAAATATTAAAAAACTAAGTAAAACTAAAAAGTAAGTAAAAACTAAAATATTAAAGATAAAAGTAATAGAAAAAAATAGTAAATATTAATAAAAAGTAAAAAAAAGCAAAAAAAGTAATAAAAAATAATAAAAAAGAAAATTATAAACTATATAAATTATAAACTATTACTTTACTTTAATAAATAGCTTTTATAAAGGCTTACTATTATTAGTAATATAATTTAAAATTACTTACTAAGTAAAAGTTGCTAGTTATAATAACTTTTATAAATAAAAATCAAAAAAAAATATAATATAAAAGTAAATATTAAAAAAAAGTAAACAGCATATAAGCAAGTTAAAACATTTTATATTTATTTAAGCTACTTTTTTTTTATAAGTATTATTTAATATACTATTTATATAAGCTTATTAAGCATGCGTATATATAAAGCTTTTTTAAAATTTTAGCTTTTTTAGTAATTATCTTAAATTAAGGTTTGTTCTACTAATATAGCTAAATAAGTAAAAAAAAAGTTTTATTTATTATACATAAAAATAAATTATATAAACTACTAGTTTAAAAACTAAAAGTAGTAATACTAGCTTAAGCTAAGTAAACTTAAAAAAGTTAAAAAAGAAGTAAAATAAAGAGTAAAAGTAAAAGTAAGTAAAGTATAATATTAAAAAACTAAGTAAAAAACTAAAAAGCTTATTTTTTTGTTATTTTTTTTTATTTTTTTTTTATTTTTTTAAGTTAAAGTTAAAACAATTCTATATATAGTAATAGTTTATAATAAAAAATTTACTTTAATAATATGTAATTACTAAAAAAATATTAAAAAGCTTATAAAAGTAAAATTAATTAAAATATATAAATATTTAAAAGTAAAAGTAATAAATAGTAAGTAAAAAATAACTATTAAAAGTTAAAGTATTATTTTTTAGTTTTTTTATTACAATAACTTATTACTATGTATAAAATTACCTTATCTTTAACTTAAAAAAAAATAAAAATAAAAATAAAAGTTAAAGTTAATAAAAAGTAATAAAACTAAGCTATTATTATAAACTATAAAGTTATAAACTATTACTTTACTTAGTAGTTATAGCTATATAAGCTTAGTATAATTAGTAATTAATATTTAAAAGTAACTTACTAGTATAATATTTAATATTTATAAAAAAAATAGTAAAGTAATATATAATTAAGTATTAAAAAAAAGTAAAAGGCACTTAAGTAAGTTAAAATATTTTAGCTTAATATATAATAAAATATTGCTTAATATTACTGCGCTTATATAATATATAAAAAAATATTTTTAAACTATAAAAATTATAAATAATACTTTAAAGTTTCTTTTAAAAAGTAAGCTAATATAAGTATTAATTGTATATAAGCTTATTCTACTTACTATTACTTTAGTTAAAATTTTTATAATATAGCTATTATTTATAATAAGCTTACTAAAAAATAATACTACTTTTTTACTAATACTTTTAAAAGAAACAAGCTAGCTAGCTTTTTTTAAAAGTTTATTTTAAGCTTTATAGTAGTTTTAAAAGTATTATTTTTAATAAAAGTATAGCTTTTATTAAAAAAATTTAAACTTATTTTTATAAAAATTTAATTTTTATTTTAAGTTAAAGTAAAAGTAGTTCTATATATAATAATAAGTAATAATAATAAATCTACTAAAATAATAAGTAATAACTAAAAAACAATATAAGTTTTACTTTTACTAAGCTTATTAAGTAGTAAAGCTTATTAAGTAAAAATTAAAAAGTACTTTTTAGTATTAGCTTAATTAAGCACTAATACTATATAAAAATTTAAGTTTTAAGTATAAGCTATTTTTTACTTATTATTTTTTAATAAATTATTTAACTAAAAAAGCTAACTAAAATCTAAAAGTATACTTTTATTACTATATAAACTATAAATAAAATAATTAAGTATAATAGCTACTTTTTACTAAGTTTTATACTTTTTTTTATTAATAATAGATTTTACTTTTATAGTAAAATTTATTTCAAAAAAATAATTAAAATAAAATTAATAGTATAGTAGTAGCTTAAAGTTTTAAATATAAATAAGCTTTTATAATAGTACTAAAATCTAGTTATACTTTTATAAAGTAAACTTTACTAGTTATAAAAATTTTAAGCTTACTTTATAAATAACAAATTTTTTAATGACTAACTTTATAAAGTTAATAACTTTATATATATAAACTTAAAAAATATAGCTATAACATAACTCTTTAAAAGTTAAATAATAAATATACTAGCTTTTAAACAGTTACTAAAGTAATTAACTAAAGCTAAGCTTTTAAAAGTAAACTACTTAAAAGCTTATTTAAAAAAAGCTATATAATAGTTTTACTTTTAATATTTTTAAGTTTAAAAATAGAAAGCTACTTTTTTTTAATAGCTACTAGTTACTAAACTTATAAATATTATTTTAAGCTAATAATATTATAAAAAAATAGTATATTAATAAATTATTAAATATTTAGCGCTACTATAATAACTAAAACTATTTATTTTAATTTAAGTTAGAGTTAAAGTAATTATATATATAGTAATAAATAATAATAACAAATAAACTAAAAAAATAAGTAATAACTAAAAAGATATTACTATATATAAATTTAAATACTAATACTTTTTATTTACTTTATACAAAAAGCATTATTTATAAAAAACTAGCTTATATTTTAATTAGTTTTTTATTTACTTTTATTTACTTTTTTTTTAAAGTTAAAGTTAAAGTAATTCTATTTATTTATTTATTTTTTATTTTTTAAGTTAAAGTTTAAGTAATTCTATATATAGTAATAGTTTAGAATAAAAAATTTACTAAGATAATAAGCAATTACTTAAAAAATAAAGTAATTTTATATATATATATACTAAAAAAATATAATAATAAATAAACTAGTTTTAACTTAATTATATGCTTTTTACTTTTTCTTTAATACTTTAATTACGCGTTACTTTATTATTGTTTTTTAACTATTAAATATTATGCTAGTAAGTTGCTTTTAAATATTAATTACTAATTATACTAAGCTTATATAAGTATTAGCTGCTAGGTAAAGTACTTTATAATAATATATAGTACTTTATAATAATAATTATTTTTTACTTACTATTTATTACTATTTATTACTTTTACTTTTTAATATTTATTTTGTGCTTGCTGTTTATTACTTTTATCTTTTAATATTTTATTTTTATTTTAATTAATTTTGCTTTTGCTTATTTTTTAATATTTTTAATTACTTTTACTTTTACTTTTACTATTAACTTTTTTAAGTCTTACTTAGTATTACTGCGTCTAGTACTACTATGTCTAGTACTTTTATTATTAGCTAATAACTTTTATTTATTTAAGTAATAAATAGTACTTTTTTTATTTATTTTAGCTATATTAGTAAAACTAACCTTAATTTAAAATGCCTTCTAGAAAAGCTTAAATTTAAAAAAAAGCTTTATATACGCGCGTACTTTATAAGCTTATATAAGTATATATAATACTTTTTTACTTTCTTTTAACTTTGCATATATATATAAAGCACTTTATTTTTTATTAAAATAATAATGCTTTTTACTACCTTGCTAATTATACTTTATATAATTATTTATGTTATTAATTTACCTTAATAAGTCTTTTTAAAAAAGTAAGCTAGATATTTACTAGTACTATTATTATAAAGTATAAAAAAAAAGTAACTAAATTAGTAAAGTAGATATTAATTATAAATATATTTGCTATTTTAACTAATTTTAATGCTAACTTTAATACTAACTTTAATTTAATTTAACCTTTAAATAGACTTATAATAAATAAAGCTATTTTTATAATAAATTAGCTAATACAAGAAAAATAAAGCTAAAAATTTTAAAAAGTTTTTTATATATAAAAGTATAGTAGGCATTAGTATTATTATGAGTTTTAAATATTTATTTTAGTGTTTTTATGTTATTATGTATTTTAGTTTAGAATTTTATTTAGATTTTATTTTTAGTATATAGTAGTTATAGTGCTGTTCTATTTTAAGTATAGTAGTTAGTTAAAAACTTAAAGTTAATTTTAAAATAAAAAAATAAAGTAAAAAAACTAGTCTTCTAGTGCTAGTGCTTAATTAAGGCTAGTACTAAAAAGTACTTTTTAATTTCTACTTTTAAGTAAAGGTAAAAATTATTTAGTCTTTTTAGTTATTACTTATTTTTTTAGTTTATTTTTTTAGTTTATTTTTTATTATAACTTATTACTGTGTGTAGAATTACCTAAACTTTTTTTTAAAAAAAAATAAACTATTACTTTACTTTACTTATATAAGTATAAGCTATATAATCTAGTATTATTAATAATTAATATAATTTAAAATTACTAACTAAGTAATAAAAGCTAGTTTTATAAATTTTTATAAAAACAAATAAATAAAAATAAAAAAGTAATATATAAATAAAGTATTATAGATAAAATAAAAAGTATATAAATAAGTTAAAACTTTATTTTATTTACTTAGTATTTATATAGCTATAGCTTTAACTAGCTTTTTTAAAAATAGTTTATACTTAGCTAAGCTAAGTAAGCTTATATAAAGCTTTATTTTTAAAAAAATAGCTTAGTATTTTTTATTTTATTTTTTAGCTATATACTACTACTAAATTCATTTTTTATTTAATTTTTTTACTTATATAAGCGCTTTTATACTTATACTTTTACCTTTATTACTTTAGTATTACTAGTTATTTATAAAACTAAACTAGAGTTTTTCTACATTTTAAAATAAATATATTCCAATTAGCTGCTTTAGTATATGTATAAAGGTAAGACTAAGTAGTATTTACTCTATACTGTATACATTAACATCCTGCCCAAACATCCTTAACTACACTTGCCCAAACAATCTCTAGATCTACCTCCCCCCCACCATATGTAGCCTCAAACGCCACCATCGCCAAGCCTCCTAGAAAGGGTCGGACAAGGCGCTCTACAAGTTCACGTCTTGTCATTTCCAACACATTGGCCTTTTCTTCCCTCTCGATGGCGTCGATCATGGACTCCAGGAACGATCCGCGCTTAACCCCAGCGCCACCAGCACTGTTTTCGCCTTCCACAGTTGCTACAAATGACGCCATTGGGGGATGCTGGATAATGGGTAAAGACCTGTTTCGTGCATGCAACGACGTGGGCGTCTCAGTTTGCTGTAATGCCTCCGCGACCTCAGCGCATAGCGACGTTGGGTACGAGACGTTTACAGGCGCATACACCGCGTCGATAGTGTCGGATAGGTAGAGCCACTGGAGGAGCTGGAAGTCGTCGGGAGCGAGGATGACGAGCTCATCGAGAAGCTTGCAGGCCTGCAGGATTCCCGCGTTGGTATAGTGGTCTTTATTGGGTGCGTCCGGGAGCAGAGAGGAGAGTGCAGACGTGAGCTCTGCATTGAGGATGGGCCAGGCAGACGCGAGATTAATAGGCGAGATTTTGAGGAGCAGCGCCCGAATCAGTAAAAGGACTTCGGCACGGGTGCTGGATGACGGGGAGGACGCTGGGGTTGCATTGAGGAGTTCCACAATCTTTTCAAGAATCTGTGGCAGGTGTGAGATGAAGGCGTCTTCAGTTGCAGCCAGTATAATGAGCGCAATGCGGCGCAGTGTGAGTTGAGCTCTTCGATCGGCTTCTTGACGCGCAGACGTGGCGCCTACGCCGAACATGATACCTGCGGTCGTTGGAGCGGAAAGTCGAGAGAGGAGTTCAGGTACACGCTCTTTATCAGCATACGTCCATTGCGCGAGAATGGGGATCCACGAGCGTTTGAGCAGAGAAAGTGGGGTATTGAAGAAACGGGGATCGTTGAACGCTTCGAACAGATCTTTCTTCCATATCTTATTTCCCTGCGCGACCTTTGCTAGTCCCTGGAGCAAGTTCAAAACCCCTTCCGATATGTTGTCTGGAAACGATTTCGCGCGGAATGTGGGCCCGACGACGGATGTTGCAATGCTGGAAACGATGTTGGCGACACGGTCGTTTTCTACGAGAATAGCTGGAAGATTGGGGACGATCACGTTGAGAACGGAAACAACATCGTTGGCTCGCTCTTGGCCTAAACTCCCATTGGTGACGTGCGTAGAATTCTCCGCGGGGTTAGACTGATTTGGATCTTGCAGATAACCCATGGATCGTGTAGTGAATAGAGCGGTCAGAATGCGCTGGAAGATGTCCTGGAACCGATTAGCCCGCTAATACAACAGTCAAGTGAAGTGACCTACCGCAAGCTCTTTGCGCATCCTACGTTGTTCACCGATATTGGTGTTGTCAACCTTTTGACCAATGACAGCCGTAAACTCCAAAAGCGAAGAGAGAATCTGCCGATGAGGCATTGGATTCGCAAGAACATCGCGCAGGAATAGATTGCAGTCTTGCCATATCTCATCCATGGCGTCGTCCTCCAGTGACGAAGTATAGTCGAGCAGGAACGACACGAGCTCTATTTCAGACAAGTTCGAAGTAAGTGTCGACATCCTGTTTTGATCCATCGCGTTTGGGTTTGTGCGGCTGTATATAGCGTTGAAGATAGCAGGTATGGTGTGCTGCGGTTTGGATCCGTTGAGAACATTGAGTAATCCCATGACCGCTGTGGCCTCGATATCACCCTTTGGAGATTGTGCCCAAAGCACAATCAAAGTTTCGAGGCATTCCAGAGTTTCAGCAGCAAAAAGATGTTCCAAGATTCGTCTGGCTCGGTTGCGCATCCGCAAAGATGTATAGCCAAATGATGATGCAGAGGACGGGTCTTGCGAACCTTCCTTCATTCCATAACCTCCCCAAGACCAGATCGCAAAGCATATACGGACCGTGTCTTGGAAGCATAGCAGGACGGAAAGTCTGCTGTTTGCAGTCGGAGTCCGTGCTTGATGGTTATCCGAAGCGAAAACACCGGAGACCATATTTCCAAAGAAGCCCTGTGGCACTTCTGGTGTTTTGTTAGCTGTTATCTTTGTCTCCTGCACTGTAAGACGGTCGTGTGCTTTAGCCAGTATCTGTTCAAGGCCGTTCACGAGGGAGATCAAGGTGGTTTCGGGTGAGACTCTTGCACCACTGGTCGTGAGAAGGAACATCAACTTAAGTTGATCAAACGTTTGGCTTATCTGCTGACATAGGCATTCGACAAGGGGAAGCAGATTCTGGAAAATGGTATCCGCGAAAAGAGGAAGGACTTCGATAAGGAAGTGTACCCAGTCATCGAGGACGAGGCGGCTGGACGATGATGAAAACCCATACTTTATTGTGTCCACAAGCTGAGGAGGTGGGGGTATCGAAGCGAGCTCCTCATCGACTGAATCTCTGTTCGTGCTAATCGACAATCGAGACTTATGGCTGGGGTTAAGAGCTAATCCCTTGATTTCTACAGACGACTCATCAGGCCGGGCGAGCCGAACTTTGAGTGCCAGAATAATCACGTCCAAAAGGAGACCTTGCAAAGCGGAACCAGCTACTCTCAACCGGGCCATCAAGGGAACTTCTATCTCAAGGTGTCGAAGCTTTGAAGCCATTGGGCCCGAGTAGGTTTGTTGGATGATGCTAGCGGAAATGCGATATAAGTCATGTAAATGTGGCTTCGAGGTTGATTGAGCTTCACTTAATTGCAGTGAAAGTGTTTGCATACATGTCCGAACAAGCCATTCCTGCAAAGAGTTTGCTGACTCCGACTGCTGCGCATTTGGAGCCGCATGATCAGCCAGAGTAATCCACGTGTGGTGTGACGATTGCTTCAAGACGTTGTGTATATGCATTAGATAATACAAACACTCCCTCGTATCATCTATGCTAGAGCGCAGGCTGGTATATTGACGCTCAATGGGAGGCTCTAGGCTGTCGCTGGTTGACAGACACTGAAGACATTGCAGACGAGTGACCAGCAGTTCCAGCACTTTATTGAGACTCGGGAGATCCTGCAGCCACGATTTCACGAAAGCTGCCACATCTGACTCTCCATTCTCTAGTGCATCCAGAAGCAGAAGCAATGGCCGTGCAAGAATTGATTGATAATTGACAGCATCAGGAGGTGGAATCGGTGTGGTCGTTTCGCCGTGCCGACGAGAGAAGTTCCCACGGTTTTCTGATTGCAGAGATAACTCATACATGGTATGAGTCCATAGTACAGCAAATCGATGGCTACTAGCAGCTGAGCCTGGCTTCGGAAGATCTGCACCAGTGGATTGTCCAGCGATAATGGACGTGATGGCAGCCTCCACCATACGAGTCGAAGGTGAGATGGTGTGCAACTGGATTATGCACCGAACTGCCTCTACGTGGTGCTTGGGCACTGCCGGTGAAAGCGAACGCCACAGATGTGTGATAAGAGGATGAATCAGCTCAGGGAGGAGTGATTCGCTAATATAAGGCTTGGAACTGTCCGCTTTTTGGAGTGCTGTTAAAACAGCGGTAAATGCACTGAGATGCGCAAAAGGTGGTGGTTGCTGTATGCCAGAAGAAAGATACTCTTCGAAAACAACAAACGGATTTAGATCATCCAAAGCCGCCAGATGCCCTACCTTGAATAAGACATTCGATAAGACCTTAGAGGGCATGTCTGCTGTATAGCCAAATCCAGGGGAGATGGACGCCGTAAACATACGGGCTGATTCGCGAAGAAGAATTTGGCCAAGCAGTGCCGCAGAAAAAGGTAAATCAGTTGCATCCAAATTACGTTGAGACTCTTCATAAAAACCGTCAATTTTTCGAGAGATTGCATCTGATGCAAGACGTTGAAGCTGCTCCACATTAATTTCAACTGCATCAACACACCTGATTGCCCGATCAGGAATGAGTTGTACCAATGAGTCAATGATCTCGAACGCAAGACCCATCACCTGCTTATCGGTTGAGATTTGGTTCGCGAAATTTGCATTGAGAGCTGCAAGGGTTGATGCCACGGTCAGTGGCATGTGGTAGACGACCATCTCCTCTTCTTTCAGATTGAAACGGGCAAGCACGAATTTGGCTAACCTCATGCGATCGAGAGCTGTCTGCAGGCTGGCTTTGGGGCTCAATGATGATGTTATCAGCTCAATAAGCTTGGCCCAAATCAGGCTACTATCCACGCCATCGAAGAAAGCACTTGCGCTACGCATGACTTCATCGAGTTGGTCTCGTGTGGCGGACTTGCTATACGAGTAAATACTCTGTAATGCTGGTACAAAGATATCCGGGACTATCAAACCGCCCACCTCCCAACGATCCATCAGAGAAAGACAGACCCGAAAGGGACGCGCTCGCTCGGTAGGAAGTTCGCTCGGGCGTTTTATCATTTTCAGAACACTTCTGGTCAGCGCTTGAAGACCGTGTTTCGAAAAATACGCAGCATGATGCGAGGACGAGTCGGTTGTCTTATCCTGGGTTGGTGACTTCACGAAATCGCTACCCCCAGTGTTTGACGAGGGCTCTGGACCCAAAAACCAGGCCCATAGTCTCCGGTTGAGACTCATATCCCTCCGTGAGACCACGCCTGCGGCGGCAGCGGCCAGCCTCTCTAAATCATCTTTGCTGATTTGCTGCTGCAAAACAAACGAGCTCAAAGGAAGATGTGTGACAAGCAGGTCAAGGAATCCTCGCTGGACTAATAATTGACCATCGGACAAACCCGACTCAAAACATCGAATCAGAAGACCAGGCTCGGGGGATACGGCTGCCAAAGCCTCCGCTGACAGAGATTCGAAGGGAGGTGAAGAATCAAATTTCGCCGAAGAATTCTGCTGGGAATTACCGAATTTGGGTAGGCGTCGTACCAGATAGGCAAGAGCGCCCTGCCTTCGGAATGGATTGGTAATGACGGCGAGGAAGAAACATTGCCAGAAATGGGATGAGCTGTCCTCATGATTGGCGTCAACGGTCTCTTCAGGCTGACTTTTGACGGCAGCGCGAAGTTTGTCGAGCACGGAAACAATGCGCTCGAAGTCCTCACTAGTCTCATCTTCCAATCCCGGGAGAAGAGACAATATGGCGGCTTTCAAGGGCGGCCGGAGAGCCTGGGAAGGGAGTTTGAGGATACGAGTCTCGAATACAGCAAGAAAAAGTGGGCGCACAGAGAGAGAAGCGAATGAAAGCACCGTAGCGAAGCCGGGGAAGTATAGGTGCAAGTCACGGGACAATGCCTCATTCTGGGGGCGCAAGGTCAGTTCAATAGGTCGGGTAAACGCGTGGCGAAAGCATGGGCAGACACTTGGTAGACGGAAGGCATACTCCAATGGTTGCAAAGACAAAGTCATAGACCTCGAGAGTTTTTTGGTGGACGCCTGAAGGCAAAGCGGGATTCAAGCACTGCGCCAATCGCAGTGCAACTGTATCGCTATGTGGAATGACGGGTGTAATTGGAGGGTGCGATTGAAGAGCCTGGAGAGCTTTATAAGTACACGTGCGTAAATGGATGAATACGACTTGATTCGTCAACGAAGCAGAGGAGAGGGGGCAGGCGACAGCGGTGGTGGTGGGAGTGGAGTATTGACCTTCAGCAAGCGGGCCAGAAAAGATATGTAGTCAGCCCATTCCTGCTGGGACGTGTCCCAAAGAGCCAGCGCGCGTTCGACGGTGGCAGCATAGCGGCGGAAGTTCTTGTCCTTCTGCAGACGATCCTCGGCCGTGTTGCGCGATACTCTGGGGGAAGGCGTGGAACGACCAGAGAAGGTAGGTGAGAAGACCTGCAGGTTAGCAGCAGAGGGGGGATCATGCGACATGGCAGGGCATTCTTGGTCCCGGGTTTGTGTTGTTGTGGAGTTTGTTTCGGTGGTGTTGCGATGTAGCTAGAACTCCAGTGACTTAAATAGCCAGGACGTGCTTAGCTGGATGGGTGCGTACGTTGTAGGTGCCTGACATGCTCCTGGGACCCCACTGTCGTGCTGATGGTTTGCATACAGTACGTCTTTGTTGGACGGCCCATCAAAGATTATAGAAGAGAGGGGAAATGCAAGGGGGCTGGTTGCGGGAAATCGTCAAATTCAATGAGTCAATGCATCAATCCCTTCCTCACCGTCATCGTCACCGGCAAAGCAGTGTTGCGGGGGTCGGCGAAATAATCATCCGCTGGATTATGTAATACCCCGACTTTTGTATGTATTACTCAGTACCCATGACATACTCGAGCGTACATCTGTACCTACCTACCAGCTGACTACCTAGGTACACCTGTATCTACATACCTGATATGCACACCTACATATGTAGGTAGCAGGCATGCCTGAGCGAGAACATTTCCGACACCGATGAATATCTAGGTACGTATATACGTCTTCCAAACAGCCTTGCTTTCCTCAAACTATTATTGATACACGGATATCAAGTACGTACACACATACGTAGGTAGGGGCAACTTGCTAGACACATCAGGAGTCGTCAACATGAGCCCACCTTCATCGCGATACCATCATGTATGTACATACACACACACACACACACACACACACACACACACACACACACACACACACACACACACACACACACACACACACACACACACACACACACACACGCACACACTCACACACACACGCACACACTCACACACTCACACACGCACCTCACTCCATCGTTAACTGACCGCTGACCATCGCTGCAGCTACCACAAAACCCTCCAGATTATACCTCATGGGCCATCATATCGGACCAGCCCCCGCCCACATACGATTCCCAACTCCCACTCGACGAGCCCCCGCCCTCGTACCGTGACGCCACCCTCTCCGAAACAGCACCCCTCCTTGTCGGTCCCTCCTGGGACTATGGCACCTATGCCGAAGCCGATGAGCGATCCCTGACTACAATTGCTAGCGATACCGACATGGAAGAGACATCGGCTGCCGAGCAAATGGGCCACGCCGTTGTTGTCGTCATGTTTTTCGTCGTCATGTTCGGCCTCTGGAAAATTGCCAGCAACCCTCCAGCCTTCTTAGGTGGCTTTCCCCCTTGAACATACCGCGAATAGCCGTGGTTAGAATACATTAGCAGCATGTCATCAGAGCTGCCACTTGGAGAGCGCTTGGTAGTCGGGATAACGGCGGTGACAATGTGAAGAATGGAATTGAACAAGTAACCAACTCGCCCCTGTCTTCGACGGCGACGAACCTATTCCGTTGGAGCCGAGCGATCATGGATATATATCATTTATGGGGGGACGGGGTTGGCAGGACCGGAGGGAGGATCGATTTTTATGGAAATGCTAGATGTGAAGGTTCAAGGACTAGAATAGGGGCGATCACGTAGAGTGCTTACGACGTTTGCCCCACAATACGACTGTCGAGATTGTCTGCAGTACGGATGCCCGAGGGGCACTCCTTGACTAGAACCGTTGTATATCGGCGTTTGTCAAGCATTTTGTGTGGTGATCAGCTTGTTTGGGTGACAACCTTTTCCCCTGTTCAGATTTGACGCCCCGAGCCAGTTGTCACTTGGTGAGGAAGGGATTGATTGGAATGTGTGAAGATGCTTCGGGCAGATGAAACAATCGAGCTGCGTTTCAGATACAAAGTCCGAACGCGTGCAGGGCAGCCGATAAATTTTCCGAAGAGATGGGGGCCCTCGATGACAGTTTGACGGATTGAGTGCAGATGCAATGTACATACGTATGGTGTTGGTCACATGGATCGATGGGATACAAAAGTTTGGGATCGGAGTTCGGTTGCGAACGAGGGAGCATCCCGGGAAGAGGAGACTTTGTATGAGTTTCGGAAGATATCAATCACGGTGACATTGATGCAGTGCCATCCATGGTGGAACAGATGCCGACCAGGCAGATCAAGCTTTGCAGGACGAGTGTGGGTAGTTGGGTCTGGGATATCACGGTCGTATTCGTTAGCTACCCGAAAGTCTACGATGATGCGATGTAAATCTGCCTTGGATGCCTGACAACGTGAGAACTTTGTTTGGGCGGAGAGGTGTTTCATGTCAGCGACTCGGTAGGTGGTTGGGACCAAGGGCGGTGTTTCTTGGTGCACGACGGCCAAGGTCGAGGCGAGCTGTGTTGGTACAAAAGCAAGTTATGCTGGTGGGATCCATTGGATGGCGAAGCAAGAGTGAGCTGGCAGCCAAACACGGCAGGCAATCCAGGGACCATGGCGGGTTCGTTCCTCTGGGCAACTGTCACAGCTCCGATCGGGCTCGGCCGTCGCAGGATGATCGGAGGTGGAGAGGTGGAGACATAGTAGGCATTTCCATGTGTACATGAGTAGGCCTTGGTGGGAAGCGCGTTCACTTGACCGCATGGGGCAATAATCGCAGTGTGCATGGCGGCTGGTCGGCATGTCATTGAGGACGGGGGGGTGTCTCGACCCAAACACGCGCCGGTCGTGAACCACCCTCCCATATCCCCAGTCTCCTCCGAGGACGCGCAGCGAGACAGGCGGCATGGCCAGAAAACTAGCCCGTTCCGCAAAGCACTTGCATCGCGTGTTAGCACGGCCAAAGGCGTACAAGTTGCGCTAGTCAGCTGACTAGGTCACGTTAGTATGTATGTATGTGCCTACCTATGTACCTAGGTAGGTACATGTACCTTATGTAAGTCATACCCAGTCCATCCTGCCACGCTCTACCCACAACACTCTACCAGGGTAACAGGACGGATTGCGTCGCCGACATGCGATCGACCAGCCCCATCACGTCCCACCTGTCCATGTGGGACCTTCTGGGGAACCGCCCATGGCCTGCCTGTTGGATGGTGCCGTTTGATTGCATTGATGATGATCAGTGCTGCTTGGACCTGCCCGTCGGCCCCGGCGAGGGCACAGGGCTGGAAAGCCACGGCTTCGTCTCGTCTCCCGCCGTATCGGTACCCGGTGTGCAGGCCTCCTCCATCTGCAGAGTCCCTCGTGTTGGCAGTCGTTGTTCCAGTGGACCCGGCTTCCACTGCGAGACATCCCATTCCTTACTCCGCCACCGTCCGCCACACAACTCTTGTTGCGCAGAGTCCAAGCTTCGACTACTTCAGCCTTATTCTGCGCCGTACGGAGACCCTCGAGACGCTGTGTGACTAACTCTGTACTCCGTCATACATCCCATTTCCACCCTAGCCCGCTACGGTTTGGCCTTGTTCCCCTTCATCAGACACACTGCTTCTGGTGCACTGGCCTCTTCCACTACACACAATATATCACCCCAGACCCCTCCAGTCTCGTACAATCGACTATCAACCTCACTCCCTACTCGCCTTTTCCCCGGCTACCAAATCTCAAACCCATCGTCCCCTCCCTCTTTGCCCTTCTCTCCTTGTTCTTCGTCTTCAACTCCACGCTCGCTTTGCGTGACCTACCATGACCGCCTTTTACCCTCACGACCCAGATATGGCCTATATGTCCCAAGACGAGAACATCAGCCATCTCTTTCCTTCCAGCACTTGTCAATCGCCGCCCAGCATCATGTATTCTCCACCGCTACACCACATGTCACACAGACTACCCTCCTCCTCACAACCTGCCCTTGGCCACATGTATACATCGGCACCCGACTACAGATCCGTTCCCAGCTCCCCCTACCCTGCACCCAACTACTGGAATTCGCAGCCTCCGGCCATGCCTCAGACACACGTCACCTACTCTTCTTATCCTCCGCTGTCCGTCATGTCGCCTGGCCAGTCTCTAGTGCCAGAAGCAGCCTTGCTTTCCCAGCCACTGGTCAACCGCCCTTCACGTTCACACTCGGCGTCCTCGTTGGGTATGGCTTCCACAAGCACAGGCGATAGATCGCCACCATCATTGTCAAGATCAATGTCCCCGAGCTCGCCTGATCTGCGCAACTATGGTTTTGCCAACAAAAACGGAACGTGGAGTTGTGCGTATCCCGGATGCACATCGAGAGCCGTATTCACGCGCGGATGTGATCTTCGAAAGCACCATAAGAGGCACACTAAATCCTTCTTTTGCCGACACGAGGGGTGCCCCCAAGCAACCGGTGGTGGTTTCTCTAGCAAAAAAGACTTGGCGAGGCATGAAGCAAAGCATAACCCCGGCGTGCTTTGCGACTGGGATGGTTGCGACAGAGTGTTCAGTCGCGTAGATAACATGGTAGGTTTCCCATCTCTTAGAGAGAGGTAGTGATCTCAAAGACTAACAAGTAGATGCAGAGAGATCACGTGAAGAGAATCCACTTGAAAGCGTCTCGCAACTCGACTGCCCCCAAACCAAACCTCTCCTCATGAGGGAATCGCGCAGTTTGCCCGCCTTGGCGCTAGTCTTCGGATATTTCGACATGGCGGCGGCTGTCTGAAGCTTTCCCTTTCGGCAGAGGATCGGACTTTCCGACCCATGTCACACGAGCAACATTTCATGTACCGGAGCCGCATACTTTCGCCTCGCAACTATCGCACGAGATAGATGTATCGAATCTTTTCCTCGTTACCCTCTTTCAAGATACCCCTATTTCGCGTTCCATTCTCATAGAAACGAAGCATTTCACTCGTGCAGGCTTGCAGCCTCGCCTTCTGCATGCTCATGGCGTTATTCCCCCTCAATTATTCTCATACGAATCTTCGTATTCTGACGTTTCAGTCTTCACTTGGTTCCCTGTAGCGAGAGAGCATCAGGAATGCATTTATCGGACTGGGCTACAATCTCGACTACACTGTAGCCCCGAGAACTTTATTACGCCGTCACTCTTCCTTTTTTTTTTTGCTCTTTGCATTTGCATAGCGGTTTCACGAGATCCCTTCGCTCGACCCATCCGTCCAATCTCCCTGTACATAGGAATATTCCAAATATAGACAGTCATTTTTTTCCCGCCCCCTTCTCGCCCCACATACCCACATTACCCTAGAGCTTCTCAAAAGAGGCATCACGCAATCGGACAAAGGTATGAGAAGTAAAGCAACGTTGCAGAGTATTTACTCGAAACGAGCAGTCCCTCGTACCACCTCTGAGCCGACGACCAGAGTCACTGCGGACGGTAATCGGAGTCTGCCACCATTCGCCACCCCCCAACCAATCGCAATCTAGCCCTCCGTGCCCTGGGAACAAGGCACGCACGTGTGCGCTGTTCGTCACTCTGAAACAGCAAAACCCATGCACACTCAGGGATTGCGGGACGCCTTAAAGCAAGCGTTTTGTTAGTCTTAGTTTAGCGACCTCTGGTTTGTTCCGTGCATGGCGCGCGTAAAAAAAGATGCTCATACTTAGTACAAGGCTGACTGCTGATGTCGGAGGACAAGCACAATGCACTGCATCGCCATGACGTTTGGAATTGAGGTCTCTCTTCCGCTTCCGCAACTAGGAGAAATACTCGTTCAAAGCACGAATACGGCTTGGTACTGTTTGTGTGCGATAGGTACGCAGCTGTCGCTGGGCATAGTGCTATCAATATCACCGCACTCGAGTGCGGAGTGAGTGAGCGAAACCAAAAATAAACCACCGCGTTTTCGATTCACCAATCAAGCTCCACCAGATGCTCACTTGTTGCACTTGGAACAAAACAAAAGGTACGTGTCGCACATGCAAGCACCCTGTACCCTGCTAGTGTGCGCGCGTACGTGAACAAAAGGTCGCGCGAATGGGAGGCTCCATACTGATATTCCGCATGACGAGACGTGTCCAGAATCGGTGGGGGCGGCAGGCGTGATTGAGGGGGCGAAGAAGACGACAGATTCAAGCATAGCAAAATGCTCCCGATGCGTGTTGATGGCCATGGCGATGATGATGGCAGAGGAGAAGACGGCTGTTTGACTCGTCCTGGAGAAAGCCAGGTGGTGAATCTTTGACTGTCTTTTCCGATGGCACGCAATACATGCACAATTCTTCGAGGCTTCAGCACCATTGAGCCTTCATTGAATGTTCCCCTAGGGTGGTGGTGACGCGCTCTCGTCAACACGCTACTTACCACTCGGTACGTCGGCGCCAACGAATGGGACAAGGTTGCCGATTGCCGACGGCCACGTCGAAGAGTCGACACAATGTACACTGCTAGTTTTATTGCACCTCGACTAGATTGCTGGTTGGCGAACAGGACTTGGAGCGGTGACATACGCGCTCTTGCTCATTGGTTGGCGACCTGCCCAAGTTCATGGCCATGCCGAGGGCCATGTACCCATAGTGTCGGGGCGTGTTTTCTTTTCTGCTTCTCGCCCCTTACTAACAACGGTAGCTGTGTAGCTTGGGATGACTTCTTCGTCTATTTCTACAGCTATTATGCAGATCCCCAGACTGTCCAAAGACGATACCCTACGTGGTAGCACATCCCTCTCGATCAATCTCACGTAATAGTCAACCGCAGCAGCAGAGCAATCAATGTCTTCGCCAGCCTCCCGGTGGTGTATCAATCCAGTTTGCATGCATTTCTCACTGACTTTTGCTATATACATCCAGCTCCTTCTGCGACCGGGTTGTACGGCGTCAACTTCAGGCATGCAATGAGGCTAGAGGCTCGGCATGGGGACCAGTACACACCACCTCCACATCGCACAAGGACCGTTTCTCAGGCCGTCAGCTTCATCTCGGCAACGCAATTAAGCATAAACTTAGTCACAATGTTCGTATGCTTCATGCGGGTGGGCGCTATACTGTAGTATACTGCTTCAAACTCCCATTTGGTTTCTCTTCTAGAGGGACTCGAACGCAGCAAGCGACGAGTATATAAATGCCATCTTCTGCCTGTCTCATAGGACTCGCCTGTCCCCTTACTGCTAATATATGCCCGTATCCGTCACCTCCACGTTGATGCACGTCCACAACATACGCAAAGTAAGCCGGCGCAACGTACGGTCTGTTTCCTTGAGCTCATTCGCTCGGAGACATGACATCATTAAAAGTATTGCTATGAAGGGACGTGTTTGACACGGTCAATGTTCGAGACCAATTGGTTTCTATCCACTTCAACCCAACTGACCTCCACTGCATAACCTGACCATGACCATTTCGGCCCGCTGTACCCAAGAGCAGCTTGAGCTGAGCAGCAATTCACCGGTGCATTCTATCGCGCGAACTTCTCGCGCTTTCCTGGTCCAATCGCTCTTCCTCACATCCAAATGAGCAAGATGCGCAACGAGGGATACGCTGCGATGCAACGGAATCGCGTATGGTACCCTTGCGGATAGATACGTTTGATCGTCGTTCTTTACTTAGCAACGCGTGGATGGGAGCTTGTGTGCAAGCAACAGTACGACAGCCGATCCCAAATGTTCGCCTGCTTGCTGGGCCCACGTCTGTGTTTGATAGAGCTAGGAGCGATATCAGGATTGGCTGGCGAGCATACGAGCCTCTATACCATATTTGCTTAAGCTGCATTAGCGCCGATCATGCTGCATGGCGTCAGGCGCTAGTTTGGGGTATCCTTCCTAGCTTGCATGCATGCAAGCGTGTGAGGTTGGACGCATGCAGTGAGATTTGGGGGCCGGTGGAGTAGATAGTTCAGCAGCTCGAGTGTGAAATCCTAGTTGCGAATATGTCTATGGATAGCAGACGCGTGTAGTGGTTTAGAGTCGTTACGTAGTGTCGAGGGTGAGGCTGAGAGGACGCAGCGAGCCTATGAGTCAACTTGTTACTAAAGCAAGATGAAGCAAAGACAGCAACAGTACAACAACTTGATTGACAGCAAAGGGCGGGTTGAGCTTAAACAAACGCATCTACACGAGATGTATAGCCATTCCTTGGTGCGATGTTGGAAACTTTAATTGAAATATAGTGATTGTACCACACCCCTGAAGGAGGATGGTTACAGACGAAAAGGGGCAGTCGAGGTTAATTAATTGAGTAAATACGAGAGGCAATAGCTTCGGAATGTATCTAGACTCGACTTCGTATGGGCCAAGTTGACTAAAGTGGAGTCCTTACAATAGTGCGCACGCTTGTATAGGTTGCCCATGTTAATTTATAGAGACAGAATTAGCAGCTTATAGACGTAAGTCTGTAAGGGGTTTGCTTTAAATTAATCGGAAGAGAAAATAGTTATTGACACGCATACTAACTATACTTATAAGTTGGCTCATTCGTCTACATGTAGAGAGACCCCAACCTACTTAACCTTTAGTCTAAAACATGGTGTAGAGAGCTGCAGCGTTTTGCAATCAAAAATGCATCTATGTTATCTATAAGAGATTCCGTGTAGTTAATCTTCCTTTTTTTTCATCTAAAACATATAGTTACATGCTTTATTGCCCCTCTTGTTTAGTGCAGTTTTCTGCGAGCATGAAGTAACTGTCTACACAGATTTTATCTATGAGATGCCTACTGTGAACGCGGTAACTTCTGACATTACCTTAAAGTATCTGAGTAAACAAATGTCTCGTCCAGCTACGGGAACTTGACACTGATAGGTACCTATTTCCCTAACAACCCACACAAGGGCCCCTAACCACTCATTAACTAAGACATAAACAATCTCTCTTTAGCCATATCCTATCTCACATACTCACCAGGTTCTTTAGGGCGGATGATATGAAGCAGTGTACACGAGGTAAGCTTGTAGACATCTGTAATTACTCTATCTTAGGAACTCCGCGCCTACTTCTCAGCATCATCCCGCTCGACTAAGGTTGAAGAAATGGCGTCTATGCATAGGAACCCGGGGTGTAACATGCGGGATAGATTGAAGAGAGGGAGTTTGGCCCACAAATTGGAGGTGTTTAGGATAGGTAAGAAGGTTTTCATTAATTTCTTCTATTCATGGAGCTTCCCTGGGTGAGACAATCACCCAATCTGTCAATCAATCAAGGTCCGATCGCGAGCTGCTCTTCCCGCCTGTCTTGCCTTAAACCCGGCGAATGGCTGATCGACGTCGCCGTACTTGAATGACGTCGCATTGTATATACAGCGGCACATATATTCTTAGCTCCAATTGGCAACCTTCCAGTATTTATATTTTATATCCTTTACTTCAACGGCTTCTCCGGCGTCACAGCGTACCAAGGACGAACGAACCTGTCGCTGTTGTACACCTTTGTCTCTGTGCCTAGAAGCTCCTTTTCGCGCGCCTGATCAGCCAGGTATCGTCGCACCTGGTCGCGGTCCTCCTCGGCTTGCAGTGCGGGAGTTAGGTATATGCGAGCCCACATCTTCTCGCGCGCGAGTTCACTATAGATGGTAAAATAACAGTTAGCCTTGTATCTGGATCCAGAATGCTTCCTACCCGAATTGCCAAATCCCCAATCTCCAGCTATTCTATCCGTACTCGCACCTAGCCCAACCCTCCACATCAAAACGAATGTGAAGGTAAGATATACGCACTTGTGTTCCTTGATTCCCTGGCCTACCCTCCAGAAGCCGTAGGTCATCAGCGCAGCAATGCCCACGACGTAGGCGGCGGGTCGGAAGCCGCGAACCGGCAAATTGCGCTTGTACTGGACGGGGGCGTAACCGCCCTGAGGCGGCATATCCTGCGGCATCGTCAAGGGCGAATAGTCCGTAGCGGCAATTGGGTGGGAGAGATGAAAGACCGCGTGGTGTCGTGGTTCAATGGTTTTGGTCGGAGTGGGTGAGGTGCAATTGAGTCGTCACATCGCAGCATGAATAGAGGTCTTGGCATATGATTACATAATCGTGACACGAGTTACAAATTTGGATACGCAACTTTTTCCTCATGCAGGATTCCATTCGGCACACAACGACAACGAGGACGAAAAAATGGGCTCGGAACAACGGCCGGCCAAGATCCGCAAAACTTCTCATGCTCCCGGCGTTCACGACGCTGAGATGGCGGCAGCTCAGCCCTCCACCAGCCTGTCGGGACATGAGCATGCAACAACTGCACAACCCGCGGAAGACTGTATTCTTACTGAATCCTCAATCTCCCAGGATCAAATTGCACAGTTTACAGTAAATGTTGAGCCCAAACTATCCAAAAACCAAATAAAAAAGCAGCGCAAACTCGAAGAATGGGAGGCTGGCCGGGAAGACCGCAAAATCAAGCGCAAGGAGAAGATCAAAGAGAAGAAGGCGCGTCGACGACAGGAATGGGCCGATCATCATGCCGACGGAGAAGCACTAAGGACGGGAACCTCAAAACCCAAAGCCGGCACCCAACTGCCCATCACCGTCATCTTTGACTGCGACTTTGAGAACTACATGTTCGATCACGAGCTCAAGAGCTTGGGGCTTCAACTCACGCGGTGCTACTCGGACAATCGCAGAGCTCCTTATCGGTTCCATTTCGGCGTGAGTAGTTTTGGCGGGAAACTCAAGGAACGGTTCGATGGAATATTGGCCAAGCAGTACCTGAACTGGAAGGGTGTGCATTTCTGTGAGGAGGATTTTGTTGAGGTTAGCAAAATGGCCCAGCAATGGATGAGTGGACCTCAAGGAGGCAAGCTTGCTGGTGCTCTCCTACAAGAGGGGAAGATGGACGAGGAAGCATCCGAGGAACGGGAAGAGGGTGAGGTTGTCTACCTGTCGTCCGAGAGCGACGTCACGCTCGAGCGGCTGAAACCTAACAGCACGTACATCATCGGCGGGCTGGTGGATAAGAACCGGCACAAGGGTCTCTGCTACAAGCGAGCTGTAGCACGGGGCATCAAGACAGCCAAACTGCCCATCAGCGAGTTCATGCAGCTGAAGAGCCGACAGGTGCTGGTCACCAACCATGTGCAGGATATCATGCTGAAGTGGGCCGAGCTGGATGACTGGGGCAAGGCATTCATGGAAGTTATGCCCAAGCGGAAAGGTGGCGTATTAAAGGATGGGGATGACTTGGCAGGTGATGGCGAGGAAGGGGCTGAGGCGATTGCAGGTTCATCTGAGGCATAACATGGATTGATATATGTACATATATATGTACCGTGTGTAGGTACATATGTAGGTATAGCATGCATACACGTGTACGTATATCTAGCTGGAGCTAGAATGGAGCTGGATATGAAGAATTATTTGAATATCTAATGAGGCCAGACAAGGACATTGGCCTGCTGGCGGATATTCGATGTGTTCACACAGGCATGCTCGAGTGGGTGTCACGTGCGAGAGCGTCCAGGGAGGGCCTAGCGTTACCTAGGTATTTATCCAAGAGATCTCCGTCTCCTGCCTATGTACCTAGGGAGGCAGGTACCTTCCTAGGTACATGATACATGCGAGTACTTATATATACCTAGCATAATACTACATACTTACCTAGGTATGTAAGTACATACATGTTTATAGATGCCGAGCACGTGTTTACGAGTACATCAGCCAGGTCTATACCTATGTAGGTACAGGCCTGTAGTATAGCAAAGACTTCGACCCTGCAAAAACCCGCTTACACAGCGAAATCGATCCACTTCACCCCACAGGACGAGCATCCATCCATCCATCCATCAATGCCACCCTCTTCGCCGCCGCCGCCTTCATCCTCGTATTTTACCTACCCCGTCACGTACGCCGTGAACGGACTCCTGCGCCGCCTGTCGTCGGAGCGTCCGTCCAAACCATCATCGCCATCACCATCATCGGCCTCGAGCACGATGGCGTCCGCCTTCGCTCCCCCACCGCACCGCAAAGCCAGCCCCTTCCAGCCGCCGCCTCTCACCCCACTCAGCCTCAACGGCTACAAGACCTCTACTCGCGAAGAAGGCCGGCTCTTGAGCAAAGCCCTGGCCGAGGAAATCAGGCTGCTCGTGCCCCCGCGCCTGCAGCTCGTCGACGACTGGACCGTTATCTACAGCCTGGAGCAAAACGGCGTCAGTCTTGCCACGCTGTATCAGCGAGCCGAGGAATACCGCGGTAAGAGAGGCGGCTTTGTGCTCATGGTCAAGGACGGCAGCGGCGGCGTCTTTGGTGCATACCTTTCCGACGCTCCCAAACCCGCCCCGCATTTCTTCGGCAACGGCGAGTGTTTCCTCTGGCGTGCTCATGTCCTGCCTGCGCTGCCCCATCTCTCCATGGCCGAGTTGCCGCCCCCGCCTTCGACTGATACCACCAATGCCGTGCGCATGACTACTCTTTCGGCTCCCAGCGCCAGCGGCAGCAACAGCGCCTTGAGTCCTCCGCACTCGGCCTCTGCGAGTCGCAGTGGCACCGCCACCCCGGAGAGGATTCGATTCAAGGCTTTTCCCTACAGCGGTGTCAACGATTATATGATCTTCTGTGAGCACCAATACCTGAGTGTCGGAGGAGGGTGAGTCCCCATCCCTCTGTCAATCCACCCATCAAATATCCTTTGCCCACATTCACACTGATACACCCACGATAGAGACGGTCACTACGGCCTTTGGCTCGACGACAACCTCGAGCAGGGGGTTTCCAGCACTTGCCCCACATTCGGAAATGAACCACTGAGCGACGAGGGCAGCAAATTCGAAGTCCTTGGCGTCGAGCTGTGGTACATTGGCTCATAACCGTATTTCCCTTGATTTATATTTCTGTTGTTCCACCCCTATCATTGCTACCATCATAGCTGAAAGAGTTGGGATTGAGAATCGATGAACAACTTGACAATCAAAGATACCATTTAGCGTGTTTAAAGGGATGTTGAGATGGTCACCGAGACATTGCATTGCTACACGCATCACGTCGCCAAGGTTGGTTGGACTCACAAGCTGTACCCACTGGTAGACGAGCTGCTTCGATATCTCAAAGACGAGAAGAAGACGAGCAGTCTAAGCATTCATCTCCATCAATAGGCCGCGACGTGGAAGAAAGAGATGATCATATAGAAGTCGAGTCAGTTCTTCGATGTCTGCGCTGTGTTGTCTCAATCAAGGTTCGACCAGCAGATCTTCTGCTCACTGCCCTGGAGATGATTACGCTTTTCAATTCACGACTCTTTCCGAATCCGAGACGCATGGATGTTGGATGGGGTATTCGTCTTGCTAGGAAGACAGCGTGGTGCGCTCCACACAAGCACGAGCTACCCAGGTAGTCGATATGCCAAGGAGTCTTAGCGAAAGTGATGCTATTCTCAGGTTTCGGGCCTCGTTTTCAACCTCAACAATAGAGGGATTGCTGAGTGGGTGCAGCGTGAGCAGTAGGGGATTGAGACCCTAGAGATTGAGCCTGTCAGTTACCGAAGATCTATCTCAGAGTGGGAGAGCAAACTATTATTTATTTGCTCCTCCTGTGTTGAAACCTATTTTCTGCGCGCATGATTGAAGAATGCCTTTGGATTCCACGGAGGGGTGAGCTGATAGCAGAATATTTATCCATAGAGCTGACCGCAAATGTCACCACTTGTTGTCATGAGAAGCACATGGACAAGCGTTGCGCGCTACGAAGCTTCATTGTCCCCAACACCGTGAATCAACTGCGATTGCTGCAGACAATCTGCTGCTGCACGGTACACTCGAATACATGGTATGTCTAGAACACTTTTTCTAATGTACCGCGGGTGATAGCAATCTAGCAAAACAGGGAAGAGTAGGGGGAAAGCTCTCTACAGCTCTCTACGATTGATTGAGGTTGATGGGACTAGTCTGCGACAGTACTAGCCCACTGTGCTTCCCTGTCCACTGCCTCATACCGGATTGGAGTGAAAACCCAATGCATGAAATCAAAGCTAGCATCAGGTTGATTGCAACCCCGCGTCTGCAAGTTTCGCCGCCCACGTCTGGGATTTTTTAGATGGGCTGCTAAATGTCGCGGAGAAATAAGCCATCTCTCGTCCCTGCTGGCATTTACATAAGACAGCTCCATGCGTATCGTTGCAAGCGGCGCCAGAACCTTTGTACAACTCAAGACACTCCAGCACGTTCCAGACAATCAATCGCCATGAGAATCTCCAGCCTGTTGATAGGCCTTATGGCCCTCTGCCCCGTGCAGAGCGCTACCCTTGGGGCCGATCACCAGCTCATCAAACGAGCATCGCTGACCCAGGTGCAGAACTTCGGCACCAACCCGTCTGGAATCAAAATGTTCATCTACGTGCCCCAGAAGCTGCAAGCAAAGCCACCCGTCCTTCTCGTGCTTCATGCGTGCGCGTGGACGGCAGGCAGTTTCTTTGGGACGACAAAATATGGGCAGCTTGCCGATCAACATGGCTACGTACTCATCTATGGTCAAACACCAACCGACGGCGCATGCTGGGATGTCTCGTCTAAACAGTCGTTGACTCATGATGGTGGTAGTGATAGCACGGGGCTGGCAAACATGGTTAGATACGCCCTGCAAGTTTACAATGGCGATGCTAGTAGAGTCTACGTCACCGGCGAATCTTCTGGTGCCATGATGACTGTAAGTTGTGACCCTCGCCTTTCTCTCACTCATTTGATACACTAATCTCGGCATAACAGCAAGTAATGGCAGCTGTATACCCGGACATGTTCGCCGCCGCGTCCGAATTCAGCGGTGAGCCCGCAGGCTGTTTTTATACAGGCACCGTTCGCGGGTGGAACAGCCAATGCGCTGGTGGCCAGCTGCACAAGACGTCTGCTCAGTGGGCTGCAGACGTTCGCGCCATGTATCCTGGCTACACTGGACAATACCCAAGAATGCAAGTCTACCACGGGGACGCAGACACGACGCTCAACATTGCGAGCTTCAACGAGTCCATCAAGGAGTGGTCTGGAATTCATGGATACTCTGAAAACCCAACTTCGTCGCAGAGCAATAGTCCTGGGAATAAGCTTACCAGATACATCTACGGTGATCGATTGCAGGGTATTTGGGGACATGGCATCGGCCACGTTGTGCCTACTAATGAAACTGAGGCGTTGAAGTGGTTTGGTATTACTGGAAGCAACTAGTCTATCATCTCTGCAGCTTCTTTTACATAGTAAATTAGCTATATAATACATCAAGTTAGGGCGATTGAGCAGAAATTTCCGTCCAAATTGATACTCCCAGAAGTCTGGGAGACGAACAAGTTCTATAATGAATCGCACGATCCTACCCTATAATGTACACAGACAATATGAAGGTAGAGGACAAGAAGCTTAAAACTCACAACGCCCACCGATGCCACCATAAACAGTCATCACCCCCCGCGGTCATCCACCGCGCAATCCCGATCCACCAAAATTGCCGATTTAAACTCGGAATGATACTGCTCGCTTGCCTACTTGAATGTTTGCACCTTTCTTGGGCATCACGCCTGCTGGCATCTGCGACTTTGGCATCGTCTTGCACGACGAAACGGCATCGACATAGGTAATGGACTTGAAGCGGCCCGTCTGCCTGTACTTGAAGTTTTTTCCGTTTGCGAGCTTGGCAGTAACTTCGCCCACGTAGTCACTATCGAACGTGCCTCTCGTAGCCGTGGCTTCGCCTAAGTCACTCAGAGTAAGTAACGAAATCTTTTGAAAGACGTGGGCCATACTCACAATGGGTGGCCGACTGCGGTGGGTAACCCTGGACAGTTGATCCAGTCGTATACGCAAGTGTGTGCGTGTCTACAACCTCATTGCTTTCCGTTTTGGCGTACTGAAATTCATATTTCGATTCGAAGCTCACTTCAGTCGTCGCCTTGGCTACTCCCGGCAATCCCCCCTCGAATGATGTTTTGGCCCCAAATCCCAAGCCAACGGTGTGGGTCTTGGTATCACCGAGAGTCTTGTGGTTTGTCCATGTGAATGTATCCGTTTGACCGAAAGTTTGATTAAGTCCACCTTCTTCGTTTTCGTTTATGAACCAGATGCTGCCTAGACTGGCTTGCTTTTGGATGCCCTTTTGCTCGCTGTTCCATTTGTTGATGTCTTCGGTAAACTCGATTTTGGACATGACAGTCGACTCGATTTTGGACTCGAGGTAGTAAAATTGAAGCGTCTCGATCAGGCCTTTGGTACCCGCCTGGCTGGCTGTTTTCCCCTGTAATATAGCGTTAGTGCGTGACTCGTTGAGAAAGTCGAGAGTGTGGAGGGATATTTCCAAGCTTCTGATCTGGAACAGGGTATTGCATAACTTACCTGGATCGCAAGAATTTTCTTAGATCCAGCGTCGAAGGTCCTCTCGTCCCCGGTATGGTCGGACCCTTGTGTCAATTTCTTTTCGCCATTGATCCAAACCTGGACCCAACCAACACCGTCCAAGCCTTTTTTGCCCTTGTTGTCCCACAACTTGATCACTGCGAGCTCCGTTAGCGACGAGATACTTCGACACCACTCGTGCAGAGCTCTGTTGTTACTGACCAACTTCGTCGGTAGGCTGCCATTTCAGCTCTTGATCTGGGTCTTTCCGGTTGGTGCCGTCGGAGGTGGTATCACCATAGACTTTACCAAAGTCTCCCTGGCCCCACTGAAACTGTAAACCCCAAACAGCCCAGTCGCCTCTCCATACTCGAATACCTGGACGGGGGATTAGTTCGCAGCACGTGGACTGTAGTACGACTCATGCATACCCGTTAGGAGTTCTCCATCCGCATGGCCTCCTTCACAAAAATAGTGGTTCTCAGGCGAACTTTCCCAGGGGAGGCCCGCCTTAGCAGGCTCCAACCATGGTCCGCCCTCACAAGACTTCTTGTCAGTGTTGACGGCGCCAGCTATGCCAGCTACGGACAAAACAGCAGTTGCAAAGATAGAGAAGTGCATTTTGATGAGGTGAAATGTCAAGGAACGAATGAGCTTGAGTGATGGTTGGGGTAATTCGATCAATGGCGGAACCTGGACGCAGAAGAAACGAAGGACAGTCAAGGATAGCTCGTGGAGCCAAACGAATGAATGAATAGCTTGTGAAGCTAAAAGAACGAATGGATAGACCGAAGCGTGTGGTGGAGAAGAAGGCGACAAAGACCGAATTTATATGTGTACAATAAATAGTTCTCAACCGCTGAGCCGCGCATAGCGGCCTAGACTCCACAGACGCTCTATTAGCGGTACGTACCTTTGTAGCAATCCGTCGTCGTGACTTGTCCGTGTCGTGCGACTTGTGCGACTTGTCGCGCGACTTAAGCGACTTGTCGTGCGAGTTCATCGCAGATAGCCGTTTAGGAGTGCCAAGCAGCCCGTTGTCTCGCGAGTTGCCGTGTAAGTTAGTCGCAAGAGGAAAGTGGGCGGGCTTGCCAAGAGAAGTTTGATTCTTTTAAAAGCCCCGAAGTGTGACTACACTTACTCTATTAGGAGAATGTGTAAAAGACACTCGCATCATAGTCTCGTGCGATATGTTGGAAAGCCAATCTTATAAACAAACTTTGCATTTGATTAGCTATATTTGCAGGCTAAATATAGCTATGCAGGCGCTAGCTAAGGCGAACAACACTCTAAGGCTTAACATTAAATGCTTATCACAGACGCTGTCTAAGATAGCAATAGCTACCTTAGTCTGTGTTTTTGCTCTACTTATTGTTCCCTAGCGGTGAAGTGCATGCACAAACATTACTATGCAATTGCACCTCGCCTAAGGGCTCTATAACTAGGGTCTGGCACACGGCGATGTGGTTGGGCTTGCTATATATCTAGGTCTATAGTGTTTTAATACGTGGAGGAGTAAGTAATTAATTAAGTAATAGAGCAGCAGAGTAGGTAATGCCTCTTATATATAGTACATAAGTTAGGTCACGTGACCCCAGGAATCGCCCTTTAAACATATAGATCTTACCGCTCTTATCATTGCTGTGTTGAAGTTGGCGGCTGCCTACGTCCCTATCGACCTACTCCTACCCACAAACCGCATCAAGCACATGCTTGAGAACGCGAAGCCAAAGTTCATTCCTCTGAACGAAGAACCAACGGGAGGGCTTGTACCCTGGAAGAAGCTGTGTCTGGGTGTTGACGAAATCAGAGATACTGCGAGTGCCGATACCCATAACCTGGCATTACCTACACCCATACATCATAAAGACCTTGCATATATCATATGTACCTCAAGTTCGACAGGAAAGCCAAAAGGTGTGGAAGTCAGTCATGGTGCAGCCGCGAATTTCTTGAGCTCTCTACGACATCATAAGCCAGGATGCAACGAGCGAGACCGTTTTTTCTTAGCAATTATGACGGTCAGCTTTGATATGTCGGTCCTTGAATTGCTCCTACCAATCCTGTCAGGTGCTACGATGGTGATTACAAACTCCGGGGATATCAAGGACCCCTATGAGATGTTAGACCTCACAAAGGCCCACCAGATTACAATGCAGCAAGCAACGCCCGCAGCGTAGACGATGCTTCTAGAATCCAGATGGACCGGATATCCGCGACTGTCCAAGATTATATGTGGAGGCGAGCCACTCTCGCGACGGCTTGCTGATCAACTACTATGTTACTCTGATCCGGTATGGAACGTTTACGGGCCAGCCGAGAATACATATGGAAGTGTTGGAAAAGTCAGCAAAGATGTGGTTGATATGTGTCAACCTGTGGTAAATGGCAGGATAGACGCTCCTCGTTGTAGTACCTACGCGCCACCGTCCACGCGACTGTCGACTTGCCAGTGCCCGCCAGGCCGCGCAGCCAGAAGATGCATTGCTTGTCCTGTTCCTTAGCCTAGCTGCATATTTCGTAGAGGATGCCGACGCGCGTCTTGAAAAGGCAAACAGGCTTATGACGCTTCGCGTACGAGTTAAAGGGCGCGTCCGCGGCGTGCGGTAGACGACTGAAGCCGTTCTTGAGCTCTAGTGTTGACGTGTCTATTTAGCGTCCCATTCCTGCTAAGGAGTAGGGGAAGGGTAATCCTGCAGCGTATATATTAGAGTAAAAGTAGACTAAGCTATTAAAATTCTGAGCTTAGACGCTGTAGCGGGCGTTACTAAAGGATACATTAGGTAGTGCTGTAGAGGCTATGGCACTGCAGCAGAGCATGCATCAGTGCCTCAGCGGTGGTGTCTGCAATGATCGTGTCCGCAGCCAGCTGGGTTCCAGCCTGGCCTACAACATGGCGTCCTGAGGTTCTAAGGCTAAGGCAGAGGCTAGGGTTTTTGCTCTATAGCAGTCAGCCTATCGCTGCTCAGCCTTATTGCCTGTTTTACGCCGCGGCTGCAGCTGCCCGCTACCGTGTAGGCGTAGACGCTGTAGTTTTACATAGCGCAGGTAGTGAGATAGTAATGCAGACGATAATAATAATTTGTCTATCTGTCACTTATACTAGTCTCTCGCATATCTAAAAGTGCGGTAAGAACAAATAGTGACCGACAGAAATCAGTGTTTTGCAGCATAAACTACCGCGGTGATAATTGTACTAAAGTCAAGACTGTGACTATAGATGAAGAGTTAATTCATGTTCTTATATGGAAAATATTGCCAAGCGCGCAAACAGTGTTCAACCGAATACGAGCAATGAGTGGACTGAAGTGGCAAGCCCGTTTGGGAGCAAAAAAGGCAACATACATGGGCATTTATTTCGGCCCCATCTAATATGAAAGGATGACGCAAACTGCCAACAATTTTGTATTTTAAGCCCACTTTGTCCTCGATTCAATTTTCATCTATATTCCCCATCCTTTGGCTCTCTCCATTCCCTCATCATGCATCATCTACCACAGAACCGACGATCGGCATCCTATCAGTCGACTTCTTTCATATCCGACATGGCTCGTACGTGCTGGAATATTGTCAAAAAGAGTTTCGGCGATGCGAAACGCGATCTACGTCGCATTTCAAAGCAATCCTGGATCTTAGGATTTTTATCCTTCGGATTTGGAGCTTTGCTTGTTGCGCTTATCCTTCCTTCTACCTTTAATACCCTTTACGGGGATGCGACCGATCAGACTGCATGCGTTCTGGATGGAGAATTCTCTCTTTTTCCATTTTCTCGCTCATTCTGGAGCGTCACCGGTTTTTTCGATATATCTTTGTCATTTGGGAAATTGACATTTGGTCAGGCTAAAATAATTGATATCATATGGGATCTGGTCAGTTATACGCGGATTACACAACCTTCTGTCTACTTGTGTCAACTAACATCTAGAGAAGGTCTTCGGTCGCGGTGGACAAGCTGTTTTGGCCTATTTAAGTTGGCGGTCATTTGCTCGTTATATGACCGCGACTATGGAGCTAGAACCAGTACGTACAGCTGTGTTAAATATTTCAGATTGGAAATCCTGAACAAGTATAGGTGACCTTCAGCTCGTTTCGAGCTGTCTTCATTGAGCAAACTCCAAGCATTTACTCTATCGGTCGCCTGATACGTGATTTTTCAACTCGGAAAATCTTGCGCTCTAAACCAGCAATGACATTCATAGTCACAAGCATGATATTTGTACTTTCTTTTCCTACGCTTGCCAATTCAATGTCAGGGTACACTACTGCTGTCAGTGCTTCTATCAAGGATTATAACGAAGACACAATTCCCTTCAAAAAGTTTGAGCTGCTCATTTTAATCGTCCATGATGGAGACAGACTGAATAAATCAAAAGATTATGCGGTCACATATCAGTATCAGTTTGGTATGACTTCTTCAGTTGAGACGTAGAACGACTCTGACATGCCCAGGCGATACACTACCGGATGAAGCGCACTATACCTTAAACTGGCTCCGTAGGTCGAGCAACTTCAACCAGAATCCCCTAACATGTAGGTTTACCATGTCAGCCATTTACCTTCATCTCCAATTGCGGGTTTCCAGGTCCAATTTAGTGGCTGACTCGAACAAAGACATTGAAGAATACGGATCTACGCCTAAAAACAGTAGCTCTGTGTATTACGACGTAACCAAATCCTTCTACGACATTGACGAAAGCATCACTCTCGATCCTCCCACTCTGAACATCACTACGTATTTCAACCTCACGCAAAACTTCAAGGATCAAGGTCTGGTTTGGATGTATTCAGGTGACCAATATACGCAGGAATATATAAGTGCAAAGGAACATGGATTCTGTCAAAGCACTGAGGTATTTGAGAGTGACCTTTTCCCGACACAAATCTAGGCATCTCACTAACCTAGACGCTGTGCAGGACTATCGATGGGGATTCTCATTTATTCAGTTTTTTATCGTCATGATGCTGCTTCTTCTATGGAGTGTCGGAACGTTGGCAATGTATATGCACGCTAAACATACGATGCGAAGCCGTAACCGAACTGCTATTGATGGAGAACACAAAGCTATCATCAACCTCGCGATAGCAATGAATCAAGAGCTAAGTCCTGATCCCCTATCAACAAAAACAGAAGACGAAATCAAGGAGTTAGTGCGAGATGTTCATGGGGGTAGCATCTCTTACTCTACGTCAATACCTTTCGAGCATCAGTCCAAACGCAGACGTTTCATGGAGTGGATTCGTAACAGGAAGTGGTTTCTTGCTTGGATCGCCGTGAAACTGGTGATTCTCGGACTCTTCCCATTCTACATTCTTGCAATTGGCCCTTGTTTAATGTATGCATTGCCTGGGTCAATAGTTGGAGATTTCGTCGTATTACTTATCGGTGCAACATCAGGGAGCCGTTTTGTGCTTACTTTAGTCCCTACATTTGTTTCCTTTCTTGTATCAATCGTCGTATCAGTTATTTGGGTATATTGAAGTTAGTAGCTCGGGGTCGAGATATGAACGCTCGAGCGACGATGAAATCTGATCTCATTTTAGACTATGATCAAACCCCGTATTAAGAAAGACAGTTTAGTAGCGTTCTAATGACAAGACACCTCTACTTTGTCTTCTAGTTGAGTGCCAGCATCCTAAGTCGCATCAATCTCTTTACTGTGATACACAATTGTCGCCCCCTTAACAATCGCGACGTTTTTTTTTTTTTCTTTTTAGAAAAAAGATAAAGAATGACGCTGAATACTTGCCGTGTGGTGATGGGGCTACAGGCTTCTAAAAGTGTAGTTAGACCTGCACTATGGTAAACAGCAGACCTAGGTAACGAAGCCCCACAGCGGGAACGAGACACGTCTACGCCGCAGCTGTTTATGACACTAAAGCGGAACGTTACCCCGCTCTCAAAGGGCTAAACAGAACAGACCTGCACAAGGTTAGAAGCTTCCAGCGCTTTTAGCTACAGGAGAACCTTATCTACTGGGCAACTAAAGACAGCACTATCTAAGTCATTTAGTCATGCTCTGTTTTTTATTTCAAGTCATGCTCTGTTTTTTATTTTAAGTCATGCTCTGTTCTGCTCACTTCTACGGATCAAGCAAGACTTCCTGTAATTCAACATGACCCTATCCGGTTCAACGAAAAGAGGACCGCCCGAAAACTAGAAAAACCACGGAAAAAGAAGTGGCAAAAGCTCTCAGCCTCTCAAAGGATTCCTTACTTGGTCTGCTCTTCTCCCGCTCAGGATGCTGGTATCTTTGCCTTCTTGCTCCATTTTGGCAATGGTGAGCGCTTTGCGGGCTTCCATACGAATAATCGCATCCTGAAGGGCTGGAGATCTTTCTTTGCATTCTTTCCCCTTGTGGGGCGCTGTAGTGGAGGTCGAGATTTCAGGGGTGGGAATGGAGCTGGAAGAAGATGAGTGGTGATGGTGGGAAGAGTCGAATGGTTTCCTGATGGCATCGAGGATTTTGTTGCGCCTCGAGACGCGCGGAGAGGGTGGTGTATAGAGGGGTGGATCTTCGTTTTGCGAGTTAGTACTACGCACGTGGTTGGGTAGGGTTCAAGATTGATGGAGTTGGGTGTACCTTCGTATGTGGGTGAAACGGCGCCATCAGCATTGAAGGGCGGGAGGTTTGCGCCTAACATTCTTACATCTTTTTCAGGCATTCTTGGTGTGCGGTGCGGGTTTAGAGGTCAATCTGTCAGTCGTATGTCCTTTCTCTTGCTCTGCTGGCTGATGTTTTGAATTAGGAAGGTGCTTGAAGGATTTGATCCTGTCTTTTCTTTTTTCAAGGGTCGGTATTTGTCCACAATAGCAGGCTCGGGATTGTCAGGAAAGCAGAGGGAAGCAAAATAAGACGAAGTCGATTGCTTAATTTATGAATGCGGATTTGCGTGGCGGGGTAAATACAAGGGACAAAGGAGGGAGAGTAGAGGGAGATCAACTGACACTGACGTCACCGCTGACCTCGAATACGAAAAGGCAGTAACCACCCTACCAATCAATGACTTGCCCGACTGCAAAGCTACGCAAATAACTCTGAGCCGCCCTTGTGGTGAATCCAAGATGTGCCGCGAAGCCAAGTACAACGCAAGCAAACCCTCATTGCTTATACACACAGTCGCTCTACATCTTGGTAATATCCATCCATCAGAGCCAGTATCTTGCGCTTACCAAGGTCATTGACATGCGCGCTCTTCGACCCATCTATCAAGCGAGCAAGCCTCCCTACACCCACCCCCGACTCTAGAACTGCCAAAGCAGAACCACGTTGCTCCGTCCCAAACAAACCTCGGAAGCTGCCCTACAATTCGAATACAAAAACAATTCCCCAGCGCAACTCGGGGCAAAAAGAATCCATGCCCTCAGCCAGGTTCGAACTGGCGACCTCAGGATATCTCTGTCGTTTGACAGTCACAGCATTTTCTCGCTATGAGACCTGCGTCATAAACCAGCTAGACTATGAGGGCTTTGTTGAATGTTGATGGAAGAATTTGCGGCAAAATTCAAAAAGTAAAGCTGGTTTCAAGGTAGTAATCGAGAGGTGAAAGTGGGGTGAGTGGAGGGGTGGGGCAGGGCATCGAACGGATGAACATTGAACTTGAAGTAGTGGGACATAGAGAGCTCGTCGTACTTGTTTTCTGACGAGGCGGTGGAATACGTATAATCATATGAGATGTGAGATGGATGGAATCTAAGGTGCGAGGTTACTATCATGCAGGTTGGCTCCGCGCATACATATGAACATAACGACGGCAGAACAAGTTTGCTTGGTCGTCTGCATGGCAGTCAGCTTGTCTACGCGCAAGCATTGGACAGAAGAGTCATTGCAGATTCACTGAGGGATGCTGCGGATATTTGAATACAGATGCTCAAGTCCAAATTTTCTTCGCAGTTGAATAATAGCTGAGAAGGCCGGTATTTTCTATCTAACGACCTGTTCGCGTTCACTGACCATGGATCGGTTAACTCTTCTTCGTTTACTTTTTTTGTTCATTCAAATCATTCGACCCAGAAACGCTCCCAATATGGATTCCATGGGCTGCTCTTTTGCAATTTGCTTGTGAGAGATTGTATCTGTATTAGAAGAAAAAACGTATTATATTGTAACATCTTTTTAGTCTATGTGCGGGAATGCGAGTGTCTTTACGCTCACGACCAACGCAGTACTGTTTAGTGACTGGTGGCACCAACCTTTCCAGACGTTCAATGCATCTCACATACACACGACGCGATGCTATGCAACGCTTAAACTTTTCATAATACAACATATTTCATTGCCATTCGCTCATTAGCGTCCACTGTACTAGTGCCCCCGGGCCAGTACCTGCGCATATGGTCTATCCAATCAACGCAACTCAGGTCTTATCCGCCCCTCGCAACTTGGCGCCAGTAAGGAAGACGGGCGCAACGTGCTTGCTCAAGTTAAGGCCGAAAAGGCTGGCAAACCAAACCACGGTAGTGACAGCGATCGGAGCCAAGAGCAGCTCAGTGTGGTGCAGGAAGGGGAGGGCGTTGTAACCGAGAAATGTGATGATGAAGTAGTAGTTTGCGGCGACGAGGTAGAGTGTGTTGGAAAGGAGGAGCGACAACCTTCTTGCAATTAGCTATTTTATCCGAACGCTTGCACAAGGGCAACATACCAGTGACTTGTGCCTACAAGCGGCATACACAGAAACTGCACCACATATAGGAACAGCCAGATCGGCACAAATGCCCGAATGCTGACATCCCAACAATACCCAAACTCCAATTCCTCCTTGCCATCGGCATCCCCCGCATTCCCAAGGTCGTAGAGACCGCGACGGCGGCCACCGGGGATGAACTTGGAGTTTGGACCCAGCAAGTTCTTGATGAAGAAATAGAAGCACGCGGCAGTAAGGAGGGAGAAGAGGAGGAAGTGAAGGAAGATGAAGACGAGGGATATGCGTATGGCCTGGGGAAAGCTACTGGAATAGGCAAAGGCCCAGGCGATCGAGGTGAGGAATTGGAAGAGGGCGAGCAGATAGGTGAAGGAGGGATCGGGGCGGTGGTAGGTTTTTGTGGTTTGCTTGTGATAATATATCGAGCGGAAGACCTTCTTGGGCGCTATGATCAACGACATCATTTCCCAGATGGCCATTTCAAAGTCCATTTGCGGGAACTTGAACAGGCGTTTGAAGAAGCGCGGCATGCGTATCTCGTTCCGTCTCGAGGGCGTAGTTCCCCCGAAATTGGAGCCGCCTGTCGGCCGGGGCAGCGAAATGTGAGGATTCATGGTGTAGGCCAGATGTCGGCAAGGGCAGTGACAGGTGAGAGCCGGGGGCTCCCCTTCGAAGGAGTGTGCTATGTATGTTGGCAGTCCCTGAGCGGTCGGGGATGGTTTCAACGAGTCTCTCAGTCAGTCAGCCAGTCAGTCAGTCATGTCAGTACTTCAAATGCTGGTGTCTGGGAACAAACGACATCCGCTCCAGCCACACGCGCGCGCCAAGCCACCACGCGCTAGTGGCAGAAGCTCGCTCCCTCACTTCACTCACCCCGATTCCTTTCTTCAGTTGACTGGCCATCGCAACCTTCGTCTGCGCCGAGCCAGCCGACAAAGCGACGCGCTGCCCGCTCTGCGTCTGTCCAGCATCTCCACCAGTGCCGCTCCCATTGTCTATTCCGTGTGCACAAAGCACTCAACCTCCGCCTTTCCATCCTTGTTGCTCGTTTGCTGCCTCGTCTGCACGCGACACCCAGTAAGACGTCCCTTGCCTTTGCGCCTCTTCCGCCCGCTCGCCGGACTGCTGCCAACAGTCTGCTGCCTCTGTGTCTACTCATCTTTTAGCATACAATCATGGACGAGATGGACCCTCAGTCCGCGGGCGACCAAAACGTCGATGAGTATGACCCCACTGCAGTGAACTACTCGTATGGCGAGCTCGACCCTACCGAGACCGCTCCACTAGGCGGCGCAGACACCGCTCAGGTCGACGACGATGACGACGAAGAAGAAGAAGAATACGATCCCGAAGGCCCGACGGATCTACGCTCGCCTTCTGCACAGTCCGTCACGATGCGCGAGTCCGCTGTCGACACGCCGCCCATTGCGCTCGACCAACAACCCATCGTTCATGCCACGGCTACGGCCCCGGCGCCCATGAAACCCCCGCGCACCAAGGGCGGCTTCGTCGACGAGAGTGAGGATGAGGAGGAGGATGAGGGACCGGTTGCTCAGTCAAAGGCGGGGGTGGCATTGTTGAATGCGCCCGGAGCCTCGTTGTCACCAAAGCCAGAGCGTTCTGCTACCTTGTCTCCAAGTAATGCACAAAACCAACCACACAATGTCTCGTCACTTAGTGTCCAGAATGAGGGTGTCCCCGGTGTTTTGCCTTCTGCGCTCACTGTTCCTGACTCTGCTGTTTCTCACTCTACTTCTGTCGTTTCTAATGAGGGCACACCAGCCCCAGATGCTACTAAACTAGCTACTCACTTGCATGCTGCCCCTTCGGCTCGACAATCTATAGCTCCAACTCCCGTATCGGCATCGCTGCCCAAACCCCGTCTCCCGCAAGACAGGGTCGGCATGTTCGAGGATCGCATCGCCGAGGATCCGCGCGGTGACATCGAAGCATGGCTGGGTCTTATTGACGAGCATCGCAAACGTCACAAGCACACAGAAGCCCGAGCTACCTACGACGAGTTCTTCAAGACGTTCCCCAACGCCGTACGTACAGTTTCCATACCTTATTGCACAGTTTTGCTGACTTGGACAGGGCGAGCAATGGGTGGAGTATGTTAACATGGAGACGGAACTTGATAATTTCACAGCAGTCGAGGCCATTTTCGGCCGTTCAATACAAGAGACCCCCTTCATTGCCCTCTGGTCTTCGTACATCAACTACATCCGTCGCCGCAACAACTTAACCACCGATCAGACGGGCGAAGCCCGTAAAATGATCATCCAGGTTTACGAGTTTGTGTTGGATCGGGTCGGCATCGATGTTGACGCAGGTAAGGTCTGGGTGGATTATATTGAAGTGCTCAAATCCGGACCCGGGATCCTCGGCGGAACCAACTGGCAGGACCAGCAAAAAATGGACACGCTTCGCAAGGCTTATCAGCGTGCCATTGCTGTCCCCACTAACGCCACTATGGAGATTTGGAAAGACTACGACCGCTTCGAGATGAACTTGAACAAAGCAACGGGCCGCAAGTATTTGCAGGAGAAGTCTGCCCTGTACATGACTGCTAGAAGCACAATCACTGTCCTGCAAAATACCTATCTCAAAAACATCAACCGAACTACCCTACCGAAGCTCCCACCAGCACCCGGCTTCGACGGTGCCGATGAATACGCGAAGCAGGTGCAGGCATGGAAGAGCTGGATACAGTATGAGAAGAGTGATCCCCTCGAAATCCGGGACGACGATACTGCTCTCTACCGGAAACGAATCTTGTACCTATACAAGAATGCGTTGATGGCTCTCCGATTCTGGCCCGAATTGTGGTACGAGGCTGCCGAGTGGTGTTATCAAAGCGATATGAAAGACGAGGGCGATAAGATGTTGAAAGAAGGCATCAAAGCGAATCCCGAAAGCTGCCTGCTTGCCTTCCGATGGGCGGCTCAAGTTGAGGCGAAGACAGACTTTGAAGATGGAGAGGCCGGTACCATCAGCAAAGGCAAAGCGGTTCGAGAGCCCTTCGATACGGTTTTGGGTGCATTGTATGATCTTACAAATAAGGCTAAAAAACGGGAAGAGCAAACTGTCGCTCGGGCCAAGGAGGTATTTGCTGCGCAGAAGGCTGCTGAGGATGCAGCGCGGGGAAATCAGAACAGCGGTTCGGACGACGACGAGGACGACGAGGAAGCCCGTGCAGCTGATAGACGACAGCAAGAGAAGCAGGGCGCTTTGGATGCCCAGCTCAAAGGCATCTCGAACGCTTCGAATGCCGAGATTCACATGCTCAAGCGGACATTGTCTTACGTTTGGATTGCTCTCATGCGAGCCATGCGACGAGTTCAGGGTAAAGGCGCGCCCGGAGCAGCTGTAGGCGGATTCCGTGGAGTGTTTGCGGAGGCCCGCAAGAAGGGCAAGTTGCTCAGTGACGCATATGTTGCCAGCGCTCTCATCGAGCATCACTGTTATCAAGATCCTGCGGCGACCAAGATCTTCGATCGCGGCATGAAACTCTTTCCGGACGACGAGAACTTTGCGTTGGAGTATATCAAGCATCTTGTTAAGCTCAACGATGCGACGAGTATGTTTCTCCGATTAAAATAACTTCTGATATGCAGTCTGATATTGTATAGATGCTCGCGCTGTGTTCGAGACGGTAGTCACGCGCCTCACCTCCAAACCGGAAAGCGTTCACCGCGCCAAGTCTCTTTTCATCTTCTTCCATGACTACGAATCGCAGTTCGGCGAGCTTGCTCAAATCACCAAACTCGAGCAGCGCATGGGCATTCTCTTCCCCGAAGACCCGCAACTCCAGCGATTCGCAACTCGTTTCTCGAATCCCACATTCGATCCAACCGTCATTCGCCCCATCATTTCTCCTCGCACTCAGATGCGCCCTGTCATGCCCAGCAATATCATGGCAACCATCGAAGAGCCATTCCCTCCCGCCCCACCGCAGATGCAACAGCCCCCTCCACAAGACCAACGCATCGCTTCTCCTGCCGTCCTCAATTCCCCGCGTATGGCACACCTTCTCCCCTCCACAAACTCGCCCAAACGTCCCCTTGACGACGCCGAGAGTGACCAACCCCGCAAATTCGTCCGCGGTGAGTCGCCTCTCAAAGGGGCCGCTGGTCGCCGTCTAGACGCTCGTCGTCAAATGGCAGGAAACACGCCCGTCGCCGCGCCCGCCGCATGGCCTCGTGAAATCAACTTCCTTCTCAGCATCATCCCCCACGCAAGCGCGTACAACGCCACGCGGTTCAGCGCTGAGCGCATGGTTGAGCTGCTTCAGAATATCACACTTCCCGTGCCACCGCAAGCTGGGGCCCCTGCCGGCGTTGCGTTCCCACCTGCTCCTGTCGCAGGACTCCCACAGGCCCCTCCGACGTCACATATCGGGGCGCAGTTGCAGAATATTCAAGCTAGGTATGGTGCTGGTGGTGGATGGCCGACTGCCTGAGGCCAGGCAAGGAATGACGCAGAACCCTCGGAGTGAAAGATTCCTTTCTCTTGATCTCCGCAAACAACTTTGTGGATTCATGTCTGGCGCAGAAGGGAGAAAGAATTCGAGAATAAGTTGTGGGATTTGTGGTCGTTGACAATGGCTCTAGGAAAGAGCGTGGAGAAAAGCAGATCCCTTTCTTTCTTTCTTTGATTTTGTTGCTCATCCTACGCTCTCGCCATGCGTGTGCGCGTGTGAGCTAGAAAACCTTTCCCTGAACGGGTCGGACAAGGAAGCCAACCCCTTTGAACACAAGTTTTGTGTATGTGTATCTTACTTGATCCCCCCTTCACACCCCCTTTGAACTGGACAGGAATGTGTGAGATGCCTTCCAGTCAGGCGTTAAAAATCTCCTTTCCCTAGCTTCTTCTCCTTTGCTTTTATTCTCTTGCGCTTCTTCCTCTAATGTCAGGAGGGGATACTGGGAAATAGGGCCAGGGCTTTCAAAGGTAACTAGGGCGTTGGAACAAGGTCTCGCTATGGGATACGGACTACCTGAATAAACTGATTAATGGAAGCTAGTCCAGACTGAAAGCCCCTTCTTTTTCCAATTTTTTTCCCCTGTAAAATAATTCTGAACCTGGGAGTGAATGTAAATTCTTGAAGTTTATCGTTTTGTCTAGGTATTGGCTTCGTATCCTTTCCCCCTTGTTCAGTGACTGACTTCTTTCTGACACATGTGGTGTGAGTGTATGTGAGTGTCTGTGTAGCCATATGGATATATGTCGATCGCAATAGAACAAGGGTAGACTAAAAAGAAGGAGAGAGCAAATACTGTCACATATGGGAAACGCGCATGCTCTATACCCTTCCCATCGATAGCACCCTTCTATACAAGAACAGATACAAGAACAAGATCAAACACCCTGCCACATGATTTCAACCTTCACCTCCTTCTCGCCTCCAGCATACACCTTCTCCTGCGTGGACCCGCTCGCAACTTTATCAGCACTCCACTGCGCATTCCCACCCGCTGCAAGCTTGCCCTCGACACCTGTGAAACTCGTCGCGGTCTTGACACTACCACCACACGTGAACACACCACTCACGACGCCACACTTCCCCTTGGACGAGCTGAGCTCAAACCCACCGCCAGAAGCCGCTGCCGTAAATGTCGCGCAGGTGCCGCTGGTATACCACGTGCCGGCGGAAATGATGCATCCTTTCTTCGCGCCGTCGACGTCGACATTCAGGAACCCCTTGCCCGCAAAAGGTGCTCCCGTAGGTACACTGCCGCCACTGGAAGTCGTGGTAGTAGAGGGAGGATCGCCGGGGGAAGCGCCCTTGGGGAGGTACCGGATCCCCGTTGCGGGGCACGAGGATTTGGTGCCGTCTGGATCCGCGGGGACAAATTCGCCGGTTTGGACTGAGCCACGGACGTCGTAGTGATACCAGATCTCGTTGAGGATTCCGGAGCGGCAGCCCAGGGTGACGGAGACGCCGGGGCGCTTTGCGGCGAGGGCAGCTTGGATTTGCGCGGTGGTGTAGGTCGCTGTTGTGGAGGGGGTTATGGATGCTTCAGCAAGCCACTGCAGTTATCCATGGTTAGTACTCTCAGGGGCGTGTGTGTCTGTGTGTGTGGAGGGTGGGGAAACAAAGAGAGGCGTACCTGGTATGATGGGAGAGACTTGAAGAGGTCTGCGGCTTTTTGAAAGTAGTCTACTACTTCTTCGGTGGGTTTGTGTTCGGAGTAGCAATCTGGCTCTAGTGTGGAGATGCAAGTACCGTGTTTTGCCCATTCGTGTTGCCAGAACGTTTCGTCGTCGCCATTGTAGTCTTTCCAGTAGGTGCTCATGTAGTCGAGCAGCTCCGTCTTTCCAAAATCCTTAATGATAGCTGATATGTTCTTGTATGCGCGAGAAGAGTCACAATTTGCATCGTAAGTTCCATCACAACGGTCTGGCCAAAGACCATGGAGTGTCCTTTTCGCGATGATCAGATCAGAAAAGCAGAGAGTTGAAGTCTTTGGTACATGGAGTATGTGCTCAGTCTTTTACGGGACCAAGGGCGTAACTCACCAGCTATCACTGGGCCCTGTAGGTGGATTGGTGTCCCAGAACTGGGTCTGCAGCATCTGTCCGCCCGGAGCGTTGAAACAGCAAAGATCCTCTACGATGGTGGTGTTGTGGCAGCTCAACTGGGGATTGGCGCATGTCGCCGGTGTACCTCCGAGGACCGTCTGCCCACCACCGAGCAGGACCTGTGCGCCCCCAAAGGCAAGCTTAGACAAGCTTCGAACGGAGGGCAAAGATGGCATTGTTTCGGAACCTAGCAAAGAAGACGATGTGGCCGGTAGAGAGGAGGCAGGAGGGGCGGCCGAGAAGACATGTTTTATACTCGATAGATCTATAATGGCCATGTTTGATCGGTAGTGTGTTGTATGTAATGGAGAATCGAGAATGGTACACTAGGCTAGGTAGCCGCCAGCTACACTCGAGTAAGAAGGTCTGTACAGGGTATTGCAGAACGATCGACAATTCCAAAGATTGCAGGTTGCTGCAGAGATGGCTTGCTATTCGCTATGGCTCGGCAAGGCTTCGAGTGTCGTAAAAAGGATGGGTAGCACAGCTGGATAGCCTCGGGAACGCCGACTGTATACAGCAGGTCGCAATGGATGATGTACGACAGATGCAAAGGCTGGGTGGCCAGTGGGCGAGCAGCACCGGGGTCGTTGCAAGGTGTATGCAGGTAATGCACGGCCTGCGGGATCCGGGTGAATGCAATGACCAGGAAATGGAACGATATGATGAGATGGAGCTTCAGACAAAGGGATGTAGGTGCCTATGTATGTTTGTAGTTGGTGCAAGAAAGATGATGAATGATACAGGAGAGCGAGCTAACACAGCCCCAGCCAGTCATGCCCGCGCCAGGCAGTTAGGCGTCGCAAGGTCACAAGGAAGCTCGCTGGCATCAGATATGAGACGTGATGGTGATCTGCGGCGTCGAGGGCCAGTCAGGTGGCTTGACATGCAAGGCACGTGGCGGACCCCTGCGACGGCAAGACTCAGCCGCTTTGGGATCGTGGAAAGCTTAATTCGCCACTTGCCGTGCGCTTCAGACAGCACTGTAGTTGTTTCATCCCCTTCAATCGTCTGAGCAGCAAATGTAGAGAAAAAGAAATATTGGGTATCGATTGGTAGCGAAAACTCATAAAAGAACTGCTGCTCGTTGATAACTTACACATTATCTCCAAAATTAACGCAGCGTGAGGCCCGCGGCATAAAACCTGAATCCAGGTACCATCATTGCAGTGTGCCGACACAGCCAGGCTACAGGCATGATACCATCCTCTTAATAGTATCGGTCCGGATCGTCATGCGTCGCTCGTCCAGCACCTCTATCCACATCATCGAGACTCTTGTACGATGAAGGTCCATTGTGTCCACCGCCCCGACCGCGGCCTCTTCCACCTCCACTACGATCACCTCGATGTCCACCACCCCGGCCTCCCCGGCCTCCATACATCGGGTTTCTGTTCCCGCCACGGCCGCGACTCTGGTTTCCGCCACGGTACGCTGCGTATGCTGATGTGCCGTTGGGACGTCTGTCGTCACGTCGAGCTTGTTGTGGTGGTCGCCCGTCCCCGCTATAGTCCTGATCACCATTGTCCTGGTGCGTCCGCTTCTGGTGCGTCTTATTTGGGAAGTAGCTCTCATACTCACTCTCGTGGGACTGCTCCTCCTCGATTCTCAGCTGCACTTTCTCGCCCACGACACTTTCAAAGACAAATCCATCCTCCTCCGCAACCGGATGCCAGTTGTAAATGCGTGCCGCATCTTTTGGTTGTCCACCCTTTCGAAGGGCCAGCACCACGGTAGGGGTCGGGTTCTCCGAGTAGTATTTGGTTGATTTAGGTACTGGCTCTACGCGTGCTGCCCAAAGTTTGTTCTCGAAGCATGCAGTTCCAGTGACCTTCCATACGACCTTGTGGCCGATACCGCCGACTTTGTCCAGTATGCTTCGTGGGCATGGCTTTGGTGTGATGAGAATGCTGTTAGCAAGGTATCGCACGTCGCCTTCGGGTGTGCCTGGGGGAAGCTTGACCAGGGTTGCCAATTTCTCAGATATGGGTTTAGAGATCATATACCCCGTATAGAAGACGGTCTTCTTGACCTGAAACGGCAATGCATTAGAAGGGGCCGTCCCGTTCTTGATTTGCATGTTATGAGCGTTGACCATACGCTGTATTTCCGCAATCTCGGACACGGGATCCAGCTGGGCTGCTTGTTCTGTGACCTGGACCACATCTGCGGTGATGGGTTTGCGCGAGGTGGGCAATGAGCCTGCCATTAGATCTTTGTTGAATTGAAACAAAAAGTCGCGGAAGCCCTTGGTATGCTTGACGCGGTCTTCGTATATACGTATCTCTTCGGCATCTTTGTAGGTGAATATGATATCCCTCAGCAGCTCCTGCTTAAAATCCATGGTAGACTTGAACCTCTGGCCCATCGGCCCAACGTTTGGCTTCAAGCATACCATGTTGAACTCCAGATTTCTGCTCTTCACCATCCGCTTGATCAGATCGGCAAACTCGGGCTCGGATCGGCCAGTCAGCAGGACATTCAGAGAGTCCTTTTGCTGCATCGACAGCTCAACCAAAGACACGATGGTCTCATTCCACCATCCCTTCCATGCGCGAGGCTCCTCCTTCTCCAAACCCTCGCCCGTGGCAGCCAGCAAGCTAGAATCGTGCCACCAGCCGCCATTGGCAAACATTTGGGGCGACTGGAGTTGACCGATGGTATAACCGTTCCAGATCTGCTTATTGGGTAAAGGGCTCCCGAACAGAGTGTTGTCGAAATCGTACACGTGTATCGCCTTGACGCTAGATACAGATGGTAAGTCTTGATCGTGGCAAGACCATCTCTTCAGCGCAGTGATGGTTGAGGGGGCGGCTTTTGCGGACGGGCCTGATGGCGCAGGTCTGGTCTGCGTCGTGAGCATAGTGGGCGGCGATCGAAGGAGCGGCGAGCAGATACGTCTAGTTGCAGCAAGTAGCATACAGAGGACTCCAATCCGCTTACATGGAGCCGGGGAGTTGGTGCGAGGGTCTGCGCAAAAGAAAAGAGATGGAGTGGATGTGGAAGGGTGGGACGATGACGAACAGTATCCGAGCTGTTGACGGCTCAAGATTTCTCACAGGGAAGGGTGCTCCTAAGGAGGGCCCCTGTCTTGTTTGGTTGAGACCCCTGTAATTTCTTAAGCGAATCCCGCGCATCGAACGTTTGTGTAAAATACATTCCTGAGTAAAGACGAAACTTACCGAGATATTGTTTTCCAAAGACAACTGCATTGGTCTTGGACACAGGAGTAGCAGCTTTTAAAATAGCAGAGATTCCGAGCTCCAAAAGGAGCAATGACATCCATTTGTGCGGTTGATTAATATGACCTCATACAAATCAACATCCAATCTATGTACGTACAGTCGCGAGAACTCTAATGAATCTTGCGTATCTAAATGTAATGCAATCACATGTGATTGAATTTGCGGATAGACCTTGATTTGCTGAGTCTGGCACCCCCATAATCCTGGATGACGGGTTATCCGCCTACTGCGTCATTCATAAAGAGGAAATCACCCTTCATTCCGACATCAGTAAGCTGTTCATCCACATACTCTACCTGATAGTCTAAAATCACAGTCGTCTTGTTCACGTTATCACCATATTGATACGCGATTTTAGTCACAATACTATCCATGATTCTCGCCTTCTTTCTCATCGCCAAACTGAATTGAGTGCTTCATAACATATGTGATTTCCGGAGCAGAGTTCTTCATCCAAGAGAAAGCAGTCCAGGGTTTACGAGATAAGAAATAGATACCGAGGTCGCAGTAAGTCATCGACAGCATACACACTTTGAACGGCGTTCAAGTTGGATTTGATGTTACAAAAATAAACATATTTAGTACCCAATAGGGCTAATTCGTTTTACTTTTTCTATGTTTCATCCATTTCTTGTACTTTGATGCATCTAGATGGCGGCAGAGCCCGATATTTGCTCCTCAGGTCATGGCTCCTAGATTTTTCATATACTGGTCACTGCTTCCAGCAGCACGCAAACTATAAAGAAGACTCTTTAAAAAATGTTCACTCACAGAACCTTCGCTTGCACGATCACGGCCTCCACTGTGCACTGGTTCGAAAACCTATCCTCAACGAACACCACCGCATCGCCGTAGACTGAATCTGTGAATGACTGAAGTGAGCAACAGCCAGCTCTGATGGTTGTGTCGCCACATAGTTAAGTGAGTGTCCGTTTTGAAATAAACTGGAAGTATTGGTGAAGTCACGAATTCCAGAATCCAGTGTTTTCTTTCTATTCTGGTGGGTACATTCTTTGAGAAGCACATGAGTCGGTTGAACAATAAGCCGTAGGCGTGACGTTCTGCCACCTCCCAAGCTTTTTGTTTTCAGGCTCAATTCCGCTTCCCAGAAGGCTCCAGAAATTGGAAATCATGATCGTTGCTTTGTAATAGTAGGCCATGTAAGAATAGAAGGGAGGATTGAGTATAGTTCAAAGCCTTCCCCGCAAATGTGGGGAATCTGTAAAATGGCTCTATGAGTTCATATCTCCAGGGGTGTTTGAAGTCGTCAGAGATTATACCGTTAATCCCATGGACAAGAAATGCCGCTCAACGGCGGAGCTTGGGACGTGAGCGATCATATTGATGCTTAGTGAACTGCAGACACGAATCGATATCGTGCTTTGTTCATATAGAGGGTATCTTCACACAGCAAGCATTCACTTGCAGGTAGTCATTCTCCTTGGAGTACACCGTCCTCGCCCTGCGCAAAGTCAATATCTGCATTCGCAGGATGATCCTACACTCAACAAGGTGAGCATACGTTTTGACTCCGGATTCTGGATTAATGCGCGTCCTTCATTCACACTCGTTTCCCGATTTGCTGGGGTCAGTTGGTGGAGGACGCATTTCTGTCTGGTCCTTCATGGCCAGATTATTGAAAAATGGGAGCAGTGTTGTGAAGCGAGGTATCACGGTCCAATGATGAGTGCAACCGCGAGCAAGACAAGTTGGAACTCGGAGTCTTTTATTTAGGATGACTCCGCTTGTGGCTTCGAATAGCTGGTAAATCGGGAAACACGGTACGGTATGATTTCAAAGCAACATTTGAAGGATGCAAGGGACACTTGTACTGTCCAATGAGCAGTATCCGAGCCTTACAGCCCCATTCATGTCCCCCTTGCAAGCTCAACCTGCATCGAGACATCATGAATATTCAATTAATGACGTCGTAACATTTGATCTTGCAAAGTATACAGAGAAGTATAAGATCGAGAAACAGACAGCTTTTATCAACCTCCTCATTGCAAACGCAGGGATACTGTGCAATCCTACCGGCTTGATCCCGCGCCCAGAAGGTACAACGGTGGAGCAAGTGGCTCTTGACCTGTGGGAGAAGACGACATGGGAGGACGCTGACAACTGCCTTGCGACCAACATTGCGGGATCATACTTCACTTTTATTGCGTTCCTGAAGTTGCTGGGCGCGGGCAACGAGCACCAGGATAGCAAATGGAAAGGACTCGTCCAGAGCCAGTTCATCACAAACAGTAGCTCCAGCGCCCTGTGGCGCGGAGAAGAACCGGCGTACATGTACAATGCGAGCAAAGCTGCGCTCATCAATCTGACGAAGAACATCGCAACGGCCTTTGCCAAGTACGGCATTCGGGCCAACTCTGTCGCGCCTGGGCTGTTCCTGACCGAGATCAACGAGAACGATTTCCCACGGGATCCAGATCCCAAGCTTCCAGGCAGTTACCCGGCGTCATGGCTACCTGCAACTCGAGCTGGGGCTGATGAGGTGCGTGTGCATGCATCCTTTCCGAACATGACACTGCGGACAGCTAACCCTTTGTAGGATATCGCTGGAGTTTTGCTTTTCCTAGCATCTCGCGCCGGCGCCTACATCAATGGATGCATACTGCTCACGGATGGCGGGATGGTCTCTACTAAGCCAGGCTCCTACTAGGCACAGACGTTTGGAAGCATACACGTGCAAATCGGAGGTGGTGATGCTGGAGTGATGTGTTTCTAAAACTAGGTGTTGGCCAACGCTCTTACTAGAAAGCTCATGACAAATCAAAGTAATATACCTCATATGGCCGAAAAGTACAATACAATACAATCTACGTCAGCTTTCGGTTATTACTGGTAGACAAGGAAGCTGCGACTGGTGATCTGTGCCTCCTCTTAGCTCTTCGGGTCGACATCAAATACATATACCATGTCCTCCTCTACATGCTCCGTTCTATCCACTCCTCCACATCCGGCGCATGGATGGTGATACGGTGCGCAGAGAATTGCACGAGTCTGATGATACCTGCGTGGTTTGCTTGTCTCAGATCACCGATAGAGCCATCACCGTCCCGTGTAATCACTATGCGTTCGACTTCACCTGCCTGGTGAGTTGGCTGCAGCAACGCTCGGCATGTCCACTTTGTAAGCCATCACGCTCTATGCCACTATCTTGTTCCATCAACTGCTGACAGGGTGTAGGCAATTCTAATATTAGCGCCGTTCAGTACGAATGGGCGTCTCCTACCGACTACAAAACCTACTCCGTCCGCCGCACTCCTCAGTCACAGCGTGGCGCACACTCGTCCAACCCAGCAACCGCTTTGACCCCTAGGCGGCAACGGAGACCATACGAGCAACCAATTCCAGACACTGCGGTCCTTCGGCGTCGTCATGTCTATCGCCATAAATTGTATTCCTATCACATTGGCGCCAACCTGCATTCGGGCTATCGCGATGTCACCCCTTCCATGATCGCCACATCCCCAGAGCTGCAATCCAAGGCGCGCACATGGGTTCGAAGAGAGTTGCGCGTCTTCAGTTTCCTATTCGCAGACATCCACGGAGCTCCGCCTCAGGGTGCCACAACAAACAGCAATGCCGAGTTTTTACTTTCATATATTGTCGCCATCACAACGAGGGTAGATCTGAAAGACAGCAGTGGTCATGCAGAGGATTTACTACAGGAGTATGTTGGACGTGCGAATGCCAGGTTGTTCTTACATGAGCTGAACGAATGGATGCGCAGTCCATTTATCAAAGTTCAAGAGTGGGATCGCAACACGTATTATAAGGAACTATTGCCAGAGCGTTTCGATGATGAAGGGTTTGCGGTTTCATGAACTCGGAATATGTCTCACACATTTGTGGGCGATTGCGTTCCAGTCCGGATTTCGCGCCTACACTTGCGTAGGATTTTCGCAGCATACTGTCCAATTTGACGAGTTTGAACATTTCGCCGTCAATGCACGACAAATTTTCCTCGAAACAACGACGTAACAGTGCCTGATACGCCACCAAGACGGTTCTTCGGTATTCGAATTCGTGTCGACACGTGGGAAAGCCTCGTTACCAGCGCACCGTCATCAGCTGTCGGCGAAACTGATATGTTCATGTTTTCTTTTGCATGCAGGTACGAGCTTACGGCATGGAGACACTCCGCTCTTTCCAGAGAAGATAGATAGGTCACGGCGGTCAAAAGAATTGCGAGGGCGGTGGTCTAGACTCCAGCGGTCAAGATGCTGACGGCCAAGCTCCGCCAAGCTCGAGGCTGAAGTCTTATACGGGAGCCACCATCCCATGCCCTGTTTCTTGATTGGAATTTCAGTGTGTCAATATACAACTGCAGGGCTCGCGGTTGGTTATGGGGATAGATGCCGTACTTTGGAAAGTGATGAGTGCGTGGTGGAGGTTGCAACGCGTGGGGTGCGTGTGCGTGAGATTGGCCTGCGTGGTGAAGCAGATAGCACCCAGGCATGGCGAACCCGAGATTGGATGTACTGAGATATGGTTGTTGTATTTTCCCTCCCCTTCTCTTGACCTCGATGCGACAGGTAAGTCAGGTCGATTCCAAAAGATGGGATTGCCCATTTTGACATGTCGGTTTTGTGTATCCGGCCCCTTCACACGGCCCTTGGTTGATGATTTGTTCAAACACTCAAAGAGGCATTCCAGAACAGTAAGTCAAACGTACAGTTGCGGGAGAGTGATTCGCGACTGAAAATATTCTACACTTGTGGAGGATTCTTCATTGTACGAAAGATGAGATTTAACATGGCGGCGGGTCCGGACTGAGCCACAACAGCCATGATTTGTACAAGACCCGTGTAGCTGGATTGCTTTTTTCGTTCTCCGCTTCCACCCCCGTCGCCGCTTATGCATGACATCCTTGCCGGTGTTGCGCGGGTGTGACCGCGTTGGATGCTGGTTATACCGTAGGATTGGCTGGATTGGGAGATGGAAGGCGTTGAGGAATGAGTAGCATAGGGGAACACAGATCAAAGGAGGGTTTGGTGTCTGAGAGGAACAGGTGTTGTTGAAGACATTGAATGGAAAAGAGGACGGACTAGGCTCGAGCTGTACAATATAATATGTACACAGGTGGGTGAATATAGTGTCTCTGGTTCTGTACACGTACCCATGATGCATCTACCATGTACCTACATCTTGCCGTGGTTGTATGTACGCCCGTCGTCGACTCTGTCAATTGGTATTATCCACGCGCCCAGCCCGGAGCACCGGCAGCGCAAACCTTGAGGCCTGGTCATCATCATCCTTCAGCCCTGGCTCCGTCTTCACCCAATCCGATTGCGACCCCGCCAACTCCAGAGCCTCTGCTGCTCTGTCAGCCGCACTTCTTACTGTGCTGCCCGTACTGTACTTAGTCTACTGCAGTGTGCATACTTCCTACACACTATACCGCCACACTTGCCCGCTCCCTCTTCTCACCCTCCCACACCTCCAACGCCCTTCAGCAAGCTCTCCCACCGCGGCTTATATCATAACCTCACTTCCATCTGCTCGTCAGAGCGCTGATCCTGACCTCGGCTCACCCCCTCGCCTTCTGATCGACACTTGGACACGCACGCACACTATCCAGTACACGACGCTACACGCCGCCACGCGACGACACACGAAACCGCCGGCATCATGTCCTACTATCCGGGCCAAGGTTACCACGGTGGTGGTGGCCAGCAGCAGCAGCAGCAAGGCTACGGTGGGCCTCCGCCTCAGGGCTACCCGCCCCAAGGATATCCTCCGCAAGGCTATCCACCGCAACAGAACTATGGGCCTCCGTGAGCTGTGTCCCTGCTACCATTCATGTCCATGATTGACTGACATTCAGTCTGTAGTCCGCCACAGCAAGGATATGGGTATCAACCTTCGCCTTCTCCCCAACCTCCTTACGGCGGCGGCGGCTACCAACAAACCCCTCCCCCACAGCAATACGGTTATGGTCAGGTATGCCAGACCCCCGGGCAATACTGCGCAGAAATGGATTGGGAAACTAACCGCATAAACAGGGCCCGCCACCGCAACAGTACGGCGGCGGTTACGGAGCACCACCACCGCAAAACCACGGTCCTCCGCGACAACAATCGTATGGTGGTCCACCAGGTACGCCTTGAACGTGCCTTCACGCGCTGGATCAAGCTGACAATCCCAGGTCAGAACCACCACGCCCAAGGAGGAGCACCACCCCCTCCTCCTACGCAACCCCAAGGATTTGGTCACGGAGCCCCGCAGGGTTACAATTTCCAATACTCGGCATGTAATGGACGCCGGAAGGCTCTGCTAATTGGCATCAACTACTTTGGTCAGCGCGGCCAGCTTCGCGGCTGCATCAACGACGTCAAGAACATGAGCGGATACTTGAATCAACACTTTGGATACAAGCGCGAGGATATGGTGACTCTGACCGATGATCAGCAGAACCCAATGAGCCAACCCACCAAGGCAAATATTTTGAGAGCGATGCATTGGTTGGTCAAAGATGCCAGGCCGAATGACTCGCTCTTCTTCCACTATTCAGGTACGAAAATGTAACGCGACATGCTTTGTGATTGGGACTTAACTTTTGTGGCAGGTCACGGCGGCCAGACTGAAGATTTGGATGGCGACGAGGACGACGGATACGACGAGGTCATCTATCCGGTGGATTTCCGAACAAACGGGCACATTGTGGATGACGAAATGCATCTCATCATGGTACAATCGCTACAGCCTGGCGTACGATTGACCGCCATTTTTGACTCGTGCCACTCTGGATCTGCGCTCGATCTACCATACGTCTACTCTACGCAAGGTGTGCTCAAGGAGCCCAATCTGGCAAAGGAGGCAGGTCAAGGTTTGCTGGGCATCGTGTCGAGCTATGCGCGCCAGGATATTGGAGGTATGCTGTCGAGTGCGACCGGACTGTTCAAAAAGGTCACGCAAGGCGACTCTGTCTACAAGAAGAACTTGCAGACGAAGACGAGCCCCGCAGATGTCATCATGTGGAGTGGTTCCAAGGATACGCAAACCTCGTAAGTCCTCATTCTCAGGGAGCAAGGACTCACCGCTAACGCCATTTTTCAGAGCGGATGCCAGCATTGCAGGCCAAGCCACGGGTGCTATGTCCTACGCCTTTATCACGTCCTTGAAAAAGAACCCCAACCAAAGCTACGTACAATTGCTCAACAGCATTCGCGACGAGCTGGAGGGCAAATATGATCAGAAACCGCAATTGAGCTGCAGTCATCCCCTGAGTATGTATCTTCCCCACACCATCAGCGATACGATTTACTCATGCAATTCACAGACGTGGACCTCCTTTACGTGATGTAAAATGAGGCAATGGATATTCTGGTAGGCACGAATGGCTGTGCCCCTGCTGTCTCACTTCCCCAGGAGATATACCAGGACAAAAACGGAATGTTTGGGAGGGGGGAGGCCGGGTTGGGAATCTGTGTAGTTAAGCAGGGCAGGATAGGCTGCAAGGATAGATGTGGACAACAACACAGGTCATCCGGGAAGAACAGAAAGGGGAGACTCGCTTGGATGCGATGCTCGAAGCCCTTCCTACTCTTTACTCTTGTACATAAGCGCAGATCTTGGCGTATGGACGCTCAAAGTCATATGGGCGGCGTTGTTTCGGAAATCCGGGATCATTATTCCTATAATGTTGTTGAGTTTTTGGCTTGCAAACGACGAATTCTAAAGAAGGGGAGGCCGAATGACGCAACATATTACCATTGTTTTCCCTTCTTCTATTCAAACAACTGTGGTATGTCTTTGATTGTGGCTGGTTGTTACGGTGCTGTTCGCAGGCCAAGCTCTGTTTTGTCTCGGCAGTCGATCACTTCTCTTCAAACTTTGTTCGCTTTTGCGATCTCTCTCCACCCTGCTGTAAGATTACAGCATCTTTCCGACAACGAAGCCGAGTCTTTATTGACCGACATAGAGCGCTCGACGTTGATTGCATATATAGGTATTGCTGGATTCCACCGGGTGCGCGACTCGGCTGGCGGAAAGAGGGTCTGTAACATCACCAGTTGACATTCGGAAGCACGCGGAAACGTTCGCCGGAAGGAAAACACGGATAGCGACGACGACGACGACGACGACTACTACCTCCGATTCTGCTCCCATTCACGAGACCTCTGATTGACTTTCTGGGGCGTAGCAGTCTCATCTCGGAAGTGATTAGCAAGATTGAAAGAGCGGCAATTTCTACGGAGGACGAAAAAGCAAGAATGGTGATGATGATATAGTAGAAGGCAACAACACGGATAGACACGGTGTGGTATATCACATTTCATCACACACGCCGGACAAGTACCGTCGACGGGTATCACGACCGCATCGTCGCACCCTTGCGCCCCCCAACCAACCACCGTCCAGCACCACGCGCAGCCGTCATGTTGTCGGTGCTCGAAGCACGCGGCCTCGTTCCCTTCACGCCCAGCGACATCAACAAGACCCAGACGATTATCAATGGCGTGACTTTCAGCCTCGACGCGCTCCGCGAATTCAAATATGAGCTTTACAGCAACCACACCATCTCCAACGAGTCCAACTGCTACTTGGCTTTCGACCGCTTCAAACCATGGATGATGGATAATGGGACGTGGGTCGGTGAGACCAATTGCTACATACCGTACTACGGTATCGGGACAAGGGGGAAGGCGAGCATCGCGTTTGGTGTGGCATTTGGTCTTACCATCATGTTCACCCTCGTCAATCTAAACAAACACGGGCGGTTATATATTCGCGAGGACAAGCGGTTCCGCGCGGTGGGGCGGCGATGGCAGTGGTACTGGATGTTATTCACAGCAGCATGTGGCATGATCAGCACGCTGACCGGTGTGGACATTGATCGATTCTACGTCCAGCAGCTACCCATTATCCTGCAGTGCTTCTTCTTCATGCTCATGATACCAGGCGTGCTGGCCATGGTGTGGGAAGCAGTGCGGCACTGGGGGTCCTGGCAAGAACGCCAAATTGTCGATGCCGACCCCTATGGCATGCCACAGGATGATCGCCGCTCCAAATTCGAGTTTTGGATCCCCCTCGTGTTCTACCTCTTCGCATGGATCGAATTCTTCATGACCATCCCGCGCTCCTGGACGGCGATTCAGAAGCAAGACAGCCCCGAGCAAACCGAACTCATCGCCCGCCCCGCCGCGACGAACACAAGAGGCAAAGCGGGCGCCGTCATGGCAGCGCTCGCATGGCTCGTCATCTGCGTATCCCTCTACCATTCCATGCACCACTACAAATCCACTCCGCCAGGGATATTCGGCAAGATTGCGTCCACCGCCCGCAACTGCCCCTGGCACCTCCTTGCCGTCATCCTCATCCTCGCGGTGCGCGTCGCCTACGGGCTCGCGGCGGCGTGGATCTGGGATCTCAGCGTGTTCCAAAAAGACGTGCACATTGGGTGGCCGTTTGGGCTCGGATACGGCAGCATTCTGCTCGTCATTGTTGTGTTCGAGATTGCGGGCTTCCTGCAGGAAAACGAGGACAAGCAGCTCATTGCGCAGCGCATCGCGCGCGGCCGCGTGCAGGACGCAGAGCTCAATCTCGTGCGGAAGCCGAATTGGTGGAATCGGCACATGGCGAATCGCTTTGCGAGCGAGGAGCAGCGCTTACGCGAGATGACGCGCGAAGTTGGCGGAGGAGGTGGAGGTGGAGGTGGAGGTGAGGAAGGGGGGAGAGGGTCGATGCGTGCCACCAGCGGAGCAGATGTGGAGATGAATGATTTGAACATGAAGATCAGGAACAGGAGTACGAGCCGGCCTCCCAACGACCCCTTTCGCGATGAGAGCCCGCCGAGGGGACGCGGAGGGACGGGTAGAGTGGAGAGTGAGACGGCGAGCGTAAGGACAGAGCGAACAGATCTGACGGGGCAGACGCTGGGTGGTGGTGGAAGTCATGCGGGTGCCGAGTCTCGCGCCGGTGTGCCGCAGCAGAGAATCAGGAGTATGCTAGACGTGTGAGTCGAGAGGTGTATCGAGATATGTATGGCATGATTGAAGGCCACAGGTAGCCTTTGTGCAAGACGAATGGTACATGTAATGATGAGTTGAATGACGATGTCAAGGTGTTGCCTCTCCGGCACCCTTAGTTTTTTTTCCCTCGAATTTTTCTTTTCTTGTCTTTTGCGCCGACGACAGTGTATACTCGTACCGTCATCCAACCATACCCACACACAGATACATACTAGATTAGATGTTAGACATGGATAAGTTGCTGTGTAGGCGGAGACGAAGCAACGATACGAGTACGATGTATGACATAATCCGGCCATATAGTACCTATATTCCTCCAGACGTCTGGCGATGATGTCACGATAGCAACAGACCAACAACACGCCCCCTCTGATGCGCAATCAAATCAAACACCGACTTGTTCGCATCGGAGATGGGCCATGTCTGCTTCATCGGTGGAAAGACGCGCCAATCACGATCGACAAGCACGATCAAGTCAACATGGAGGGGTAGCTCTCCACGTCTTCTTGGGCGGTGGTGCGTGGGTCTTGCCTTGCCCTGTCGTGTTCCCTTTTCCCCCCCGCTCGACGCAACTCAACTCTCGACTCTACTCCGCTCGACTCTGCGCCTCACCTCAAGCGCTGCGACACAACCACACCCGGACTCTCCACCCCTTCGACCCTCCCCGATCCATTGTTGCCTTCCTGTGAATACCTACACGCTTGGATAGGAGCGAGGTCCCACTCACCGCCGTCTCTCCGCCCCGCTCCTCCCGCCCTCCTTCGTTGGATTGCACTGCGGAGCTTTGGCTCGTCGGAACCCAACCATCACCACAACCACAACCACCACTGCCGCCGCCATCCATTTCCCACGCCATGGCCGATCGAGACCTCACCCCGGCTTCGAAGATCCCGCCCCAAGCCGTGCCCAACGCGCAGCCATCCCCGTCACCACGCTCCCCGCCCGCACCGCTCAACATGTCGGGCAGCTCGCACTCGAGCAACCACCGCTCCAGCTTCGCCGAGAACATGCGCGGCATGCCCGTCTCCCCGCGTGCTTCCAGACAGCCCTCTCTCTCCCAGCAGGCCCTCCAGGACCTGCTCAACAACCCACCCACGCTCAAGGCCGCCGAGCCCAAGTTTGCGGGAAGGGATTGGCGCACGCTCAAAGTTGGAGAGATTGTCAGAGAGGACCAAAATGGCGGGCATGTGCGCTTTGTGCAGTATGATACCAGTGTGGAGGAGGCTACCAATGTGAGTGCTGCTGCTGCTGCTGCCTTTGCGGCATCCTTCGAGGAAAAGCATGGATAATGTCGACATGTCTGGGGAAACATGAACACTGGTGCTGATTACTACCCAACAGCTCCTTGTTCAATCTGGTTCACCAAACGTCGTGCTACTCCGCGAGGACGAAAACTCGAGCACCGCCACGGGAACGTTTGACTACTCGGATCTGAACGCATATCTTCTCCTCGTCGTTGGGCTTGCCCACCCTGATGAAGCAGATGTGGCTTCCTTTGACGAGCTGGCCAAAAAAGGCCGCGAAGGCAAGCCGATTCCCCTCAAAGATGTCAAGGATCTGGGCAAAAAGGAGCCACTCATCACACTCCCTGCGTCTGCGGATCTGACAAAGGTCATGGAGGTATTTGGCAGCGGAGTGCACAGGGTGTTGGTTGCTGAAGAGGGGACCACTGATGTTATAGGCGTGCTCACCCAATTGAGACTCGTAAGGTTCTTTTGGGAAAACAGGCAGAGTTTCCCTGCTGTGGATCAGCTGTATCCCCAGCTGATCAAGGATCTGAACCTAGGGAGCCACGCAGTGTTGGCTATCAAGTAAGTCTTCCCTCGCAAGTTCAAACAAAGCTTGCGTAGAAATTCTGACAAGGAATGACTGTAGTGGAGACAAGCCCCTGGCTACTGCTCTTGAACTCATGCACAATGAGGGAGTAACATCTCTTCCCGTTTTGGATGCTCAGAACAACGTCATTGGCAACATATCTCATGTAGATGTCCGAGTGCGTCCTACCCACAACTCCGAACCTAACCACAATCATAATTGACGTCTCCAACAGCTCCTCACCAAATCCACGTCTCTCCCCCTCCTTCGCTCCTCATGCATCCATTTCATTTCCGTCATCCTCTCTGAACGCGGCGTAAACGACGGTCAAGACTCGTTCCCCGTTTTCCACATCACACCATTCTCGACCCTCGCCCACACTGTGGCCAAGTTGGTCGCAACGCGCTCGCACCGAATGTGGGTCGTCGACTCGGCATCATCCCCCGCGTCCTCGGGTCCTCCCACCCCAGCCGCCACTCCTGCAGTCTTCATGCCACAGTCCCCTTCCGCTCCCACTTCCACTTCCACTACTACCACCACCTCTTCCTCTACCTCATCCCTCCCCATTCCCGTGACCCCTTCCGTCCCCCCCGTGGCTATCAACTCGCCCACACCTACCCACCTCAACTCAAGCGCCGTCGCCCCCGCCATCTCCGCATCTGCCATTCCTGTGCAGGGCGGTAGCATGTCCGGCCGTCTCTCCGGCGTCATCAGCCTCACGGATATCCTGAATCTGTTTGCGCGCGCGAGTGGGTTGCACCCGCATGATCCCGATGAGGCACGTCGTGCGAGGAGGAGGAGCAGCAGTTCCAGCATGCGGAGGAGCATGGACAGTTCGCGCAGCGAGAGTATGGGCAGAAGTGGGGTTGCGCTTTTGGGTGGCGGCGGCGGTAGGAGGAGCAGTGTGAGTGAGAGGGAAAGGGAGAGGAACCCATCGGTTGGCGGTGCGGCGCCGACGGGGCTGGGAATCACGAGAGAGAGGGGACGAGAGTAATATTCCTTTCTTGGTCTCACTTTTGGATGCATAGAATTCATTGGCTTCTTGGGGGGGAAGCTTGATGAGGGTTGTTGTCGTGTTGATTTCTGGGTTTGAGCGTGTTTCCTTTTTTCTCTTCCTTGTCCATTTGTAAAGTGTACCCCCCTCCCGCCCCCCAAAAAAAAACCTCATAAGACGTATGCGCAAGCGATTCGGTCTTTTGTATTCCTTCCTTCCTACTTAGCCCGCATAAAGGAATCTATATTTGTGGATGCGATGCAACGTTTCACGGGGACTGAGAAACAAAGGGTGGAAGCAGTGGAACGAAATAAGACGTGCTATAAAACCAGCTTGCTCTTTCGTATTGGATCTTGCTATTCTTCAGGCAGAGGCGGACTATTCTTTTGATCTTCAACTTCTTGTGCGCAAAGGAGCGGGAAGAGTAGGAGATGCAGGGAGCGTATATCCACCGATGTTTTCCCTCCACTACTTGTTTCCATGGTTTCCCTTCTTCATCAGGGTCGGAACAGAGCCCTCCAGATCTAAAATTGACGTTTGGGCTTTGCCGAGTGAGATGAACAACATTGAAAAGCCTGAGCAAGCAAGAACGTATACCATAAGAGAAGACAAAGATGCACATGCCTGTCAGCAATATCTTGTCCCACCGTCGCCTAACCAGAAAAAAAGGTAAAGAGGAAGAACAAAAAGAGATAAGGGTAAGAAGAAAAGTCCGCATTATCGTCATATCAAATCAAATGCTGGAACGCTGGAAAACCGAAAGGACAAGACGACATGGTTGATGGAAAAAAGCCATGCATGAATGAAAAGAAACGGGCGCATCGTCGACGTGTGAAGTGTGATAGGAAGCACGTAATGGTCCAACGAGATGTAGTGGGGGGTATAATCGATGCAAAAATGCTACGGCCTCCTCCAACTCCCACGCAACCTAGATCGAGATGAATGCAGATTTTTCAATCGCCGCATCGTGCGCGGAAGGGGTGTGAGACCTGTAAAGGGACAAAATAGAAAATATAAAAAAATCGTCAGTGTATGCGAAGAAGATCGGGGGGAAGATTTAGGCCAGGATGGGCTTGGAAGCTGTCAGGCCACTCGCACCATCGTCATCTCTAGTCAAGGATGAATGCCCAGCACTATCGTCCACAATGGTATGCTCTTCCTCCAGCATTTCACGCTCGGCATAGATCTTATCTTTGTGCGTTTGCGCTGCGGCAAGGGAGTCGATGTAGGTCCGGAACTTTACTATCTCGCGTAATAAATAAGAGGACTTGCGTTCCCAGTTGGCCATGGCTTTGGCTGCGTTTGGGTGGCGCGGTGAGAACTAATCGAGTCAGTGCGTGATACTAAGTGAAGAAGACAGAAGTTGAATTGACATACAGCAATGAGCATGGGAGCTCGGAGTTCGTTGTGAAGGGATAGCTCCTCTTCCACATTCTTAACGTAGTCGGTAAGGGCTCGAAGTTGATCGACTTCCATCAGGTTACTCGCCATCATACTCTGTACAGGCGGACTCCAGTCGGAAAGATTGACCTTGTCGCCGGGTAGACGAGCTCGAACCGTGCCAGGTCCATGGTCCATCGAACTACGCAGTGAGCTAGCCATACTAGGTCGAGGTACATGACCTTGGGCATACGTGGAGGATTTGCTCTCGGGGCGGATCAGAGCAGTGTTGATGACACCGTCTCCCCAACCGTGCTCAAGATTGCTGACGCCGCCCATCAGAGGTTCTTTTGACAGTCTTGCCGACCAATAGTTCGCGGTGGACACAAACTCGCGTACAATGTCAGGCGTGCCGACCTGGAAAAGGTGAACGGCCCCCGTTGGGAGAGAAAGTGCAAAAACATGGGGCCGAGTTTTGGAGTAGCCGGGCGGCGGCAGCGCACTGGCAATTGTCTGTCGCAGTTGGAAGCTGTCCAAGGCTTCGGCGTTATCCATCCAGTTGCCGCCACCCACGACGCCACCTGTGCGGGATTTGTTCTTGTGGCGCATAGATTTCGAGTTCGCGCTGAAGGAAAACAAACGGAAATATCCCTTTTCGATGACAGCAAAACATTCGTTCCATGTTCTATCCTTGGCTTTCTTGTCCAGGGCTTCTAGGTGGTGTTTGTGCTTCAGGATGCCTTCCTTGGCCCAGGGTGCGCCAACGAGCTCGAGTGTCTCATCCTCCAAGAGTGGTGCGACGCGCGAAAACTCCTCGTCACTAGCAATTGTCATGCCTTCTTCACGGATGATGGCCTGACTCAAGGCGTTGGCAAATCCAATTGCCTGCTGGTAGTCGCCCTTGGCGAAATGGGATCCAAGCGATTCCATGGACATGGACGTTCCTGTTTTTCCGTACGAATACCTGCTCCAAGTGCTGGATCCAGTGGGACTCCAGACAGACTGGTCATCCAGGCTTGTGCGGCTCGAGGCGACAGTCGAGGAAGGATACAATCGCGGGCGAGATCGAGTTTTTGAGTTCCAGCTCTTGCCTGCACTGCGAAAGTCGTTTTGAGATCGGCCACGGTGATTGGTGCTCTCGGAGCCGGCCTTGCTCAGCACACTGGGAGTGCGTCGAAGCATGCCGCTGACGGAAAGGCTGTTGGACGAGGGCTGTTCGTGCACCTGCAGGACTGGAGCACCGTGCAGGGGCAGACGCTTCTTCCGAATGGAATCATAGAACTCTCTCAACACGGTCTCTAGCAAAGACTCCCAACCCTTCATAGAACCATGATATGGGGCGTGGATTAAAAGATTGGCTTCGGAAAGCGCCGATTCTCCTAAGATACCTTCAGAGCCACTGCGAAACGGGGGTCGGAGAGAAAGACGGCTGCGGGCCCTTCGGTTTTCGAACGGCTCCTCGGTGACTTCGGTGGGGAACGTCGTCTCCTCAGCATCGGGAGAGCCAGGTTCCGACTTTTCGGCCCAGGGGATAGAACCCCTCTTGAACTGGGTGGACTGGGGACGAAGAGTCTCTTCAGCGGCTGCATCCCGGACTGCATCGTTGCACACACGAACAACTGTGGGGAGGGTGTTCTTGACGAACTGGCTACGGGTCATGCGTGAGTCTATGTCTGCCACGTGAAGATCAGTGTTTAGCAGAAGAACAGAGTAGCAGATGGTGTGCACAACGTCGACAGCCTTGAAACCATGGCTGGGGTTGCATTCGCACCATCGCTCGGACAGACTCATAAGAATACGGTCGACCTGCTGCGTCTCTGCTTTGAGCACAATTTTGCCGCAAAGATCCCTCATGGCATCGAGTATGTTCAAGGCGGACCAATCGAACAGCTGCATGAATGCTTTGCGGAGCTGGTTGCTGGACGGAGTAACGTCGCCCAACACGGTGGCTGCCTGGGCCTTGGGGATCGAGGGGTCATTGCCGTTGAAGATGCTCAGGGCGCGGGCTCGGTCTGCATCGGAGGGTTGATCGTGGGGAGCTCGGAGTTCGGTGATCGAAGGCATGTGGTCGTCAGTCTCGCGGCCGTCCACCTGGAGCGTAGGCAGGCTGGTAGCCGAGTGGAAGATGTCGCTGGCACCTTCAGACTGGACAGAAGGGGTCGTGACCAAGGCGGTGGGTGAGCCCCGCTCCGACGACGGTTGCTGATGAAGGCCCGGCGGGCGGGCACCTTCCACGGACAGCGTCAGGTCTTCGGGAGCACTGTGAGCCAGGTTTTCTTCCGAGGATGTGGGTTCCAGCCACACACGTTTGGAGCGGCTGCTCGTTGACGGCTGGTTGAACACCTTGTCGTTTTTCGGGGAAGCGTCCAAGACCCAATGATCTTCTTCGATCTCGGAGGCGGACTGGGACGGCGATGGGGATGGCGCTGCTCTGGCGTCGCTGGGCTGCGGGCTAAGGAGATCGGCGCGCAGCTCGCCCCTTTCCCGGTCCTGATGGCTTCTGCTTCTGCTTCTGCTCTTGCTTCTGTCGCCTCTCGCATGGCGCGGCACCGATGGTGGTGACGCTGGACTCTCGTTTCGCCCTGTTTCACCAGAGCCGTCAAACGCCGTGTCACCAGATGGCGTGACACGACCACTGCGGTCCTCATTACAGCTGCTGCTGTCCGCCAAAAATGTGTCTTCTTGTGCAACCGATACATGACCCCGCTTCATCTTGAGTTTGAATTTGGGGTTGTCAGCACTGGCCTCCGGCGCCTTGACTTGGTTGCTTCTCGAAGAAGGTGGGGTTCCATCGTGGTGATGTGAGCTCTGGGTCACTGAGCGAACCGTCGCATCCTTGTGCGGCTTGTACCCGGGGGAAAAGCCGCCTGAACGTTCCCCTCCGTTGGTCATTCCAGCCGAAGGGCGTCGCTCGCGAGTCTCGTACTGTCTTTGTGAATTCGCATCCGCGCCGTTTAGATATGGGTTCATAACGGTTCGCAGACTACTGACGCCAGGGCTGTCCTGTGCAAAGTACGATGGAAGCATTTCGGGCTTGTTTTGAGTCTGGAAATCGAGGGGCATGACGGGCACTTTGGGGGGTTCGGTGACGGACTTCTTCCGCCGTCGGAAGAATGAAGAAGACTTCTTTGCAAGCGTCGGGGGCTGCTGCTGCTGCAAATCCTGCATGGAAATTGCCGACTGAGGGCTTTTTGCAGTTTGCGGTTTCAGCTGGGAAGCAATGTGGTGGGAGCCGCTGTTGGGCGTGGTGCGCGGCCGTGCTTGTGAATATAGGGGATCGATCTCGGCTGGACGATGGGGCGACGGAACTGGAGAGGCTTCGACACGAGAGCGAGAGCTGGATGAGGTCATAGAGGAGCCGGATGGTTGAGAGGACGATTTAGGTAGACCGCCACCAAAGACGCGACGAAAAAAGCCAGGCTGCTTTTCCTTTTGTGGGGGAGCGGGAGGTGGCGCGTTGGCTTGCTTGCGGGTGGCCACCGTCGGGGACGGGGCCGGAGGATCCTGAAAAGTAGGGAGGGGCGGTAGGTCCCGAAGATTGCTCGCATTGACGAATTCCTGCGCCTGGTGCCACATGCTAGGCTCGGGCTGGCTCTTCTTCTTTCGCAGCGTCTTGTAGCTGGTGGTGGACCGTATGCTACCCTTCCGCCTCGGCACAGGGGCCTGCGGAGGCGGGTACGATGGCTGAGCGGTATGCGGGACGGGCGATTGGGGTGGAGCAGGAGCAGCCATTTCTTGATGTCTCCTAGGACCAGCAGGTATGGTGGGCTCTGGGGCTGCATCAAAGTCGCTGTGATAGTCGTGGTAGAGGGGAACGTTTCGGTCTGATTTACTTCGATCCAAGATCTCTTCGGGTTTCACAGGCGAGGACCTGGAGGGTTTGGTACCGCGGTCGAAACTGATGGCGTGCCCAAACCCCAAACGATGGGTACCGATAACCATGCCGTGGCCAATGTCCATGCTAGAAGAATTGCTCCCTCTGCTGCTCTTTTTCGCACCGCTGCGACTGTGACCAGCGTGAGGTGGGCCAATTCCACCTCTTAGGCTCGTGCGGCGCGAGGGCAGGCTGGGAATGTTGTGATCGCTGTTGCTTCTCCGCGACCGCGAGAGGAGGTCAGAGTAGCGCGAGGCGGTATCGTCGAGGCGCAGATCGTAGTCGGAAGAATGGGAGGAGGCATAGGTATGGCCGCGCTGACGGGGGGGTCTGGGGAGGTAGGAGGGGTTGTGATCTGTTGATGAAAAGAGGTCGTCGGCAAACTTGGAAGATGATGGGTTGTTGAGCGGTGCAGGGTGGTGAGAGAATTGGTCGAGCGACATGAGCATGTTGTCCACGACGGAGTCCCTGGTGCCGTCGGCGAAGGACAGGTCGTGAGAAAGGCGCACAAAGTCGCGATCCCTGGGGGCGGCGGCGGGTGCGGAGGGGGAGGAAGAGGAGTGGTCTACCGGGGTGGCGTCGTGGAAGAATGTCTCGGGGGTTCGCAGGTGGGTGTCGAGGGGGCGCATGGCAGCGGAGGCCCTATATGTCGACGGGGTGGTGGGACGAGAGGGCGAACGAGACGTGGAGTGGTCGCGGGCTCTGTCGCTATTTCCGAAGGCTGGCATGGTGGACGCTGATCAGGTTCGGAGTTCATTCACGAAGGAGGGAGCTAGGGATTGGGTGCTGCAGAGCTGCAGGCGGGCATTCTCCGACTGGCGGCGGGTTGGTGGCCCAAGAAATGGATGGAGGAAAAAGCAAGCAATGGGTCAATGGATGCGCGGCGGGCACAGCAGGGCTAGACTGGGCTGGGCTGGGCTGCAGGCGGAGGAAGAAGAAGAAGATGATGGTGATGATGATGATGATGATGATGATGATGAGTATGTATGTGGTGGGTAGTGGATGGCAGAAGCAATGTGAGGTTGGGTGGTGTTGAAGAGATCAATGGGGGTGGAGATGTCGATGGTGGTGGTGGCGGCGACGGCAGGGGCAAGGCAGGGGCGAGGCAGGGGGGAGGCAGGGGGGGCCAGGGTAAAGAGAAGAGAGGAGGAGAATAGAAAAGAGAAGAGAAGAGAAGAAAAGGTATTTTGTTGCTGTTGCATGGATAGTCGATAGTTGGATACAGAAATGCCAACGGAGAACGGAGTTGGGCAGAACCAAGTGTGCACCCATGTACATGGGGCAGGCGGTGGTAGTAGACAAGTAGACACAGTACATAGATAGAGTACGTACAGCAGCAGTTAAGAGACGCGGTGTATAGGGCCCAAACAGGCTCCAATCTATTGAGTAGTAGTGTTGTTGCAGGGAACAGTGCGTGCGAGCCTGCAGGGTTCCTTGCAACACTCGCTTCAAACGTTTCAATGGATGTTGATGCTGATGCTTCCAGGGGCAAATCGCATGACGGCTCCTATATCCGTACCTCGTACCTATGTATGTACATAGTACATGGTAGGTACATACTTATGTATATACGTATATAGCAGTGTACACCTCTGCGTGCTGTCGGTGGGTTATCCGTGTACATGCACCCTCACCCTAAAAGACCATTTGGGTTTTTTGCGGGTACCATGTCTATAGCTGACAGCCTCATATAGTTCCCATCCACCCAATACCGTGGTGCACGTCTATCTATCTATCCATCTATCCATCTACATGTCACATATACTCAACCACGTCGACTGTCCTGCTTTCGCCGCTCGTCGCCCCTTGTTGCATTCACTCGTCACCGCCCGTCGTTTGCCCTCCATGTGTCTACATATATGTACAGAGCAAGGTCGCAGCATGCATGTCCCGCGCAACGCAATCGCCGTTTCAAAAGCCGCACGCCTCTGCGCACCCTGTGTTTGACGTGTGTACGTACGTGGTTGGTATATTTACACGGCGCCGGAAATGCAAATCATCAACCACTGCAGTGCGGGGTTCCAAGGTTATCCGTCCCTTTTCCGCTCTTCTCCCTAACTACTCACTAGCTGTGCTTAATAACGCTGCTCTCTGCTGCCGATATGCCAGATTGATTCTACAGCACAGCATACTTCAACTTCCGCAGCAAGCAAAACATGCCAGACCAATCCAGCCCTTCCAACAAAACAGTGCTAGCCTTTGACGTCTATGGCACCCTGCTCTCCACCGAGAGCATCGCACGGCAACTTGGCTCTTACATTGGCCAGGAGAAAGCGCCCAGTGTAGCCGCAGAATGGAGGAGGCTCCAGCTCGAGTATACCTTTCGATGTAACAGCATGGGTGATTGCCTCCCGCTTCTTCTCTCCCTTTGCATGTGTGCATGCACATCAATCCGACCCAATCTTACTTGCAAACAGACACATACATGCCCTTCTCCACCGTGACCCTTGGAGCCCTCCGCCACGCCCTCTCCCTCTCCTCCCTCTCCCTCCCCAGTTCTGTCCTACAGTCTCTCCTTGAAGCCTACAACTCGCTCGACACTTTTCCAGATGTTGCTCCCCTTCTCTCATCCCTCACCACCTCCTCTTCCTTTTACCCCGTGCTTTTCTCCAACGGCACACATTCCATGATCCACACCTCCCTCACCTCATCCCCTTCGTTATCCCCCCACGCCCACCTCTTCGCCGACATTGTCGTCGTCGAGGAGGTGCGGAGATTTAAACCCCACCCGGACGTCTACGCCCATTTGTGCGAGAGGGTTGGGAAGGAAGCGAGGAGGGGCGAGGTGTGGTTGGTCAGTGGGAATGCCTTTGATGTAGTGGGCGCAGCGAGGTTCGGGATGAAGACGGCTTGGGTTGATAGAGGAGGGGGCGGATGGGTGGATTGCTTGGGTGCCGACGAGGGGTGGAGGCCGGATGTCGTTGTCAAGGGCGTGGGCGAGGTTGTTGGCGCTGTTGATAGATTTTTGGCGTCGTGATGAGCGTCGGGGGAGGGGGTAGCGCATCTCATTCGTGCAATAAGTACTCAAGTGCATACTTGATTCTACAGCTACCCGAGTACGTAGCAACAGCTCTTGATCTACAGTCTTATAGTTGTTGTATACTCTGCCTGGCGCATATGCCGCAACCGGTGTGCGAGTTTGATGTCATTGGTCGACGCTACAAGCCGGGGGTCTGTCTCCCCGACCCAAATTAGTGCATCCATGCTTTTCCTTCAACCCATCCTCACCAACATCATTCTCCAGCATCATGCGGAGAGCACGTTCGCTTCGGGTCAGTCTTCCCCTATTCCTCTCCTCTCCACTTTCACCACCAAATTGTCATGCTCATAAAACCCCTACAGGTAACCCCCTCCCGCGACCTCTACATCTTTTGCGCCGCCGCCACCCGCCCGAGTCCATCCATCTCATCGCCATCATCATCATCTTCTATCAACTCCACTCAACACCAACGCCGGCGTCTCAATTCCTCGCGCAGAGACCCTCAGTATGCCTCTGAAGGGCAGTTGTTCAAGCCTGAGGATGCCCCGGCACCCCCGAGGCGTCTAACGCAGGCGGAGAAGATGAGGAAAATGATGGAGGCTTCAAGGCCAGCACCCCCGCCACCACACGCGCAAGCTGCATATTCGTCCCAAAATCAGAGACAGAGCGCTACATCCCAATCCAAGTCATCAACCACCGCGTGGCAACCACCTCCTCGACAGCCATTGCCGCAGAGGAGGCCTTCTGATCATGCCTTCGGCGGTCAGAACCGCGGGAGAAGTCGTGACAGGTCAGCTTCCGATTCAGGGCACTATGAAAGTCTGGACAACTATGCACCGAGGAGGCCAGACCAATACAATTCATCTCGGGGTAGAGATCGGGCTGGTGGCCCTACAGGCAACAGCCGATACCAGGTCAATATCGATTCCAGAGGTCCTCCGGTAGGAGATACGTCAATGTTCGGCACAGGTCAATTGCGACGCAGAAATGAACCTTCGGCACGTTTTGCTGAGCCGCCCCGAGCCTCCGATAGATCGGTCCCCCGAACACATACTCCCGCATCAACTACAAAGCTCGATCAGGCAGAACTCGACCAACTTCTGGGTAATACATCAAACATCAATCGACAATCTTCACCGAGGCCGTACACTCCGTTGTCACGTGACACGAGCGTTCGAACACAGTGCATGCATTGCGGACGGCAAGATCACCTCAGTACGGACTGTCCTACCAAGCCCGTTCTCCGGCAAGAGCCGCGACAGGTCCCACGCCAGAAGGGTGCGGTGGACGAGTTCTTCGAAAAGAACAAGTTCGAAGCGACTCAATCGATCTCCACTGAAGTACAGGAACGCCAACGCCAAGAGCTTGATAGGAGACGGGCACGATTCATCATGGATGATGAGGCTCCACAGGAATCTTCAAATCGGTACGAGCAAGCCGAGCGCCGTGGCCAGACTAACTATGAACGACGCCGCCGACGTGTGACGCGGTATGAAGGCGAAGAAGACGAGGACGATTCGTACGTGGACAAGGCCGAACTCAAGCGGGAACGCAAGGCAGCGAGGAAGAGGATGCAGGAAGAGCAGGCAGCCAACGCTCCGACACCTGTTTCTCTCCCCCAGTATATCAGCGTCGCAAACCTTGCTTCTCTTCTCCGGATTCGCGTGGAAGACTTTGTGGCTAAGCTGGAAGATTTAGGTTTCGAAGAGGTGCAAACGGACCACATCCTCAACGCTGAACATGCTGGTCTGGTCGCACAAGAATACAATTTCGAGCCCGTCGTGGAGGCTGAGGATGAAGATCTCCACGCAGCTCCTGCACTTCCTGCAGAAGAGTACGCAAAATTGCCTGCACGACCCCCCGTTGTCACCATCATGGGTCACGTTGATCACGGGAAGACGACTATTCTCGATTACATGCGATCCACCAGTGTAGCTGCATCGGAATTTGGCGGCATCACACAACACATTGGTGCTTTCAGTGTCCCACTGGCATCTGGGAAAAAGATTACATACTTGGACACCCCCGGTCACTCCGCCTTTGAGACGATGCGTGCTCGCGGTGCTAACGTCACGGATATTGTCGTCCTCGTCGTAGCTGCCGACGATTCGGTCATGCCACAGACGGTCGAAGCTATCAAGCACGCCCAAAACGCAAAGGTGCCCATCATCGTAGCCATAAACAAGATTGACTTGCAACAGTCCGATCCAGAGGCAGTTAAGCTCGACCTAGGACGTCACGGTATTGAAGTGGAAGACTTTGGTGGTGACATCCAGGCCATTCCCGTGAGTGGCTTGACGGGCCAGGGCATTCCCGAGCTGGAAGAAGCCATTGTCACTCTCTCAGAGATGCTCGATCACCGCGCTGACCCTCACACCACCGTGGAAGGCTGGGTCCTTGAGAGCTCGACCAAGAAGTCCGGCAAGGTCGCCACCGTGCTTGTCCGCAGTGGAACCCTCCGCGTTGGCGACATCATCGTCGCCGGTACCACCTGGGCTCGCGTGCGAACGTTGAAGAACGAAGCTGGCATGGCTATCGAAGAAGTCGGCCCCGGTATGCCAGTGGAAGTCGAAGGCTGGCGCGAACAGCCCATCGCCGGCGATGAAGTTCTCCAAGCAGCCGACGAACACCAAGGCCAGGCCGTAGCAGAAACCCGGGCCGATCGCGTCTCTCGCGAGCAAATGGCCAAAGACATGGATGCTATCAACGAATCTCGTCGCCTCGAAACCGAGCGCCGCCATGCCGAAAAGGCCGCTGCCAAAGCCTCAGCCGACGGCGCGGACCCTAATCCAGCGGGCTCTATTGCAACTTCTCAGAAACCCACCGGCCCCGAAGTCATCCCCTTCATCGTAAAAGGTGACGTCTCGGGCTCCGTTGAAGCAGTGATCGACTCCGTTTCCGCCCTCGGAAACGCAGAAATCAGCACGCGCGTTCTGCGCCACGGCGTCGGCGCGCCCTCCGAATTCGATGTCCAGCACGCCGCCTCGGCTTCGGGTCACATTATCAATTTCAACACTGCCGTCCCTGCGCATATCTCCTCCCTCGCAGAGGAAAATGGCGTTCGCATCTTCGACGAGAATATTATCTACCGCGTCGTCGAGAACGTCAAAAGTATGTTGGAAGCGAGGCTTGCGCCGCGAATCACGCAGAAGGTCACGGGTGAGGTGGAGATTGCACTTGTTTTTGAGATTGGATTGGGCGGGCGGAAAAAGTTGAGAGTTGCGGGGAGTAAAGTACGGAACGGAGTCGTTATCAAAGGATCAAAAGCAAAAGTTTTGCGGGGAGATGACGTTGTTTATGATGGTAAGTTTTGCCTCTACCCCCTCCACCCCGAATTCTCTTTTTGGCCCTCTTGAGTAAGGCAAGAAAGGGAGTGGGGCCTCGTATGCGCTCATACAAATTAATTGCTGACTGTGGTTTCAATCTCCTGTAGGTACAATCACGTCGCTCAAACATGTGAAGAAGGACGTTATGGAAATGCGCAAAGACTCTGAATGTGGTATTGCCTTTGACGGCTGGGATGAGTTCGCGCCTGGTGATAAGGTCCAGTGCTACGAGGAGGAAAGCCATAAACGCACGCTCTAGATTTCCGAACCTAAAAATCCTTCGCCTTGAATAAAAAGCAGGTCGGGCATAACGCTGGATTTGTTATACGGGAAATAGACCCGCCCGGCAACCCCCTTCCCCCCTCTTTTGTTCCCCCTAAACCACTCCATAGGGGATGAATTGTAAGATGAAAGTACGAGACGTGTACATCTGTATATAAATGTATTAACAGTCTAATGAGTTGTTCCATATAGCAAACCACGATTTAAACACCTATTCATGTTTCGTATATATCCCCCTCTCTCTATTCTTCACCTTTGAAAAGCACACAATATGTACTTTTTTTCATTTCTCCGAGTTGGAGTTTAGTTGATCCTACACACAGCGAAGGGTTACAACGAGTAATAAACCCCCCCTCCCCAGAAAAAAACGAGCGATTACCCAAAAATCAATCGCAATACGTACATGCCAATATTTTTCTACATCTACAAGTGTGGTTTTGTGTATATAACTTTTTAAAAGACATGCTTCAGCTAGCAAACTACAGATTATATCTCTACTTTTTTACAATTCTAATCTAAACGTGCAGCACACTACTGTCACTTTACATTATATTGCTGTTGATCGGGACTGCTCAAAGTACGCAATCTCCGCCTTGATAAAAGACCTATCAAGACCGCCAGACATCTGTCTCGCAGTCCGCACCTTGAGATTCAAGTTCGTCTCCGTTTCAGCAATCCCAGCACAAGACCGGGAACCCCTAAGAATACAATGTTTAATACAGCAGATGCTTTTGCTTTTGCTTTTGCTTCCGCAACGTCTTTCTCCTTGGCACGTCCTTCACCGATGGACTCTCCCTGTACCATCAACTCCACGCTTTCACGTCGCTGGTTTCTTTCATGGATATTGCCCACGTACCAAAACGCACAGATACTCAGTACCACGATCATGAAGGCAGCATCTAATGCATATACAGGCCACTCATTCACATTCAAATACCCATCTTCTATAATAAACCGGTCAGCAACAACCCTCCAACAATGGCCAAAGAAGATCAACTTACCGCCCATAGCAAACTCGGTAACCCTGTACAAGTTCCTCCCCGTGATTATTGCACTCACACCGTACAGCATATATATTGGTCTCTCCCATCGAAAGCCACCCATCGCAATACTCCTCGGATGCAGATTGTTCATCCTCCAATGCCACCGTCCAGCAACAGTTACAAAAAATCCAAACGTTCCAATCTGCGCCACAAGCCCCACCAACACAATTGCACGACCCAAATCACTCATCCAAGCCTTCCCACGACTGTTGGTGAACAGACTTGCACCCGTGCTCTGGAGATTGAGCAAGATGATGTCGCACCAGACGAATATCTTGGTCAGGTACCTGATGTTGAGAGGCGAGAGCGCCGTCTGTCCCGTTGCGCGCATTATGCGCCCTAGAAACATGTAGACGGTTGCAGAGAACAGAACGGGTGCGAGGAGGATGAGACAGGCTTGGATTATCAGTGCGATCAGGGGTCCGGCGTTGGTGGTCGAGTACGTCTTGTTCGAGTGCGAGTAGGCTCGCGCCGTGAAGCCTACCACTTCGCCTGGAGCGGAACGTTAGAGGATGCACAGAACAGGAAGCTGGTGCGCATAATTACAGAGTGCACCGATAAGAAGCGGCGTGCAGAACCATGTCTTGGTTCGGAAGAGAAGACCAGCGTGGATGATGGCGAGGACGCAGAAGATGGAGGCGGTGATAACTGCACCAGTGAATGTAGGGGTATAGTAATAGAGGTCCGCTCTAGGCTTTGTCATCTTTGGGGGAAATTCTAATCACAAACTGGATGGTGTGGATAAATGATTGAGGCGACTACCGTGTCTTGGAAATCTTCGGACCATTCACTACATCGATATATATATACTCAGTAACTCCCAAAAGCTCACCCGCTACCTAAAAATCCTTCGCCTTGGCATCCTCGTCGCATTTCCTGGTTTAAGGACTGTACTTACGCGTCTATTGCGGACAGAATCGTTGTTGTGGTGGTAGTTTGGACATGGTCCATACTTGATAAGGAAATGCACCACCTCAGCCAATCGCATTGTAAAATGAACGAGAACGAGAACGAGAAGGAAGCAGGCGATCAACGCTGTGAGACAGCATGGCCCGTGTGGTTCTGGGTGGAATCCCTTTGTTTCTAATCAAGCAGCAAATACACTCCACTCGATAATTCTACGTATTGTTGCTTTCTAAGAAGACATATCATGCAGATAGATATGCATATATCGTAGTATCGAGACGTGGGGTTTAGGATGTAGAATACCAATAGCGCTGATCAAAATTCACGCTCAGATGCTGATGTGGGAAGGCTGCGTATAACCCAGTCGGAAACGTATATCTGCCTGATCCTTGGGCTTGTCACCATGGTTTTGTACTGTCTTGTGCCAGATCTCATTCATCGTCGTGACCTCAAATCCCAACACATACCTTGACACGAAATCAATCTACACTGGCAGTCCGACCTCTTTTCTGCACCAGAACATGATCGACCTCCATTCTGGACCCTCATCCTCAAGTGCAGCCGATAACTCCCCTACGAGGCGACGACCCACGAACTTGGCCCACCAGTTTCCTTGCAACTTGTCCAGCATCACGCCCCAATGCATATAAATGGCACGCGCGATTGGCTCTTCTTCTCGCAGCGCTTCCAGATACTCTGAACCGACATCAGCAATCCAGTCGGCGACGCGGTCGTCTATCCGAGTGGCTTTCTCAAGCTCCAAAATCGCCTTCTCGTACACGCTGTGGCGCTCGGTCGGCGGACCGAGGTCGAGAAGTCGTCGCAATTCATCAATACACAACTCACGGTCGTGCTGTGGACTACGGTAGTTTTTATCAATGTATTTGCCTATGTCGGTCCCATGTAGGAACGGTATGGTCTGGGTTTTGACAAATTCGATGGACTTGATGTGGTCAACCAAGGGAAGCAGAGCCAGAGCAGCTGAGCGGGTTTCATCGTGCGGACCCATCGGTAGCATTGAAGAAACGACTGCAAAGGCGGCAACGAGTATGGAGGCGAACAAAACGCACGAGGCGTTTTCGGAGGAGATGTTCCCCAGAGCGGCCCGTAGGCCGTTGAGAGCTCTGACGTGATATTCCACACCTATGCCCACGTATTCACGGGCACTTGGCAAGTCCCTGAGCTCTTCTTCCAAGGCATCCGCTGCCAGGTGGAGAGATGTGAAGCCGTAAACAGCTGCCATTAGGTAGTCGCACTCGATCGATCGCCGGCCCACATATTCTTTGAGGACTTGATGCCACTCGGGGCTAGTGCATTTGTAAGTATAACAACACCATTGATGCATGAGTAAAAGTTCCCTTGATCTGATAATTTCAGAGTTCAGCCTGTGGTTACTTTGCTGGAGAGACCGGTCCTTGGTGGCATCACTTGCTCTCGTCTCAGGCTCAAGATTGGTGGTATCGGATGACGGGGACGGTGTTGCTTGGGGTGTTAATCGTGCCTTTGCTGGAGCGACTCTCGAGAAATGGCAAGATTCGCCCCGAGTGATGCAATTGTTACATCGAGGCGGCTGCTCGTCACACTTGACGCGTCGTTTCCGACATTGATCGCACCCGTAGCGAGACTTGCTGTGTGGTTTCCTGACAGGCATGGTCGTGGAATACCTCGTGAAAGACTTTTGCTATTATCTTCGGCTATGCTTGACTGGCCAACCGACGATGGATTGCTCGTTACGTCAGCCTGGCCCGATGCGGTTTCATCGATAGCTCTCTTACGCTAACCGCACTTGGTCTTAGCTATTCACCGTTTGCCAGTTGACAGCATCGACTGGTAAGGTCAGTCGAGAAACTATGTATTGTATCTGCAGCACAATGAAACGTAGTGTCTCAATTCATTTTCATGAGGCTGATCTTGAATCAAGCTTCTACTGAGAGCTAGGCTACGTCGACCAGGTTGATGCTGTGCTACCAGTAAGATTGCGTATACATTGATCTCACATAACCGTCCAAATAAAGGGAGTCAGGCTGCATCATGAAGTAATACAATTAATGCTGTGAAATCTTCTGATACCGTCCTCAGTCAAGCATATCGTACACAGGCCGTCGTTTCGGGCCTCTGCCTCCGGCATTCTTATCCGCCATTCACCATGATTTGAGCCGAATAGCTTCACTTCGGTTTCGCTCACCGCCCACGTGCACACCAACATCACTTCAATAACAAGCAAACAACTTGCTCGAACTTAAATTCGCACCCACACGCACCTTCCTCGACTCTTTCAACTCGTGCAACACAGCGATTCAACCCCTCCCCACAACCACTTTCCCCCCCCCCCCATGGCGCCCGCCGATTCCCCCTTCACCGATTACTACAAGATTCTGCTCATATCAGTGGATGCCACCGACGACGAGATCAAATCGGCTTTCCGCCGCCTTGCGCTCATCCACCATCCCGATAAACAGGTGAAAAAACCCCAAAACGCCAACGACAATGCTGCCTCGTTTCGAAAAATTCGCGAGGCATACAGCATTCTTATTGACCCCAATCTCCGCCGTGAGTACGACCACAAGCATGCAGCTCGCTATCCCAACCTGCGGACTCACAAGCCTCACCGTCCAGCAGCACCATTCCAAGATCAGACACCCTTGAAGCCCTTTCCTTCGCGCAAAAAGACAAACTCGGGCGACTGGGCCAAACAGTTCGGCGAAAAATACGTCAAAAGCAAACATAATGATTGTGAATGCCCAAACGACAGCGACCCGGAGACCGAATGGGCTGAAGCGAAAGCATGGTCCCGTGACTTCGACAAGGACCAACAGGACAAATCTAACAGTGCTTCGAGTGCGAGAGAGACGTTCAGCCCGGAGCAGTTCGCTGAATTCCCATTCCCCAATCTGCCGTCTACGGGATTCCCGCCCCGTCAATATGCTGGTTTCGCTGCCTTCGCTGCTGGAGATGGCGGTTGGGAGTCAGTATTACTCTTTCTATTCACTAGAGAATATAGGCATCGTGCTGACAGAGTACAGTTCATTCGGCGTACACAAGATGTCGCATAAGCTGGCCGTGAAGATGCAGGCACTTGAAGGAATTCCCGAGGACTGTAACGTTCCTCCACCACAATGGGAGGGCGGGCTTGGCGGTTGTGTATGCATCTTCTGTCCTCAAAGGTCCTTCACCTACGACTGCAAGTGCTGCCCTGGCTGCGGTGCTTTAGCTTGTGCAAAGTGTTTGACGAAGATTTCCGAGCTTGCTGATCAATAGTGAGGAACCAGTCAGTCAGTGAGTAGCGATTCTTGGAAGCGAGAATGACGGGGTCATGACTGAAAGGGGAAGGCGTTGTTATCCAGCATAACGAGATACGATGCTGCACTGAATTATCTGGTGGACGGTATCTGGGAGGCGTTTGCGCCCAAAAGTGGTCGGTCCTAGAGGTATGCCTGCATCATGGGATCGGCTGTTCTGAATATCAAATACTTGAGTACGATTTTACGTAATGCTGTTCCCCGAACCTACTCCGCTTCCAAAAACTTTATCGATTCGCGTTGCTCTCTCCCAAACCACTTCACCGTCAATGCTCTCGTCTTTTCTTTTGAAATACAGAATCCTGTGCTGTGGAATGAACTCCATGTCTGTCTGTTCAGTCTTCCACTTCCCTAATGCCATCTCCCTGGCCCCAAGGAATCGGTCTTCGTACCCGACAATGTAATTGTCGCCATCAAGACTCGGATCCCAGCGCAATCTGTTCAACACATCAGACGCAGGCCTTAATTTCGATGTAGATACTGGAGTTGATGACTGCGTCGACGCGCCATGCCTGAGCAGTTTCGATGGCGTACTAGAAGCACATTCATCGGCGAGAACATCCACCTCGTCCTCATCCTCTGAATCAGACTCGATCTCCATTTCACAGTCTCCCCATTCGCGTTTGTCGAGAGCCAGCTCCCTCACCTCTCCTGGCCGGGATATGGAAGTATCTACCCAGCACGAGTCGCTGTCGTAGTACTTTTGATCTCCCCGGAGTTGCGTGAGGAAGTGGTCCAAAGTATTGTCCATGGCCCGTTTCGCTTTTGCACGCTCTTCAATGCCATCCGGGCCCTCTGTTGATTGATTGCGGGATAGACCGATAAGATAACACCCGTAGTATTCGGTGGCACTGTCGTTTGCGCCAGGCTCCGCGAAACGAGCTGGCCAGATGCGAACGGTGAGATTAGGAAGCGTTTTATAGATTTCTGTTCAAGATTTAGTGACCACATGTGTACAGATGAAGGTGAGAGGTACCTACCGACAACAAGGCCGATGCAGCGCGACTCAAGCCATCCTACTAGGCTCCGACCTTTTGACAGACTACGTCCCCAGTATTGAATGTCAATCTTTACATAATTTTCGTAAACCTGCAAGAATTGGCTCGCACCAATTGTGAGGTCAGATGACTTCAGCGATCCATTGCTTGACTCGAAGAATTTGCCCCACGTCATGTCCGGCATCGAAAGCCGTGCTGCGGCTCCCTTAAGCTCTTGTACAATGATATTAAGGCCAGGCCTGGTGGCTGTATGAGCGATATTTGAATGGGGCGCATGATATCCTAATATAACCATAGGCTCACGTGCACTTCGATGGTACCGCGGCTTTTGCGAGTGGAAAAATGCGTCGAAGACAATCTCGTTCTGCCAGTCGAAATTTGCGTAATGGTGAAAAAAAGATACAATGAGGTCCCCAGTGGCGATCGAACCGGTGTCGTGCGCTAATCGTTTACAGACCCAAGAAAGCATGAGAGCAATGTGAGTGCCGCTCAAGAAACCGAATTTGCCAGCATAGATCCCTTTCTTCATTGCCCAGAGTTTAATGAAGTGGTATGCTAGGCGAAATGTCGATTTCGAAGGCATACTACTTAGAATGGAGTTGAGATCCCGCAAAGGTTTCAATTTGCGAAGGGAAAGAATGGGAAGATTGAAGATTGGGTCAGATGCAGCAAGACTGGGAAATTCAGACCATCTATATAGCATTAGTAATTTTGAGGCGTCTTACCATCTGCTCTGACTCACCTGTAGACGATAGCTGTTGCTGGACAGTATTGGAGATCCATACTGATACCATTGATTGAGAGTTCAAGCATAGTTCCTGTACTAGCTTCAACCTTGCGTATCAATCGGATCTTCTGCGACTCGTTGCGACGAATACGTTGAATTGCCAACCGGAAAAACGTTTTGGAGCTGGTGGTTCCGATGCAAAGACAGTCAATGTCCGATTCAGCTGTCCATACACCAAGAGCGTAAGACCCAACAGGAACCATTATCATGGGAATATTTGAGGGTTTCGACTCTGCGGTCATGCCTAGTACTACGGATTTGAGGAGATCGAAGGCTTCTTTACGTTCATTCCTTTGTTCCGCAGATGGGAAAACTGACAGCTTCTGCAATGTCTGCGCGACATTGCCTTGTTGAAATAGACTTGGCGATGCTGATTGAAGTCGCACAGGGTATTCGGAAAGCAGCAGCGAATGATCTAGCTTAGCAGATAGTGTACCAGGGCGGATAGTCAACGAAGCACGAACTCCGGAGTGGTCACTCGGGACGTGCATAACTCCGTCTCTGATTTGGGGAAGACCAAAGTCGTTGAATTGGCCAATATACAAGGAGTCTTGCGGCCGGTATAGAATGCGATCGTAGCGTTGCGGTCTTCCGTTTGATGTTCCCGATGTTGAGGCGGCTAGTAGATTGTCTCTAGGATTGAAAGTTGCGCCCTCTTCGCCCTCGAGTAGATCTTCTCTATCGGAATGTGCATTTCTTGATGTCCCCTCAACTCTGGATTTAATCCAAGAGTCGAGTAATCCAGATCCACGAAGCATGCTGTCAATAGATCGTATAGTCTGTTCTGTGCGTGCAGAGATCGCTTTGTTTTTCACCGCCTCCTGGATGGTGTGTTCGGATGTGGTGATATTAAAGTCACCTGCAATGATCCATGGGCTGTCAGGGTATTTTTGGTTCAGGTGGCTGATGACGTACTGAAGCTGGGCCTTTTTCGCAGCAACGGATCCATCAGTCAAACCACATGTAAGATGCACGCCGGCAATGACTAAGGGGAGCTTTTCTGCCACTCCAAGTCCCACAATCCCTGGTATTTTCGCGACTACCGCGCCTTTGTGCCGCCGCTGGAAAGGAATGTATTCCCATTCGAACCGCCACTTACTGAGAATGACTATGTTCCTCAGGCTCGGCAGTGGGCCAATGTCCGATTGTGATGGTGGAGCGTGCGAAGCGAAGGGGTATCGTTGTCGGACATCGTCATTACTAAGAATGCAAGAAAGAAAATCGTCGGACATCTCTTGTAAAAGGAGCACTTCGGCAAGAGCAGGTTTCGAGAGTATAGTGTCGAGCAGAAGCGACTCCCGTTCATATACAGGATGCCGAGAGTCAGTCAATACATTATAGCTGGAAATACTGAAGGTTTCTGGGTGATTGTCGATGACTGTTCTTCCGTCCGCAACACACCATCGGCGGGTATGTGTGTTGTATTCATAAGTCGATCCCGGCTCCGGTTGTCTGGTGTAACCGGTACCGCTGGTCTCTTCGTTGGAACTTTCAACAACAGCTCCCTGATTTTCGAAGTCATCGTGATTGAGCCAATATTCTGGAACCTGCTTGATTTGATTGTGTATGTTGATAACATCCCATACGCGCATTTTACTTGATCTTTCTCCGCCCACCTGGGCTTTCTCTCTCACCAAAATGACAAGATGATGCGGAGCAAGAGTCAAAGGCGGGAGAAGATTGATTTTGGATAGAAGGAACTCGCGAGTAGATTGAGATTCATTGCTTGATTGACCGATTGTCAGATGGAATTTGGAGGGACTATCCTCGTTTCCCAGAGACTTGAGCACGAATGATCGGATCGATGATAGGATATCAGAGGATTCTCCGCTGGCCTGGAGGAAAACTGTGCTATTATTTCGGTGCTCGAAATATCCTGCCCGATCAAGGATGATGGAATTTTGAGAAATGGTCCCGGGGGCGTTTCGAAAACATTGCTCGACTTGGAATTTGGCCCGATGGAGGCTTTCGGGCGCAACGAAGGGATATACCAGATTGATGTGAGGGGGCCAGTTACCGTAGCCCTTATCATACAGCGCGCGTAAACTTTCAATGCTGCGACAGTGCTGCTCAGATGGTATAATGCACAGCGCCGTGTCGTGAGAAGTGGTGGCAAAGGAAGAGAGATGTGGAGGCTGATGCATGGTCGCCATGACTGATAAAAATGGACAGCAGCCAGATATGGGATGGGAGTGGGACGGCCAATGCCTCTGCAGCAGCTCCTGGACGCTGTTTGAGAAGGAGAAGAGAGATGAATTTGCTCGTTAAGAAGATGGATTGAATTGATCGTGAATTGGAGCAAAATCGATGAGATACTTATACACGGTATTCTACATAGTCGTGTGAGCCGCACTGCACCGCACCTGCAACCACCAGCTAATTGGACTGTCTCTTTGATGGTTGATGCAAAGTGACTCATGTGCGCTAGGCAGTCCAAGGAACCGCGCCACACCAGGCACACCAGGCTGTGTCAACCGCGGCCAGATTGAGGACATGTGCCATGACTCACTGTTGCAGAACGGCTTTGCTATCGCACCGACGTAGAAACGAGCTTGGCCATGGACAGTACTGTTTGTTCCAAGTCGATGGTGTTGTGTCGAAACTGTAGTCATGTGGAGGCCCGGATTACCTATGTAGCAGCACTGATGTAGCTAGCGTGAAACCAAGACTTGGATAATCTGTCTGGGACGCCGCTTCCCAACACGGTCCACGTCCTCCCTTCCCCACGATACACCGATATCGATATTGGGAAAACTGGGATGCTTTCTTTATTGCATCTACCCCGCGAGCTTCGAGATCAAATCATCGCTACCGTGGTGTCATCGCGGATCAAGCATCCCTCAGACACCCAGCGAATTCGTCGACCCACTCGCCATTGGTTCGATGGCGGAAACGGCCATCACGTATTTTACCCCGAGTCTCCGAGATCCTACATCTCCCCCTCCTGTTCTCTCTTTGCCGTCAATAAGCAATTGAGGCGCGAAGCTATTGATGCCGTCAACCGGTGTGCATTGGCCCCCACAATCGCAATAGCTGTCATTGACGATTGCTGGATCTGGCCTTCTTGGGATCTGATCATTCCTCGACTTCATTCCGTCATCAATCGATTGGACATAAATCTTGTTCTGGCAAACACCGATGATTACGAGCGCTATGACAGTTCCTTCGAGATACCGCTTCCCAACTTCCATCGAGAATTTTTCACCTTGCTAGGATATCTCAGCAGCGTACTCGTCTCCGGGCCAAGACATCCTCTGGATCCGGTGCAGATAGACCATGAGGTGCACATCAAGGACTTGTACATCGATCTCAAACCTTCTCGACACATCGTCGGACCGGCTGTATTCTCAGAACAAGAGATCCCAGTCCGCGCCGTCAAGGATATGTCACATCTTGATCACTCTCACTTGAAGCCTCTTGAGATAGGAGAGGCCAAGGAATGGTTGGAAAGGCAGTCTGAAAGAGTCGAAGATCTCATAAAACTTCGATGTCTGCCCGCTAATGAATGGGCCAAACCGCTGTTGGAGCGCGTCCAGAACATTGTCATGTGTCTTGATGGCGAGGTGCATAGGACACATCAAATATGGACCTATGGATAAATAATCATCCATCTGGACATCCCAGTGAAATAAGTGAGACTGGCATTCGCGCACCTGAGACATTGACTGCTTTCTTGGAAGAAGACACACGTACGCGGAATCTGGCACAGCGGCAAACCTTTTTTGTTTTGTTTTTTTTGCAAGTAAAATGTTGGAGTCTTGTCCACCCAAAGATACCAAGAGATCACTCAAAAGGAAAGTAAGGAACTAGTCGGGAGACTAAACCACCTACGAGAATTGCCGCGCCCCCAATACCAGTGCTGGAGCGCACCCAGGAATTCATGGTTCCTCTCAACAAGACAATTCACCAAAGTCGGCAGCTGTGCAATGAGGGTCGACATGAGAACTGGCCAAGCGGCAGGATGAATTGGCTCACTGAAATCAATTCGTTCGGCGCCATACAGCTCACTAATCTCCCGCTGTGATATGGAAGAAATCATCCCAAGGATATTCCGTATATACGAAAAACAACACGGGCAATAAATCAGACCCAACTCCTGCATCGCTCTTTCGTTCCCACTATATAGTTCCCAGTATCGGCGTTATCTGATGCCGAAAAAGGAGACGAATAACATTTTTCATTAAGTCGAACGAAGGAGCCACCTAAACGAAAGTCCTCAATTCTCAATGGACAACCTGCGGAACTAGCTCAACCCAATAACCCTTCAGCTGGTTAGCACAGTTCTTCTCGCAACCTCGTAAGATATGAGACAGAAAGAAAGATTCCCAGAAAAGGGGAGAAGGAAAAAAAAACTCACATCTGGGTCTTTCACAAATGCCAACTGCTCAAAAACCCTCTTGTACCCTTCATCGACAGCCACACTCTCCCCCACACATTGCACTTTCATGTCTCCTTCCTTCATTGGGACGCCCATGGTGCTTTCCTTCGCTTCGCCTAAAGGCTTGATAACCTCGAATCCAAAATTCTTCACGCGGTCCAACGCCGCAGCGACGTCCGGAACCGTGAATCCAATGTGGCCGAATCCCACGCCAGGAGGCGGGGACGAAGAAGAGTAGTCGTTGCCGGAGGTGTAAGGCGTTGACTCGTCAGCAGGAATGTGGTAGAGTTCCAGAAGGCCCTTTGAAGTGCCGATTGTTGAGGCCGCTATGCATGGTTAGAAAAGTGGGGGACAAAATGAGACACATCGTCAGCTTCTCGGGCATTACTTCTCTGTTTTGCTCATCCATCTTTGCTACCATCTCACCATGTTGGTTCAAGACCGTATTTGCAACCACATCGGAAAGAAAGAATGCATACATGTATAGAGAAAAAGAGGGAGAGAGAGAGAGCGCGCGCAAAACTTACAGACGTCTCTTGGCCCGAGATAATATATCGTCCATGGCCCTGCATTGAAGATAAACACTACATGCAATCCAAAACAATCGTTATAGAATTTGAGGCTTCTTTCGGGGTTTTTGATGCGCACCATAAGATGATTCAAACGGTATTCGGCGGTAGCAGGTGAGGTGGGGCGTGGTGGGGGGATCACGTGCTGGCCGGGCGTGTAAGGGCCCGATGGGTAGTTGGGGTTGGATGGCGGTTGAGGCATTTTTGTAAAGTGAGGTTGCTTGTCTGATCTGAGGAGCATAAAAAGAAGCGAGAAGAGTAGACGGGGGGAACATGTGGTGATATATCTGGGGGCCCGGCGGGGTGGGGAACGGGAAAAAATGGGGACTTCATATGTCAAGGGTCTGTACTTCTTGGGGCTGGATGTCGGTAGTTACACAGTAGTGGGTACGTCCCAAATGGCATTCATACCTACATAGGTAAGTGAGCGGGTGAATATCGTGTGGAGGAGTCTGAGTGACATCTTCGTCCATGTCCGCAAGCGCAACGCGCTAATGGCTAGCGCTGCGTACTGGTAGTGTGGGGGGAGGCCGACCACACTGGGGTGCATCTGCAAAGAGAATATGGAATGTGGGGAAGGCGGCCTGTTTCTTCTGTTGTTGACAGTACATCCTTTTGATCGTGTCGTAGGATTTTACCAGCGACGAGTGAGAAGCTTCTGTGAGTGGTAATGTTTGAGTCGCAGTGCTTGGGGAGGCTTGTACTGCATATGGCTCGTGTGCAATCAGGCACCATAACATTGCCTCCGTCAGTATGTGGTCATTCCGAGCATGGGACAAACTCAATATAACAGGATAGAACTCGCCCGCAAGAAAAATAGGTAACCACAGCTTAGTCTTCACAGCTGAAGCGCATCGTAATTGCCATGTTGTTAACCGTACAACTCCATCCTGGATACTTGGCTCGCGTCCACACCACCAATACATCTCGCTCCTGCAACACTTCAAGGAGCCCCTCGCCACTACCGGAACCTTCGTTGCCTTGATGTCCATTGGAAGTCCATAGCACGCGGTAATCATCTGGCTCGCACACTCGATTAGCTTGCAAAAACCACGAAAGAGGAGCCTCGCCTCCTTGCGCGCCTTGTGCAATGGCCGAGGGACGTCGAACAAAAGTTGCTCGATTCTTTTGCAATTCCAGCTCGAGGTCCTCAGCCGTTCTTAACCTGGATTGCCACAGGAATGGTGTGTGGCTGGTGAAGCTGGAGGTTTGATCGCTTGGACGAATGATGGAAACCTCCAGCCATGATGAGGTATGAAAGGAGCCAGGAGTATTTTCATCGGCCCAGCCTTGATCTTGGCTATGGAAGACAAACTCGATTTCTTTGACCTTGGTTTTTGGGCTTCTGGCGCCTGGTTCCTGCGTCGTGTGTACGCTCGGAATAGCAACGGCTAAGCAAGGCCGCGCATGAACAGAGTTTCTCCCCATACGAGCCGAAGCTTTCACAGGGTTCGTGTTGGATATGCTCAGTACAGGCTCGTAGTCAGCATGTTCGAGTATCTCAAGAACGAGTTCGGTAGGTAAGCCGACAGTTTTGAGCACGGCGCGAACCGCACGGACGTCGTCGAATGTGTGGGGGTAGCCAGACATGTGGTTGGCGTCTTCTGGTACGTGAGAGGTCAGTCGATTCCAGCTGCCGGCCATGAACCTGACAATGGGTGTAAAAGCGAACATGTCGAGGTTGAAAAGGATTCCAGGATTGTTTAAAGCCACCGTTGAACGTGGTAAGGGTCTTGTCTATGTACGTAGATGGTGGGAGGCTGAAGCTTAGCGGTTTTGGCGGTTTGGTGTCATTAATAGAAGAAGCTAATCCCGATTGAGGCAGGTGCATGCATACATAGATATATACATACCTAGGTATGTGTGTACCTAGATATACATGTATGTACTCGTGCATGTGCCTACACACGTAAACCGCTGTTTGTTTGCAACTCACAGGTGCGCCGCGTCTAGTTCCACTCGATAGCAACATCCGAGAACAACGACTGTGCCGTTCGAGAAATCAGTCTGACCCCACTCTTCTCCCTATACACGATACCGCTTCCGAGAGGACTCTGGCAACATCTGAGCCGTCTGCATACTCTAGAAGCCATCAACTGAGGTTGTGCAAGCTGTTACCTCTGATATCAGCGCTCGGTTTTACAAGCAGCAGACTGCGTCAAGTTCCCGGTTCATTGGCTTCCCGCAAAAAAAAAAGGCTAGTCCTGAATTTGATTGGTCGTCGTGTACACTGCGATAGATGAGAACGGACGGCAGACCGAGGTAGTTTGATAATGGCGAGTGAGTGTGTAGGAGCCCACGTAGGGAAACATGGCATGACATTTTGAGGAGCTGTTGGGCCACTTCAGATGGAAGAGGGAGTGCCAAAAGAGGCTAGCGCATTCTCACAATCCCCTCGATCGCGTTTCTGATCGCTGTTTTGCAGAGAAAACCACACCACCTGTCTTTTCGACAAGCTTTTTGGCACTCACCAAGACGAAGACTCGAGGAGCGACATTGCAGCCCATTGACAACGCTCCTCATCTCCTCCTCCGGCGTTCCGCTCTTGGCGCCTTGCTGTGCCGGTTAGAATGTTTGTTTCCACGAGCTTGGCGCGCAGCGCGCAGACACATCCAGTCTCACATTGCCAGTTTCGTGTTTGAAGTCCTTTCGCGCCTGCTCCGCATTATCAATGCAACAGACTTGCTACAGCCTAAATGGCCAATCAACGACGTTTTCCGGGCTTTCCGTCCCATGGTGGGCTCGTTTTATTATCCATCACACCCGCTGCCACTACGCCTTTGAGAATAGGGATCGTAGAGGCATCTCCCGCCTCCACGAATCTACACAACTGCTTTCTGTAGAGAGAAAAAAAAAAACTTCTTTTCTTGATGTGGAACCGACTTCTGCTTCCTTCTTTTCCTTCGACCTGATACCTTGCGCTGGCTCGCCCCCCCAACACTTAATGTACTAATAACGACTGAGGTCGTGCGAAAGAAACCCAGAAGAAAAGAACAGCTAAACTTTATTCTTCATTTGCGGACAGTTCGACGACGACTAGCTTCACCCAGAAGGACCAAATCCAAAGCTGAAATATTCCAGAATGCGCACCTCCGTGTTACTCCTAGGTGCTTCTTCGGCACTGGTAGCTGCCCGCATCGATCCATATATGATGTATGGCGTACCTATAGGGGGCTTGGACATCGATGACGAAAGCATCGTGATCAGCACGGGCACCACAGTGGAATCTGACGACAGCACTGGCGCCTTCAATAGCACACAGCCGGCGATCCCGACAGCTGCTCCAACGTTACCCAGCACTCCAGGCCTCGCCGAACCGTGTGCTGTGGTCAGCAGTGCAGTGAAAGCGATTCCTTCCGGCAGTCGCAAGATTATCCCCGCAGAACTTGGGATCCAATGTTTGCGATCAGTGCCCCTCGACAAACAAGGAAATGTGCAGCTTTTGGAGGACTTGAAAATCTATATCCAATGGCAAAGTAACCTTGCTTATTTGAAGAACCCACCAGCCGAATACACGGAGTCGCCTGTTGATCTGATGGCTGAGATTGAAAGCATGAAGAGACAGTTGTCTGACAATGGTTATAACAATGAATACGAATTTCAGCTAGATCTGAACCGGCTATTCAACAGAGCATATGACAACCACCTCACTTGGCAGCCGGATATCCTTGCTTCAGTTATGCAATTTCAGCGCCCGGTTGGATCAGAACTTGTGTCGGTGTCTTCAGATGGCAACGCACTTCCGGAGATATTCTCCTATCAAGATATTCTGTTGGCCAAGAAAGATCCCTCGTTCAAACCCTCTCCGGTACGCACAATAAACGATGAGGGTGTCGTGGAGTATCTGCGAAAAGTGGCTATCCAAGCGGGTTTCCACGATGCCGATACCAGATGGAACGCTCTTTTCCCAAGCCAGCCTCTGATTGCCTCTGGAATGACCTATCTGGGCTCGTTTAGGACGGGACAGTACTCCTCGCCCAACACGACCATGTCGTTTGTCAACGGTACTACCAAGTCTTCTTTGAACCTGGCAGTCGTCCTTAAAGACTTTGACGGCGTGAATAACGGCGATACATTTTTCAAGAAATTCTGCTCGGGACCAACTACAGCATCCACGACCGCTACACCGACATCCAGTGCCAGACCGACCAGTACGTCATCCAGCTCGAGTATTCAAACCCCAGAACCATCACACACTGGATATCCCAAGCCTATCATCATCAACCCCAACTTGTCTGTCGGTGGCTACTTTCTAAATGATACGGGCTATGATGTAAGCCAATCCCCAGATTTCTCAGTGAATGACTCTAATGCTGCCAGGACTTGGCGATCCTGAGTATTCCGTCTTATGAGTCGCCCGATGTTCAACGGTTTCAGAACGTTATGCGTGATTTCATCCGCCTGGCTACCGAAGCCGGCAAAACCAAACTGATCTTCGACATGCGTGGTAATGGGGGTGGCAATGCTATCCTTGGATACGATACATTCAAACAGGTCTTTCCGCAGGCTGACCAGGAGCCTTTTGGCGGTACCAGATACCGTGCTCATGAAGCGCTAAATGTAGCCGGGCAGGTCACACGAGACTTCTCTGGAAACGAAACTTACGCGCAGAAGAATGCGACGGCGTTTGTCGAAAACTTCGGGCGTACCACACAGGATGATGTGTTCTTGTTCACGGTGGGCTTCAATTTCGAACATCAGTTGAATGTCAAAGAGGAAAAGTTCAACAGCTGGGAGCAAATGTTTGGCCCTGAAGTCGCAAATGGCGACCAGTTCACCAGCACTCTTCGATATAACTTCTCCGATGAGGCCAGTTACACATATCCAGGATTCTCGGTGATTGGGTTTCTCGAAAATGCAAACGAAACATCGACGCCACAGCCTTTTAGGGCACAAAATATTGTCATGGTATGCTTACCCCTTTTTGTATTGAGCAACTAGCTTAATTATTGCTAGCTACACGACGGAATGTGCTCCTCAACTTGCGCCATCGCCTCCGAGCTGTTGAAGAATCAGGGTGGGATCCGTACAATAGTTGTTGGCGGGCAGCCCCAATTCGCTCCCATGCAGGGCGTTGCAGGAACTAAGGGAGCTCAAAATTTTGGATGGGATGACATCCAAGTCCGCATGCAGATAATCTACTTGTAAGATATCCTGACCGCGACGATTCAGCTGCTGTCTGACGCTTCCCACAGTCTTGGCAGTCCCGAACAACAAGCAGCATGGAACGAGACGGCCCTGGGACGCACTGCATTCGCTGAGCAGCTGTTCAAACGCAGTGCCTACTCCAGTAGCGGTAGCCCGGCCGGTGGCATCAACCTTCGTGACAACCTTCGCGCAAATGATGCTTCCAAAACGCCACTCGAGTTTATCTACGAAGCGGCGGACTGCCGCATGTTCTACACCGCGCCTATGATAAACGACGTGACCGTGCTGTGGAAAGGTGTCGCTGATCGCATGTTCACCAGCGGTGGCAGCAACAGCACGAAAGCACAGTGCGTAGAGGGAAGCACGGGGGGTACCAGCTCTGTGTCGGGAGGGGGCCAGGCAAAGAGCGGCGAGCCTCCGCGATCGTCGGAGCCGGCATTGTCAAGTGTGGCGGCATCGATAGCCGTTGGATCATGTTTATGGAAGTGGGCCGCTACGAGCGCAGTGATGTTGGGCATACTACATTTCTAGTCAGGGCATCCGGTGCCTCATGATTTACGACGTCTCATATTGGTAGGTTCTTGTCTACCGCCCGCAGCGATTTCGCTTGCTCTTTCCAAATTTTACAGTACATATTCGGAAATGTACATAGTAAAGCCTTGTAGATATGTAACCACATTATTTTGGCGTGCCGCCGGCGTAAAGTCAAAGCAGGCCAAACGGGCCAGATGAACACAGAATTGAATCTTTTTTCTTTCCTTTTAGCGACCGTATAAGCCCAAGCCTCGTTCTTCCCCCTCCTCTCGTGGTCGTGACCGCCCACCTTCGAACCCACTTCTCCTAGCTGAGGAATAACGAGGGATGATCAAATGCATTGCCAGAGCATACTCGACATGTATGGATGGATGAGCGGGCATGAAAGGCTAAAGCCTGACCCCAGATCTCCTTTTGAAAGTCTTCCCTCTCAAAATGAAGACATCTCATATGGTTTTCCTTGTCGTCATCTGAAAGCGATGCTAGCAGTTTAAGTCATTTATTCAACTTGATGGAGCACAAAACTATCTGTAGACGCCGCATAGTATGCTATTCTTTCGTCATATAATCACCTAGCTCAACGGATCTTGCTTTTGCTACTTTGATCAAGATACCCTTGTCATAGCCCGAAAGGCACCGCACTAGGCAATGATGTCGAGTTGTCCACTTCCCCTCATGTCAGTGGACCTAAGCGAATAATGGCGCCACCACTTCGACAACCTAGTCTAACTATGTACTAACAAAAACTGCGCTCAAGCTCTGCGTACGAATTTTGTCAGGCTGCTAGATGCAAGAAAAAAATGAGCGTCTGTGGCATTGGGAGCCAGTATATAAGAAAGAGTTGCGGCAAATTTTTTCAACCAATCATATGGTCGCTTTAGCTCACTTGGGAGAGCGCCAGACTGAAGGCAATCCAGCTTGCTGGCAAACCTCGGTTACACCGAACGATATCTGGAGGTACTGTGTTCGATCCACAGAAGCGACATTCTCTTTTGTTCCCTTTTGTTCCCTCGCTCACTGTCCTTGCTCTCAACATGTTCAAATGTTGTTTTTGTCTACGTATGTACCATGCAACATAACAGATGCGTCATCCTCGTCTGCATAGGCACCGTTGGCTGTATGATGGGTAGAGATTCTGCTGCTGTCTTGGTCCTGATTTGATGGGATGTGGTGAGCACGTCCACTTGGTACACTAGGAATGAGTTCAGGACTTGAGCTTGTGTTTTCCCGACGGGTGCGCGGGGCTGATGTTGTAGAAGCGGAAGTGTAGTTAGTTGATAGTATCGGCAAGTGCTACTCTATGTGACTTGATGGCTGCTCGGAAACTGCATTCCAACTCAGTCAGTGCTAACATGCGATGATCTATCTCTACCAAGTCCGAAGAGCATGCTCTACGCCGCTTCAACAAATGACGACTGGACCCGAGTCGATTCGAAACCACCCAGACAATGCCCGCATTCTCGACCCGGTGGCGAGATTGCTGTGCAATATCCGATCCCCTTTCTGAGCGTCCGGCGTTGAAACAACTTGGCAATATTTGGTGGGTGGGCACTTTGATTAACATCATACATGAAGGGTGAGGTGAATGGCGCTAAGCCCGCGGGGCTAGCTCCAAAGTCACATGTACATACCTGGGTTGTATGCACATGTGTATGTGCAAGCGAGAACCGGCAACCAGGATGCGGTAGACAAGCCTTCATCAAAGCGATCCAGTGACATACCACCCGATATCTTCTTTCGACCTCTGCTGTTCTGGAAACGGATGCTCCGATACCGTCTGCTCCTTTACTACATCCCATCCATCGACCCCTTTGAACACTTGCATCAACTATCCAGCGACCGATCAAACAAACATATCGGCACTTCGCCGCTGATGTGACAGGGGTCTTGTTTCATGACAGCGACGCGCACGGAAAAACTTCACTCCACCAGCCCCGCGAGGACGGCATCTGACAAGGTGCAGATTTTGACTTTGTCGCTCCGCGCCTGTGATTTCGTAGCGAGATGATGTCCCAAAGGCTTGGTCTCCACAGTGGCCCCATCGCCTTCTAGAACTCTCCTTGAATCAGCATCGGCCCGCCAGAGCACAACGGGCGGCCGATTGCAATCCCGCTGTACCATCATCGAGCCTTGAAGTTTAGACCATCTACCGAGGAGTCAGGCGAGCTCTTGATCATCAGAGTCACTTGTGACCATCTCCCGTCGATGCATGATCAATGCAAACCGCTCGAATTATCCCGCAGGAACGATCAACCGCAGTGCATAATGTCCCGTTTTACGCCAAACAGTAAACGAACCATTCAGCCGCAATGGAAATACTCCACAGTTTCAGTTTCATGAACTGGACAGCAGCCATTCGACCACTTGCCGCCCCCGAGGCATCAAAGCGGATGCCGGACAAGGTCATGCATCCAGGCAATGCCCCCACGAATCTCTTTCGTATGCGCCTTCAATCTATTCTGCTTGGCTCTGCTCATACCAAGCTTCAAACACACGCTGTCTGCGGCAACTAGCAGCACTGTCTAAATCATATCAAGCTTAGTGTCTACGCAACTGGTGAAAGAACCCTGACCTTATGGAAACCGAAATCTCGGATACGTGCAGAGTACCGCGCTACTGCCGTCAGAGGGACATCAAAGAGATGTTGGGCTCACTATAAGATCACGCAAGTCCTCGAAGAGAGAGAGAGACAAGCTTGACGCTGCACACTCTCTTTTACATACGCTCTTGAGCATCTTCGCATTCGTTCCATCTCTTCACAGTCGTACATTCGTGTCAATCCAACTTTTTCTGTTCAACCTTTTTCTCTTGCAGATTACCCTTCCCACATCAACCAACTCATATTCTCTCAAAATGAAGACCTCAACCATCCTCGCCCTCGCTGCCGGCAAGCTCGTCGCCGGCCACGCCACCTTCCAGAGCTTCATTGTGGATGGAAAGGACCAAGGTCAACACTTCGCCGTCCAGACCCCGTCCAATGGGAACAACCCCATATTGGATGTCACCAGCTCCGCCATGAACTGCAACGGTGGCAAAGCCACTGCCGATCAAGTCGAGGTCGCTGCCGGTTCCGAAATTACTATGCAATGGCACCACAGCGACCCCGCAGGCACTGAGGCAGACGAACCCATCGCCGAATCCCACAAGGGCCCCATCATGGTTTACATTGCAGATGCCAAATCCAACGGCGAGGGTGCCGTTTGGCAGAAGATTTACGAAGACGGTTTGACCGCCGGCAAATGGGCCGTCACCAAATTCCGCGATGACAAGGGCAAGATTACCGTCACGCTCCCCGATCTCGCACCTGGAGACTACCTCATCCGCCCCGAGATCATCGCTCTCCACGAAGCCTCTGCCGTTGGTAAAGCCCAGTTCTACAACGGCTGTGGACAGATCAAGGTGACTGGCTCCGGCTCAGTGGCTCTCCCCGCCGCTGGTACCGACATGACCAAGGCGTATTCCGCCACCGATGCTGGTGTCCAGTTCGACATCTACTCTGGCGCTACATCTTACACCATTCCGGGTCCCAAGTTGTTCTCTGGCAGCGGCTCATCCGCTCCCGCCGAGCCCGCTACTCCTTCCTCCTCCGCTGCCCCGGCTCCGTCTAGCGCTGCCCCTACTTCTGCTGCTCCCGCTCCTACTGCTACTCAGGCTCCTGCCCAGCCCCAGCCCACCACCATGGTCACCTCCGCGAAGCCTGCCCCTACCAGCGGCTCAGGCTCAGGCGCAGGTGCTGCCGTTGCTAAGTACGGACAATGCGGTGGTAAGGAGTACAAGGGTGCTACTTCGTGCGCTGACAACTGGGTCTGCAAGGAGCAGAACCCCTACTATAGCCAGTGTGTTGAGAGTGCTTAAACGTTCAGACGTGCGTTTTGTCTTCTTTACGTGTGCCGGTTTAGTTCCCATGCACGAAATCCCCCTTCTTTGAGAGAACGGAAGGGTTTTCTTTTCTCAACATTGTGAGAAAATGGACGAAGCCATTTGGGCTTCTTTTCTCGCAAGAATCATCTACCTGGACCCCAACTGCAACTTTTTGGGGCGAGAGTATCCAGCTGTGTAGCATGTTCTTTTTCGCCTTCCTTGACCGCTAAGCGGTCTGGAATAGTTTCATTTCTCATGTATATACATAACATAGCACAGCCATTGTCTCCTCATTGCGTGGCTTATTTTTTGGATTGACAAATAAAAAAACATGGAATCAAATTTCAATTTTGCACTGGAAAAAATGCCACGAGGCATGCTGTGACTTGAGTGATGCATGGCGGCGAGTCCTAGAGTACGATTGCTGATGCACCGATAGACTGCATCAATGTTTGAGTGTGGCAGACTGTCCGCGTTCTCGCACTGCTCAGCAGGCTCAGCTCAAGCCAGATTTTATCGCGATACAAACATGCATGCTATCCAATTGGCTTTGGCAGCACTGCGTAAAATACAGCAGAGGCGAATTGATGCCTAATCTGAATCATGGGTGCCGAATCAATCGAAGCAATGGTGGAGCACAGTATGGCGAATAGTCACATTATATTCTGCTATCGTGTACAGATCGGGCTGCAACAGAGTGGGCAATATTCAAACGGGTGTGTTGATCTGTTTACACGTATCCCCCCAGTCCGTAGTCAGTGCCAGGTGGTCCGCGGATTAAAGTCGGGGATGGATGGAGCTACAGTAGAATTCTGGAAGAGGTTTACATATCATATAGATAGATCTGATCGTATAAGAACAAGTATATACATCTATTCCACATCTGACAAATCAATGAGAAACCGTCCGAACATGATAACGCACATTGAGCAAATGTTGTAGTGATTGACTGCGTACGGTACGCACAATCTCATTGTCGCCGGGTTCGCGTTCCGACGGCAATACATTTTACCGCCAAACAGATTGATGCACCGCGCCTGAAGCAGTAAAGGTCGAGGCTACGCACAACTAAAAGTACTAGATCCAATCACCGGGTCGTATAATTCAGGTACGGGTGTGTTAATATGGACCACCGCTACAAATATATTGCCGTTGGTTTGTTCATTCATTCTAGACGATGGCGCATCCAGCGAGAAGATGGAGAAGATATAAGAACGAGCGCACGCACCGTTCCTACCTACCAGTAGTGTAGAGGGTGGGAACCATCTCAGCACACCATGCACAGCATTAATTTCATCCTTGCGTCTCTCGCCATCAACGCGGTCCATGGCGTACGCCTCCTGGGGAGAGTGGATCCACGGACAAGAGAGCTGTCATGGCCAGGGACTGGGATTTCCTTCATATTCACGGGATCTTCTGCCACCATCGATGTCGACAGGATCTCTGGGTCCAACTCGGTCGAATTGACAGTGGATGGAGTGGCGAGCGTGATGGCAAACGTAAATGGAACGCCAATCTCGACACCCCCTGGACTTGGCAATGGAACACACCATGTCGTCTTGCGAAAGCGATCGGAAGCTCTGTTCGGCAGCATATTCCTGGGAAACGTCACGACCGATGGCACGTTTGAGAAAGATGGCGAGGTTTCGCGCAGGATTGAGTTCGTTGGAGATTCCATAACAGTCGGATATGGCCTGGATGGGGTGAATCCTTGCACAAACAACGCCTCGGTGGAGAACAACCCCAAAACGTTTGGCGCACTTGCTGCCAGTGCTTTGCAGGCCGACTACAGTATGATTGCTTGGAGCGGAATTGGAGTTTCCAGGAATTATCCCTCAACCAGTCCGGATCCCAGCCCTGTGATGCCCGTCAGATGGACGCGGTATAATCCCAATGACGCAGATGACAGCTACCCATTCCCTGAGGCTTCCATCCCGGATGTGGTTGTCATCAATCTGGGCACAAATGACTTTGCATATGTCGGCGTGCGGGAGCCCTTGAACGTCCAGACGTACATATCTGCCATGGTTGCATTCGTCCGTGACATGGAGAAACGATATCCGGCGGCCACCTTCTTCTTGATGACGTCGCCCTCGATTGGAGATGAATACCCACCGGGCGACGGCACAAAGACGGCGCAGAGAAAAGCGCTTCGGTCGGTCATGGAAGCATTGAACGGCACAAAGACGGATTTTGTGGACTGGCCGACACAGGGCTCGGATGTTGGCTGCGATTATCATCCCAATGCCGCGACCCATGCCATAGGCGCGAGCATACTATCTTCAGCGATTGCGGGGAAAATGGGCTGGTGAGGTGTGTTCCTGAGACCTGAAATGTAAAAAATGTACGTAGCACGTTGAACGTTGAACGTGGAGACTGTGCTGTGGTGTGCCTGGTTTCGGCTGTTGGCAAAGACGTCACCAGTTCCCGTTCCACGAGGGAGGGAGATGCTACGCGGGAAAGTCAGCATGTCAAAGCAACGTCACAGCGGCGGTTGGCAGAACAGACGAAGGACATATGTATCAATGTTTTGAATGTAGCAAGTCGCGGCTTGCCCCTGATTGGCTGTGAGGCGCCCGCGTACGCCTCCCCTGCCGGACCATGGCTGTCGCATCAGTCACACATGCGCTCCACTTTCCCGATACATTGCATGTTGGACCTTGACCGTGCATTCTCTTGGGACTTTACCCTTCCATTTTCCTGGCCCATTATCGTCGTGTCGTATCGTGTCGTATCAAACAGCATGTAGGGGACTGCCGGATCGGGAGCGTCTGCGCCATTCACCGACACTGACGTTGCGTGACTACAAGCTGCCTCTTGACTTCCCCGGCCATCTACATTCACATTCACGCTCCACCACCAAAAAAAAACATATACACCCTCGAGACCACATTGTCCTTATAGTATTGCCGGCAATCATGGATATGGATCTCTACCGAAGCACCTTTATGTGTCTGTTGGCACTCAACGGCGCAGCCCTGTATCGGGCCTGGCGCTCCAAAACCGCTCCCCCACCCCCGTCTCCAACCAGAATTGAGAACGAAAAGGCCGATGCTGTCGAGCATAGGGGACGTGGCAACGACGAGGACGCAGTGCGGGTGTCGAGGCTGAAATGGAAGTTCATCCCCGTCTTCTTGCTGGTCAACGGTGCGGATTGGCTGCAAGGCCCGTATATTTACCCCATCTACAAAGGTATCTTGCCCTGCGCTTCTGGATCAATCCAAGAAAAGAGAAAGAAAACGAGAAAAAAAAAATAGCAAGCTAAGATCCAGTCTAGACGAGAAGGGGCTTGAAGAAAAGGTCGTCGCTCTCCTCTTCATGATGGGATTCCTCTCTGGCGGCATCTCGGCTTCGTTCGCAGGTTCCGTTGCCGACCGGTTCGGCCGCAAGACTGCATGTCTGTCGTACTGCGTGCTATACTCGCTTTCGTGCCTCACGCTTCTCTCCGACCGCCTTCCCATTCTCTTCCTCGGCCGTATTCTAGGCGGTATTTGCGGGACGCTTCTCTACAGTGTTTACGAGAGCTGGTTGGTGGCCGAGTTCAACAAGCTCATGCTGGAGGAACCTGGCTCGATTCTCGGCGGCATCTTCAGTCTCAACACTACGCTGAATAGTGTCGTGGCTATCTTGGCTGGAATTGCAGCAGAGTCCATGGTCCGGTTCTTTGGCACTGCGAAAGCACCTTTCCTGGGCTCTATCGCTTGCTTGTGCGTTGCTTTCATGGCAATTGCAAAGACTTGGGCAAGTGTCATTCCGCACTATGAGAAGCATTCACTAACTGTTTGAAGTCGGAGAACTATGGTACCCTTGCTGATGATTCTGATGATTCTTCACGCCTGCTGTCCGCAGAGAGCGGCAAAGAACCTGCGCCCAAAACATCACCTCTCAACACGGTCTTCAGAGGTACGCGTGGATCCGCACGTCCATGTTTATGCCGCTAACTCGGTTACCTGCAGACAAAAATATTCTGACACTCGCGTTGACATCCTGCTTTTTTGAGGGATCCCTATTCCTCTTCATCTTCTTCAAGTTCCCAGCACTGAAGCTTTGCCACGAGATGTCCGGCGCATCGGGAGGTATGTTTGTTTCATCCCAGAACGAAGCCTCTATCCGCTCATACAGTCTGTCGCAGATCTCCCGTTCGGTCTAATCTTCGCCATTCTCATGTGTTCCATGATGCTCGGCTCTATGCTTTACAACAACATAACAGCAATCTCTCAAATCTCCACCAAACAAAGCCTCACCTACACGCTTGCCGCCGCATCCGCCTGCTTCTTCCTTCCAGCCTACGTCCGCGACGAACACATCACCCTGTGGTGTTTTTGCGTGTTCGAAGTTTGTTGCGGCTTCTACTACCCCGCCATGTCCTCCCTCAAGGGCAAATTGGTCAAAGATGGCGCTCGCGCAAGCGTGTATACCATCCTGCGGGTGCCGCTGAATACGTTCGTGGTGCTCGCGCTCAGCGTGACAAAGGAGGGTGAAAGTCATCGCAACAAGGTGTTTGTCATGTGCAGTGGGTTGATGGTCTGCGCGGCACTGGTCGTGCATAGGGTCTTGACCTGATTGGGGCTTTTCATTCCATTGCTTCCTTGATATAGGTTCCCCAGCCCAGTCTATCTAGATGTTGCTCAATACAGAAATAACATGGGCAAAAACATGAATTTGTGCGTCATGTGCGTGATTGATGAAGGCAATGAAAGTGCTGTCCACTGCGCCCTCATCCAGCTAGCCAGCCATTGATGGACCCACGCACAACCGTCGAGGCTCGCAGGAATGATCCGAAATCGCTCAATGCCACGCTGCTAGCCAGCCTTGGACAGGATTCATCATGTTGATGGAAAACAGCGACATGATGATGCACCCGCATCCAAATTGGGCGAGCGACCAAGACTTGCACCCTAGTCCGGATCAAGTAACCATACATCTGAAACATGGCAAGCATTCGCAGCCTCTCCAAACGTCAGATGGTCCGCACGATCGAGTCAAGACGTATGACAAAAAGCGGAGAGTCGAGTATCGACATGATACTACAAATGCTTAACAGCCGACTTGAAACATGGCCGTGGCGTATAGTTCGGGAACGTGCGTTGTGATGATCGGCCGGCTGGAACCCTCGACAGACGGGGCGTGAAACCAGACAACGTACTGACGGCACTCTACGACGTTTGCGAGCACACAGGCGTGCTCGTGCGTGGGGGCCCAAGAGGCTGGTGGCACAGGTCATGTTTGCTCTGGCGGCCCCGTTATGTCGTCGCGGAATTGTGGAGTTGGAGCGGTGGCGAGCGCGTTGCGAGGCCATGGCGTGGCTATCACTTGCTGTGAGGTGTTACAGGAATTCACTTTTGACACCGGGATCCCGTGGAATACGGCTCGGCGTGGAAGTCGATTCGTTGGTTGGGCCCGTCTTCACTTTGGGTTGGGAACCTGAGTGCTCTTTCCTGGCGCCATTGAAAGGGCGGTCGTGGACGCATTCACTCGAGTGCTTGACTATAACAATCCTCATCTCAACCCCCCCTCTTCCTCCACCTCTCCCTCCTCACATCCACATCTCTTTCGGAAAGTCGATTCAACATGACTCTCCGCTCATATATCGGTACGTCTGCGTCGCACACACCACGGGCCCCCTCCCCACTAACAGCAACAACAGGACGGATGGCCCTCGCCGGCGTCGTAGCCTTCATCTGCATCATAACTTTCTTCCAGGACGGCGACAGCTCTCTCGTGTCCTCGCTGCCCTCAATTCCTCGCCCAAACCCCTCACCATCCGCCCCGCGCAAGTTTGCCTCGCTGCGCGACCGCATCCAGCTCTCCGAACTCTCATGGAAACGCACCGTCTCACAGCGGCATCAAATGATCTCCGCAATGCCAAATGCCGTCGTCAAGCCGTGGCCAAAGGACTGGACTGAGGAGCCAGGCAACCTCGTCATGTGGGACTACTTCCCGGCGGCGTGGAGCTGCCCGCACGACGTCCAGCGCGTCGGACGCCTCGGGGACGGTGGGAAATGGGTCTGCGGCATGAGCGTGTATGAGTCGCTACCCGCACCTGCATCGTGGACCGGTTCCGCGGGTGTTCCTTCTGGTGGCCAGGAGGGTCTCGTTGTGTACAGCTTCGGCATCAATGGCGACTCTTCATTCGAGGCGGAGCTGCTGGAACGCGTCCCGAGCGCCCGCATCTGGGGGTTCGATTTCAGCGTCAACGGATGGGGTCCCCAAATCACGTCTGCAGTCTCGCAACGCACGTTTTTCAAAAAAGCCGGCATCGGCGCCAAAGACGAACCCCATCTCACCACAAACGGCCCGCTCTACACCCTCCAGTCGTTGATGGCGTCCAACAACCACACCTACATCGACGTGTTGAAGATCGACGTCGAAGGCAACGAGTTCAAATCCCTCGAGGCGTTTATGGATCATGTCCGCCGCGAGTGGAAACACGGTGGCGACGGCGTTCTTCCCATCGGCCAGGTCATGATTGAGATCCACGCCAATGAAAAGTACATATCTTTCCCCAACTTTCGCCGGTGGTGGGAGAGGCTTGAAGGGATGGGCATGCGGGCTACGTGGATCGAGCTGAATCTACTACGTGTGACACTGTTCCAGGACCCGAAGCCTGACTGCACAGAGTATGTGTGGGTCAATGCAAAAGATCAGCAGAACAAGCTGTGGTATGAGTGAAGTCAGTCGAGCGCTGGCATTTGTGGTGGTGGAGCAGTGTCGTTTGGATCATGGACACAAAAATGGTCTTGGCTACAACGTGGGCGGTGGGATATCTCGGCAGCGGTCGTTCATGGGTGCATTGCTTGGTGTTCTCCCTTGTTTTCTTTCGTCATGAGGCATCATTGGTTGGGCGGTAAGGGGGTTTTTGTTTCTTCTTCTTCTTCTTCTTCTTCTTCCTTTGGCGTTGCTTCCATACATCTGCTCGGTTAGGGAAGTACGATGTGGCGTTTTCTAGATACTTTTGGTAGCTCCAACGATAGGTTTCGTTCATGCAAGAACGAAATGTATATCAGTGGTGGTCAAACCTGATGGTGGCTAGAGCATTAGGTGACGACAGGAAATCCCGTTGCCTTTCCTTTGGTACTTAGTGTTGGGACACTTGCAGTCATGCTGTGGCGCAACAAGGTGGTTTGGCAAGACTTGAATACATGCATGTGTGTGTGTGAGCTTTGATACCAAGTCTACATGTATTATGTGATGGTGGCATATTCTACACTACGGGGTTTTATCAAGCTACACACATGTGTGGACCGCTATGTGTTTTGGCGGGGGCTGGAAGGAAGCCGGAATATATTCCGTCCTCGGAGACGCAGTCTCGGAAACAAGGAGGAACTGTGGATAAGCGTGGTTCGACTGTTCCCGCTAAAAACATTCAGCAGCATGTGGGGACGGAAGGGTAGGAGAAGACGTTCTCTATCCAAGGGCGATGACGTCGGAATGAGTTATGTATGTATGCATGTATGCGGCTGCGGATAGTCCCTTTCGAACCACGAACCAAGCATTGCCTGGAACGGGACGAAGCGTTGTGGCAGGTTACCATGTAGGCCTATCACGTGTGCGACATCCGTGACGGCTTGCGCGTCTGTCAGGCTGCATGACCGAACAGCATGCGCCGGCGCCAAACTTTGATCTGGAGACTGGAATAGGTCTGCCTGGACTGTTCGGTGGGTGGGGACCAGCCGGCGCTCCTTTCCGCAAGATTTTGTTTCCTTGTTTCCTGCTTGTGAAGTCTTTTGCAGGCTGGGGCCAATCAAGATGGGAGAGATGGCGAAGGGGGGCGTGGTGTAAAAAAAAAACTTACACATGTATGTACATATGTACCCAAGATCGGACCGATCATTCTTCTTCGTGATTAAGACCGATATTTCCGGGTGGACGATTCACATAGAGACGGTGCTAGCGTGTGCAATGACAAATCCGACTTGGAGTGCAAACGGATGCATGGTTTGCATTTGTGTTTGTTGAAGACAAAACATGAGCACCAGAGTGAGTGTTCTGATAACTCGGCTGGCTTGCAATATGCAAGACATTGGCCAACTATGATGCCGTCGACACCTACAGGAACCTAACCAAGCATCGAGGTAGAGTCCAAGTGCTTGTGAAGTTGCACATAGAGCTGCCAGACGACGTAGCGGCTGAACCGTGACAATGCAAGCTACCTAAGCCTTCCAACCACGGTAAACAATCCTGCTTCCATACTTCTCGCCTTTCTTGAGAACCGTCATTGACTGATGCTCGGGGACATTGATCGCGTTCACGTAACGACTGGGTTCGACGCAGAAGCCAGCACGGGCGCCGCGTGCTGGTAGTCCCTCCACAGCCGGTACGTCAATATACTTGCCAGTGTAGAATTGGAAAGCAGGCTCCGTCGTGAGGATCTCGAGATGGATCTTTGATTCCGGGTGGAAGAAGGCTGCCACTCTCTGCACCGGTGAGGACCGTGTGTCAAGCGGAACGCTGGAAGGGTTGGTGTTTGCGATGAAGCAATCGTCAATATCTGGCTCTGTTTCGCCGAGTGTAAAGGTCGTGTTTGGTTTGACACCAGGATACTCTTCAATAGGCCCCTCGGGAATGCCGCCGTCATCCACTACCTGGTATTTGTTTGTGATCAAAGTTACCTCCGTGCCAGCAATCGTAGGTGAGTTGCTCAAATTGAAGTAGCTGAGGTGAAGTGTCAGTTGAACTGGTCTCGATGCTGTAGGGCTGTTAGGCTTACCTGTGGTTCGTCATGCTAATAGCTGTCTCGGAAATGTTATCATCGACCAACTCGGCTTCATACTCGATGTAAAGCACCTCCTTGCCATCCTCCTTCTCCTGCACGTACCACACGCTCACCTCCACGGCGCCCGGGTATCCTTCTTCACCATCTGCACTGTGATATTTGAATAGAGTGGCTTGTTTGCCGTTTCGCTCCACCTGGGACGGGCCGTCGAACTCTCGCTTGCCCCACCCCGCATTGCCTCCATGTAGAGAATTGGGACCATTGTTGACAGGCAAATGGTGAGTTTTTCCACTGAGCTCGAACTTCGCATTCGCAACTCGGTTCGCAATGCGGCCAATGGTCTCACCAAAGTAAGGAGCGTTGTCTGATGTTAGTAGGTATATAGATTAGCACATATTAAGAATACCAAGATGTCGAGTAGGCCCATCAACAAGGCTGTGTATTCCGGTACAGCAAGAACAGGGCAAGGCTCACTGCGTCATGTCAACGTTTGCCCGTGTTGGATGGTGGAGGCCGGGGGTGTGGCGATTACCATTTTTTGTACAAGTCCGCGGAAGGGAACCCCTGGACGATGTTGATGCCATCGACGTTGAACTCCTGGATGATGGCTCCGAGTGGGAGGAAAGTGAAAGCGTTTCCCGCGGACATGGTGGCGTCGATAGCTTGATGATTGGTCCGGGTCGATTGCGCGAGATCTACCCCGTCATGGTCAGCCTCAATGACATGGAGCATTCCTAGACCAGTATCTCAAGGGGGGTTCGAGGGGCTGAGATTTGGGAGAGGTGGCCATGTGGAAATATGTGAAGAACCCTCCGACATGATGGATATTCTCCACCCGACGTAATGTTTTTGCGTGGGCACCCAAAAGCTATTCGCCGACTTACCGTTTGATGAGCGGTATGAGAGGAGACCAAACCTGTGCTGGCTGGTATATTGACCTAGTTAAGGAAAAGAAGGTTGCGAGTCTGGTTGTTGAAGATTGCGGGGCTGATTCGTACTAAGTGTTATAAGAGATGATTATTAGGCTAATAAGTCACGATTCACAGATTAATTGTCCCGTAGTACCAAGATTCATCTCCACCACCGCATCACTGCACATGGTGCATCTCAGAGCATTCCCCACTGTAAGGGTGTAACAGCAGCCGTTACTGAATTGTGTACGCATGCTCAGACATTCAAAGGTGGATGGAGTGGGGATCGGACAAGATGTTCGGCCGACACGGTGATGACTCAGCACACGATAGTGCGCCAACCATAGTTTGGAAAACACACATCAATGTCATCGCATTCCCATCCGATACATGCCCTCGTTCTATGCTCCTGCTCCATCGCTGGTCCTCCCCGGTCCAGCTCTTGTCTTGCTCGTTGTCGCAAGACTACACCACCCGACACGCCTGCTGGTGGTGGGCCAACAGCTTGTCCACCATCACTGGCACTATCGAGTGCCCTTCCTTGACGTCATCTTCCTACTGTCGCGCCTGGCCTAGCAGCCTTCTCCGCCTCGGGCAGGCAGGTAGTAGGTAGTCGACCGGATGATAGACCGCCCTTATCCCCGATAGCTCCGAGCCCGGGATATTCCCATTTGGGTAACAATACGTTGCCAGCCAGCGAGTGAATGAAACAACGCTTCAACGCTCGATGCATGTCTGATTAAAAAGTCTTGAGATGTCGGCATTCAACCCCCAGCCCGTTCAAGTTACCACCTGGTTGTTGATGAAATTGTTGAAATCCACATCAGCGTTGTTGTTCCAGTCCGGCATGGCGGGATCGTTTACTACAATGGGATCGAGCAACATCGCGTTCTGATCAAAGTTTCCGTACGTGTCGAAGCCATACATCGGTTTACTGAAGTCAAGCGACTCCTCCATCATCATCGAGTTGGATGTCCAATTCGTCCGTGAGAGTGAGGACGGATCCAAGGCTCCAGTATCCATGAAATCGGGCATCATCATTGGTGTTTCTTGCTTGACCGAGGGCACAAGCTGAGACTGCCTCGGGAACGGGCTGTGCATAGGCGGGGTCGGTGGTGCGACATTACGAGCGAACGCTTCATTGAAGGTCATGGACTTCGCCGTTGTTGGTGTTCCGCTAGTTGACGATGAAGCCGGTGTGTGGCCATGGTCCGAATCAGAACTGACCGAAGACCTTCGGCGAGTATACGGGGCACCCCCATCAACCAATTTCTGCTGCATGCGACCGCAGTCTTCCTCGAAGTTTTCATGGTTGCCGCTACCATCGCCTGAAGAGTGAAGAAGGTCCAGACGTTCCAAGATATCATGCGTCAATGGGCTGCCGCCGTGTGCTTCACGAAGTGGTGCTCCAGGCCAGCTGTCTCCGGTCTGCAACCGTCTGTACAATTCGCGTAGACCAGCAACAAGCTGGGATTGTTGTTGCTCAAGCATCTCGACGTATCTGTGGAAGCATTAGTGACGGTGATGAGACAAGCGTGTCTATGGTTGCTCACCCTTTGGGATACACTTTGTCTTGAGATTTTTTCCGCTCGCCGAAGACGCAAATGGCATTGTCTGCTTTGCACCGACTGCACGGGCTAGCACCATCACACTAGAAGAGATCAGAGAAAGTCCAGATATCAGGAGCCAGGCCAAGCTTACCTTTGATTTCTTCAAACGGCACCGATCGCAAGCTTTACAAACCCGCTTCCTGACGTTGTCTTGGGATTCCATGGAGCTGGATCGTTGCGAGGACATGGAAGACAGCAGGGCTCAGATGTGTCGAGTCGACAACAATGAACCGAAGCTGAGTAATGGCGAACAAAGGAGGATGTTGGGTGGGATGACAGGGTGTGGCTTCTTTTGGTGGAAAAAGAAAAGGCCAAAAACCAAACAACTTGAAATGTGGAGGACCAGGGCTGAAAGTGTGCGACCTAAATACGCGTGGCAGACATGGCATTATATCTATTCACGTCAGTGGGCAAGTCCCAAACGGACGTTCGGCCTTAACGTCGTGGCAGACTCATTGTAAACAATCGGTAATCATGTAGTCGCTGCTAAAACACCCCTGCGGGCTGGGTGGGCCACGCATCATCGGTCGGAGCGTTGATTATATTTGCGCTCCGCGCAGGGTACCGGGGTTGTTGGCGTCTGCGCCAACCTTACAGATCAGACACTTGGCATAATTGACCAAAAGCTCCATTCGTGACAAAGCACAGCGGCGCAAAATCGGCCAACAATGGCACAAACAGTCATGTACGGCGTGGTGTTGGCTGGTCAAGTGCATGCACCAGAGCAGCCGAGATTTGCAAGCAATGGCATCATGGTTGGAACGACACCTGCCCTAGCGGCTCGTGAGCTGGTGCAGGGCAACGGCAGCACTGACGGGAGATCACCAGCAAGAATGGTGCTGAGGGAGTTGAGCTCGGGATTCGGAACTGCCTCAAAGCCGGCTTTCTCTTGCGCTCACCACGGACGAACAAAGGCTCGACCAGCACGTCTATGTACCAAATGAGGCGCCTAGTGAAAGCGCAGTACTAAACCAGGCCAACCCTCACTCATCGTGGAATCTTTCTCCAGCTCGTTCAATCGTCGGTCTGGTTGGTCATGGGTGAGATCCGTCCCTTTTCCGTAAAAGCTCGGCCGAGCAAAGGTGTGCGAAGAAGAAGTATCCGTGGCCCACATTTTGAGCCCAGCCCCCTGGAATCTTCACGGAACGGAATGATTAATCCAACGTTCCAATCGTGCACATGCAAGAAATTGATTACTTTTCTTGAGCGCAGTGTGTAGGCGCATATGAAATTGGATACCCGAATTACCGAATCCCATTGTTGAACTTGAGAGGTGAATTGTAGCATTCAATGTTCGTTCTTGCCCGTTGTTCTCAAGCAGGAGGAAACTACATATGTATAGATTGATCATCGGACGCCATGCTGCTCCATGAGGATAACCATCGTCGAATTTGTCCATTCGAGTCGAGTGTCAAACGACGTCGTGCAGTAACACTCCGCCTTGATTTCTTGGAGCGGCGAATGATATCCAGGGTTCGGTGGCTTGTACTTGCATATAGCGGAGCATCCTAGACCGCACTGCTTACGATATCTCTCCCACTCCGCACGAGTTGACCAAACACTACCACTTTCAGAATTCGGTCTTGCCTGGCTGGGGATTTTTCTGAGCACGAGAATTAATTGGCTACGCACTCATCCTGGCTGCAAGGTACTCAGCGAACTGGCATGCCCAGCACAACTCAGTCCCCGAGTCGGCGACACCCATGAAGTCTTTTCGTTGGAAGGATCGAATGCTTCGACCTCTTGTACGCTTGCTTGTACGAAAGGTGCCTTGTTTCGGTACGAGAGAGTGCGCTGCCACACGAGACACGTTTTGACACTTTTTCCCTTGCCTTTGAGAGTTTGGTCACGCAATGTGGCGTATTCGTACGTGGTTGTCTGACAAGGTACGTATGCGCCGTATTTGTATACGAATAGGAGAGCCAAACCAATTCCCTAGTCAGGCAAGCTGTAATCAGCGGCATTGAATGTCATGTATCATGTCAGCATCATCATACCGTGTGGACCCAGCCCAGCTTATCTAGCAACTGCAAAAGAGAAGAAGAAGAAAAAATACAAGAACAGCAACAGCAACAATGACAACGGCGGGTATTTTTTTTTTGCCCGATTCAGGCCCTTTGGTGCACGTCATACATGTTGAGTGAAGCAGCGCCTGCTCTTTCCATTTAAACTTCCGAGGCTTGCATACTATATGGCTTACTTACGACAGGAATAATTACATTGGGATAAAACCGCGCTCGCTAAAGCAAGGTCACATCGTAGTCATCATGCCACGGGATGTCTGCATGATTTCATCTTTTGAGAACAGAACAAAAAAAAATGAAGTGGGCCTCGTACGATGGGCTCAGCACGAATGCATAGCGCTGATCAAGCATCGCTGTCACTCTGCTCAATACCAAACATGACATTGATGGCAAGCATCATGCGCCTCACGTCGATGAGGGAGGCGGTGGACGATCTTAAATGTACAAAAGCAAGGCATGCTGGACAAGAGAACAGCAGATCAATCTCCATATACCCCAATACCTTGTCTCCCACACCAGCGTCCGCCGCTGAGGTGAAATCCCGCCTCTAGTACCTACGTATGTACATACGACGGAAACTTTCCGGTGATTCTGATTGGCCAATCGCGCAGACTTCACGAGCATCTTTAACAAACGTCGACGGACAGAGTCAACCACCAACATGCGGATTGCGTGCAGTATTCTCAGCCTAGACGTTATATCGACATTCACCGCATGACAGATACGGAGGTATTGCGCTCGCAATGCGCTTTGAGGTTTCCCATGGCGATTTACAGCTTTGAACAGTTGGACGCAGACGTCACGTGTACGTGATATAGCCATGGCAAGCGTCGGTCACATTTGACTGCCAATCGAATAGTTTGACCATCCAAGACTCTTCATAAAACAAAAAACTTGGAGAGCACCCCGCGCTGTTCGGCGTATTGGCACTTAGCGCCGAGAGTGCGCCGACTTAACTTCCACCTTGTCAGGATTCCAGGTAGTGCAGAAACTCGTTATCCCTTCATTTCACGCCGATAATCTACTCTCCACGCCTCACTTGTAGTGTGATTCACAACTCATGGACCTCTGTTTCGACACGTGTAGAGCGGTTTCGAATCCACTTTGTATCCTCCAGTGGGCGATCGCGCCAGGCAATCCTTGAAAAGTCAAGCTTGACGTCAGGAATAGCAATATCCATTTTCAATCCCACCCGAACTAAACAACCAACTAGGGACCAAAGCCCACGACGTAGGGCGGAATCTTTTGGCCAGATCAGGATTGCGACTTGGCAATTGCAGTCGCAAAAGCCAAGGCAGTTTGGTACGTGCCGTCACGATGCACCCGCCACGCTATGTATGAATTTCTCTAGGCGTATATTATATTACCAGCAACCACCACCTATTCGTTGCCAACACTCGGCCGCCCAGGGCCCCTTCCTCCGTGTCGCTATGCGAAGGTGCGAGTGGCTTACCTTACCAAGGACTTGTCAACGTAATTGACTCTCAGCCCCCCTGGGCTGTGTGGGACGTCGACCAATACAGACCAAGCAGATGCGAAGCTCGCGTATCGCATACGCGTATTGCTGGGCTTCATTCGCTTGCCCGGCCAAACAAACAGGCATCGATCCATATCACAATGACATTGTCTGGACCTACCTTGCGACCACAATCTCCGCCAGCCCTCGAGGGCATCGTATCAACCCAGACACCAAAAGGTTGGATTAGATGTTTGCTTGCTGCTCGCGGGAAGCGCATGGGCTCTTCCCGCGCACATGGCAGGGATTCGCGTGGACGAAAACCGTCGGGTCCCGCGCACTCGGCCATCTATACTTCCGCCTCCCGCGACTAGACGTAGACTCCCTCGTCTCAGCCGTGGGGTAATCATCGTACATAGTACAGTCCCGGTAGTGGTGACTGGATGCGGTGCAATCCTGCTCGGAACAGACATGCCATACCGCCCCGATACTGTGGCTCCATGATCCCAGCTTTGCTTGAAGAAGGACTCGTGCCCTGCGTGAATAAAGTGTGGGGAACAGGTCCATGGAGTGGCATAATGGGAGCTAGCTGCGGCAACCAGCGCTCTCCCCATCTTCTCGTCCATCCCAAGGCATCCGTTCTTAACTATGCATGGCGTTGGCATCAACGCTCAACGTCTATAACCACTTGACTCGACTTGCGCTTGACTCGAATCATCATCAAGCTGACCTGCACGAGTAGGTGCAAGGTTGTAGAGGCCATCCCTTGTACAATGGTATTTGTCCGATTGAAATATAGTCATTGTACCACACCCCTAAAGGAGGCAGGCACCCAAATAAAATGAACTCCTTTCATTCCCCCTGGGAAATCACATTTCTTTGTTGAGTAATCAAAACCAAAGTAGCCCAGACACGAACGATTCCTCGGTTTTCGCTCCACACATGGAAACAACTCCAACGGAGAGAGAGAGAGAGAGAGAAAGGACCCCGGGCGGAGGACTTAAGCAGCGAAACTCCGCATCTCGCGACCGACACACACCGACGCTTATTCGTAATCGCTTTTTTGCCAATCCCTCTAATCGGAGAAAGAGCCAATTGCTGTTTTTGATTATCTTATCCCCCGTTATTGTTCTTTTTTTTTCTCCTTTCCCGTTGGCAGTCCAGCTAGCTCCCTTCTTCTCACGTCACCCAAAGAAATGGATATCCCCATTATCGACTGGCTTTGTTTCACTCTTGGAAATCAATCTTTTTTGCAATATGTGATAGTAGGGCGGACGGTGACGTCTTTTCGTCTACACGCTACAACCTCCATCTGCGGCCTTTGGAATACTCAATCCATGCTTGTCAAATTGCGCAGTCATGACACATTACTCAGGGTATGGATGAATCCATTGGTGTATTTATCTGTATGCGTATGAATATATATTTGTTTGCATGACTGTGTTTATGTATACACACACACACACACATATATATATATATATATATATATATATATGTAGCTATCTATCTACAGTCATCATTTTTCTGTAAACGCTGCCTCACTCCAACCCAGCACTTCAGTCTCCCTCTTTCAATTCTCCAGCCACGTTGCACCTACCTGTTCAGGTACCAACAAAGAAATATTGGGTAGTGATATAAACTCACCTACCGCGATCACACCCCGCGCTCCTTTTAGAAAACCGCACCCCCAATGATAAACACCCTCTCCTCCTCTTTCTTCACCCAACTAACAACACGATTCGCAGCTGCCGTCAGCGCCTGACGGGATGCGACAGCAGGTGCGACGGCATACAGTTCGAAGAGCGGAGTCTGCCATGCGAGGGCGACATAAGTTGGGGAGGATTGGTGTATGATTTTCAAAGAAGTAGGTTTGGCGTGGAGAGTCGAGTGTAGGGTCGAGTAGAGAGTCAGGAGTCTATATTGGAGACTCTTGTGTCAGTGGTCTTCACCGCGAGGAGCTACTTGTTTTGTTTCCAACGAGAGATACAGCACTGACCTTCGTTTCTCCCACGCGCTCGTGAACGCAGGCTCGAACCGGGGCATCACGAATTGCACGTTGCCTCTGCTCTTGTACAAGAAATGCCTCAACACGGTGCCGGGAACTACATCCGTGCAAGTCGGTCGTCCCCGCCGCACGGCGCTGCGGATCGCATCGATAGACCCGTTCTGTGTGAGTTGCTGTATTGTTCAATCCATGTTAGCGAGCCTGGCCTTGTAATTGAGTGCATCGGAATGGTTGTGACGGAGATGAGTCCGTGATACGTCCGCACCGTCCGATCTTCCGCAGCGCAAACAGGAGCCAGGGACGCCCGTACAACAAACCCAAAGGATGCGCATTTCTCAAGTGTCACGCATCCTCCGATATGTCCGCGTCATCCGAAGCGATGAGAATTGTCGACGGGGATCGGTAGTTGGAAAGCGCCGTCCGAGACCCATATGAAACCAATCGCGATCTCTACAAACCGAGAGTCGCAGTGGGCGAAAGAGTCGTGAATACACAGCTCAAACACAGTTCTCTCGTGGACCAACACAATACGACACGTGTACAGGCGAGGGGTCCTTCATGGCTTGAAGACGACAGGAAGCCCGCGGATTTTGGGGATGATGAAGGTGGACCAACCCAAGGTGGAAGGTAGATAAAGTACGTACCTCGACCAAGTCATCTTTCATGTCCCTCATCTCGAAAAATGCCTCCTTTTTCGTACTAATAAGCAGCACAGCAACCTCATCACCCAACCCTTCGTTTCGCCCATCATCAGCACCCTCAGCCATAGCTACATTGTCACTTCCGCCATTGCCTTCGGCTCTTACACCGTCCGCCCCGCTTTCGCCCCCGACGGGCCACTCTTCTTGTGCGTCCAGTCTCAGGAAGCTCACATGCATGTACAAATAGCCGGTATTGTTAAACCCAGGCAAACACAGCGGAATCCAATTCTCCTCCGCGCCACCAGCTTTGACGCCACGGGCCTCAAAAAGCATGTTGAAAATCAGCTGTAAATCGCCTGGATGCAAGCTATGCTTCTTCGGTCTGACTACCGACACCAGCTTCCCAGACGCAACCAGCAAACCGTAAAGGAGGTTCTCATTCCTTACGCGGAGAAGAGTGTTGTTGATAGTGGCACGATGCGATTTGCGTAGACGTAGGCACTCGAGAGCGGAGAGGAGGGTGGAAGGAGACCCACGGGTAAAGCCGTCGGAGAGGGCGGAGAGCAAGGTTTCGGTGCCCTGGAGGGGACGGCGGAGGTCGTAGCTTGCGCGAGCCGCGAACATGCGTTGCATGCTGGGCAGGGTAAGGGTAGACAGAATCTGCATGTAGAGTGCGTCGAGCTGGGAGCGCAGCTGGGAATCGCTTTCGGGGAGACGGCTGATGGCGACGAGGTACAGGGGCCCCTTTGTGACAACGACGAAGCGCACATGATCGGTGGTAAAGCCGCGCAGGGTGTCCGAGGTGGACTGGTAGAAGGAGATGAGGGTCTGGATCACGCCAATGTAATTTGTGATGAGTTGATCGGAACCGTGACGGCTGTAGATGGGTTTGCCCGCGCTCGAGAGGATGAGGAAGTGCTTAAGCTTGCCGCGCCATTGGCGCATGACGTGATGCTCGTTGGCTCCATCGACGCTCAACTCGTCCACGCGGTCCAATTCACGCGCGAAGGCGCGCTCCAGATCGGGTTCGGGGCCAAACAAGCTGGCAGACTCCTTGTCGGCAAAAGTGCGTCGTAAAGGCACGCCTGTCAGCACATCGCCAATCATACTTTCGGCGTCGTCGGGCCCCGCAAGATCGAGAACGGTGGGAGCAAAGCTGTATAGGCTGGCGCTGTCGTCGCCATCGCTGTTGCTGGTGCTTGGCTGGTGCGAGCCCGCATACGAAATCTGCGTGGTTGCTTTGGATACAAGGGACGGCCTGGCTGCAGTCGCATTGGCCGTCGAGTGTGAGGTCGGCGGCCGCGAGGTGGAAATTCGACGAGGGCGCGGTGGAAGCGGCGGCGGTGTTTCTTCGTCTCCTGGTTCTCGACTCGACAGGGCGCCTGTCGAGGGTTTTCTGGAGAGCGAGCCCGAGCCTATGATGCTTAGGGTGGGGTTTGCAAAGTCGTGGTGTTCGACCGCTTGTTGATGTTGCCCATCCTTATCCGGTGAGGATGAAGCCGCTGTCGGCGGGCATGACGTTATGGCATTGTCGGACCCGGTCATTGTCAAGGCATCGAGCAAGTCGTTGTCATGGATGAGCACATGTAGATATACAGGTATCTGTATACCCAAATATCAAACCGCGCGTGTGCTCTTGAGGTTGTGGTTGTTGTTTGTTGTTGTTGTCGTTGTCATCGTGGCAATGCGACGTGTTGGATGGAGTTTAAGGGAGGGTTCGGAATCGTCCATCTCGCGAGATGACGCCAATATGCCGACCATGCTGAACAGGGGGGCCACGTTTTGCGGCTTTGAGCACGTGCATACATATATGTACATAGGTATGTACATTACATAGGTACATACATGTGTACCCATGTTCCGCATCTGTTGCCAAACTCGAGCAGTTTTAGGCACCCGATGCATTCAGTTTGTATATTCACACTATACCATCCATAGTCCCCTTGGGAACATTTACAGAGACCTTGACAAGAAGAAGAAAATCGAAGCTACCCAGCCATATTCAACTTCATTGATTCGTCCCAGGAACAACACCACTCCTCCCAGATCAGCAAAGGCATCATCCAAGCTGTCCCACGTATCCTGATACCCTGTGCAACCGGCTCGTCTCGCTTTACTCATGATATTTACGAGGTTGTACTCTCTCCCCAACACAAACTGTGTAAATCCCCACGGCGCAGTGTGCAACGCGTCCTCACGAACACTTTCACGCTGCGCAATTGACTTCCATGCAGCCTTGACCTCATCCCGCTGCGCCCATTGTACGAGGTCGATTGCTGCGACACGTGGGATTGTGCCGTAAGTGGATGTCCTTCCAATCCGAGAGAGGACACGGGCTGATTATGCTTGATTTTGAGACCGAATCGCGAGGCCACTTTGGCCACAGATTCTGCCATGTCTCTGTATCACCATTGACAACATTGAAAGCTTGATTGGCGGCGCGCGGCTCTAAAGTGGCCCACGCGCAAAAATCGGCATGCACTTTGCTCGACGTTAAGGATTCAAAGTTGGTGTAGAAGGCTGGTGCTCCCGGAAAGACTAAATCCTGTCCCATCTTCTTGATCACAGCAGCATAGATGGCGATGGTAAGGGCCAGGTTCGTGAAATTACCATACGCATCGTCAATGATGTCGTTGGGGTATGTGGCCGTCCATTATTTTTCGTGTGAAGCGCAAAAATCGCGCAGGATGTTCTATTGATTATAGTAGAAGTTGGGCGACCATTCTGATCATGTGAGCCATGGGGTCCGACTGGAGCATGCGACTCTTCACGGCTCCCAGGTGCACGCCGTGCTGCTTGCAGCCCGTGACGAGAATAATGCGCTTGACGTCTCCAATAGCACCTGTCGTGATCAGAGCGGAGAGAAAATTGAAGAGCAGCTCTCCATTTACATCGCAGTCTTCCTGCTCGCTGTCCATTTGGAGATGGGCAGTGACGAAGATGTATTCGCCGCGCACGCTGTGCAGGTCGGATGCTATCTTCGAGGCTGAGGACTGCAGGTCGACATGATGATGAATGACATTCTCGAGGTATTCCTCTTTTCTGCTGCGAGAGATGGCGTGGACAGTCGGCCATTGTTGAGTAGAGCGGCTGAGTTGGTAGACGATCTCTCGTCCAGGAATGCTAGTGGCGCGGTTTGAGATAGCGGAAGACATTTTGGTGGCTGGTTTGTTTCTGATGGTCGATGTTTATAGTGGCAGAATAGTCGTGGCGGGTGGGGTGTATATGTTTATTTTCTCGGTCTCCGGTTCTGCCATGTGAGCTCTCGAAATTGCGCCTTGAGTTCATCTTTGAAATGGTCGAGTGGCGAGGGGCCGGTCCTGCCACCGCCGTTGGGGCGATGCATTGGGGGCAAGCGGTTGATCTTGCGATAAGCAGAGTGAACGATGCGGTTGAAGGTCGGGCTGCGGACGAGCTATTGCGGAGTAGTCAGTTGGGTTGTTTGCATTGGAGCGAAGTGGAGAGGGCAGGGAGACGTACGCGTGCTACGGCCCAAGCCTCGATGAGCATGAGAAAAGGAAGCTTCATGGTAATGCAGTATAGCGATGTTTGCGGGGCTGGCGTGGGCTAGGGCAAGGTATGGTGCAGCTGTAATGGAGGCAGTGGAGGGACTTGTCGAGATGTTGGGTGGTGGTTGCACATGCGATTACCTCATCCGACATTCCCGGCTCGACTCGTTACACTGGTTGTACGCATGGAGCAGTTCTGGAACAAGACACGGAAACCAAGTACATGACATAGACACGGACATTTGCCTACACGCATCCTGGGCATTCACATCGCTACCGAGTACCTGAGTACATGGGTACATGACATGCACCCAATGTTCTCACGTACCTACTGACGTACATACTCTCTCTCTCTCTCTCTCTCTTTGTTATCTCCTCCCCATCCTTCTCCCCCGACTCGTCTCCCCGACACGTCGTCGCGGGCAGGGCTGGCCTTCAAACTGCACAAAATCAAAGCTCTGCGCCGAAAGGCCAAACTCAAAGCCGCTGCCCATTTCCACCCGTCTGCTTCCTCCTCCTCCTCCCCCCTCTCGTGCTCGTCGTCGCCCTCGCCTCCCGACGGCGGTCCAGCCCCAAAGAGCTCGTCGTTTCCCTCGCTGCACACGGCGCTCATGGCCGCCTCGGCCCCTCTGGCTGTGCCCGCCTCGCCCGCCTCGTCGTCGTCCAAACGCTCCCGCAGCAGGGACAGCATCGCCGACAACCGCCACCTCAACGTCGCCGCCGCCTCGGTCCTCTCCCCCTCCCACAGCGCCCCGAGCCTCATCATCCCCGAGTCACATCAGCAGCCACCCGTGCCCCCGCAAAACGACCCCACGCCGTACCCCGCCTTCTTGCGACTGAAGAAGCCCCAGCTGCGCCAGAATTTCGACCACCTCGAGTTGGCCCAGCGCCAGCGCATCCAACCCGCTACTTCACCCCCTCATGACCAGCTGCCTTCGCAGTGGGCTCGCTGTACATGGCCCGACGCCATCAACCGCAATCGTTACGCAAACGTCGACCCCTACCAGACCAATCGCGTCCGCCTGCACGTGCCCGACGGCCACAACGACTACATCAATGCTTCACCCATTGAGTTGACCACTTCCAAGTCGCGCACGCCTCTGAGGTACATTGCTACCCAGGGCCCACGTTCCGACACAGTCTCGGACTTCTGGCGCATGGTCTGGCACGAAACCACAGACCCGGCCGTTGTTGTCATGCTTACCCAAACCCACGAGTCTGGCCGCGAGAAATGCTTTCCTTACTATCCACAAGCTCTCGCCCAGCCCGAGCTCAAGCTGAACCCGCACGACGAATACTCGGATGGCTTCCTTCATAACCTCAGACTCATCTCGCTCGCCGACCACGCCGACGCCCGTGCCCAAATCCGCGAGCTCGAAATGTCGCCCGCTCCATTGTCCACATCCTCATCTGTTGGCCCCTCGTCCGCCTCATCCTCCCCTCTTCCCGCCACTCCCGATCCCAAACCACACCTCCACCCTAACCCCACCGAGACTCGCAAAATTTGTCATCTCCTGTTTGCCGGCTGGCCCGACTTTCAGGTCCCCGAGGGCGCCGACCGCGCCGCCCTCTTGGAGCTTATCCGCATTTCGCGCGTCAAAAATGAGCATAACCTGTCAAACCCGCGCATCGTGCACTGCAGCGCCGGCGTAGGCCGCAGTGGCACATTCATCGCGCTCGATTGGCTCCTGCAAGAGCTCGACGAGGGCAGTCTGGACGCTGTGCCTGATGCCGCAGATCCTGTGGCTGACATCGTAGATACCTTGCGTCAGCAGCGCATGATGATGGTCCAGGGAGAAGCCCAGCTCGGCTTCATCTATGATGTGCTGCGCGAGCGATGGCGGGATCGCTGGGTGTTGAGATGTCCAGATGAGGCTGCAAAGTTGGGTGTTGCGCCTGCTGTTTTTGTCACGGCTCCCGCTTCAGTTTCGGTCGCTGCTGGGCTACATAATGATGGTCCAAGATTGAAGCGGCAAAAGAGTGTCAAGGAGCAGGAGACTGCTAGTGAGCATGGGACGCCGAGTTTCCGCGTTGATGATGTGAATGATGATGAGGACGAGGACGAGGACGAGGATGAGGACGATAGTAATGAGAGCTACCAAGAGGAGGGTGAGGACTTGCTCGACTCGCAAGGGGGTGGTACTGGGAGGATCATTCACCGTGCTGAACTCGAGGCCGAGCTTTCGGGCGCGGAGATGGTATTTGAACGTGGGAAGACGTAAACGTTGGTTTAGGATCAACTTTGCATCACTGGTATTGATTCCCTCCCCCTTCCCTCCTTTGTTCGTATGGAGGCTTTGTGTAGGATAGGACTGATTGTATATACTTTGGCTGCTTGGCTATTTGAATATCGATAATGCATTTATTTACAAGATCCATTCATCGTCTTGATCAATCCCTTCCCGAGGCCGCTTGGTGCATGCGGGAGTAGTATACATGATGATGCCTCGACGCGCTGCAGTGTATGCAATATATACTTGAATATTCAATATAGAGGCTGAATTTGGTAAATAGGAAGGCGACGTGAAGGCGTTAGAGGTCTTTCCAGACCTGAAAACATCGTAAAGGATTGCACATTTTGGTCTGCCAGGGAAGTCATGCAGTATGAAATCGGAGAGTGCTCATCAATAGGAGTAGAGAGTGCAGTGCAAATGTTCACGGTGAATCTACATACACACCTGGACATGTATGTACAAGTACCTGCATATGTATGTATGCCAGTCGATGAAGAATCCCGCCTGCCAGCCAGAGAAAGTGGCGAAGCACAAAATGAGGAAAGAGCCCTGTGTCACCTGGGTTCCAGGAAGGAAACTGCTGCCGCCGTCGCATTGCCACGTGCCGGTGCTAGGATCAGAGCACTGGAAAGAATCACCTCTCTTTCTGCTCCCAGACTACCCCCAAAACTCGTGTGGACATCCTGCATTCGATACACGATACTGCCAGCACACCCCACGAGCCGTCCAAACAATGATGACGGACAAAACCATCTCGCAGGAATATCTGCACGGATTCATCGACGACTGCAAAGGCTTGCTTTCAGAGGCGTATGATGCAACGACCTCTCACGAGGGTCTTTTCCCAATGGAGAAACCGACTTGCATCTTCAAGAATAATGTGACAAGCATCGCACTCGTGGGTCAACTGTGTGCCCACATCACCCCAACGTCCACTCCGAACCTCAAAGGTGCCAATGTCCGGCTCGACGACGTTGCCAAATCTCAATTCAACAAGCTGGCCAGGTTGGGCGTAAGGCGATGCGGCAGGCTGTGGTTGACCAATGAATATTATATCCTGTGTACCTTCGTCAAGCGTAAGTGTCGCCATCTCGTGCAGTTGTGGGCTCCTTGCTGACGTGCGAATCTTATCTGGCAGTGTCGAGCAACGGCACCGATGTCTGGACTAATATTCCGGTCGAAGATGGGAGAATGGACAAGATGGACCAGTTCATTGATACGAGACACGCCCCTTTGAACCTCGAACCGCCCTCAGACGCCGCGGAATTCCTGTATTACGAATACTAGGTTGAGTTTGTTCCCGGATGAGAACTCCGTCCATGGCTTCGAAATGTCTCGAAGCAATGCATATGGACAGTTTGCTGCCGAACATGGAGGAACAGCGAATCTCTCCGAGCTATGGTTGTGGTGGATCATGGTAGAGAAAAATCCATCTGTTGAGGCCTGAAGAAATTGAATGCTGCAGTCTGCTCTTGACTAGGAGCTCAGAAAGCAGCGTGCATATGAGGAGATTTCTGTCCATGGAGAGCTGGAAGAAGACAAGAGAACAACTCATTATCAAGTGGCATACATTGAGCCCGCTCAACATGTTTCAAGTCTTGGCCTGGCCAACGAGCTCGGATGGAAAGCGACATCCGAAAATGGGTCTCGCACAAGCCCTGTGGGAGTGCGCTGGACTCAGACAAAGGCACTGCATGGAGGGGGAAAGTGTGACGGTAGTGCTTGACCTAATGATTAGCGATCAAAATCAAAGGACTGGAGAGAGTAGTGAGAGATACACTTGAAGAGATGCTCGCCCATGGGCAGTCATACCTACATTATAGGGCTTGCAGCACCCCGGAATGGGCTATCAACAGTCTGCCAAGTTTTTCATTTTTGTCTGATTTATATCAGAACAAAGTGAACAACTGTTGATGGCACGTTGATACGCTGTTTAACAGTCTTATCATGTAGAAGATGTAGTCAATGCACTGTCCTAGGGTGCGCTAAACCTGATAATGTATATGCTGCTCTGGCGTGACCGTATTCCGGGAATGCTCGAAGAGAAAACGCCATCTATATGCTTCGTGACAAAGGAGATCAGTTGAGCAGTCATGAATCAACTATGCGGTGTCTTGACCAACATTGCACACTCTTTTCTCGCCATCAACACGCCCCGCAACATGCGATATGGGTTCGTGACTGTCTTCCCCTCCTGTTTCAACTTCCTCGGCCACAGCTGCCCGCTGATTGAGAATACTAAGGTAAGCCTGCCAAAAGATGGCGATGACTCCACCGAAGATGCTGCGGTAGTGAAGCGGCACATACATGAACATGAATGCCGTTACAGGCGGCCAGAACTTGCAGCTATTGACCCAGCTGGTGGGCACTGTGTGGGCGATGCGGGTCATGGTTTCAGAGAGGGAGGCACCCGAAAGGATAGTTTGCATGCCGAAAAAATAGCTGTTAAAGATTGGGGTGAAGAATAGTTGGTTGACGGTGACCTGCGAACAGCGCGTAACGTAAGCTCGACATGTTCCGGGATGTACCTGGAGGGAGATTGACCAACTTTTGTCGTTAGGCTCAAGACCTTGCTCCCAAAATTGAAGCTGTTCCCTAACCACAGGAACCAAGTATACCCTGGAATTGCTGCAGCGCCCCCAATGAACAGCGCCCTCGCCGTTCGAGCCCAGTCCCTATCCTCGCCCCATGCTTGTAGCCATCCCCTATCCACCTCCACCTCCACCTCCTCTTCCCCATCCCGCACAGGCGCCGATCCAATACTCTGTGCCACCAGATCCCCCACCAAATAGATGACCAGTGCGCTGACAAACTGCGTCATATATGGCCGCCGCTGCTGCACCCTCCCATAAGCTCGGAAGGGCCCATAGATGGGTTCTAGCCATAGCCAGTTGGGACCCGGTATAGTCTTGGCGCTGCACGGGACTTTTTGGGTGACTGGTCGAGGAGAAGCGCTCCATCTTTTCGTTACTATCGAGGTATTGATAGGAGGCTCGAATTGGGAGACGTTGTGGGGGGTTTTGGACATGTGTCGCCGCCGCAGAGGCAATGAGTGCCGGACACCCGCACGTGTTGGTATCATGGCTACGGCGGCATGGGCATGCGGTGTATGTGCACTATATGTTGTGGAGGAGGCGCTATGGGTTTCGTTGTTGGATTGTTGGTTCGGTGAAGAGAAAGAGGGAGTCCAGAGCTGGTGGCGTCTTGTGATTTGTCTGGTCGTTCGGCTCTCGGAATGCCGAAACCGGAACACAATGGCCGAGCTAGCGTCAGGGTCTATAGCATTCCGACCGTCCTGTTCCGATTCGGTCTGGATCAGGCAGACGTCACTTCGACTTGATATTAGAAGACTCGATAGGACAGGGAAAGATATGGAAGATATAAGGAAGCTCGAGATTTGACGAGGAACAAATCTTCTGTTTGATCCGTCGTGCAACCTGCCGTACAACTTGACTGAAATTAAAAACGTGAATTTGCAGTCGCTTCTCAGCATTGTACGTCAGTAAAGAGGAAGAGGAGCCAAGGCGTGGATTAGTTGCTTGAATCCAAGTATATGTCCACGCCAACGGCAGAAACTACACGACCTACAACCCCCCACCAACAACAGTACTCAGCCGTCTCCTTCTTCTCCACCCGACCCCACCTCCGCCGCCAACACTCCCGTCTCTCGCGCCCACGCCACTTGCACTACCAGGACTCAAACTACGACTCCGCCCCGCCATAGCCGCAAAGCTGTTCTCCAGGATCGCATCCTCGAGATCATCCTCGTCTTCAATCTTCCTGAGCACGTCCTCAGGCGGATCCTCATCGAAAACGCGCTGGATCTCCGCATGCACATTGAAACTCCCCCACCACCCCCAGATACCAGCTTTCCGTTTTGCGAGCCCCGATGCGCCGAGGGCGCGCTTTCGCGCTGGTTTCCAGAGGAACTTGCGCTCGTAGACAGCCAGGGCTAGCAGGAGTGGGAAGTTGAGCACGCGGATGATGGTGATGTTGATTTTGTGAAACCAGCGGGGGCTCAGTATGAATTTGAGTGGGAGCAGAACGAAGAGGCCTAGGATGTTGAAGGGCGGGGAGTACGAGAATAAGCTGTCTGATTTTACGCCCTCGAAAGTGGACACAGCGCGACGGAATTGAATTTCGGATGTGGCGTCGGCGGCGATCTTCGAGAAGGTGTTGGAGAGGATGGATACGAGGACTGTCAGGAAAAGGGTGTTGCCCAGGAAGGCGTAGACGACCATGAGGGCGGGGCCCAGGATCTCGTGGAAAGTTGGCGCTTCCTCGATTCCCGTACCATCGAGACCGAACCAGATCATGAGCATCCATTTGGAGATGGTGATAGGATTCGGTGAGGAGTCTTGGTCGGCAGAGGGGGAGCCCATGGATAGCCATTTGAGTGAAAGTAAGAACCCGCCGAAGCACCATACAGCGATGAGGCTGAGGGCTGTGAATTCTTTGACCATGGCACGAAGGGCGATGAAGAGCATGTTTTCGGGCATAAGGTTGAATGCGAGGCGAGGGAAGAGAAGAGGTGCGGCGATGGCGAGGAGGTCGAGCGCTTGGCGACCGTAGTCGGTGCTGTCGACGAAGAAGGCGTAGATGCGGAGGAGGGAGTAAGCTAGGTAGACAATAACAAAGGTGATGTCAAGGAAAGCCCAGAGTTCCTGGGTATGCACTGTCCAGCCATGCTCCAGCATCGATGCACACTCGTCCATCACCCACCCTGCACCATAGACGATGAAAAGAGCTTCTTGAGTCGTGAAATCGGCATGGTGCTGTGCCGCCATACAGGAGCAATAGAGGGCGAGGAGAATGATGAACTGGGTAACTTCGATGAGCTGTCGGGTCCGGGGGACGATGAGGCGATATTGATTTAAGAGAGGAGCTTTGCGCGGGTCGTAGAGAGAGACGGGTTTGTGTTTGTAGTGGTCCGGTAGAATATCGAGAAATGGAGTTGGAGTGTAGACCACGCGGCCCCGATATACGGCGTCAATGACCTTTTGACAGGCAGAGCCGCTGAGGAGGGTTTTGCTTTCTGAGACGATGGCAACTTCCAGGGCAGTCAGTTTCCCCTCATAGCCTCCCTGGTAGTTGTACTGCCACTGCCGTGGCGCAGGGCAGACTTCAGGGGGAGCATTCTGGAAGGGTTGGAAGGGAGCGACGAGTATTTTGGCGAGCAGGAGGAGGCCCTGTTTGCCGGTGGCTTCTTCATCATGACGGCGGAGAACCTTCATGGCAATGAGCTCGCAGAGGTTTGCTCGAGTGAGGTTGACGGTTTGATGGTGATGCTGAAAGTGTTGTTCACGCAGGAATTGCATGCGGTTCACCAGAAGGCAGTAAACTGCTCGGGTTAGGCAAATTTATACATGTATGCATGTGTTGATGGATTCCCGTATCAACTTACCAACAGAGATATCTTCCTCGTCGTACAACCGATCCACGAGCGGCTTCACTATCAGCACATTCATGCGAGGTTCTTTCAGCTGATCCATGGTATATGGGTCTTCGATGCTAGCGATTACCAGCCGGCGGATGCGATGAATGGTGTAGTAGGTGTCAAGAGCGGAATTGGGATCAGCGTAGAAGACCTGCCTAGGGCCAGGCTGCTGTCCATCTTGTCGCAGACAGCCGTCAGCATCGGCAAGGTCGTCGTCACCGAGAAGCGTTTCCTGTTCTTCTCGACTCCTTTCTGCACGCAATGCATCACTCAAGGTGCGATGAGCAGAGAGATGAGGGCGCTGGAGATGGTCGGCAAGTTTGATATGCCTGGATGGCTTAGGCTTGGGGGTGTCACTGCCATTGTTGGCTTCATTGCCATTGCCATGTTGATTGACGGAAGCGGTCAGTTGCAATGGTGGTCTTGTCGCACGCGTACTTGATTCAGGCCGGCCTGCTCCAGGGACGGTGGTGGTGGCGGCAGGCGGGGCCGGGTCAGACATCAATTGACGTATATATATATATATATATATATGTATGAACGTATATGTTTGAGCAGGTAGGCATGTAGATATGTAGACAATAACCGTACGTACAGTGACCTTAAAGGTATGCTCTAGGCTCCGGCTGGTGTATTGAGATAGATAAGAAAGGATCCCCCATCGCAGACATGAAACCACGCTAGCCAGATGCGGAAAGGTGCTAAATGGGTGGGGTGCTGTTTCGGGGAACCGTGGGAAACACATTTACGACTTTGGTGATGACATCTTGCACGCCCCAGGCCATTCTTGTATTGATCATCTATGGCGTACAAAGCGAAAAATTACAACCCTTCCCCCCACGGCATCCCTGAAAAAACAATTCGAACTTGAGCATGTAAGGCTGATAATCCAAAAAAGGTGTAGCGGGAGGAGACGATCGAAAAACAGTGGGGTATTGTACACAGAAAATATGTTCTCTGGATGCCAGCACAAGATGGAGGGGACCGGAGGACGCTCACAAAAAGTCGTACGAAATGATTACGACAACAATGGGCGCAGAGCAGATTCCATAGAATACACAGGAACGTGCGAGTTTATGCACCATTGTGGCCATTCGCGCTCGAGCGTCTCGCCGCTCCGCTACGTTGAGCACCATGTTCCGGGAAGCGTGGAGGCTGTGGGCGCGCAACTCTGGACGGAGCCACTGCAGCCGTATATGCAACCGTGGTAGGGTTGGAGGCCGGTAGAGGGGTGAACGAAGCAGGAGTCTCCCATTTCATGTTTTGAGCATGAAGACCTATGGCGCGGACTTCGGCGAGGATCTGATTGAGGGTATGGGTGTGTGAGGAGGATTCGATGAGCATGCGGTGCTGGAAGCGCTCGCGATCTTGGCGGTTCGTGTCGTGGAAGGCGGCCGAGGTGGTGCGCCAGGTATCGGTGCGTTGGTCTGTGAGGTGTGAGGAGACACGCCGGCATTCTTCGACCCACTGGATCTGCTTGGAGAGGAGCTCGCGCTGCTGCTTTACAGCATCGGCCGTGGCTGTGGTTTGAGGGGAGTCGGGGTCCAAGGGGTCAGGGCTGGGGGTGGTGATGGTGGTGGTGGTGGTAGTGAAGGGGTTGTTGGCGGGTTCTTGGAGGGGGGAGGTGGTTGTGCGAGGGTGGTTGACGGCGGCGGCGGCCGAGGAGAGCGATGAGGGGTCCCAGGCGGGGTTGGACCGGGACTGCCAGGTGGTTTGGAGGCGGTCGATGAGGGAGCGGAGGTGATCGAGGCATTGAGGGGTGGTGGATTGACGCATGGTGGAGAGGAGGGCGAGCAATTCCTGATCAGAGACGAGCGGGGTCGGTGTCGCGTCTTGTCCTGGCTCATCTTGATGTTCTTCGTTCTCTTCGCTCGGGCTGTGACAGCGTCGTTTGCGCGGGCTGTGGCCATGTGCAGCATGCCCGTCAAGAAGCGATGGCGTCGTCGGTCGAGGCCGGATGTGGACGGCCATGGGCGACTCGTCTGCATCGTCATCGCTTGTGGTAACAAGCACCTCGTAGTGCTGTGAGCCTGCTACAAGCTGGAACGAGCCACGCGCAGTCACCTGGGCGGCGCCGACGCGGTGGAGGTCGTTCAGCGCGTACGCGATCCTGGCGGCGGCGTGGGCGACGAGGGGATCCAAGCCGTCTTCTTCATCGTGGTGGCCAAGTGCCTGGTCTGGGGGTTGTTGCTGCATGTCGACTTCCCGCGTGTTCGCCGTCGGCATTCATCGACTCATCCATCCATCCATGTGTCGATTGATTGATGGATGGATGGAACCCGCCGCTTCCACGAGCACGCGTGGTTTGGTTGGTTCGAAGATGAAGGCTGGTTCTGCGTGTGCGTATGCGTGTGCATGTAGGCATGCGGGGGATCTTCGGCTTGCACTTGGTACAAACAGATGCCCCTTGTATGTTTAATACCCCAGGGCCCAGGGGAAAAGGGGGACGGGAGACGGTAGCTGGTACATCCATATTGTCAGGGGTGTGCTGGAGTACACAGCCGGTACTTGGTCACTGACTTGGTATAGATGCAGACTGGAGTGCATGTGTACAGATCCAAGTACCTGAGGTATTTAGTTGAACACATAGCACCAAGCCAGCCAGCCAGCAGCAGCAGCAGCAGCAGAGCACCAACCAACCACCCATGTTTCGGCCTCGGCCCAACCCGATCGAATAGACAAACGGCCGACCGACCCTGAAGTCAAACTCAAGTCAAGTGCAGCGACTAACAACCACCACTACCACCACCACCACCACCGCGGGCGCTTCGGTCGATACACATAGGGGTGCGTCGTTCCCTCGACCATTACAATCAATCAGTTCTTCAAGCTTTCATCCCTTCATTTATTCCTTCATGGTGGTGCCCTTCCATCCCAACCAGCCACAACCCCATGCTGCTCCTCCACCTCCCTCACCGCCATGACTTTCCCCATGCATCCGCTCTCTTCCATGCAAGCGCCCTTTGAGGAATCCATGCTCGAGGCCACGGGCGACGCAGCACGAGGACCATTTACCATCCCCAACAAGACTCTTGAGGCCCGCCAGCAGCTGCTGTGCAGGGAGCCTGAAGCCACCGAGCTCGCTTGGAACTTCACCTACAACTGCCACTGGAGGTACAGATCGAGGGGGAAATTCCACCCACTGCTCAAGACCGCCTCGCAGATCATCTTTGGCGTCCATTTGCTGCACCAGCACCTCGAAAAGTCCGTGGCCGATGTGGCCGACATCCTGCTCAAGCACGTCAACGAGCTCGACGGCTTCCTGAAGCGCGCCAACGAAGATCTCGATGGCAGCACCAAGGACATGCTATTCCGCCGCAAATGCCTGCGCGTGCCTATGGAGCACGTCAACGAATTCGACCGCCTGCTCGACGACCGCGCCTACCGTGCCCAGCTGCTGGATGGCAATGTCGTCATCGAGCGCACCATCAACCGCATGTCGCAGGTGCTCAACGATTACCTGGTTGACATGACCGTCTTCCGAGATGCGAACCAGGAGCTGCAACACTACCTCATGGCCATTGGCCACGAATGGACCGCCATGAACGACGACGTCGGTCGCATCTACAGCGCCATGTGCGGCAACACGGGCGGCTGGGCACACTTCTTGCAGAGCTTGGTGGCCAAAGCCGAGAGATTAGGCGTTGTGCTGGTTCAGGTGAGCAGCTACTGCAACGAGATCGAGAAACGTTGCGGTGCCGCCAGCCGTAGGAGCTTGGTAAGCTGATTCGCGTTTCTGCTCCGTGTTCCATAGACCTCTAACCTTCTGCCTCCCCAGATCGCCAGCCGTTCTTCTTCGCGAAACTCGTCAAACTCGCGCGAAGCCGCGCGCTCTTTCCGCAATTTTGCCAACAACAAGCCGCTGCCTACCGTGCCCAACGAAAGGCCTCCTTTCATCCCCACACCATCCTCCAAGAGTCTCGACTCAAGTCCCGGTCCGATTTCACATATTAGACACACGAGCAGCCCTCTCGCTTCCAACTCTGCTCTTCATGGACCTGACTCCGATTCAGAAGACGCTGTCTCCCCCCGGCAGCAGATTGTATATCCGGTTTCTCAAAGCCACGAGCCTTTTGAGCTTGCTGCAGCTCCGGCAAGAATCAATCGAAGTGCCAACGTGGACCAAACGCAAAACGTCTCGTGGATCAATGCTGCCAGCCCGGAAAAGAGAGGTCGTGATGATTCGGCCATCATGCTCCGGCAAGATGTGTACAAACCCGATGGATGTATAGGCTTCAGCGATGAAAAGGAGGTGATTGCGCGGCACGACTTAGAAGAGAAAGAAGCCCTCACGATCCGCCCTATAGATCAATCAAAAGGAGAATCCAGTCCGCCCCTCACCGGCAAAGACTCTGCGTACTCGTCCATTTCCGGTGGATCTGTAATATCTCCTGGACATCCTCGGTCTCAATCAGCCCAGTCATCGTACCCGCGCGCGCAGTTCGGCCTGTTCCCCAGTAGCCAACCAAGCACACCAAAGCATTCCATCTCCGGTCGTTATGGAGGGGTACCGTCCCCTGGCATCCACTCTCCCATGATCGCACCCGATCACGCCCCACAGTTTATACCGCAGCGCTCTTACACATCTCTCGACACGCACTCGTCATCCTCTCGTCGCTTGCTACGGAAGTCCAGTTTATCTTCCCTAAAACGGCTTTTCTCGAGAGACAAGAAGGGTTCCGGTGTCGATACTATCGCAGAATAAATGGAGGTATGTGTTTCGACCACCGGAAGATAATGCCGTCGACTCCATTTCCTGTTGCATGAGCCCAAGTGCGGATGCGCTCATCGTTCATGTATAGATTTGTCCGCAGCTGTTCCTGTTTTATAGCAGCGTATAGTCTTTGCGCACCTTTTGATATACCCCTCCGCCCCTTCGAATCTGCTGTTCTCTGTTTTTGTGTTTCGGCTTTCAAAAGCGGTTGAGTCTATCCAAGCGTTTCTCTATTTTCAGCGTTGGCGCTGTCGGTGTTCATATGGATCGATTTCTCCTCTGTTTCCTTTTCCCAACACCCTTTAATATCTGTCAGCGCCTGCCTTCGAGTCGTATCGTTCGTCTCCTTTTTTTCGCTTCCGATTGTGACCGAGGTCGTTTGCAGGACGTCTTCGTTCCACTACTTTCTTACTTTGAGGCGTTCACGTACTCTTACTCGTAATGACTCGGGGTATGTATGTACGTCCAGTAAGGAAAACCGCTCCCAAGCTGACGTGAGTGCGACCACGCCTTTGAAGGGACTTCAGCGAAGCACGTTACATAAACTGTGCGAAGAGCCCGGGAAAAGAGACAAGCTTGCGTCTTGCAACCAAGGACGCATTGTTTGCCGTGCATAGCTCGCGCCTGCATGAGGTGGGCAAGAGTTGGAGGAAGTCGCCAGAGGCCCAGGCCGTGCAAGCCAGCAAAGGAGAAAAAACAAAAGAAAGAGGAGCAGGTTGTACGTACGTGTGCGTGCTGTTCTAAGGTTCGAGTACCCGAGGTCGCTGCGTGTGATCTGAAGATGATATTCATACATAATGCAACGAGGGAGTGACTGCACTGCGAATTCATCTCTGGGCGCTGATGCGGATACGCGGCTGAACGAAGGAGTTCCATGCAGCTATGTAGAGCCAAAGATGAATTTCTCTCTCTCCCTCTCCCTCTCTCTCTTTCGTCTGATTCTGCGAGAATTCGCCATTCGATCATGTGTAAAATTGCCACCCTCCCCCCGTAGTCGCGGGACGGGTACTTCACTTCAATCCAATACTCTAATAGGCAGGCAGGCATTTTGGTGGTGACTGAGCAGCTCTTTCCTTCCAACCCTAACATCTCCCTCCTTCCACTCCACCCCATCATTTGCATCAACGCTCTTCTCTTCTCTTCCTTCTCCTATCCCTCTCCCCACCGTCTTGCTCGCTGGCTTTCCATCGTAGGCTGTCTCGCCTAACATTCTCATCGGGGCGTCTTTTTGGAATTTGACTGAGCAGAGCGGCCTGCTCGCCGTACCTCTATCTTCGCCGGCTTTTGGAAAAGATTGGATAGCCCATTTCTTTACGGAGCGACCTTTCCCCAGCACGTCCTTGGAACCATCTACATCAACGCATACTTTCCTTCCTCTTCCCTCCTCCGCACCCCGCTCAATTCCGGTGGGTACGGCCATCGTCTTGCCAACGTACGCGCTGTACAGCCGTCGCTATCATGTCGAGCCCTCTCATCATCACCGAGCGGGATAAGAACATTGGTGGTCGAGCCAGTGGGGCTGTCGGTATGTCTGATGCTTCTTCGGGTCGCCCAAAAGCTCCACGGGCCTCCTCGACGGGCAACACTCTCCTCTTCAGGTCAAACGAACCACTCCCATTGGCGCCGGGCGTACACTCTATGCTCCGGACGTCCACAGAAATGGGAAGCGTCGGTGGCCTCACCTCGGAGTTTTACGCTATGCCAGCCGTGAACCAGAGGCCGCGGAGGGCGGGTGCTACCTCGCGCACCTCGATGGCATCTTCTCACTCTGGTTACTCAAACCGTCTGTCGCAGCCACAAAATTCATCATGGCGCCGCTCCCAGTCACGTCAGTCACGAGAAAACAACGTGCCTCAATACCTCCCTGACACTCTGTCGCCCACCGTGGTGAACATCGCTGGCTCCTCCCCTTTGATTCCAACATTACGAAAGAATCGAGATGGTCCCCGAAGCTTGTCCATGACCGCTACTCTGTCATCTGGAACGCATCCTCGACCATCCCAGCATTATTCCGTCATCAGCGCCCGCAGCTATGACCTGATACGCCCATCCCAGCAGCGATCCGAATCCCCGGGTATGCAACAGTCACTCAGGGTGCAGATGCGTAGTAGCAGAACGCCTTCTCCAGCTCTGAGCGATATCATGGGTCAGCAACAGCCTCTCTCTCGTTCCAATCATCGCCATCGCTCTTATGGCCCGCCATTCCATGGGCAGCCTCGACATGGACAACAGCCTGACAGCTTCCAAGGTGGCTTGGATAGCGGCTATCATCGAACGGCCCCAGCATCGCGTTCGAGTTCCAGTACACCAGTATATATTGGTGATGTGGGTGCAGGAATGACTCCAGTGCCTCTCCTTCCCATCATACCCCCCTTGCCACCGTACCGGCATCCCATGCTTGTACCGAGGGGTACTTCTCAGAGATCTCGTCGTTCGAATGGTTCCACCTCTCAACGATCGGGCCAGCAGTCTTTTTCTAGCCAATCGACGAATCAACGTCTCGATTCTGAGGGCCCTTCATCGGATGCTGCATCTCCCCCAACGCCCCCCGATAATCAAGCAAGTAATCGCTTGATCAGGCCTCTGAGTATACTTCATTCTTCGGCCCAGGAAAAGGCAACGCAGCAGAGGAAGCAGCCCCTCTTCTACGATGGTAGCGAAGCATTCGAAGCATTAGGGCTGGATGCTATCTCTCATGAACCGACAATTATGGAAGAACAAGTTAACAATAGGCCCATGGTAGAGGGGAGCGACGTCACTATTAGTAAATCTAGTGCTGAGATGGTCGCAACAAACGAACTGGAAGTGGCTGAGCTTCCGGTATCGCCTGTTCCCCATCGACTTACACGAGACCTCGTCAAGTCATACCTGGGCTCTCAGTCGACTACAGGGAACTTTGATTCGTCCCTCAAGTTACCAGAGACGACCAGTCAATACGTCGGACAAACGAGTAATATCTTAGAGATGGAGTCATCCCCCGTAGATCTGTCTACCACCCCCCATTCTCCTTCAGAACGCTCCATCAACCGTTTCAATATGCCTTCCCAAGCTGGTACTAGTGTAAAAGATTCGCCAGCGCTCAAGTTTGTCATGGAAAGCGCCATCCCCATGGTAGTTGAGAAGGGCATTCCAATGGATACTAGTCAAGACAACGAAGATGAGCTAGCTGAGGGCTCCAGCACTCGATCACCTACCGAAGACGGAATGTCAGATCTTCTGGACGGTTATGAGTATACCGACGCTAAAACAGAAGGCGTATCTACGAATGGGAGTGCTGCCGGAGTGAATGGGCCTGCCGAGAAAAGCAGCATCCACGTTACCAGATCTTCCGATGATGACGAGCAGTCTTTCAAGTCTTGCGCATATGTTCCAGCCCCCAATGAAAAATCTGATAAAAACTCGAGTCGAAACTCTAGTGAGTCTAATGATGACCTCCCGCGGTCCAGGACCTTTCGCGTAGGTACCAGCGCTGGCTCTTTCCCAACCTGCGACAAAGCTACCACCCCAGATCGAATGAATTGTATTCCAGCTGCGGTGGATGTATCCTACCGGACTATCAATTCAATCGCCCTGCAACCCGACATCAGGAGTTCCTTTCCACAACCTCCCGCCGGTGTGCCCTCAGTGATGAGACAAAATAAGCATACTGTCCCCCATTCGACCCTAACAGGCCTGCAATCTACGAATAGACGGCAGTCCTTTTCCCATCCGCCCGAAAAGTCCAGTAGTGCCCCGTTGTTGGAGAACGGGAATGATCAGTCGCCAATTATACCACCGAGGCAATCAAGTTCCAAATTGATAGCATCTCTGTTCTTCCGCCCTTTTAGGAACCGGCGCAGTAGAACAAGTTCGGATATGAGTCAAACATTCAACGAGGATTTACTTACCAACACTAAATTGTTGCAAGAAGGATGTCTCGAGATTCCTACACCACCACCGCTACGAGATCGACAAACATCATTGAGCATTTCTTCAGCGTTGGGATTTCGACGAGATACCGAGAAAAGGAAGGCACGCGGCGTGGAGCATGGATCGAACGTTTCCGAGCCCGGCAATGCTAGCCGCGTACTTTCGCATAGATTATTCAACACCCTTCCTCCGACTCAGCAGTCTTCGGCGTCGTCCCCGCACAATAACACTCCTTTTGATCTTTTGCTGCAGACATCCGACCAAGGCCAGCGCAATAGCCAGTCCACAACCCATATAAGTTTGCCCATCATCCTACCCGATCAGCCTTCAATCAACGTACGCGACTTCCCCCAGAGGGGAATCTCAGGCAAAGAGAAATCAACCACAGACTTGGCGAAGCCCGAGCAAGACTTTGAGTACTTTTCAAAACATCAGTCTTATAATCTATCTGGTTCAAAAGAAGATATGAGTGACAACTCAGGCTTAGATACCAGCGCAGATAACCTGAAGCGTTCAAGTCTTTATATTAGCTATGGCGGCAGTCCGCAAGATGCTCGGTCGGCTCGGTGCTCGACGGAAAACGCTGCCGTGTTTGTTCAGGAGTTTATTACGCAGCCCACGACAGAACTTGAAGTAGCTCGCGCCCTACCCTCGCTGAATTTTACTGAGAATGACATGATCAAAGATATTCTTGACACTTGCCGCTCCTCCAGCTCCAATCGTGCTTCTGAGACAGCAGAGATGCAGCTTTCGGTCGGTTCTGAGCCTCAAAAGGAAGATATAGCACCTAAGAAGAAATGCCCGAGCCTGTTTGACCCGTCAACAGGGAACATAACGCTGTCTGAGCAGACCACAATGTCCACACAGACCACGGCAGATGACAAAAAGCGAAACTTGTCACCATTGCTTATAAAGGCAATTGAAGAGCTCAACATTCCAAACACACAAGAACTAGATGATCGTTTTTCTGAGTATATGGTCACCGAACATGCAGACGGCAGGGGTGGGCTGGCGTATGATGAGAACGTGATCGAGAGCGCGATTGACGAGATCCATGAGGTTGGGGGCGAACCTAGTAACAAGGCGTCCAAGGCAAGACTGCGAGCGGTTCCTGGGTCTCCAGAGATGGTGGTGATTGATGATCAAGTGTACGAGACTATCACGAGCAGTGCTGTGCTGAGCAGCACTAAAGGAGGAGGAGCACGTGACGTTGCCCTGCCCACGACAACCAACACAACGACACCATTACGTCCACCATCTGCTTCTCTTTCCTCACCTCTCTCACTGAATTTTGAAGATGAAGAATCATTTCCTCTACGCGATTCACTGAGCTCTTTTCATTCCGCAGGTAGTAGCAGTCGAAGCACTTCCAGTGCCAAGGCTCGCCCTTGGAACTCAAGCCAGAATTACCCTTGGGCAGATACCCCTTCCTTTGACATTGTACTTCCTGCTGTCATATCTCCAAAGTCTTTCCCGCGACCTGGCCCTTCTCATCTCCGCTACAGCTCTTACGCATCATCCAGCACTCCAGCACCCAACACAGCTGCCCCCAGCCCGCTGCCGCTATCTGTTTCTCCGCCACTTGACTGTGACGGTTCATTTGGAACTCACTCGCGTGAAAAGCTCCGTCTGCACAGTCGTAGCTGGTCCAACCGTGCGATCCGGAGTAGGGGCACCGACATCCTTCCAACGATCAACGAGACATCTTGGCCACCTGGCGGCGGTCATTTGCAAGACGCAAACGTCACTCATGTAGTAGGCGGACGTTATCCTACCAGCTCTCTACCATTACCTGATGACTTTCATCTACCAGCGCACGACGTGGATGGTTCGCTTTATACTTCTGACGACGAGCCCGGACCCCCCTTAAAACGGCAAAGCCGTTCAGACAAAAAGAGATTGCGACACGATGTAAAGAGCCATCTTCAAGAGCAGCTTCAGTACGGTATTGGGCAACCGTCAGAACTCCCAGCACGCAGGAACCGCAACACCTTTACCGGCGTCGAGGGCATGTCCAAATCTACCTACCGCCTCAAAAGCGCAGTAAACAAGATCAAGGATTTTGGTCGCAAGGTTGCTCACAGAATTCGCAATCTGAGTCCAAGGAAAACCGAAGCCGACTTGCGGAAATCACAAATACTTTCTGTCACCAACCGGGCAGATCCCCGCTGCTCTAGTCGCAATTGATTACGGGGGTCACAATCTGCCATGATCAATTTTATCCAGAAGTATCTCAAAATTGATTAGCCGATAATGTTTACCATGACGTCCAAGGAAAGGTTGTAAATCGCAAATACTCCTGGTTCGAAGTGTCTGGCACGAAAAGCGTGCCATTTACAAAACCAGAAAAGTCTTCGAAAATAAGTCCTTGTCAATAACTACGTCTCCGATTCTACGGATTCTGCATTGGTCTCTGCTTCTCCCGATTGGAAAGGCGTCAGAGTGGCTTCCCCCTTGATTAGTATTCGGCGGAAATAACTTGTTGATATCTTGCCCCGACCCAAAGTTCTACACTGGATGTCTGGTTTTGCTTGCCCGTAACAAGAGTCTCAATTCGCCATACAATTCTTTACGACTAATTTCGACTCAGTCTTGTGTACTACCCGAGAACCTTTTACCGCGTATACGTATCCGGCTCTCCGATCTTCATATGCTGTTACATTCTCTCGGCAGCGTGTCTCCAAGTGGGTCTTCTTATCCTTTGCATGTCTGATGGAAATGGGGTACATTCCTGGTCATAGGAGGCTTTGTCTGATTCGTTCTAGATCATCACCCTGTCTCTCTGGTTATGTTTCGTTGCTTCAACAGATTCAGATGGCCGCCGTTGGATTGGAAGCTCATCACTGACTTCTCATTCTGGGGAGCTGCCGGTTTCCGCCGGAATCGGTCTCTTCTTTTGCCCCTTAATGTTATCTAGCGTGTACCTTTACCTGTGAACAGATAGTCAAAACAGGGCCTGTCTGCTAACTAATCATGCTTGCGGCATCTTCTGACTCTACATTGTCTGTCTCTTGTTTCTCCTGAGAGCATGGCTTTCCCCATTACGAGAGATCGGGGAGGGCCGCTGAACATGTAGCAGTAACCGATTCCATGAATTTTGTTAAAATCATAAGAGCCCCACTCTGATATCAAGCGAAAGAGTGTTTGTTGTCGCGGTAATAAGAGCGAGGACGTGGGTGTGCCAAGCTTCCTTGGACTGATGATGTTAACACTTGGTTATTTGGTAGTATATCTTGCACCACCCTCAGGAGGGCGAGGAAGAAGAAAGAGGCCTATAAATACAACAATCAAAAGGGAACAGCCGGGAATAGCTTCTGGGTGCATACAAGTCTGAGTATGTAAAGACGCTTCTGCATTTGATCTGAGAGAGCTTCTCAGTCTGCCCCTGTAGTTGATTTCTCCATATGAGCACCAAATCTATTTTCGCTTCTTCGATTACACCTTCTTTGTTTTGCTTCTCTCGTCGTTTAGCTGATTTCTTCTTTTTCTCTGCCTTCTTGCTGCAGGCCACCGTGTTGAAATTCTCCACGGCACTCTCCCCGGGGGTTTTTTTTTCACCGCCAAAACCTCTCTCATTCCCACAGCATGAAACCCTCAAGATTAGGATTATGGGCTTCACTTCCGTAAAAATTTTTGTCTCCGCTTTGAAGGATGTCCACGCCATCGTTGGCGCCGTGGGAACTCTTGCGATGGGTTCGCAGAACAAACTCACCACCGCCGCGGGTATGCATCGCAAATAAACACATAACCTCATTCATCTGCCCGTCTGTCTCTCCTGCCTTCCTTGAACGACTCCTCCTCCACATGCTGACTCCAGTCTAAACGTCGATACACACACAACTCGTGCCAAAGTCGCACACTTGTATCTACCGAATTCGGCATGAACTCTCAGAACGCCCTCGCTGCGCACCTTCCATTAGTCTGCGTCCCAAAAATCTCAACGCGTGAGTTTCCTAGCTGAGCACCACCCAGTGGTACCCTAGACGTCCATTTTGACGGTTGTCTTTCTGAATTGAGGCCTGAGTACGGGTTTCATCCTTGGAATGAAGAGCAAGAAAGCGGTGCTGTGCAACGGCGGCAATGCCAAGTTCAGTGCGACTGTTCAGGTGGATGTTGTTGGGCATTTCAAGGCCCAAGACAAGGGATTGAGGGAGGAGGTCGTCTATGTGCATTCTGCGGTTGCTGCGCAGAACCTACTATTGGGGTTTGGCGGGGATTGTAGAGAGAAGGCGATTAGTGGGACGTTAGCGACTGAGCGGTTAGATAAGGAAGGGGTGAAATAATATTGTTAAAAAGAGCGAGCAAGGGATGATTGACATGTTGAATCAAAGTCTCCCCTTTCCCCCCACCCCCTCACGACGCCGAACCAGCATAAGATTTGGCTGCGTTTGTCAAACGGTTTTTTCTCGCTTGCTTCCACGCGTTGTCTAGGGAATCTAGCTTTCCGCCTAGCGACTGGACGTGGGGAGCTTCTAGCATGACCACAGCGCGACGTACTTGAACATTGCGCAAGAGCAACTTGGCACCCATGGACATGTTGGAGCTGATGCCGTGGATTCCGTTTAGTTCTAGGGCATATACCTGTGCACCTTTGGCGTCTTGGAGAAGCAGTTTGAAAGGACCTTTGCTCTGCAGGACCGGGGTGATGGTAGAACCATCCGTCTCATTCTCGATGACACGGATAACTTCTCTGCCCCTGGTGGCTTCCCCGCGCTCCTGGGCCTCGATGGCTTCAACTTGGGCCCAGCGCGAGAGGCCAATGTCTTCCAGATGCAGCACTTGGCAGACGATGGGCCCCGTGAGTTGGCGGAGCTCGATATCTGCATCGAGTATATTCCGGGGAAAAACAGAGCTTGATGTGGTGGGAGTCAATGTGTTGGTTATATCAGCAGCGAGAAGGCGGAACAGGGCGGTTTGTTTGAGAGCCGGCAATGGCGTGTTGGGGCGGATGGTGGAGACAAAACTTTGCAGCCATGCGGCTGAAGGGTACAGATGGCGGGTATTGAAGTATTGGGTCAGCTCAGCAACCAGGTTAGAAGTAGTATTGGCCATGTCATATGATCCTGCAATGGTTTTGGTGGTGTTGATACATACACCTAGGTACATACCTATGTACATGTGTAGATTGGTACGGTACATACTTACTTCTTTACATGTCCACTTAGTAAGCAGTCGTTCATCAATCGGATTGATTGTGACGCACGGATACGCCAACCATCTGCTCCCACTTCTAGCCATTACTTTGGATTCAACACGAACACGAGCCGAAACACAGCAGAAGGAGAGGCAATAATTAGAAATACAAAAAATGTCCACAATCGCCTCACCTCGCGCCAGTTCCTCGATTCGAAGCCCTTCGTCCACTCGCACATCTTTCGATGCTTCGGCACGAGCAGCCGCCCCATCAGCACGCCGCAATCGCACCGCCCTGCGCGACTACTATGGCATCAAACCAGCCTCTGTCAAGGAAACAGACGCCAAAATCTCCCATGATACCACCCAATCTCATCTGGATCCCGAAGACGACGAGACACTCACCGAGCTCGACGCCGCCGACTTCGATGCCGATGCCTACGTCACCAATCTTCTGGCCACGGAGGGCATGAAGGCCGTCTTGCGCGTCGAAGCCGATCTAGTATCACGTGAGCCCAGCCATTTCCCTCTCTGAAGGTCAGTTGTTCTCTTATTGACTTCAAGTCATGTAGAGATTCGAAATCTGGACAGCGACCGCAAATCCCTCGTCTACGACAACTATTCGAAGCTGCTCTCCGCAACGAGCACCATCCGCCGCATGCGTGGAAACATGGACCCGCTCGCCCCAACCACGCACACCCTCGGCCCTGCCATCGCTCACATCGCCGAAATTGCTGCATCGCTGTCCTCCACTAGGGAGGTTGTGCCTGCGAAGCCGCAGGGCCTGGGATTGCTCATAGGCGACAACACTACGGGTGCTGCCAGTCCGGGGACTAAGACCAGCATGGACAGTGCAAAGGAGAGGCAAAGGAACACCATCCGCTGGGTTTTGAGCACGCCCCGTCGCTTGCAGTATCTGATAGACCAGGAGCGAGAGGAGGAGGCTGAGCAGGATTGGGGTCAGGTGCGCCGGATCTTGGACAAATGGGAGGGTACCGCAGGAGTGAGGGAGTTGAAGGAGGAATGCGAGGAGATTATGAGGGTGCAAGACGATACAGATTGAAGGTTCGAGGGTATCTGCTGCGTTACCACAGCACCCATTTACGTGCAGACGCCCGGATGGACGAAGCCATGGCTGGCTGATGCTATGTGTGGCCAGCACAAGTCCACACCTGGGCCAACCCACTCAACATCGCTACGGCTCGCCACAGTTGTTGGCACAAGGTTGCCTCTTTGAACAATCCAAGCCGAGTAACGCAGCTGAAGACACGCTTGTCTGAAAAGCAAATCCTCACTCACTCAGCTGCTGCTTCATCGGGGATGGAGTTGCGTTGCTCACGTACACATCAAATCATCCAGCCAATCGTCACAACACGCTTTTGGTGCCTTCTCCATGTAAACAGGTCTTCCACCAAAGACGTACAGTAGGGGGAGAATACATGCATGTGTGCTGGTAGCAATACTCAAGGGATGTCTGCCTGTTCGGCCAATTAGATGAATACGCTCTGTCGTACATTGAGATTATATGAATGTGACGACAGATAGCAAGATCAGCATCCACCTTCTATTACGATGGACTCGAGATCCCAATCGGATTGATTATTTCAACCGTAGTTCTTTATTCTACTCTTTAGCCTCAACCCCTTCCTGATATTTGACTTGATGCTGGATCTCCCCCTCTTTTTCGGCCTCTTCCTCCATGTATTCTTGGCAATCACGGATAGGATGCTGACGTCCAGGTGCTAGATGGAATTTGACGCAAGCAGCTAGAGCGAAGTCCAAAAAGAATTCGTGCAGAAAACGGCCTTTCGTTTTCTTGTAGTTCTTTATAGTAGTGGCTACAAAACGATCTATCATCAAGTGCCTCATTGGGCTATTTCTAGGCGTACCATCACATACAGCTCTAACGACAGCGGCAATAGCCTCAATCCGATTGCATGTGAAGACCCCCAGGAGAGGAGGGGAAAAGCATGGTAGAAAAGCCCGAGGCGCAGCCAATATAAACATCTATCGAGGGACGTGTCGCAAAACCAGGGCCTTGCCTCGTCACATCAACCCAAAATCATTGTCATCCATTGGAACTGGTTCGACCATGCTCAACTCCCCAAATTGACTGTTCACCTCCTCGTCATCACTTGTGTCCTCCGCCTCGTCCTCAATTTCCGTGACCGCAACGGCAGGCACAGTTTTTGGTAGTTCGGATGGACCCAGAGACGGACGCACATCTTTGGGCTTCTTCAGCATTTCTTCGAGCGGGGGCGAAAATTTTTGAGAGTCAAGGTCACGCATCGTGATCTTGTAGTTGGCTTCTTCGTCATCGGAAGTCGGCTGGGTGAAATTGGTGCGTTGAGGAGCCGCTGCTGGGGTTGAGAACATATTCGAGGGGGTCTGTCGTTGACCACGAGTGGACGAGGCAAAGCGGCGCTCCTGGACATGAGGCTGGCATGCTGACTCTATAGCAATGGAATTGGACAACGGGTCTAAGGTAGCGGGTGGCGAAGCTGTAGGATGATGCTGTAGCTGTTGCTGCTCGACAGGCTTCAAAGCAGGCATCATGGACTGTGCTGGCTGTTGACCGGTCCGATTTGTTTTCCTGTATGCCTGTCGAATTGCCGTCTGTGCACCGTCTCGAGCTTGTGGTGGTGATGCATTGTTAGAAACGTTGATCAAGGAATTGGACTTGGCTTGCCCCGGAACCATGATCAACTCTGCAGGACCCCTTTGTGAGGACGGATCGGGCTGTTGGGTGTCATTCTTGTGTCTCTTCACCTGTTCTCGGATTTGCTTCTTCTTTCTCTCAGCTACTTCCAATAGTCTTTCCTGTTCAGCAACTTTGTTGAAGTTAATGTCCCCCAAACCAATCTTGACTAGGATAGACCCAACCAGATATCGGTACTGGTCATGCCCATTGACCATCTTACTCATATCCACATTCTCAATCCCATGCACATCTCTGACTTCCTGCAGCCCTGCGACACCAAACTCTAGTTTCGTCGAGCGATAGAGGAAGCCGAGTATGTAGTCTTCAGTGCTGTATACGTTGACCACACGAGCTGCCACGACCGACCGAATCTGTCTCCAGGATCTACTGTCCGCAGAAGTGGGAGCACCCATGAGCACCACTGACTCGACCAGACCAAAAGCATGTTGTTCTGCGAGTTCAACCAGGCAAGCGTGAATAACCCGCGCCCCGATAGAATAACCCATCAGGCTGACTGGGCGCTTGCCTTGCACCCCGTCAATAAGAGCATGGGCCAGCACTTTTCCGGCCTTATCGGCCCTGGAAAGTGCGATTGAAAAGGGGTTGTCAAGGACGCTTGCAACCTTGACAAGTCCAAGAGGCCAGAGTCCTGCATACAACGCTCCAAGCAGCGTACGGCTGACAATCGTATATGTGATGCCGTCCCATGCATAGCTGAAAAGTACGTCATTCAGCGAATTACCTGGAGTCGTGTGAATGCAGTCAGTACAGATCGAAGACGGATGTCATGGATGACCACACTATATGAAATCCAAGTACGTACCTAGCCGAAGCATAGCATCCAACTCGAAGCGCAGTGCGAAAGCTTCGGTACCTGCACTGTCAATCACTTCCCAAGGTTTGTTGACGTCGGCGGTCGAGCTTAGCCAGCCGCTGATACCGATGGACACACGTAGACGGTGCTTCTCGCGTTTGCGTGGGTCTTTCGCCTCCAGCTCATCAGCCCACTCGTTGGACCGCTGCGCAGTTGGGCGTTCAGAATCTGCCATAGATTAGTAGGGTGGACTGAGGATATCCTTCATCAAGCTCACCTTGAACCGGGAGGAATTCGAAATCCTCAACTTCTTTCGCATACTGTTCCATGAGACGGCCAGTCATCTTTGCACCATATGCACCAAATAAAGACCCAACCAAGACGCTACTGCCAGCCAGTGCTCCGAGATACGTCGAGACAACACCAAGGCCTAAACCTCCCATGACGGTACCGATGCCAGCTGCCAGCAATGGAGCAGCAAGTCCACCAGTGACTCCGATCAGTACCGCCCCTCCTACCGCAGCAAGGCCAACCTTCCATTTGCGAGACACGGCATCGTTGGAAGCCTGTTTCTTCGCCGTCTCTTCGGCATCCATGTGGGAAGCGGCAGTCGCCAGCAGGCCCTGTGCGACCGACCTTTCATGATCAGCCAGCAGATCGATTTCAAGCTCCAGGCTGCTTGTCAAGTGCATAAGCAGAACGCGCGAATGACCTGAGTAGTTTTCCAGACTCAGGATAAGTAGCAAAAGACAGTGGAGAATAAGCACTTTCTTCTCCTCTTCAAAGCCGAGGAGCTTAGTCTCAATGACATGGTAGTAACCGTGCTTCCTCTTCTTTTGTTTCGCATATGCCTCGCTGTGGAATGGGTCGCCGTCAAAGTCAATCAACAGCGAGTTGCCCTGCTTTTCGCGCTCCGAATCGTCCATCATTTGCTTCCGTCGGGCCTTCGCCTGTCGAACGACATCGCCTCTCACAGCAAGCACCTCACAAATACGATGCATGACACCCGCGCGCCATTTGTCGAAGAATGTTAACGCGCCTCTTCGCAGTCCCTGCATATGCGTGGACTCTATTTCCTGCTGCCTAACCCTCCTTGCCCGCTCGGCTGCTACTGAAGCTTCATCTGGCGGCTCGTCAAAACTAATGAGATCCCTTGTGGGAGGCTGCAGACTGGATTTCTGGGCCGGGGAAGCAGCAGGGGGTAAAGGGCCTGCATCGTGTGTCTTGTCCGGATCGAAGGTTGCTAGCAATTCGCTTCGCATCGCATCTGTGCACAGGAGCACTAACATGGCCAGCTCCACACGCAAAGCAGGCGTTTCGAGCACCGATGTGAGCGATGCTCCTTCATCCTGCTTTTTGGAGGCTTCCGAACCAGAGCCCGTGATGACGTTGGCGACTTTGTATAGCATTGTGCCCGCAAATACTTGGGAGTGAAGAACTACGGCACCTGCTTACAGGTAGAAAGGGGATGAGGTTCACTAATGTAGCCCTCAAGGAGGCTTAGCTTACTCTCAGCCGACTAATCAGAACCTCCCGCTGACACTAGCGCTAGTAGACATCACCTACATGTAACCTCATACATGCCTAGGTACCCAGGTATGTATACTTTACACCGACAGATCTTTAAAGTAGGGCTTGATGGAAGCAGGCATTGCATATATCAAAAAGCAACAATTGATATAACAAGCAGATGAACCAATTATACCACTAATATACTTTGTAATGTGTTACACGCTACTCTCTTGTCAACTAAATACGTCTGCCTCTACAGGAACAAAGCTACGCAGCATCAACATCAGCAGGTCTGTGTACTATTAGCAATCTACGGTAGAACAGCTTCTTCTTAACAGCTTACAAATTGCAGCTTAGAGGGGGAACAACATTATACCTCGGCACAACAATATAGCAATTCGCTAGAACGCCTATACGTGTATCGACTCTACTAGGCACTAACAACAAATCTGTAGGTAATTACTATTTACATCACTGAGCAATAAGATGCGAATTAGATATGGGAATAATCAATGAGCACATCAAATAAGCATATAGTTAGCTGCAAGTATCGCATCACTTGATATACTACTGTCCTCAAATGACTGCACATGTCTATTCATCCTGTCGCTTGAGTACCATGGTGTGCCTGATTTGACATAGTCGATGATGTAGCTTGTGCAGTTCCTTGCGCTAGGAAGACGTTACCACCATGAGTCTATCTAATTCACAACCTCATGATCCGTATAGTTCCACCAAGCCCTGCACCCATAACACTGCGGCGCGGTACACGGTGCAGGGCTTGGCGGTGAGATTGAAAGAGTAGAGTATCAGGTTCCTGCTGCAAGCGACAAAGGTCGGGACGACCGGAGAACTTCGGCCTCTATTGCTTTTGAATCCCGTCCGCTTCAAATGCATATTGGCCTGCTTCCGCGGGGATATAGTAAAGTCATATCACTATTGGCATATCCCAAGGCCAAACTTCAAGGTGTCTGATGCACAAGTCCGAGGATGCAGCCACTCGAGCCGGGGGCGTAGTCTCCTTTCAATCAACTGCACACGTTGATCTATCATCTATTAGACAACTGCTACGAGGCTTCGTGTGGCCCTCAGACAAGACCGGTCGAGAACCATTGTGTCCAACATAGGGCCAGGGTTCACTTCAAGCAGTCACCAACCGTGCCACCTGCACATAATCTTTTAGCCTCTCGTTTCTAGACGGCGTTGAAGCTTCGATACTTATATAACTACACCAGGAACCCCTTTCGCTCTCAAACTACTTATTAGTTGGATCATTCAAAGTTGCGAGATCAAAGGTTGTAACGTACCTAACGAAATTCTGTCATCATGGATGCAATCTTCAGTCAGCTCTCTTCCCTTGCCGCCAACGCGGATGAAGCAACACGCAAGACCATCCTTACAAAACTCCGGGACTTCTCGTACAGTATTGAATCCTCCGATGACACCACCCATCGTGTCTGGGGCAGTGTGAGTTCAACGAAGAAGATGAAGATAAAGAAAGTCCAGATGTAAATTCTAACGCGACCCAGCATGTTAGCATCACTGTGATCCGATGCGGTATCCAGATGAAGATCTTTGAGATCCTTGAGGATAGCGGGAAGCCAATGTCTGTTGCAGAAGTCTCTACCATCATAAAAGCGGAAGATATTTTGATAGGTGAGCTAGGAATCATGCCAAGTACATCAAGACTCTTTGCTGATTTTATTCACCCAAGCCCGAATTCTTCGTTGCCTTGCCAGCTACGGGATCATCACCGAGACTGGCGTGAACGAGTTTCAACGCAACAACGTCTCTGGACATCTGGCGCAGCCAGGAAATGCCGCTGCGATCAAACACTAGTTCGTAAACCCTCGGAATGGCAGACTCCAATATTTTTGCATACTTATTTTTCGCAGCTTTGACGCATGTGGACCCATGTGGCCCGCTCTCCCAACGTTTCTCGAGAAACAGGGCTACAAAAATCCCACTGATAGCCATAACACCGCCTGGCAAGAAGGCGTCGGTTGCAAGGAGAGCTGTTTCGAATGGACGATGATAAATCCCTCAGCTTTTGAGACCTTCAACATCTACATGGCCGCACGTCGTCAGAACCAGGCTACGTGGTTTGACGCTTACACAGTGTTGGAAGACGTGAGCAAGGATGACCCAAAGCTCACATCTGACCGCGTTCTTCTGATCGACGTCGGTGGTGGGCTGGGCCACCAAGCCTCGGATTTCCGCGCAAATTTCCCGGAACTACCAGGCAAGGTCATCAACATGGACTTGCCGTTTGCGGTGGAGCAGGCAAAGTCGATGTCTGGTCCTGGTGTGGAACACATCGGGCACGACTTCTTCAAGCCTTAACCTATCAAGGGTATGTCCGCCTGATCGAAAAAACAATTTTCTTGATCACTGACAGAAGGATTTAGGCGCAAAATACTACTACCTCCGTGCAGTGCTCCACGACTGGCCCGACGACAAATGCCAGCTGATTCTCCGGAACCAAATTGAGGCTATGGCTGAAGACTCCATCATCCTCGTTGACGACATGGTTCTTCCCGACCAGGGCGTAACGTGGCATGTAGCTCAAGTCGATATCACGATGATGGTTGCAGCGGCTGCTATGGAGAGAACCGAGACTCAGTGGGAAGCGTTGTATGACTCTGTTGGACTCAAGGTCGTTCGTCGCGCCGTCTACACTCCAGGTTATTATGAGACTGTGACCGCCTTAGTCAAAAAATGAGTGGTCTCGGTATACATCAGTTCATATGTAGATCAGGATCAAGTCTAGGGGTCTCAATATCACTCTTGCCGTTGATATGTCTAGATAGCGCCTCGAGGTGGAATTGTTAGCCATGCGGAATCCGTGATGATTGTGAAAGACATAAGTGTGCGGCCAGATTGGAATCTTAAATCTTAAATCTCGTTGTGATTTACGAATGCCCTTTGGTGTGGGCAGAGTGATATGTAGTCCAAAGTCATGTACTGCGAACGAAGACCACCATGATGAATAGAAAACTCAAGCACAAGGGATTGGGCTCTATTGTTTCGAGCTGGGTGGGTCTTATCATCATCCGTGGAATTCACGTTCGCCCTCGGCTAAAGACCTACAAGGTTCATAACTTGATACAAATACGCGGCATATCTTGTGTCTTTACCAGCCACACACACCGATCATCATATGCAGTAGAACGTCCGATCGGACCAATTGCTCTGTTGCTCACTCCCTCCCCAAAACATCTCAAGTGCTATAATCGGTGACACCCTTCACCCCGCCAATTCAGCCCCATTGCGCGGATATAATCGCTTACCGCTACTCCAGCGCATGCCGTAGTGGGAAAGAATCAGCCAGAATTATTTCGACATGGAATGTTACGATCTGGTCATCGTGGGGGCTGGTGAGTTATTTACGTTCGCTGTACCACAGATCAACCATCATCCCAGAAACCACCTCACTTCGTATCGAGGTTTGTAACAGGTCTGGACACAAACACTAACGATTCCACCCTCCTTTTCTTCTAGGACTCTACGGCCTCGTCAGCGCTGCAACATACCACCGCATCCATCCCAACTCCAGCATTCTCGTTCTCGAAGCAGGTCCTACCCTTGGCGGTCCTTGGGCCCCCCACCGCACCTTCCCAGGCCTCAAAACAAACAATCTATGGGGAACCTACCAGATCCCCGATTTTCCGATGGGAGAAAAGCGATTTGGCGTTAGCAAGGGGGACTTTGTACCGGCAGAGAAAGTTTACGAGTATCTGTGCGCATACGCAAACGAAAACGACATCAAGAGATTTGTGCGTGTAGACACCGAGGTCCAAAGCATCGAGAAGATGGAGCCAGGCTGGAAACTGCAATGCCGTTCGTCCACCAAACACCCGGCAGCAGCGATCCCGATCCCAGGAAGCAACCCTGGCCAACACAAAGAAGAAGAAGGAGAAGGAGAAGATGCATCTGCACTCGTCATCACCACCTCCAAACTCATCCTCTCAACCGGTCTAGTCACTACCCCAAACATCCCATCCTACCCCCAATCCCCAACCTTCACATCCCCAATCCTGCACTCCAAATCGTTCCCCTCGCACCACGAAGCCCTTTCTACATCCCCGACACCCACTCACACCCTCGTGATCGGAGCGGGGAAATCCGCTTGGGACATTGCGCACGCAAGCGCAACAGCGCACCCAGCCTCCACGGCAACAATGCTGATCCGCCCATCCGGAAACGGACCGACGTGGATGGCGCCGCCGTACGTCACTCCGTTCCGGCTATGGCTCGAGAAGCTGGTGTTTACGCGGTTCCTTGGGTTTATGTCGCCGTGCCCGTGGGCGGAGACGCGAGGCGTGGAAGGCGTCTTGCGGCGGTTCCTGCATGGAACTCGGATTGGGAGGGCGGTCGTGGGAGCGTTTTGGACCATTCTGGGGGATGATGCGATTGGCTTGAATGGGATGGGGGAGGGCGGAGACGAGCAAGTCAAGAAGCTGAGACCGTGGAGGGGCGCGTTCGAGGTAGGGAACGGATTGAGCGTCTTGAATTATCGGGAGGATTTTTTTGCGTTGGTGAGGGCGGGGAGGATCAACGTTGTCTTCGGGGAGGTGGAGAGATTTGAGGGGGAGAAAACAGTCGTACTAAAGGGAGGACAGAGTTTCGATGCGGATGCGGTGGTGTGCGCGACTGGGTGGAGACGTTCAGCGGCGTTATTCAAGCCCAGGGCGCTGGAGAAGGAACTCGGGTTGCCTACTGACCAACCCCTCGACGAGGATGAAGCAGCGGTTGTGAACCGAGTTGAGTCGGAAATCCTTGCACGCTTCCCATTTCTGAAGACACGCGATTCAAGTCGAGTGCATCACCCCGATCCGTCCCTCCGCCACGCACAAATTGTAGATTCCGGCAAGCAGCCGTACCGGCTTCATCGCTTTCTTGTGCCACTTTCCGACATGGAGGACCGCTCGATAGGCTTTGCGGGTGCCATGATGACGCTTGGAAATACATTCTGCGCCTACCTACAAGCCTTGTGGTTAGTTGCGTATTTCGACGGCACAGTCGCCATGGCGTCCGCACCTCCAGAACAACTGCAGCACGAAACCTATCTTGTGACGCAGTACTGCGCCTTGCGACATGCAATGGGCTATGGCAATCAGTTCCCCGATCTTGTGTTCGACTCGTTGCCGTATTACGATGCACTAATGCGGGATCTGGGTTTCGACGGGAAACGAAAGGGAACCGTGTTTGGTATGCGGAATTGGGGAGCTGAGTGCTTTAGAAGCTACGGGCCCGAGGATTACATCGGGTTAGTGGACGAGTGGAAACGCAAACTCGAAGTGGATATAGAAGGAAAGAAGAATGTGTAAATATCAGCATCGCTGGGATGTGGATCTATTCCTGGGGATGGAGTATCTGCGGTGCCAATGGCATAATGTCTGAGGTCTTCATACCGCTCATGATTTATCCAGAGCCAAAGACTTATACCGAAATACCACGACGAGGAGAGTCTCGATGACTGACGACTTTGGGGTCCGGTTCTGCATTCCCAGATATAACTTCCCCAAATATGCTATACCACTTCCCAATCTTCAGCCATAGAGTTGACCGGGGCATCATACCATTCTTCGTCCGATCCCTCGTCCTCCCCCAATGAAGAACTCCTCTGCATGTCAAGCGCAGTCGATGTGCCACCTCTATATGGCAAGACTTCGCCCTTGACTATGTCTAAATCGTCGATTATATCTTCGTCTTCGACCTCTTCCCACCTCGGTAGCAATTTCGGGGGTGTGCTTGGCTGGGAGACGTGTTGTGTACCATGTCTCGGTTGGGCCCGTGGTTCTTCGCTGAGCTGCTTGGATCGTTTGAGTACCTTGGCTCTCTCAGTCGAGCTCCCCGATGTCTCCGTTACGCTTCGTATTGCTTGCCCAAACGCGGCTTCATCAGCCAACCGAATGCAAGGGCTCTTTTTGTTTTCCAGCCGCAGACATATCTCTATCCCGCTCTTCTCAAAAACTCGTCCAAATGATGCTGCAGCAATTCCCATCTGCTTATTCCAAAGATTCAGACTGAGCGTCTGGAAAGACGGGAGGCATAGTTGTATGTACACAGCCAGCGTTCTATAAGCATCCTGAGCGTCATTGATGTTGGCATCCTCCTCGTATGGCACATTGATTATGGACAGCGACGTGACGTGCGCTCGCGCACAAGGTGACAAACGGGAAAGGAATACCCTTGTAGCGTACGATTGGTATCTTCCACGGGGACACGGCCCAGTGAGAAACAGAAAGTTGCGATTTCGGTATAACAAACCTACGGCTTCTTGATAGACTGTTTGACAAGTGGCAAGTATGTCGACGTTAGCCTCGTAGCCAGGCTCGTATTTGACGCCAGGTCGAAGGAAGTTGATCTGCCCACTATCTGCATAGTCGTCTCCACATACCCAAAGATGCTCGGCGGGGGGATTAAAAAGTACATTGGGGCCGTAACATTTGGACCGTGAATAGATATGGTCCTCAGTCTTGGTGTTGCTTGTACGTGGTTTGGATGGGTTCTGGGGGCAGCGACACAAGTCGATCTGAACAGCCCCGTTGAAAGTGGTATTGCTGGGGTTCTCAAACCACGGCCAACGAAGAGTGTAGTTGATGGTTGTCACGGTTTCCTTGGCATGTGGGGCAAGCAGATATATATAGATGCGTTGACGGACGGGTGAGGGAAGGCGGAGGAATGGAGATGTCGAAGACGAGGCGGCCATGAGATTTACGGGGTAGAGCTGTATGAGATTGAGATGTTGGCGAAGGACCCCCCCGTTATAAGATATGAGGTGACTAAGTTGGGAATACGATATCAGCCAGGGTTCTTCAAGGTGATGATGCGGAGGGAGGTGATGAGGCATTCAAGGTCTGAAGCGAGTCCAAAAATAGAGAGCTGCGTCATGTAAGAGCGTTTCTCTACCGCTCTTTGAGTGTCACAGCAGCATATCGCGGCCTGACGAAGCACCGGATGGGGAAACGAGCGGACAGGCCAGCACCAAATATAGGCGGACGAGCATGCGAGTTGAGCAGATGATTACATCAAGTGTACATGGCCAGACACGAAGGGTTCATGTTGGCGAGTCCGGGTGTGGCTGGTGACATGGTGGCGGTACACTTCAGCACACGACGATGGGAAATGGATGTGATGTGCCGTCAAAAGTATTTACCTTCGCTCCATTCGCCTGACGGCTAGAGAGAAGGGGGTAAGCAGACGTAAAGCTGATGCATCAATCTGCCCTCCACTTTCCCCTCCAGCATCTCCATTGATGGGAATAGAGCAGAGTGAATATGAAGGGTCGTTTCAGTTTGTTTTATGGGAAAAGAAAGCAGGAAGCTGGAGCGACGAGACGAAAGAAAACTGTGCCGGCGGCTTAGCGTGTTAGTCAGCAGCGCACCCACGCTAGCGCCAAAGACAGACTGGCGGGCTTGGCACAGCATCTGCCAGCCTGCCTTAGGTAATCAATCAATCTTGCGGCTTGATTGCTTGCTGGCTCTCGGTGGTGGGGAAGGCGGGGCATTTTTGTTGTTCGCTCGTCTCAACATCCAGGAGTCATCGCACCACCCCCGACTCGACACACTGCCCAAAGATCCAACCCACAATTTAGTGGTGAGTATATCGCCCGTCTGCTGCTTTGTTTTGCTCCCACGCCCTATTGTCCGAGGTCCTGACGCTCACAGCCTTGCCGCCCACATAGAAACACAGTCACTCCCAGTCCCTTCGAGTCCATACCTCAGGCCGTCAATATCTTCTTCATACAAACACGTAGCCTGTGCATATACAAGCGCGCTTTCGCCCGTGTCCCTCTCTTTTCGAAACTCAACCTCCCGCCCTCCATCCATACTTTTCTCCCAACATGTCTGCTTCAGCACGTGGTCGCGGTGGCAAGTTCAGCAAGCCCAAGCGCGGAGGTGGAAAGCATTTCTCGCGAGACCTCCAACCACTGAACGCAGAAGGCGAGGTCATGGGCATGTGGGGGGTACGTACAACCGAGTACATGGACAGAGTTAGATCCCGTGGATAGGATAGCTGACATGCACTCGCAGGATGGCAAGCCCGTCAAGGAGGAGGAGGAGTCGGAAGAGGAAGAGTCTTCCGAGGAGGAATCCAGCGAAGATGAGGGAGAGAAGCAGGAAATGACCCGTGAGGAGCGCCGCGCCGCCGCAAAGGCCCGCAAACAGGCCGCGATAGCCAAGCAGAACAAGAAGATCCCCGAGGCTGGCGATCTACCCACCGACTCTGAGGAGGAAGACGATGATGACGAAGATATGCCTGCGAACCCGAACCATACAGCCAAGGCCCGCAGCCAGGCAGCCAAAGCCCCAAAGGTTGTCGAGGAGCCCAAGACAAAAGGAAAGGACAAGGACCTCGGCCAGCTGAGCAGGCGCGAGCGCGAGGCAATCCAGGCCCAACAGGCAAAAGAAAACTACGAGAAGATGCACGCTGCAGGCAAAACTGACCAGGCACGTTCTGATCTAGAGCGTCTAGCTTTGGTCAAGGAGCGTCGCGAAGCGGAAGCTGCCAGGAAGAAGGCTGAGGCTGAGGAACGGGCTGAGCATGAAAAGGCCAAGTCGGAGCAGATTGAACGTGAGAACAGACGGAGGGAAGCTGCCATGGGGAAGCGTCGGGGTGGGAAGAAAAAGGCCTAGACTATCGTCGGTCTATCTGCGTGATTCGGCTTGGAGATCTGGATACAGTCCTCGTGTAGCATGCAGCGCGCGATCATCAGACAATCGGAATTTCCACAAAGCACAGAGGTACAGGCCGTACCTCGATTCATATACATCAAACATGCGTTCAATTGTCCAAGTGCTCAAGTGCTCTCACCCTATTTCTTGCCTGGCGTGACATTACCACTGCCCTTATCCTGGAGTCGCACTACACAATGCATGATACTGCTCATCCACCCCTACCCACTGACACGAATAGACAACCAATCAATCAATCTCTCTCTTTTATACAGCATTACAAACTAGCCAGAGTCTGGCGTGTCGCGCCTACCCTTCTCCCCCACCACCGCCCTACCACACATACCCAGCTATGTACAGAAGGGTATACCCCGCGTTGCATGTCGCATCTCCGCCCTTGAAGCTACTGCATTATCGAACAACCACACCACTTCCCAAGCGTGTGTAAGCTAAGACCTGGCATGCACGAACTTGCCTGTTTTTGCGTCTACAACCGTCCAAACTTTTTTTACTGGGTTGATCGCGTCAACCCTCGCTTCGTGTTCATCTTCCATCTACATCGATTCCCCCTCGAGCGGACCAAACACCTTGGGGGGGGGAAAATAAATGGCTTGAAATCGAGATCATGAACACCGCCCTGCCAAACCCTTATGAGTGAGTTCCTGGTTCGATACAATCATCACCCTATTGCCCCCCCCCCTCTTCTGTATCTTTATTTATGGGGACATGATCATCATCTACCCCCGCTCTCTCTTGTAATAACCATCGTGTTCCAAAACAGTGAAGAAGGACTAAGGGAAGAAGAAGAAGAATTAGAAAAAAAAATCAATGACGTAACGTCTTCCTAGGCCATTAGAAATCCACCAACCAACCACACAACACACTTGACCATGAACAAACGACGGATACATATATATCCTCCCAGCAACAAAAACAATTTGTTATTCTCTCAGTGCATCAAAACAAGAAAGACAGTGAAACGACTTGTCTAGTTTTGATGATTTCCAAAAAGACACGTAAATGTGCATATCACTAAATGTGTATAGAAACACTAGAAGGGGGAAACAACATCAAAAAGATACCTATTGATCCATAAACTCGAATCTCCTTCCTGATAAGAGAGAGAGAGAGAGAGAGAGAGAGAGACGAGACGAGACCGGCCACGAAAAAAAAATAATGGATCAAGATACCCAGGACCGCGACGTCGTTGGCCAGAATTATTCCGCTTTCCGCGACTGTCTCGGGGACCCTGTCATCCGCGCTCTCGCTGTACCGCCATCAGACTCCTCCTTCTCTGGGATAGAGACGAGCCGGAAGAAGAGAAGGGAGATGAGGAAGGACAAGAAGAAGAAAAAGAAGAAGGAGAACAATAAAAGTGAGGTTATTGGCGGGAAGAAGGAAGGTAGCAAGGGAGAAGGAGGGAATGGTCATGGAGATGGAGATGGGGACGAAGAGGAGGATATCATGGTGGATACTGGCGTAGCAGAGCCGTTGAGCAGAGCATCTGAGACCAGGGGAGGTGGAGATGAGGAGCATGGCGAGATGGGTGGCGGCGGTGGTGATGAATTGGGCGACTTCATCGAGGTAAGTGTGTTTTGATCTTGTTCTACCGCTTACGCCGTTCCTTGCCTTCTTTCCATCTGTTTTGTTTCCGCTTCCCCTCCGTCTGTCTGCTTGGTGTTGGCTGGGGTTTGTACGGGTAGGAAGTCGGACGCCCCCCTGGATCCAACGTGACACTGCCGGCTCCATCATCTCTTATACCCACGACATGAATTCCTGTTTGCGAACAAAGCATATATCGATGCTGTCTCTTTCTCCTCTCCCACCCACCCCCATCGTGCTCCGTAGAGAGGGAAGCAAAGAAGAAGAAAAAAGAAGCATACAGCTAACTCACCTCCAAACCCCCACTTAGTACCTAACAAGTCTGATATTCCCCTCGCTCCCTCCCGCCCTCCGGACTCTAACCCACTCAACCTTCCAAACGTCCCAAAAGCTGCAAGCCACCTACACAACCCCGCTCCCGCCGTCCACAATAACAGCCCTGTTAACGCCATTCCCCCCGACCGCCATCGACGCTCTGGAATCCGCATCGCTGCTCCCCCATTCCTCCGATGCGACGGACCACGTCAACTTCTTCGCGCCAGTGTTGAATAGTTACGTCGGTGCGGTGACTGCGCCGCCCCCGCTGTGGAGTACGACCAGGACTGCCGAGTGCGAGCTGTGTGCGCGGGAGTGGATTCCGTTGACGTATCATCATTTGATTCCGAGGTCGACGCATGAGAAGGTGTTGAAGAGGAGGTGGCATCGCGAGGACGTGCTGGATAGTGTCGCCTGGCTGTGTAGGGTATGTGGCCAGCCTTCTAGATCTCAAATCTGTACTTTGACTGACGTTGTGCGCTATGTTTCATTAGGCCTGCCACTCGTTTGTGCACCGTCTGGCTTCCAACGAAGGACTGGCCAGAGGGTTTTACACCATGGACCTGGTTAGGGAGGGCGGAGTTGAAGGCGAGAAGAGGGAGCAAGTCGAGGGATGGGTCAAGTGGGTCGGCGGAGTCCGATGGAAGAGCAGGTAGGGCCACTTCGATATTGACAAACCAATTATCGTCCTGCCTAGGGTTTCTAGGTGTTCGTGTCGTATCTAAAATGCGTCAATTATGTCTAGCCGCAATTACTAGGATATGTTAGTAAATCATCACTGCCTCAACATACTGCTAAATGCAGCACCTTGATGCCCTCAGATCTCGTGAGCCGGCACGACAGTCACGGAAGAAGTGAATATATGAAATCATTGATTCATCTGTTTACCTATCGTGAAAGGAAACCATAGCCTCGTCAACCACAATCCCCTAGAGGAAGGTAGTGAGAGCAAACTATGAACAAATCAGTGATCCACACGGACCACACCCTTGATCCCAGATATTTTCCGTGGAATTGAGTCCACAAATTGAATCCCCATTATCCCATTATTCCGTGAACGCCAGATAAGTTGGTGAATTTGAGTCTGCAGAGTGAACCTCCCAGCTCTTCACGACAGCACTTAGACGAACCACATGAACTCCTTGTGACCACCGTTGCCCATCTTGATGAGTGGGGCCACATTGACCTCGCGCTTACCAGTGGAGCCAGTGGAGGACTGAGCCTCTGGAGGCTTGCTCTCCTTCTTGCCAGACGAGACAGGGTTCTCATTCAGATGAGCCCGAGCACGATCAGCAGCCAGGTGAGCGTAGTAGACAGCTGGGTGAAGTGAGACAGGAGTAGTAGAGCGAACATACGAGTACGCATGCTCGAAGATGAACTGCTGAATTTGACGAGAATCCCACTCAGCCTCATTGAGGATGCAGGCGTAGTGGATAGGACGAGCAGTGCCCTTGATTGCCACGTGAGAACACATGTAGAAATCAAACTCAAAGGGATGAGTGCAACCAGATTCCACAAGAGTACCTGGCAAGGCGTTCTTGTTGCGATCACCCTTCTGAGGAAAGAAACGGATGTGGTGACGCTTTCCAGCAATCATGACGATAAACTTCGGGCAATCGCGGGCGCCCAAGGCCTTGAACGCTTTCTTCATGTCGGTAACCTCATCCTCTAGGACAGCAGCATACTGACCCTCAGAAACACCATCACGAATATACATGACATGCTTGGGAGGATGGCCATTTCCAGCACGCTGCATCCAGTTCTTGACCATTGGCGTAAAGTGATTCTCGATGTTCTTAGTAGTAATCATCTCAATGCGGTTGCCGTTGGTTTGAACCTCTGCCCAGTAGCGGGTGAAGCGGGCATCTTGAGAGACAGTAATGGCGGCAATTGAAGAAGCTTCACCGGAACCAGCACCAGGTGCAGGGTGAGAGACGTCAGCCCCTACAACCATAGTAGATGTAGAGGCAAAAGCAGGGTTCATCTTAGGGATGACTGAAGACTGAACCCATGTGGTAGTGCCACCAAGCTTAGCGTTGACCTTCATACAGACGTTTGAGATGTATTGGCCAGAGCAAGATTGAACGTGCTTCGATTGAAGGACCTGCGAGGCTATGCCGTACCGACAATCAAGCGATTTCTTCAGGCGACGATAAACCTCGGTGTTGCGATCGTTGACAATGAAGAACAGCAAAGATGGGGTGGTGTTGAACTGATTGCCAGTGGCATTATATGCCTTCTCAACAAGAGCACCGCCATCAGCAAGGCTACCTTGGCCGAACCATGGAAGCTTGCCATACTTGGGGTGGACGGCAAAGCGACCGCCATGGCCTTCGTAGGTCTTGATGAACTCAGAGAAGAACTTGCCAACAACATCCTTGGAGAGTCCAGGATCATTGCGACGGGTGGGCATGATGCAACAGACGCCCCAAGCCTTGACCTCCTTCTGGTTGGCCAGAGCAAACTTACGACCATCAAGGCGCCAGCGACCGTTGAGCATATCCTGATCCTTGAGCTTGGCATCCCGGCATGGCCCAAAGTTCACTATAGGAGGAGGAAGTACGCGAGCCTTGACAGTGGCAGGCTTGGGGTCAATCTTGAGACCGTAATGGGTGAGATAGGAATCCTTCTGCCAATCTAGCAAGCGCACCCCATTGTTGATGTCACGCCAGCGACCCTCAGGGAGGGTAACAGCGAACTTGATCATAGCGGAGGTCTGTTGGTCAGACAGCTTGGTGTTGTAGCGCTGATTAGGATCAATGCGCAGGACATCAAGAGGCAGGTAGACATCCTTCCGGCGAATCTTCTTGGTGACCTTGACCACAGGAAAGCCTGGAGCGAGGTTCTTGCCATACTTCTGCTGGAAATACTGCATGAGAGAGATCTGTCGACCGTCGGGATCCTCGAACTTGGCGTCGTTGACATCCATAGGAACGAATTCATCAATAGTCCATTGCTGCGGAGTACCGTGAATGGAGGTTATGCCGACATGCTTGAACCGACGAAGATCGCGCCTAAAGGTTGACTTCTTCCAATCCTGCTTAGCCTCGCGGAAGCGCTGAGCGAGCTGCGGCTGGGTACAGTTGAAAGCCTGCAGCAGAGCACGACCAAGTTCCTGGGGGCGCCAGAAAGTACCGTTGGCAACGTCGACATTAACTGAGAGAGACTTCTGGAAGTTGTCGTTGAGCACAGGGCGAAGGGAGGAGAAGACGCCTTTGAAAGCCTCTACTCCGCCACCAAGATCAAAGCGATTCTCACCGCGCTGGAAGAATGATTTCTTGATTTGTGTGTATTTCTGCGCAGGGCCCTCGCGCATCAAGTGGTCGAGGAAGTTGATTGTGTCAATGCAGGTTGGTGTCCAGTCAGAACCCCGATCCAAGAAGGACCTCAGGCTGGCGAAGTCGACTTTACGAGTCTTTCGAATGAATAGAGTGTGGATGTTCTCCTTGCCGTCATCTCGAGGCTTGCGTGCCTTGCCACAGTTCTTCGGATCGTCCAGGTTGACGGTGATGCGAGTCTCATCGCGATCGAAATTACGAGTGGACCTACATGAACTTGTTAGCAATGCACCGAGGGAAGAGAAAGATAGATAGGGACTTACCAAGCAAGCTTGTTGCCATCGTAGATCCAGAGGTGATGAGGCTCACCAAGCTGTTCCTTGGCCGTCTTCGAGTTCCAGAGCTTCTTGAGCAGACCGCGGAGCCCTTTGAACTCCTTCAGATCCTTGGGATCGATCTTCTTGGAACACTCGATCTGTATGTGTTAGCAATGCGAGCCCTGATCTGAAACAAGACACAAAACTCACATCATACTGATACACAGTCTGGGTAGGGAATTGAGCAACGTTGAAGGTGTTGAGAGTGACGAGAGCTTCCTTTCCGAGCTTGTTGAATTCCGCCGGGCGCTGGGGAAGGTTCTGGGGCAAAGGTTTCTGTAGGGGATTAGTATCAATGTTGAAGTGAGTGGGCTTGTGGATATTGTGCACGACTTCGGCCGCCATGATGACGACTAGTCAGTGGACTGAAGTGTAGTGTAGAGAAGTGTAGTAAGGCAATAACAATGTGGAAGGGGACATGAGTCTGCAATTTAAACCCCTCGCGGGGCAAGACTGCCAGACTAGATCGAACAAGGGGATGCTCAAGTGCTGCTGAGCACCCATGAAGCACATGATGTGCAAGGTAGTGCAAACGTGAAGATAGACAAAGGGCGCAATGGAGATGGCAGGGGTCCGATAAAGAGAGGGGAGTTTGTATGCTTACACCGCGGGCAATGTACCAGCCCTTGAGACCAAGAAAGTCGGAGAGATTCTTGAGATCCTTCTCATTGGAGTATTCGATAGGTGCGCGATAGCTGTCCGGGTCACGGTTGCCGTCAAGACGGGAGATGGACTTGGGTGTACGAGCAGTCGAAGCACGCGAAGAGCCGCCAGTCGAGCTGGACTGCTGCTCGACGTGAGCTCGACGCTTGCCGGCGCCACCCATGACGTTCACTATCCAGGGTCAGCATGTTGTTGAGCAATGAGGAGAGCCAATTGCCGTGAGACAAAAGCCACGCCGACGAGATTGCAGGCAGCCCAGCAACTCAAACGTGTGAATGGAGCGGAAACTTACAGGGTCAAGTGGTGACAAAGTTGGGAAAAGCCGTAGATTCAGCAGACTGGTGGAACCCAGGTAGGCTGCACTGCAAGAGTAGCGGTCAGTGATGGGCTCCATGAGCGCATGCGGAAAGACATGGTCGCACATGCCAGAAGGTGGGTAACATACATGAGATTCGGATTTGGAATGAGTGTGCCAGTGACAATGGTGATGATGGTGGTGCTGTCCAGCGTCGTAGTGACAACCAGAAGCGGGGATCTGGGTGGGCAAGGTATGAGAAAGAGGGTCAGGTAGTGGTGGCGGACAACAACAAAACAAGAGGCAGCTGCTCTGGAAACGCCAAGACTTTGGCAGCAAACACGCAGGTCCGGGCTTATGAGGAAAGCATGGACCCAGTGAGGATAATAAGGAAGGAGCGTACGTACAAGTCGCGTCGCCGGTCACGTGGAGTTGACGGCGGGAGCTTTGATAATGGGTGTTGCCCTGCAGTGTCGAGCAGAGGAAGTTGGAGAGTTGGGTGTTGGAGGCAGAGGTAGGCTTGTGTAGAGGACTTGTTGCAGTGGAAGCTCAGAGGATATATCGAAGGAGAGGCACAAGATGCTAAGGGGAGGAGGTGGAGTGTGGTGTTGAGGTGGTAGAGGAGAGGGGGAACCTGGGTGTGGAGGGGGATATTTATATCTGGGGGGTGGCGAGATTCCAGACAGTCGGTATCGAGGTGAAGGAGTTCAGGTGAAGGAGAGCCTCAGATGTTATATAAATTGGTGGAGCTCGGGGGTGAGTCCGTGGAGAATTTGGAGGTGAGAACCAGAAGACAATTGAGACCGGTCTAGTCGGACAGAATGGACGCCAGAACAGCGTGAAGATGATATTTAAGACCGGGTAAGAGGATCTCAGACGACAAGCGGTCTGGGTTTTGGTAGGTGAAGTGCGTTCTGGCAGGACAACTTGATAGAATATCGCATCGTGACCACAACTTGGTGTTGTGGTGAATACCGGGGCAACCTCGAGTAAGATGAGACGAGAGACCTGAGATAAGTAAGTCGTCCAAAGCCAGGAGAATGCTGACGAACAACAGGGTGATTGAAGCATTTAGTGCCATCTCTGATGTAACTATCCAGCACTCAGTTATGCGTGACAAGAGGTCCAAACTTTGATCTGTTCCCACAAGGCCTACACCCCATTCATCTGTTTACCATCCAATGCCGGATAACCATCACAAGACTCTCAAAATTCGAGCGCCCCCCCCCCCCCCAAGATATTGAGACTGCCGGATCGAACGATATCAGCATTACTTCCGAGAAATTTCTCATCACTTCGGATAGCTTTCATGTCTCTTTGCTAGGACATGACGCTGCATCTGTAGTTTCCGTGGCCGAGCGTGGGAATCCTCAAAAGGCGATACAGCAGCACGGGCAGCTCATATCAAGAGAAAGGCTGGTATATCCTTCAGGGTGGAATCCAGTCACTTTTCCGAGGATATGTAGGCATTCGGTGTTGCTTACACATTGCTCCAAGAGTCCGGTCGACAACATTCCGGTGGGAAACTCTTCAACTTCCTTTGGAAAACCAAAAAAAAAAAAAGAACCCATTTCCAGTGGACCAGAATCTCCATTGAGTACACTCCAACTACGAGCCGCTGTATATAGTGCCACTGCTAGACGTCAGTACTCCAACACCCGTGATACACCTTATTGGGCGGGTGAATCTAAGCCGACCTCTTCTCCCAAATGATCCGAAACGGTATGTTATAGACGAGACAGACGATCACGAACCTTTACCATCATCCCAAGGGAATCGATTCGTGAGGAACTTCCATATATCGACGGAGCTGGGCGAAGCGCTGCGAGCAAATACATTCGCATCTACTCGTCTGTTTCTAAACCTGGGTGTACACACAGCAACGATGCAGCGTCATGAGCTCAATGCAGAGTTGATGAGTTCTAGTGCTGGCAATGGTGGCAATGGTGGCGACCAACACCATCATCATTATCATTCTCAAAGCAAAAAGGAGCCCCACGATCGTCGTCATGGTCGACAGAGCCAGGGTGTTGGAGGGGTTAGCAAGAAGGCGGCGAGGGAGGCATCGAGAAATCAGGGGCGGAATTGAGGGGTGAGTGCTCCGGGAACGATGCCTAAGCGTGGCCAATCAATCAACCAACCAGATGTCCATTCATTCACTTGGTTCTGTGTGACTCTCTGCGAGCTTAGCCACTGGACACGGGACAGACAGACGCGGTACAAACGGACGTTTACGGGTTCAGCTGATGATTGAACAACGGCTGGGGAGGGTAGATAGGAAAAAGTTGAAATTTTCGTAACCAAAACAACGCTATGCAGATAGATGATGCGACGCTCGAGCAAGCGTGATAACGCATTCTTCGAGAAGGCGGGGGAGAATGATGAGGCTCCCCAGGGGTAAATAGTACAGGAAGATGGCGCAACGAATTCTAAACGCTAAAACCTTTGAAGAAGGGGTAATATCTACACAAAATTATTCCACGTCAACTGCTCTTCGATTACTCCTCATGACAAACCAAGATTCAAGGCCCCAACCTTTGGCCTCCCCCATCTGGTAGCGGGCTTCGAGGCCCACCGCCCAACGGAATCCCTGTCGTTGTGGTCGGCAGCACACCGTAGCGGCCATATGTTTTCTGGTCCACGCTCACGTAATGCGGAAGGCGGCCGAGAAGATTGAGTTTTGTCTCGATCCAGCGAAGGATCTTTTCATGGGGGACGAGAAATTTGATGTAACCAAGACCCCAGAGGTATCCGACGGCGGCACCGCAGAGATGGCCGAGAAGCGAGACGTGAGGCATGAGGGCGGAGGTGATGAGGATGAGAATAAGGGGAGTTGTCCAAGTTGGGATTTTATATGGACCGATGCTGGCGCGGACGTGTTAGAGAGGACAGAATTGAATGGGGGGACGGGACATACCTGAAGTTTGGATTGGATTTGCTGGTTTTAATGGCCTCGGAGGCGAGAAGGAGGAAGACCCATACACTGTGAGGAGTCAGAAGGTTCTCATGGTGGTGTGATTGAGAGCGAGGGAGTGTACCTTGAGCCCATGACGGCAGTGTTTCCTCGCAGAATAATTTTCTCCAGAAACAGGTATAGTCCTCCGGGAAGCAGCCCGAATGCTGGTGTCCGGTTAGCTTTTTCTTTTTCTTTCCCGTTCCCCCACACTGCAGATTGAAGACAACATACGGCCGGTGAAGAGAGACAGGGTTACAATGGTGCCGAATTCGGATTCGAAGCGCTCGAGAAGGGGAGTCAAGGTGATGATGTCGAAGAGCAAGTGGAAGAAGCCGATATGCATGAGAGGGAAAAGATTCAGGCGATGCACTGGACAAAAGGATGTTAGCCACTGGTGTTTTTCGCAAACGCGGCGGGATGTATAGAGACGTACTCTGGGTCAGATCAAACTTGTCGGGGGCCAGGGCGGCCTTGTCCCTGATCCACGGGAAAGGAATGGCGGCGGACCATAATGCGACAATGGCAGCCAGCAGCAGCCTGGTGGTGAGCGGCAAGCGGAGGACGTAGGAGCGCAGTCGCGTGGGATTGAACTGGGTGAAGGATGATGGCATCGAAGTGACGGAGGGCATGACCACGAGGCCCGGCAGGCAGGCAGGCAGGTAGACAAATAAACAGCAGGGTGGGGGTGGGACGAGAAAGCAAAGTGTATGTAGACGGACGGTCAGACAGAGACGCGCGCGCCGGCGGACGGACGCGGTCGAGTGTAGCCAAGTAGTAGCGGAGTAGCTAGACTGCATCTATCCTCCCCTTCCCTTACGGCCTCAAAAGGCTTGGAACTGCGGCACTAGCGAGAGATGCCGCCAAAGGCACAGATAGATAACCAAATACATAGATAAAGACGCTGTGTCCGACGCTGTGTCCGTCTGCTTGCCTGTCTGTCTGCATCTTCTTCCTCCACGTCCACCACCAGCCGAGGACCAACGGCACCATGGCCCTGATCTGTGAGTTCACTCGTTCCCATTGACCCAACAACTACACATGATGTATCCATCCATCGTGCTAACGGCCGGCCTGCTCCACCCGCACAGCTTCCCTCCTGGCCCTCCGCCGCGACGCCCGCGTCCAGAAACTGCCCCCCTATCTCTCCGCCCTGCTCGTCATTGTTGGCGTCGCCTGGTTGTTTGCCCTCCCCCTCGACAGCTACTCCCGCAGGACCTATGTCTCGGAGAATGCCCTGCTGCCTGCCCAGGTTCACACCTACTTTGGTGGGAGCGAGCACAACATCTTCCGCGCCTACAGGCACGAGGTCGCCGCGCTAGCTGATTCGTCCGTCGCCGAGTACGTCGTCCACCATCCATCTCATCTACTAGCATATATCTCCTTCCAGCAGCCTGGTCACTAACTCCAAGACCACCCGCAGCCGCTCCAAGAAGCTCGCCGACATTTTCCGCGAGAGCAACCTCAAAGTGGCATCCCAAAAGTATACTTATTCCGCCGCCAACCGCACCATCGACAACGAGAATGTCTACGCCATCTTGCAGGGGCCCCGCGCCGATGCCACCGAGGCCATTGTCCTCATGGCTGCATGGAAGAACATGGACAACGACATCAACTATTCCGGAGTAGCCCTCGCCCTCTCCATGGCCCGCTATTTCAAGAAGTGGAGCTTGTGGAGCAAGGACATTATCATCCTCATCCCCGGCGACAGCACTAGCGGTTCCCAGGCCTGGGTCGACGCCTACCACGATGCCCACGATCCGGAAACCATTCAGAGCCTCCCCATCAAGAGCGGCGCCCTCCAGGGTGCTGTTGCTGTCGATTATCCCGCTGGTCCTTGGGGTCACCGCTACGATAAGCTGCACATCGTCTACGATGGCACCAACGGCCAGCTCCCCAATCTCGACCTCTTCAACACCGCCGTCAACATTGCCGGCGGCCAGATGGGCATCGCGAGCACCCTCCAGCGCATGTGGTCACACTCGGATTCGTACCGCGACCGTCTCCAGACCATCTTCCGAAGCATGGTCTCGCAGGGTCTAGGTCACGCGACCGGCCCCCACAGTGCATTCATCCCCTACCACGTCGACGCCATCACCCTGAAGACTGTCGGCGATGGATATCACGATGAAATGGGCCTTGGCCGTACCGTCGAAAGTATCTTCAGGAGCTTGAACAACCTGCTCGAGCACCTCCACCAGAGCTTCTTCTTCTACCTCCTCCTCGAGGCGAAGCGATTCGTCAGTATCGGCACGTACCTTCCCAGCGCCATGCTGATCGCAGCGAGCTTCAGCATCATGGCGATTGCAAAGTGGGTGGAGAGCGGACGACCCTCGTCCGTGCCTAACCCAGCATCCACCAAACCTCCACCAAAAGCCTCAGACTCGAAAGCGAAAGACAAGCCCACCGAGGGCACCAAGAAAACCGATGCAAAAGAACCAGCACCCTCGAAACAAGCCTCCTCGGATTCCAAACAACCCAAGACGGAAAAAGAAGAAAAAGAAAAAGAAGACTCCTCAACCACCACCACCCTCCAATCGGGCTCCTCAAAATCAATAATCCCAAAGGCATTCACCTCCATAGTCTCCCGCCCCTTCTTCTTCCCCCTCGCCCTTGTTTTAGCCGTACACCTCTCTGGTCTCGTGCCTCTAATCGCCTTCAACCACTTCCCTGACACGGAACTCCTCGCACTATTCCGCACCGCCTCCAATCTCATCATCATGGTACCAATCTTCTGCGCCTTTGCCATCCGCTGGTCCACAAACATGGACGTTGCGCGCCCCACTCCCCAGGAGAACAACCTCATCCAATGCTTCAGCCTCCTCTTCCTCGGCATGCTGCTATCCACGCTCGCGACCATCAACTTCAGTCTCGCGTTCTTCGTGGGGCTGGCGTGTGCGCCGTTGAGCTTTGTCAGGGAAAGCTCAGACTACATCACAACCGGCATTCTGTATGGTGGGCTCGCCGTCATCAACCCGCTGGCCGTTGCGCATCTCGCCATGAAGGTTGGTGGCGTCGAGATCTTGGATGTGCTGGTTAAAGCGAGCGAAGGGTGGCATGTGTGGGGGATGTGGACCCAGGTCGTTGTGTGGCTTGTTTGGTGGCCTGCGTGGAATGTGGCGGCTTTTGTGGTGGCGTTGGGCTTCTTCTAGGATATGCCTTCGTGTGGTGGAATGGGAGCGAGGGGATAGTATGAATGGATGCTGCTCTCCATGGCGATGGCGCTGCAATGGCTAGATCAACATAGCTATTGGCTTTCCAGGGTTCGCTGGTCAATTTGTCGGCTCGAAGCGCTGTGTGAAATGTATCGTCTTACATGTATATATCATCCAATTCTCGGAGCCGACGGGCTGGTCGACTCTGGAACGCTGGGATGCAGATCGCTCCATGTCGGTCAGGGTGGTGGGATGGTTCACGCGGGGACAATGTATTTGTATTCTATTCAACGCGAACGCTACAGTTTCACTTTGGGAGGGGTTTTGTGTACATGTGTCTCAGTGTGGTTGTGTATCATTTCTTCATTTTGGTTTGTCGTGATGCCATTCACGAGCGGCTTCAGTTGCCATGCTCGTTATCTATGATTACATCTATCATGTACCCCCCGACTATGCGCAAGTCGTTGCGACAGTCGACGTCTCTCAACCGTCTGAACCATCCTCGAGTCGCTCATTAAGCAGCCCACACGTCTTTCCCAACCCCTTCGATCCAGTTTCCGAGGTGGTTCACGCTTGCATCCCACTCCTTCAGCCTACCCCTCATGCTCTCGATCTGCTTCATGTCCAACACCTTCGGCTGTACCCAGTTGATCCGCGCAACCTCGGCGACCTGGTCGATTGTGCCCCTTAACAGTCCCAAGCTCAAAGCCTTCATGATGAGGTGCTCAATTTCATTTGGCTTGACCTGCGTCTCCTGTGCGATTGTCTGGAATGTCATGGCGCGGTCGTGTGGCGGGCGGCGAAACACGGTCTCCGTCAGTGCTGACAAAGATATCTTTTGGTAGAGGAAAGTCTGATGTTCTTTGAGGAGTGGGTTTTTGGATATGTTGTCGGAGAGAACGCGATAGGCGGACAAATCGCCCCGATTAAAGGCAAAGAGTAGGTCGCGTAGCCAAGAGTGTTGTGTCTTTTCGAGTGTGTCGAGGATCGGGTGCAGAAGCAATTCACCGAAGTTGTAAATGGAATCGGATACCAACGCGGCAATGCTGAGGTCATAGGCGCGTTTTTGCCGCTCCGTCAATTCAAGTTCCGGCAGATCAACACACGCAAGATAGAGGAGGGCATTCTTGTAGTAAGCGGCGAATTCATGCTTTGCCTAGTATTGTCAGTAACTCATGGAAAGAAAGCCACCGAAGATGTACACACCTTGTAGTATTCTGCGCTGGTCCGGTAGAATGCCGCGTGCACTACCGTCTCCACCGAGTCGAAGTTCTCCAGTATCTGCTCACACTTGTCCAGCTTCTTTCGGGCACCGTCATAGTCCCCCGTCCGTAGCTGTATGCTCGCCGAAGCAACTGTGGCGTAGACGTAGGCATCTTGTGAGGCGGGCTTGTCCACCCGCTTTGCGAGATCTTCGACGAAATTTAAGCGCTCCTCGTCGTCTACAGACGCAAATTAATACTGGAAAATACATGTTCAATAGATTATTCATACCCTCATATTGTGTAGCAGCATTCAGACCAATGGTCACTAGCTTCAGCTGGTTAATCTTGTTGGCGAAGCTCTTGATAAAGGTCTCGAAGAGCGGTATCCGCTGTTTGGTGCTTTGTGGGTTCTCGAAGTAGAGAACAAGCTTATCCGTCAGCTCGTGCCATAGCTTCCGCTCCCAGTAATCTTCAAAAGTGATGAAGTACTCTTGCAGCTCCTCCGGTGCCTGATCGCGCAGATCGCCCAACAGATTGGGGATCGTATCCGTGTCCATGGCCATGTTGGGTGATTTTGTGTCGAAGCTATCTATACCGGATGGGAGTGGCCTGGCTGTGGGTGGCTGGATGACGATAGAAGTAGTGGCGGGCGCTCTGTAGGTACGTAAGGTGTTGATGTGGTGGTAGCGGGCGGGCTGTCCACAGCTTCGGCTTTGCTTGGCAGACGTCGGCAAAAAGTAGCGCCATGCCGACGTCGTCCATCATCAAGCTTCCGGTCATGTACATGCTCGTCTCCAGACAGCCATTGAACCCCGCGAACATGGTCTCGCCTCTCCGTTTTGCACGCTCGGGGGCGGCATTGGCGCACCAGATACCCCAGAAGACGCGCGCCTCCACCCTTCCCGTCGTTTGTCGACGATACCTCAACGAAGATGTCAGGATCACCAGGACCGGGAAACCCATTCTGACTGTGGCAGGCGGCCGGTACGTTCGAGACTATGACTTTGGAAGAGAAAAACAGCTAACAGAAGCTCCAGATCTTCTCTCGGAGGTACTTTCGCGCGTCGTGTAGCCATGTAACTCACCCCGCTTACCATGACTATAGGCTATACCGCAACCGTGTTTGGAGCTACGGGCTTCTTGGGACGATACATTGTGAACAGGCTAGGTGGAACTACATCCAGTCAGAAATTCAGGATCAATCGGCTGACGGTTTGGAACAGCTCGGTCGGGATGCACCGTTATCGTACCCTTCCGCGAGGAGATGGCGAAGCGCCACTTGAAAGTCGCTGGTGATTTGGGCAGGGTCGTCTTTCTGGTACACCTGATGAATCCAGCGCTACTCCTCAAACGCTAAAATTACGTAGGAAATGGACCTTCGCAACACCGCTTCCATCGAAGAAAGCGTGCGACACTCCGACATCGTATATAACTTGATCGGCCGCGACTATCCCACCAAGAACTTCTCCCTCGAAGATGTGCATGTGGCAGGAACTGAGCGCATCGTTGAGGCTGTAGCCAAGTACGATGTTGATCGTTTCGTCCATGTTTCTTCCCACAGCGTCGACAAGGACTCTCCCTCCGAATTTTACCGGACTAAGGCCCTGGGCGAGGAGGTCGCTCGTAGCATTTACCCAGAAACCACTATTGTCCGTCCCGGACCTATGTTTGGTTTCGAGGATCGTCTACTTAACCGCCTTGCAAGCCCCTCCAATCTCATCACCTCCAACTGGATGCAAGAAAAGCTCTGGCCTGTGCATGCTGTCGACGTCGGTATGGCTCTAGAGAAGATGATCCATGACGACACCACTGCTGCTGAGACGTATGAACTTTACGGTCCCAAGGGCTACACCATGGCCGAGATCAACGAACTTGTGGGCAAAGAAGCATTCCACAAACGCCGCCATATCAATATCCCTAAGAGGCTAATGAAGCCCATCGCTCACTACATGAACAAGTACATCTGGTGGCCTGTCGGCTCGGCTGATGAAGTAGAAAGAGAATTCATCGACCACACCGTGGATCCCAACGCAAAGACTCTTGAGGACCTAGACATCACACCCGTGACATTGGAGTCGATGACTTTCGAGTATCTGGTTAGTTACCCTCGCCAATAGAATGCTTGGAAGAAGAAGATAGTGTGCTAACACTCATATGCAGAAATCATACCGTAGTTACCAGTACTACGATCTGCCTCCCATGACGGAGCGCGAGAAGAGGGAGGAGAAGAAGTATTTGCACGTCATTGATGACCAGTAGAGGAAGCCGGGCACGAGCGGACTTTCTGGGAAAAAGAGAGCTGTGTATATAATTCCCACTTAGGTCATGGGTCAGGATTCGGCCCTTGTAGAATTGCAACAAACGCTTGTTTTCCTTTTGTCTTCAAATCCGTTTCTGCTGGTCGGTCCAGTTGTTGCTAAGTGATGTGACGTCGATCGGGTGAGGGGTGGTTTCCCATGGCAGTATCCAAATCGTAGACAGAGTTTGGTATTCGCGATAGGAAGGGCAGACGGTCAAACGTCCTATGCAGAGTAATACATCTCCACGACACCACGAACGGATGGATCTGCTTTCCCAACACTTCCTGACCCCAACACTCAATCTATCCGTCCTCCCTACCCCTCGTAAAGAGCCTTCATCCGCATCTGCACATACCCCCACGCAGTAACCGGTTCATACAACTTCCTCCTGCCCCCGTGCTGCTCTGCATCCGCATCCCAACACCCCGGCAACGCCTCAATAACAGTATCCATATCCGCCGTTGCAAAGAATGGGATACTATATCGACTTGGAATCGCCACGTCCAGGCCATTCCGTTCCTTCCGACGCACGTTCTTGTCGCCAGCAGCAGATGAAGAAGGGGGAGGAGCAACAACACGATGGACAGTCGAGCGCCAGCGATCATTCGACCAGCGCGCAAGAAGATCCCCAATGTTGACAAGGACGGTATCTGGGATAGGTGGTGCAGGCGTGAAAGTATCCTGGTTGTTTGGGGTCTGGACTTCGAGGCCGCCCACTGTGTCTTGGAAGAGCAGGGTCAAGGTGCCGAAGTCGCTGTGGGCATTGATTCTGCTGCGGTTGTGTGCGGTAAGGTCGTCTGTGTGTGTATGGATGGATAGCGGTTAGATGCGGATTTTGAAATTCAGGGCTGGCTTGATATTCTGTTCGGAGCGTAGTAGAGTGAGAAGAGGGGTTGGGTAGGCTAGGGGACTTACGTGCCGAAATGGGCGGGTAATGCAGAAGCCGGAGTTGGAACAATGAGTTTGCGTGGGTGGAGGAAAGGTCGGGCACTTCCTCCATCTCTTCACTCACACCGCATCCTTTTTCCGAGAGTGTATGCTGGTAGTTTAGATGCAGCGCGAGCGTTAATGCATCGAGGAGGCGGTGGATGAGCGTAGAGCAGTGCGAAAAGTAGGTCTCCAGAAAATGCTGGAAATCCGGGAGTATGGACTCGGGCGGCCATATGTTTGGCTGTGAGGTGTCGAGGGGGTTTCCGCTTTCAAAAGATTCTTTGTAGTCTGGGATCTATTACAGTAAAGGTGACAACAACTCCATTAATAACACTGCTGCTTGATGGGAATAATCTCTTGCAAGCAACGATAGAAGAACGGGGAGGTAGAAGCGGCGAGGATTTGACTCACCTCTCTCAACTTCGCAATCTCCCCTTCATCAAACACATGCTGGCTCACTTTCTCCACTCCGGGCGCAGAGTAACCCCGATGGTGGCTACCACCCGGTGGATGCGGAGCCAGCATCTTTGTCTCCATGGGGAGATCGAAAAACTTCTTGCTCTGCACCGAACTCAAACATGGTTAACAAACACGCATGGCACTCTTCTGTGCTGGGATACCGAGATTGAGACAGGGCGTACCCAAGCGAAAGCCTCCTCGACGAGAGATCCCTCGATACCGAAGTTGGTCACATAGACAAACCCGGTGTGACAAAACGCTTCATCAATCTGTCTAGCCACATGTTCCTTTCGTTTCTCTCGGGCTTCATCGCTCAACTTGGAACATCCGGTAAACACGCCAAAGTCGACGATCGGGATTTCGGGATACAATGGTGGAGTGGAGGACATCATTTCTCGCAGTCTTTATATTTGCGGTTGGTGATTGGCGTATGTTGTTCTGCTTTTTGTCCGATGTAAGTGGAAGTTTTGGGAAGAGAAGGTGGAGTGGAGGTATGCTACCTAGGTAAGTCGGCATGAAGCTTTGTAGCGTAGATTATATATACACAGTCTGGCACAAAATGCTAGAAACTGACCTTTACAAATCAAAAAGAGAAAAGATGACACGATTGATCCCAGCAACATAGTCAGCTAAATCATTGAGATGCACTAATGTATGCAAGCTATACAAATCGAGACTCACCCATCATTTCAATCGTGTGTCGTGTGAGGTAAGCATACATCACACACACAAGCGTTCAGCTGGAAGGTACGTGAAGTGGGGTAGTTTCACCGATCGCCCCTTCCAGTTCATCTGATTTGATGACGGTGGATTGTTGGGGAGGTACATATTCGCTGACTCAGCACCATCTACTCTACCCCCAAGAACGAGAGACGCAAGCTTGTTTTATTCTTTGGATATGCAAAAAATGCTCAAGGTAACAGATGCAATGCAAATGAAAGGACATAGAAGAAAGGTCCACAAAATATACCGAACGCACAATCCAGTCCTCTCTTCACTCACAATAAGTGAAACTGAAGGAAGTCCAAAGTCGGAAAATACCACTGCCTGAGAAACCCACCACGATCCGCTGAAGAGTGTAAAGTCCGTCTATAAAATGCACAATGGCGCTCTATACGAGACCAAGATAATCCGGCCCAGCCGGGGTAGCGCAGTCTGTTCTTTTGGATGCCCAATCCTTACGCATCACCAAACATACCCGCTACACCCTCGAGGCCGGGGCTGGTTCCTCGCACGATCGTGGCTGGCTGGTCCACGCTCATGTACTGTTCCTGGATGGCCGGCTTCTTCTTGGGTTTCGAACGTTCAATCTTGCCCTGCTCGTGAATACTGACCCCCCTCACGCTGCTGAGCAGGTCCAAAACAATGCTTCTCTGCATGCGATCGTCACTGCGGTTAGCGCTGCGTAGTTTCGCCAACCGGCGGTCGACCCTGCTGTGATCGCCCATGCCAGGAAGGGTAAGGATGATGGAACGTGGGAGTTGGTCGTCGAGGTGGATGATACCGGCGATAAGGGAGGCGAGATCTTTTTGGCAGTCCACGAAATAAGGTTCGTGCAGGGAGGTTATTGCACTTTTCAGGATATCGTTACAGAAGTAATCGCGAATAGGCCCCTTTTCTTTGAATCGGGGTAGGAGGGTCCGTAGCACACGGGCAACGGTGATGACGGATCGCGAGTCGCGAACGCGTATACAGGAGTTGCAGAAGACGAATATCGGCTCGAGGACCTCGGGGACGTTGAGAATGTACTCGCACATGGGGTGACCATCATCCTTCTTGGAATACTCGGTGAACTCTGCAACAGTGTCAGTATGTGAAGATCTGGATCGGTGATACAAAGAGCGAAGCGGAAGAAAATGGTTTTTCTTGGGAAAAAATGATGTTGTAGGGGTGTTGCATTTACCTTGCCTTGAATCGAGCAAGACGGCGACAAGTGAGACTGAGGAATACGTAAGCTGTCGTAGAATGCTTTCTGTCTTCATCTCGTCCGTCAAACTGTCGTTGCCGCCCGACTGTGCTACTTGACCACTAATCTGTTCCCACTCGGTAGATATCTTGCGGTTGAGCTCTCGAAATAGACCTTCTATCATGGGTGGCAGAAAGTGTGATCGCTGTTGGTGTGGGCAGCCTTCAATAAGATGCGTAGAAACTGTCAGTAAAACGGAAAGATGATGAGCTGTCAAAGCATGTGCATGGCCAAACAACGCTTGGCTAAGAGGGACAGGGAGATCAGTGATTCCATAAAAGTATTCTCGAAATCGAGCCAGAGAGTATAGAATGTAGTAAGAACTCTCCCGAATTTGTCGAACAGTGCCCCTTACAGTGGACGCAAAGCCTTCGTAGGTGCTCTTAGATCCACTCACGCGAGCAAAGAAGTCATCCCGACTCTCTGTGGAAATCCCGGCTTGCCAGAATCGATCGGTCAAGACTCTCCGGATGACTTGCTGAAGATCCTTTGGAAGATACGACCAATTGCTATCGATATCGTTGAAAGCTTGCGCATGGCTTACTATTTTGAGGAGGTTGGGCAGCATAAGGGGTATTGATTCTGACCACAGCATAGCTGCCGACTCATACGCTGCAGAGCCGTCGCGTAGTTTTTCTGTGGAAGCTGCGAGCAACGTCTTTGTTAGCCGAAGAGGAATACGCTGAGCAGAATCGACAATGTTGGTCTGTAGGGCTTGTCCTTCACTGCTCAATGGTTGTTCGGACCAATCTTGCACGGCTTGGAAATTATTCGCAGACAAGAAGTCTGGGAGCTGCCCCATACCAAGAACACCGCAGAAGGATTGGAAGTCCGAGATTGAGTTTGTAAGCTCGTTGTTTTGCCAGGCATTGTTCACTTGACTAAGCATTTGTCTCATGCGGGCCTCTTGTGTTGAGCGATCGAGTTTCGTGCAGCGATGAATGATGATGAACAGGAAGGCCGAATAAGCCATACGCTGACGCTCATCAACGGCCGGATCTGCAATCACTTCATTGATCTTGTTTTCCAGGCTATCATATACCTCCATGAATCCGTCGGGAAATTTCATAGCCAGTTTCTGCATCTCCAGGCTGCATATCCGTTCGAGATCTTTCACAGCATCAGAGTACTGGGTGCATTGAGGCTTGTCTACCAACCTCAAAGTAATCAAATACTCCAAGAATGTGAGAGCAAATGCAGGGCGCTCAGAAAGGGCTTTTGTGGAAAAGGTTGCCATGAGCTGTATGACTTTCTTGGCAATTTCGGGATCCTCAAATTTGGCTTGGAGCAGCTGTCTGGCCCATTGTTCAAAAGAGTCCTCCATTGCATGCCTCTTTCTGTCGTCCTCCTGCGGATCGGCTCCGTGACCGGATAGCCATTTCAGGTACCCTTTAAGGGCAGCATCGATGATCGTGACCTGGGCATCAACATGCAGCACAGGAGGCGAATGCTTGGTAAAATTTTCCGGGCTAAACGGAGGTTGCTGGGCATAAAGATTTTGGAGCGTATTGGTAGCTTGGCTCAAGATATGCGCCATAGCTTCTTCGGGGGTTCTCCTGACCAAAACGTCAATGACGTCCGCACAAAATCGCCGATAATTGCCCAAAAATGCATGTCGCTCGGGCACGGTATCGAGATCTTCGTTCAAGAAAAGAATTGTGACGTCTTCCGAGTCATCTGGGAAAGTTTCGTATCGTATTAATCGTGCACAGCAAATCTCCAGTAGGCCGCCGACCATTTGTGTCACCACTTCCGATTCACGAACGATGGTTGAGCGCAAGAGCTTGGTCCAACAATGAAGCACAGGGATAGACACGACAAGGCTCGGATTCCGGCAAATGTCAAAAAGCAATTGGAATATGCCTGGTAAGTCGCTACCTTCGGGTATATTTTGAGGTTTTTGCTCGATGAAGAGGCCGAGACTGTTGGATAACTAGTTCCATTAGCAAGCATTCATGGGATAGACGACAAAGTGAGCGTACCTCTGCTAGCTTTTTGCACAATGTATACTTTTGCTCATTGAGATCTTGAATGTCCATATCTGAGAGTGTCCATCCATACACATCCCGCAACAGCGAGACGCTACCAGGAGTGAACATAGGGCACACCAGTTCCTGAAATTCGTCATCTTGAAGGTGATGACGAGTGTATATGGCTTGTAACACATCTACAGCAGCCTAGATGTTAGGGGAAGTTTGTCAGTCACTGAATGATGGAGCTGATCGCAAGGTAGAGAGCAGGGGTTGCCATACGATTTGCAGTTCTACCACGGGCACAGCCAGTGCCTTGCACACGTGCTCAATTACCTGAACCGCCACTATAGCTTTCGGGATGACCCATGTCATGCAAGCTCGAATTGCATTCAGAGTCTTGACAGCCGATGATCGAATATTATCCTGACTTTGGTAATCTTGGGACAAACACCACGACAAGTTATCACACAACCTCTTGAGCCAACCTTCATCCCCGCAACGCACGTTCAAGCTTTTATCGCGGGTAGGGAGATGCTCTGTTAAGACAGCTGTTGGCGTAAAGGCCTCGACACATGCACGTCCTAGATCAGAGCCTCGTAGACCAGCCGTCGCATCCTCACGATTAAAAATCTCTTCGGAAAGGGTTTCAAGCACGTAGAGCACTATAGCCTGGTGATGGAGCGATGTCTGCCACAGCTCGAGCAGTTGCTGATCCATATTCATCCACTCATCACCCCACGCTCGTTTTGCGATTTCTGTCCATAGCTGAGCAATTTTATTGCGCAGATACACAGGGTCTTCGGTGACCACACTTTGTGCTAGCTGCACAACATAGCTGCGCAGACCGTCCAATTCGGGGCCCGTGAAATCGTCCCACTTGTACCTTATTGAGTACTCCAGCATGGTGAGACCATAATGGCGGAGCTGGGCCGGCTGCGACGACTCGTGGGCTAGGGTGTAGCCGTGGAATGGAGCTTGCGGATGGCGTTTTGCTTCCTCGAGGTAGGTTGTGGCATCGCGGCGGGTATCATTGCTGGAGGAGGGGCTGTATATTGCTTGCAGAGCCTGCAGAACTTGGGTGAGATCAGTGGAGGAGTGGTCGTGGCCGTTAGCTATGGCAGCCCGCGGGGGTTTGTCCGGTGCGTCCATTTAACGGCGGTGTAGAGGCTGCAAAACCGCGCAAACGAACAAGAGTTGGGTATGGAGGGCTGAAGCTATGCACAAATTCTGCGGGGCGTGTCTGCGCCTGTATTTACTGGTGGATGACCAAGGCTGCAGATGCACGCTTGCGGGCGACGTGGGAAGGCTGAGTATGTAGGGTGAGTACTTGGGCAGGTAAGTAGACAGGTAGGTTGGGCGTGAAGCCGTAGCGTAGCGTACTGTACCTAGTGGGTGGCAGGCAGACGGGTGGGCTGATGCGCGCCGTGGGCCGAATGATATAATCCGACCACGGGGTTTCCAGGCGATAAGTCTGGATGTTGAAAGAGAGTGTGGGGAGCGTGGACGTCTATATTGTGGAAGCGGCCATTCAAGGTCCAAATCAAAACGCCTAACCGTGGTGGAGGGCAGGCAGAAAGAGGTTTTGTACTGAGTCGCGCCGGCGCGGTGTCATGTGCCTGGAGCCGGACTGGTGGGATGGATGGATTGCTTGGTTGATGACTACTACACTCACTCACAGATCAGATCAGTTATTGACTGCAAAACATCCACGCCGTATGACACCCCATGTCTGCATACATGCTGTTGCCTAGACCCACACCGTATTCAATCTCCAGGCGTCACACGGCATGTATTACATGCACTCAAGTACATATGTACATATGTACATATGTACGTATATCTATCTATGTACCGCGCCGGGCTCGCACAACAAGACATCTGGATACAGCATCCATGACCCCAAAACACCAAATACGTATACGCAGTTGTACTCGTGCAAATCTATATGTCCTTGTTACTCCAGCGGCTACACCCACTGCCTTGTACCCAGCATGCAAGCATTGAATGCGACGCGATCCCATTCTGGCTTGCCTGGCAAAAAAAAAAAAAAAAAAAGAACACCCCAGCACCATCGCATTACATCACCATGCATAATGTGTTATATCCTCCTCCAATGAGTCCCATCTAATCTCCAGCAAAGCAAACAAGCCACCAAACACCAAACGATGCCAGTAATCCTCCCATCTACATGACAGCGCACGCTGCCTTTTGGCACTGCTGCAGATACCCTTCGTCTTCTTCGGTTCCCAGCGCCCCGCCCTGTTTGCGCACCACTCCCTTCACCGTCATCGTCTGGTCGCCTTCCGCGTGCCACCACTGTAATATCTGTCGCACTGCTCCGTTTGTCTCCTCCGAGCTGATGCTCCATTTGCCGCCGCTGACCTCCACTGTCGTTTGCCCAGACGGAAAATGGAACTCGGGAAGATAGACAATGGTTGGTGTACTCTCTGCAGTAGCACTTGACGCTGTGAGTGAGAAGGTAAACGTGGAGCTCTTAAGATCGAATCCGAATCTCTTCACATCGCCGTGCGTGGCGACTGGCGTGGGCCGGATGAATGCCTCTGCTGCACGCAAGCCCCGCACATCCCCACTGCCAGACTTTGAGCTCATCTGGTCTGCTGAAAGCGTTTTCCGGAGGTTTCCAGGTGTCACCCCCAGCGTTTCTGAAGAGGATTGCGCCCTGGAATATGAAGGCGAACTGGTGTCTAGCGAAGCACGGGATTCTGTTTCTGTGAAAGCGCCTGGCGGTACTGCTTTGTCGTCCAGAGAGAAGATGGAGAGATCCTCGCCGTTCCATTGATCACCCCAGTAATGATTGTTCTGCAGAACCGTTAGGAAATGTGGCTTTGGTTCGCGCAAAGGGTGTACTCACAGTGGCGACGTAGGTCCACAAAGTGTATCCATTGACTTTGCTCTCTTCCAGCGCGAAATGATTGGCATCGAGAGCTGCAATCTGACTGCTGTAATTGCCAGTCTTGTATGCATATTTATCGTCCATGTCGTACGGAATCCCGATTTCGGAAAACAGGCAGGGATGGTTACCCATGTAATCTAGCCCCTCTTGCCGGATGGCAGCAAGCTGATGGGCAAAACAATTGCGAATAGCATTTTCTCCGATCTTGATCGCAAAGGCTGGTGTGAGATATTTCCCTCTGAGAATCCCAAACACATCAACGTTCCATACCCGGTTCCTGTGCTCCATTAGCCATGGCGAACAAATTGGAAACGATCGTACTTACCATTTCTTAGACATTAGAGTGATGCCATCGTAGAAATGCGGGCAGTAAATCAAGTTGGGATCATCGTCCTCGGTGCCCTTGATCGAGGGGGGGATCTCAAACACGGGGGGCTGGCAAAACATCAGAGAGTCCGGGAAAACGGACTTTATGGATTTGGTGTATGCACGGTAGTGGTCCATATACCAGTGATTCGTGAAGTAATCGTAGTCAATCGTAGTTCCATCTGTCGGGCGCTTGCCAAAGTAGTCCTTCTTGAGAAGAGTGTCAGTTTCGGGATCCCAAACACCATGTTGCGCCCACAAGCATTCTCCTAATCGCCATCCAGGGTCGCGCTTCCAGCCATACTTTGTATCGGGATAGCTCTTGGGGAGCCAAGCTGCAGTGCCTTGAGGATCCACCAGAGTCGAGCCCGATTTGAATGGTCCCAAGCCTCCAAAATCCCATGTATCGACTTCACAAGCTCTCCCCGACCCGGTCAGGATGGCTTGCCAGGCAGTCGGAGAAGTTCCCAGTTGCAGCTTCTGCTCGCTAGGAACGGCGGTGATATCTTGATAGCCAATAATACCACGATTCGGTTCGTTGACGCTCTCGAATCCGACCACGGGGTCCCCCCAGAGGTCACCAGCCTCCTTGATGCGCTTGGCCAGATGTGTGACGGCTCCGATGTAATGGTCTTGCAGGTAATCTTGTATGTTTTTCCCGTCGATGATGGCCTTGGGGGCGAATTCCTTGCCTGCAAAGAATACGGTGAAGATGACTTGGCAGGCTAGTCTGGAGTAGTTGGTAGCCCAGATCATCTTGGGGAAGTTGGCGGGTTCCGGGTAGGTATTCTGGACAAGAGCAGCCTCATTGACAGCGAATTTGGTGGGATCCAGCCCACATGCGTATATTGTCCACATGGGAGCACCAGAGCCACCAGTGAAGCGGGACCACTAGGCGTAGAGGGTCAGAGGGGGAGCATTCCATTGCCAACAGAACCTACATACAACATCCTGATGCGGATCCATAAAAATGTAAAAACCAAACTCCTTTGCCACCCTCAATATCTGGATAGTATACTGTATCCATTCCTCATCGTATTTCCCCGGGCCCTCGTGTTCGACCGCTTCCCACGTGAAAACATATCGTATGGTGTTGTATCCCCAGCTCCGCAGGCGCGCGAAATGCGAGGGAGCATCTTGGACGGCGAAAGGTCTGTTGACAAACGATACGGAATCGCCTTCAAAGAATTTGTCGGCCACATGGGAGGGCTGATCGGGAGAGGCGGGGAATTTGGCATCGGCAGCGCAGTTGATGCCGTGCAGTGTGACCTCACGGTTGTCGCTGTCCCGAAAGGTACGGCCGTCGATGCGGAGGCTCAAAGGCGCCATGTCTTCAAGATATGAAGGAGGCTGGGATGGTTGATGTGAACGAAGAGGAGCCTCTCGGAAACGGAGCCGTCAGGTTTAAGTGCCCCAGCCTGTCGTTCATTCCCCGCAAGCAAGCAAGCAGGTCTACGACGACGCCAATGTCATCAATCCCTGTGGCACGGGTCATAGCTAAACGCGGGCCAACGCACGGGCCCTCGGCCCCAGATTGGTCTCGACAATTGATTAACATCTATCTGGCTTTCCCGACGCTCAAGAACCAAAGGTGGCCACTTCAACCACAATCCCTTCAACAGCTTACCCTACATATAAACTCCTGCGCCGACGCCGCTCGGCACCTCCTTCTGTCCACGCTTCCTTCAGTTGCACAACCCCCCCTCCACCCCCCTTTGCAGTCTGGCAGTGCACAGTGTCGCTCACTCGTTCGACCTTCATCACGCACACAGACACCTTGTCGCAACATGATACTGCGACTTTCCTCCCTGGCTCTGGGCCTCCTCTCCACCGCGCCGCTCGCCCACGCTCTCTCAGCCGCCGATATTCCCTCCGATATCCCCGTTTCGCAGCTGATCAAAGATGCCGGCGTCAAGCTCGCTACGGGAGACTCCCAAGATGCCCTCGTCTACTTTGATGTCGCCATCGCTCGCGATCCCCGAAACTATCTTACCTTCTTCCGCCGCGGTGCTGCTTACCTGTCCCTCGGCAGAACAAACCAGGCGCAACAGGACTTTGAGAAGGTGCTGGAGCTGAAGCCTGGTTTTGAAGGCGCATTGGTCCAGAGGGCTAAAATAAGAGCGAGGAAGGCCGAATGGGCTGCCGCGCGCATGGATTACGAGGCTGCCGGCAAAGCAGACGAAATCGCCCAGCTCGATGAAGCCGAGCGCGCATCGGCAGCGGCAAAGGACGCGGAAGAGAAGGGCAAGTGGGACGATTGTATTTCGGAAGCGGGAACATCCATCATCGTTGCCGGTGCAGCCTACGACATACGCAAGACTCGAGCAAGGTGTCGATTCGAAAAGGGTGAGGTGATTGAGGGCATCAGCGACTTGCAGCACCTTCTACAGATCAACAAGGGCGACATCCAGCCGCATCTGCAGAGCTCTGCCATGGCCTTCTACTCATTAGGAGAGCCGGATAAGGGCGTTCAACATATTGCCCGGTGCCTTCAGTCAGATCCCGATAACAAGACTTGTATGAAGTTGAGACGACGAGAGAAGAATTTGGACAAGCAGTTAAAGAAGGTTCGCCAACACTTCGAGAAGAGACAGTTCGCGACCGCCTCCAGGTTGTTGGTCGACCGCGGCGAGGAAGAGCCTGGCTTGCTGAAGGAAGTCAAGCAAGATTTCGACGAGTATGTCGAACTAGGCTACATCTACAAGAGCTCGCCCCAGGGTCTATACCGGGAATTGGTAGAGCAGACTTGCGAAGCCTACATCGAAGTAAGTCTGCTGTACTGTACAACTTTCGAGCCTTTACCCATATGCTAACATTGCTGCAGATGAACAATCTCAAGAAGGGAACGCAGTATTGCAAAGAGGCTTTGGAAATGAATCCCGAGTCGCTTCACGGCTTGATCCACAAGGGACAGCTAGAACTGGAAGCCGACGACTTCGAAGAGTCGATCCGTACACTGGAGGCGGCCAAGGAACATCACGGACAAAACCAGAAAGTCCAAGAGCTGCTCCGCAAGGCGCACACGCTACTGAAGCGGTCCAAACAGAAGGACTATTACAAGGTCCTGGATATCGGCCGTGATGCCGATGATCGCACGATCAAGAAAGCATACCGGAAAATGTCCAAAATTTACCACCCCGACAAGGCTGCCGCACAAAATCTCACCCCCGAAGAAGCTCAGAAGAAGATGGCGGCCATCAACGAAGCCTATGAAGTCCTTTCCAACCCCGAGCTGAAGGAACGCTTCGACAACGGGGACGACCCCAACAACCCGGAGCAACAGCAGGGTGGGAACCCCTTCCACGGGTCACCATTCGGTGGCGGCGGCGGGAACTTCTTCTTCCAGCAGGGCGGCGGTTTCCCCGGGGGCAGTGCGCAATTCAAGTTTCAGCAAGGCTTCGGCGGGTTTTAGATAGCGTGAAGCTGCGGGAGTTTGGTGCGGGTACGGAGTTGTCTGGTTAATTATGCATTTGGGTGGGCTTGGAGCCGCATTTTCTGGCGTCCCTGTGTACGATTTTATGTAATGGTCATATCCTTTAACCTTTTGTTTTTTTTTATTTGATTCTAGTTCTAGATAGCTTTGAGAATATCAATCTTCAAGCCTGTCAAACACAGCTCTTCCAGGTCACACTGGGGAACAGAGGTGTTGCTGGTGATGTTGTCGGAGATGGCTCGGGGCGGAGGAGAGATTGCAACGCTGTCAACAGTCAGCCCCCGAAGCCGACGAGGATAGCAGGTGTGTGTGTATGTAGAGCGCACTTGTGCTTGCATTATGTTGGCTCGCCACATGGTGAAGCTGATATCAATGAAGCTGTCCAAAGTGTATGTGGCTGGCCATCAGTCACCATGACCCTTCTTCCATCCCGAAACGCCCCTGCCTGGCTTGGGTCAGTGACGCACCATTGCCGAGACGGCGGGTACATGGATGGATGACCACAGTCCTAAATCACCAGGCCGACTCGACTCCACCACCACCAGCTCACCGCTGCGCCCGCGCCCAAACCCCTCAAAGCCTTCGCTTCTGCACCGCGCGGGAGGATGTTGTGCAGTGGCAGGTCCGCGACATAAGAATGGCCTTTGAGGTATCGTACAACCTCGAAAATGAGACGCAGTTTTGGGATGGTGAGTAGCGCTCCAACTGCATGCACCCCCGCCACCATGGTCCAAAATCCTACGTGCCCACTGACGCTCCGCCCGCTACAGAACTCGATGACATTGTCTCCACGCGCTGCCAGGAACACGAAATCATAGACAATGCCCTCCGTTCGTTCCTCGAAATCACAACCAGTTACAAGTGTATGCGCCCACAAAAACAAACAAGAGAGAGAGAGAGAGAGAGAGAGAAGTGGGGAGAGACTCCACATGCTGATTACACATAGCCGACTACCTTCAAACCGATTACAACATCGCAAAATGCGTATATCGTCTCATACAAGGCGAGCTTTTCAATTCCCACAAGGAATATGTGCGCCGGCAGATCTTGTACTGTCTCCTCCAGGTGCGTTTGGGCCGCATGCCTCCTCACCCTCTTGTGCTGGCTAATTGAGGATCAGGAAGATGATAACCCCACTCTGCACATGGTCTCGGCCTTCCTTCTCTTTGACGGCCGGAATAATGGAAACGATTCTACTTTTGAAATGATGTTTGACGAGGGCATCTTTCCAAGGCTGGTGGATCTGGTACAAAACCCAGTTGTACAGGAGGATACCAGGTTGCATCAGATGCTGCTCGAGCTCATGTATGAGTCTTCGCGGATACAAAGACTCAAATGGGAAGATTTCAGTACGTCTAATTCATGCAACACATGTAACTCTCGCAACAGTGTTCAAACTACATACTAATCAAGCCCAACACAGTGGCCGTTGACGATTCCTTTATTCTCTATTTGCTCGGAATAATAGAGGGCGTTTCTGGCGACGCCGATGATCCATATCACTATCCTGTCATCCGCGTCCTTGTACGTCCATCATTCTGGTCTTCTGTTGCTTTCGGGTTTAACATTTCTTTAGTTGGTTCTCAACGAGCAATACCTCGTGGCCTCCACAACGCGACAGCAGGATGGCCGTTCCAACATGACAAATCGCGTCATAAAGGCCATCTCCACCCACGGCATCACTTACAAAACGTTCGGCTGCAATCTCATTCTCCTTCTGAATCGGGAGTCAGAAACTTCACTTCAACTGTTGATTCTAAAAGTGCTATATCTCATCTTTGGGAATCCTCAGACGGCCGAATACTTTTACACAAACGATCTGCACGTGCTGGTGGATGTCATCCTGCGAAATTTGATTGATCTGCCGTCCGATTCGCCAGCTGCCAATGCACTTCGTCATACATATCTACGCGTTCTATACCCAATCTTGACCCACAGTCAGATTGCTAAGCCGCCACATTACAAGAAGGAAGATATTTGTCGGCTTCTCTATCTACTCACCACAAGTGGAAATCACTTCGCTCCGACAGACGACACGACGGTGCGTCTTGTGAAGCGTTGCCTCTCTGTACCATGGCTCCAGCCGGCCGAAAGCGAAACAGATGCACAAACAGATGGAAGCGGTGCCATCTCCCCCGTCGACAACGTGGTTGGGATGGGGCAAAAAGAAGTTGCCAGACGGAAGTTGGGCATGAGTGTCGATAACGGTACCGAGAGCGCAACAAGCGTTTTGGAAGTGGCATCCCACACAGAGAAACCCGGTGTGCAAACACCCAGCATCGTAAAAGACCATGCTCGATAAAGAGGACATGACGAGGTTTGATCGTCAAATCTTAGCATGTCAACGCTCTTGCCAGTCGGTATCGCGCGCAATCTTTGTTCTCATTACTCTGCAGCCAGTTCTCTGACATTGCCCGGTCTATACCCAGCTTATCTACTCATCAAATTAGCGTTTTGTTAATCGGCATCTACTACGTGTTTTCCTTCTCCGTCATTTGTTCGCACGCCCGGCCCCCCATGGTACGGCATCTTGCATGGCCTGGCGTTGTCTCTCCATCCTCCTTCCTCTAGCTTGTGGAAATCTCATTTCGAATGTTTACCGTCTCAAATGATTTCCACACCTCTTGTAATTCAACCTCTATATACCGTTTTCACTCGTCTTCGTACCCTTTGGCATGTTCTACTTCGTGTATAGGAGCCGTAGCAATATATCCCCTTGTTATTCAATATCTCAGCATCTTCGGGAAGATTACTCGGTTTAGAGTCTCGCTCATTTGTAGGGTATACTGTGATTTGATCTACGAATCGATGAATGTCTTCGTGATTCAGTACTGCTAACAATGTTCGAGCCAGTGTCCAAGGATGTTGTTGAGGTCAACCTAAGAATGTTAGTAGCCAATCAGAGGTTAGTCATGAATGCAGGTCCATATACAGGAGTACTAGATAGCGTGATGTATGAAGGATCACTGTGGCAGAAGTCATTTACAACAGGTGCACAGCATAGCACCAGTACTACTCTGTTTTCTGTGTGCAATACACGTTATCCAAGCCCAACTTTATAAGCGTCTTCCACTACGTCCTATACAGACTCTACATTTGTCTTTTCTTCACCGACACCCAAATCACGAAAGAGATGGTGCACACAAACCACGCGCAGGTATATAAATTCTCATTGTTTCTTCTTAGTGTTTTATCTCTTTCTCCTCCCCAAACTCTCTCCAATACGCAAATGGATGCTCGGACTTGGTGTACCGTTGTTGCCATGACCCCTTACCCCCGATTTCTCTTTCTTTCTTTGGTATTGCTCTGTCTGCTCTTCGCTTTCTTTTTTGTGCTGAAGAAGACAGGCTAGATAGAAAAGAGAGGGGTGGGGGGAGAGGCCAGGTGGCAACAACAATCCAGGAGCACCTTGCATCTGCGTTTTTCTTTTCTTTTTTTTTTTGCATCGGAGAAAAAGTACGGACACTACACCGTAAAAGAAAAAAAAAAGAAGGGCGGGGCTTTGTGAAGACATGACTGGTCGTGGGATGACGAGGGAATCGAGAACAAGTGGTAGTTCTAATAGCAGGGGGGTAATCATGATAAACGTTGCAAAGTAGGAAAATGAAAGGAAAATGAAATTAAAAATGGAATAGAAAGAAACAGAAAGTTTGGAAAACGTAGGAGGGATAGGAAACTCTTGAACGCCATCCATCTTTCTTGTCTTCTATTCATTTGAAGCCGAAAACAAAAAAAGACTAACAGAAGAAGGGCTAGGAAGAACCAAAAAAGGAAAGAAAAAAAATGAGAGAGAAAAAGACACGCAAGGAAATATTCGTAACCACGTTAAACAGCGGGCGGCTAGGCCAAGCCCACAACAATCCGTCACATCATCGAGAAAAAAATAGAGGAAAGGGGGTGAAAAAAAAAAAGGAAAAAGAGCATCTCAAACGGCCCTCCCAGGCGCAAACGCGCCACGTTCCTCCTCCTCAATCTTCTCCTTGGAGACCTGTCTGGACAGAGTATTCCGCGTATCCACCGTCCCACTTTGCGCCATAGATAGGGTACTATCCACGAGTCTCAACTGGCTAATGCGAGTTGCCTCGCGCTTCGCCGCAGCCTCGATCTGCTTGTAGTCTGCCGGAAGCGAGGGGAGGTACATCTGCGCGACGAACATGCAAATCGCCGAGATGGCGAGATTGGCACCCGCCCACATCTGCACGGTAATGTACGTGCTGTATGTAGATACGAGATGGCCTGCGATGATGGGCCCAGCGAGGGAAGGGATGGCGGCGGCGGTGTACATCATGCCTGTCCACTGGCCCAGCTTGGATGTCTTGTACTCCATTGTTTCAAGGGTGGTATAGCTGTGTTTGAGGATGTTGGAGATGGAGGCTGGTGGTAAGCCGATGACGGCGCCGGAAAAGGCACCGAAGAGGACGCAAAAGGCGATGGCGCTCGCGAGGGATTTGGATAGTGTCCAGAGGATGAGAATGAGGAGGGAGGAGATGGCTGTGGCGACGTAGTGCATGTTGAGGGGTCCAGTTTTGTCCCCGAACGCTGACATGGTGAGGCGGCCGAGAGTGGAGGCGCCGTTCATGATTGTAAGCAGCCAGAATGTTTGGAGGGGCTGAGAAGTTTGGCTTTTTATGTGGACGGGAAGAGTTGAGCCGCCGCGCGTGCCGAAGCCAGAGACTGCTGCCCACTACGAGGGATTAGCATATTGTATGAACATTGTACACGGTGGACGTACCTCTTCGAGATTAAAGAAGACGGGGTAGAAGCCGAAAAAGAGGAAAGCAACGGCTACAGTAAACCAGCAGAACGACCTGTTTCGGAGGGCTTCGGGATCGATCCATGTTTCGAGGGCGAGATAGCTCTTTGGAGAGCGCTTTTCTTTGGCAGGGTTTGGGGTCGCGAAGATGAACGAATAGATCGAGGTGATGGTAACAAGAGCGGCGACGCAACGAACGGCCTCATTGAAACCCAGGGCATCGATGAGATATCGCAGCATAGTAGGGTACACGACTCCAGCAATGCTGGCGCCGCAAGCGACGACCCCGACTGCGAGAGCTCTGTGGTCAGGAAACCAAGTGGCCGCGACTGTCTACGTTAGTAAAGCCTTAATAGAAGTAATGTACGACGTACTTTGAGAGCTTGATACGAAATAGCAAGCCATACCAAGGCCAACAACAAGGCCTTGGGTCGACCAAATAGTGATGAAGTTGGCAGTTCCACTTTCGCTGTTCGGATGAGCAACACTGAGCATAAACATGCCAAACGGGACAAGGAAGGCGCCGGTTCCCAGGACGTAACGAAAGTGGCCGGCATCTAGGAGACGTCCGACGGGAGCTGATAACAATAAGACGAACAGCGACTGGGTTGAACCGATGAGGTTGAGTTGGAGTTGATCTACAGACTTGAGGGAATGGCCAACGTAGTACGAAGAAAAGGTTCCGTACGCGTTTACCAGGCCCCAAGAATTGAACATTAGGAAAAAGCAGCCTAGCCAGCAAGCGTATGCCCGCCATGTTTTTGGCCATTTGGAGTGGTGTTCGCTCGTATCGTGAATCTGAGTTCCGTCGGTGTACTGGTTCTGCATCGAGCAAGTCTCGGACACCATGTTGGAAGGAGTCAACGCCTCGCCACTTTTACGACTTCTGTCGTCTTGGGAGAAATAGAGGGGCATGTTGCAAAGAAGTGGGAGGGATGGGGGTTTGTAGTGACTGGCAGTGGGAGATTCCAAGGCAGTGACGGCTGAGCCGTGTGAGTTGTCTCAGTGCAACACGACAAGCGAAAATTACAACGAAGCGGGAAGGATGCGTTCAGATGGAGTGGAAGAGGTTCGATTCGTCACAGTCTCAGTGTGTGAGCAATGATTGATCTTTGATGGAACCCGAACCTTTGGAATGGGCTACTGCCTATATAGTTTTCCATTGCGACTCTCTGGATGGGGGACCCACTACTTGTCAGTCAGCACGCGCGTTATCTTGCCCCCGTGGAGGTTTGGGTGGGTAGTAACACCCATGACGTTCTAGTCAAACCCCGTTCTTTGTAAAGTAGGTGAATGATTTAGGTAGATAGGGAGGACGCACAAGCAATGCAAGGATACAAGCCCAAGAAAAACCAAGGAATAGGGCGCCACAGCCAATGCGGAAACCACCAAAAATTTCCGATGCAATCACGGGCGGGATGTTACCAGAAGCCCAAGGCAAACAAACGCTGGCTGAATCAAGGAGCGAATGAGCCTAAACCCCAGAGAGACGGTGGATACTATACCGCGCCAGCCATCAGTGTGCTCTCGTCGTATTTTACAGTACCCCGGAGCCAGCCAGACTCAGCGTACAACCGTGGCCGAGAGTGCCTATTTTGCCAGATGACAAGACGCTACATGCGAAGATGTGATTTAATTTGACGCGGCTTGCTCTTCAGATACTCGTTGATGTGTAGCTTTCAGCAACCGTGGACCAGTCGGCCAACAGTTTTGGACGGTACCACCGTTTATGGCATTGCATGTGAGAAGCGAGCCGGGCTACTCAGTGGTCGAGCAGACATTTGCAATTCCGAGGCCGGTGGTTGACTCAAACAAAAGCGTTTGTTTCAACCCAAGGCATCTGAAAACCCCGAATGGAGCATGTTTGGGGCGTGGAACGGAGAGAACGGAGAGAATAGCGGAGCGGGACGGTCGCGCTCACACCGGGAGCACTTGGCGCATGCCAGAGGGAGTGACGGGATGGCTGACCATTGGGCGACGGCGGGTGTGGATTCAAGGCGATATCGATGAGGTTCCACCAGCCAAGCTTGAATGCGCTTTGGGGGTGCACATTCCCGCCTTGGGTTTCCACCCATTCAATGTGCCCTGCGGTCCTGTAACACCTCACTTGCAGGCAGCAAGCAGCGGACCGTACAACCGCGACCATCATGGCGCCTATGAGTGCACACTGTAGGGGATATTTGGCCGAAACGAATCAGAACAAAGCGAAAGCTCGAAACCCAAGACAACAGATAGGACCTGTACCAGACATGGCAGCATGGCAGCATGCCCTCGTGCCGATGGCCGTCTCGAATCTAGCATGCGGCAGAAGGGATGACGATCATTGGCATAAGGTTGGAATGGTCGTCGACAGGAGCACTTGGCAGGCATGTCCCACGACGAGGTCGCGATAACGCCCGCGTAGAAGCATCATAGTCTTGGGCGTTTTGCTGTAGGCGGTGCTTGCTTCGTCATGGCTTTGCGTACAGCCTCACCCGCAGGTATCCACAACATGGAGCATGGCGCCGGCTTGGCACACGTTTGCTTCTTCCGGCGCGCGAACTAAAGTCGGAGCATCTTGGGGTGTAATCAATGCACAGCGGAAGGTGAAGCAGCAAGAGTTGAGGCCGAGAGATGGTGGCGAGGGCGGCGGTAAGATGGAGCTACAGTGTACCACCAAGTGACGATGACTGTTTTCCCAGATGGGAACAGAGAGAGGGCGTCAGGAGAGCCATGTCATGTTGGGGGTTGGATGATGGTGTGGAATGGCGAGCACGAGTCCACAGGCACAGCGGATTGGGTTGGTGTTGAGGATTGCCAAGACATGTGCCCCCTGGTGTAGATCTTTCCCGGAATATTTGCATCTCTGCTACTTATCTCAGAAACGCTTAGCTGATCTACGCTTTCCATCATGACGCGGCACCCGCTGCGAAACACTCGACTCGAAATCGCCCGTCGCTCTACATTCCCTTTTCCCCTCACACTCAGCCTGCGACTATCAATCGATCCCCAGGGCCCTCCTCGGACACGGTTTAACCGACCTTTCCCGCGGCAGCGCGCAGAGAAGGAGGGAATGAATGAATGAATGCAAGCCTGCATGCATGCATGCCATGCCGAGCCACAAAGCCAATCTGCCACTGAATCGCCCAGAGCCATCCAATATCTACACATGTCGATGGCCACTTGGCCTTTTGGGGCTGAGTCGTTGCAGAGACACGACGTTTGCTGTGTGTGTAGGCCGGTGGGCCAAGCCATTCCCTGTAGCTCCAATGTGCTGTACTGTGCTGCATATCTACAGTACAGTACATGTGCGGGACTCGGGAGCCTACGGACGGGACCCCCATCCCCGCCGTGGGGGAGGAGGAGGAGGGACAAGGGACTCCAGAGCCTCTTCCTCTTCCATGCCCCCCTTATCAAGACCCACTTGACTCCGCCCTCGCCTCTCTTTCCTCAACCAGTTCGCCATGACGACTTTCACTAGGTACTTGCTTATCCATCTCAATCTAGAGGAAAGAGGGATGAATAACATCTCTTACGAACCCACCCGCTGTGCCTCCATCGCTTCTCTGTGCTACGCTGATCGACGGCACTTGCACAAGTCAGACTCCTGTTATTCCAAGCAACTTGGCACTCCTCGCGGCATCTCACTACAAGAGCATCGTATCCCACTATACCGCACCGCTGCCTTGGGCGCCGTGCATGGGTTTGGCATAACTTGATCTTTGTCCCAGTTTCTGGGTCTGCTCCAGGCACATAGAGTGTGCTCAAGTCGCTCTTGCATCGATCCGCTTCTTGTACTGGTGGATATATTGCAGCTCAATTTTCCCGGAGCCTTGGTCATGCCGGGAGTTGCACGTATCTATACTTATACGGGGCCGTGGATGTTACCCCAATCGAGATGCGGCTGAATGTTTCATTTATCCTGGCGAAGGGACATGTGCACGAAACAGGTCCGCGACTGTCCTATTTCGTCTATCCGGCAGGTCTAGTTTCACACTTGTACAGCGTAACAAGTCAGAATCCCCTATTACAGTCGCAGTCTGTTACAACGCCATTGCCTTGGTATGGTAAACGCGACTCGTGTCTCCTTCTTCCTTTGTCTTCCCGCTGTCACGGGGCCCTGCAGAATCAGTAGACACAGCCCTCGCTGTCACCAAGTCATATCGTCGCTGTGCCCTTACTCATTTACACCGCCCTCATCTCCCAACTGCCGCAAATTGTGCAATACCATGTAAGCTTGGAACTCCCTCATGCGCAAGATATGCAAATCTGGGGTAACACAGGAGATGCAGATAATCCCCAGTCAGATGGCACAAACAGTAGTCTAGATCCTTCCGATCTCGCATCTACATGGTATACAATAGCGCGGCACTGCCACTGACTTACACATCAGCCGGTTCGATCGGTGTAGGTATGTAATCAGGTTAGAATCGGGCATCACATTTGCAGCCTCCCCGTGACCATTTCTGCACATGTCGACGTTCCGCCGGTGTATACCCATCATTCGTTTATCTGCTCGTAAAGTTTGGGCACACACGAGCACTGACATGACGACAAGAGCGACTCAGCACGCCATATATGTGCTCATCTATAGACACATGTGCCAAGAAAAGCACCCAACCACTTTGCACGTCGCAATTTCGGCGTGCAGAAAACCATTTGCTCGAGACCCAGCCGTACAACTACACGAGCCCGTGTCCCAGAAACTCTGAACGAAAAGCTAGATTTGCATGCGGAGAACGGTAGAATTTGGGATACATCACCATCTCACCCCCCCTGCCCCCTTCCCCCCACATGCATCCTCGTCTCCACAACGCAGTACACACGCAGCAAATCCTGAAGAGACTCAAGACTTACTCTAGCACTACGTCAATCAACAAGACGTTTCCAAACACGTCCAGCACTAACAATTGCAGCCTTACAGGTTTTGCTCCTGGCTCCACTTTCCTGCTGCTCATCTGTTCAGCTCCGTTATGTATGTACCTACCTACAGATGACACCTCGTGTTCGTGAACCAAGACATTGGCCAACCACTTTTCTGCAGCACCCATTGCCCCGCCTTCTTTTCTCCTAGTTGCGGTTCATTGTGCAAGTCGTGTATAATATCCAAACTCTTGCCAGTGTTTAGCTACGCCATTCCTGATTCCATGCCACAGCATTCCCTTGTCCCCCCCCTCTCTTTGGGGGGGGGGGGGGGGGGGGGGGGGAGGGGCAGTGCCTTTGGTTATCTGAAGTATATATAAAGACCCCGTCTCCATGGGCGCAGTCTAGATAGAAGAAAAAAAAACAAGAAAAGAGAATGAGAAGAGAATGTGCACAACGAGCCTGGCAAGAAGTACGAATATATCCTTTCTCTCGCCACCCCTTCGGCATGAACCAACCCCTCCCCTAAATAAAAGAACCGTCATCTCATTGAATTGCCATGTGCTGTGCCCGATTCGTCACCATACGGGGTATCGGCCTATGTAGGTATTGCACCTCTCGATTTCATCCTTTGACATACCTTTTTTTTTGGGGTGGGTTTTTCTTAGAGAGAGAAAAAAAAAAGGCTTATTATTGGTGCATGTGTACGTACAGTGCAGTACAGTATAGTGCAGATAAACAGACAGTTCGTTTAGTTTTTCTGGTTATCGCTCGTTTTTTCTTTTTAATCTATTTATTGTCTTAACCCATCGCTGTGTGTATGTAGCATCACCTAAACTCCTTAACTTGGAATAAATAAAAGAGACAAACAGACAATAGGAAATTAATCTTGCAAAAGCCTACTATAGATTTTAATGAGATTTTCTGTTTTCCCTTTTTCCACTCATTTTTTTTTCCGGCTCTTCACTGCACTGCTACGTAGCGATATAGTATCTTATAAGTATAAGAAGAAGATAAATACACACACACACACACACATATTTTTTTTTATTCCAAGTTAGAGTTTAGGTAAAAAAACAAAATAAAATAAAAGAGACAAAAGACAAACAGTCTATAAGGGAAAGGGTTAGTAAAAACCTCCCCTTGAGTGAAATTCAAAAAAAGGGCGGGTAATATGTATATAACTCAGAGGCCAATTCTACAAGTAACCTCAGCCGTGTGGAAAAACGAAACAGCCAAGGGAATTAAACAGGTTGCTTATTTTTTTCTGTTAAAGAAAAAAAGATAATATGTATTTGTAGATAATATTCATTTCCCATCTAAACCCCCCCCACTTCCCCCCTTCCAATGTTGCCAATAGAATAATTTCATGTAGAAGAACATCATACACGGTAGAACTTGGTCGCAAGCATGGAAGACAGAACAAGCGTGGGTTGATAAGGAGCAAAAGGAGCAAGCAACCAGGCAACCAAAGCTAGATAGATGCACGCCATAAGCGCCTACATGGTTAAAAAAAGATAAACAGTCAAAACATTGCAGAACTCCCTCCGCGAATTTCGAAGAACCGTGCCCACGCAGGAAGGTGAAAGAAAAAGAGATGGGAGACAATAGAAACACAAAGAAACCGCCTCCTCCCCCGCAAATGCCTAAATCGCATATATCGAGTACAAGGATAGATGATGTATCAGAGCCGCAATTACCCCCCTTGAAAAAGTTGCTTAGGCAGTGGTTGGCGCAGAATCAATCATGCAGTCTGTGGCATGATGCCTTACACGCCCTTGATGGCAACCGTCCGCTCGCTGTTCAACTTCTCGGCATTCCTCTCGTAGCTCTCCTTCTTGCAATCCTCGAGACCCTCGCACTTGTGGTCCTCAAGCAGACGGTGCTTGCCACAGAAGTGGCCTTTGCAGAAGCTGCAGTCGCCGACGATGCGCTGGGCGGCGTCGCGGCACTCCTTGAAGCTGCAGCGGATCTTCTTGGGTGGCATCCCACCACGCACGGGCAGGGCCATGTGCAGGGTAGAGTTGGGAGGGATTTGCAAGGAGGAAAGGGTAGAGGAGGGTGAGGAGAGGTGGGTGCCGGCATGCACTATCCGAGGCTCCATGGGGAGGTTGTGGCGGAGAGCGAGGAGAGCGGAGAGGGTGGAGATGGAGGTTGACGAGGGGATTGTGAGGGGGATGGCTAGAGTTGGCACGTTAGCTTTTGGGACTTTGATGGCGGAAGGGCCGGGAATGACGTGGATGCCGTGAGGGTGGTGACGATGGTGATGATGATGTTGATGTTGGGGAGTTCCGAAGTTCGGAACCGAGAGCATACGTACTGTTGTTGCCGGAAACGTCCTTGACGAAGATCTGCATTGTGTCGTCGTCAAAGGAGTCGACACTGCTGATGGAGTCTGAACGGCGCATATTGAGAATGGTAGGAAAGCGCAAGGTTTGGTTGTGGTTGTGGTTGTGGTTGGGGAGGTTGAGGAAGGATGAAGTGAGGAGGCGGTGACGGCGGTTGTGGCGATGGGTGATGAGTGGATGGATGGATGGGTCGAGGCCGATAAGATAGATAGAGCTAGCTGGCTAGGCAGGGCTGACGGTAGTAGTGGTTGTGAAGGTGGGTGGGTGGTGGATGAGCGAAGAAAGGGAAGAAGGGGATCAGGAGGAGTGAGGGAGAGCAGGCAGGCAGGCAGGTAGATATATGTACGTGTGCGAGTAAGACTGTGTAGACATAAAGGTAGGAGATGTGTAATAACAAGGGCGACAGGCAGTGACGCAGATGGGCCTCGGATGGTGGCTTTAGCTATGTCGGTCGGCGAAGGCACGGCTGGCTGACTGACAGACAGCAGGGTGACAAGGGTCACGACACGAAACGGGCCAGGCCAGCTGCTGCTCATGGTCGACATGAGACGGCCCTCTTGTCTTGTCCTGTCGCGGCCTGTCGTTTCTTTTGTTGTTGCTCTTGTTGCCAACTGTGTCGTGTGCTGCCAGCAGTACCTGCATCTTCACCTCGATACATGCTCGGTGGCAGGCACAACACACCATCCTCGTCGTACGACATGCGGCTTCGGGAGCGGCTGCAGACATCCATGTCCTCATGTCTGTATCTATCTACATCTTGCGTATCCGTCTTCTCCCACCACCTCATCCATTCACCTCCCTTCGGATGGTTCCGACTCCATCATCGTCTCCAACACGTACGTTATCCCCCAGCCTCGACACACGATCCCAATAGGTGCATACTATACATGTGGTGACGAGATGGATCCCAGCATCTCTTCCCGAGCCATCCCGGCAAGCAGAACGACCAAGCGCGCACGCCCTTTCTTTCTCGAACAATCTACGGTGCACTTGCACAAGCACCAGACCACCTTGCCGCACAAAGCCATCCGCCCAACGGCCTTTCATTCAACACACTGACACTGGCTGTCATGTCCCTGGCAATCACCAATCCCGCTCGACTTTCCTCCCTTTCTTTCTTTCTTTTTTTCTTTCTTGCCCCGATTTTCGTTGCCGCCGTTGTCTTGTTTCGCCCGCCCATGACCCGCGCGAATGCATGGCCACGTCAAGGTCTAGAAAATGTAGCAGTAATCATCCCGTCATGTCGCCGTTGTTCATCTGGAACCATCCATCCACCCGGACGTGGGCATCTGGAGACGAACCCCAGTCCAAAGTCGCCGCCACCCCGCTTACTGCATCGCATCCCCCCCGGGCCGTGGCCAGGAACCGCACGTGGACCTGCTTCATCGTCTCGTATTCTGATTGGTTGCCCGCCTCGCTTCTCCTTGGTTGCTTTCAGTACACGCTATTCCATTTGTGGACCTGAGATGTCCATCCTAACACACATCTATCTATGTAACCCCAGGTACGCAACGTGTCAAGCGCGTAGATACTACTGTATGCGAACATGCTGTGGCCAAGAATACAGACAAAACAAGAAAAAACACCGCGAGAAAACAACAATACGGCCCTGCCCTTCCTCTCTTACAACATGGCCTTGGGCATCTTCTTAATCGCCTGTCTAACACCCAAATCCGCCAAAATCTCCTCAGTGCCGCCCAGAATGGCATCGAATTTGTACGTGCGGTGGAACATCTCCACAATGCGGCCCATGCCGCTCTGCGTGATGCCGCGCCCACCAAAGATATTGGTCGCTTCGTCCGCAATCTCATGCGCAGATCGCGTAGCATGCGACTTGAGTAGGCCAATGGGTCCACCCAGGTTCTGCGACTGCTGTGCGTAGCTCATATGGCACATTTGGTACGCAATGGATTCAAGCCATGCCTGGTTGGATTCCACGTGCGAGATCATCTTGGCCAGTTTCTGCCTCATGACGGGTTGCTCAATCAATGGCTTGCCGAACACGATGCGCTGGTTGCACCATTTGAGGCACTCTTCCACCACGGTGCGTGTCATGCGGATGATTCCCGATGCCATCATGAAGCGTTCGTGGTTGAAGTTCGCCATGATGACGATGAAGCCGCTGTGCTCTTTGCCAAGGAGGTTCTCCACGGGCACCTTGACGTCGTTGAATTCGATAAAGGCTGTTCCGGCCGTGGGCGAGTACGATGTCTTGATCAGACTCGTCTCCACCCCTTCCTGTCTTTCGACAAGAATCACGGAGAATCCCTTATCTGTCTTGCATCCTACTACAAAGTAATCGCAGAACATTCCGTTTGTAATCTGTAAAATCGAGGTAATTGAGTTAGTGCGCGTCCAACGACATTACTTGGATCCGAGGAAGTACGTACCCATTTCTTCGTGCCCCGAATAACGTAGTGCTTTCCGTCAGGAGTCTTGCTCGCAGTCGTCCTCAGACCTGCGACATCAGACCCGGCAAAGGCCTCCGTGATGGCCAGGCAAATCTTCTTCTTTCCGCTCAACACTTCTTCAACGACCTGAGTCTTGCGTGGTGATTCGGGCATCCACTGGAGAACCGCCGTCAAGCTAATCATCATACCCGCCATGTTTCCATCGGAAAAGCCTCGGGCGTTGATTCGCGCAAACTCCTGTGCCTGCACCATGTCGTGGAGGTAGTCAAAATCCTCGCCCTTGACTACACCAAACAGGTTCTTGCCGTGCAGATGCTTGCCAGGTCCCAGTCGCATGGCAAGCACATCATTCGCGGCCATGCGATCAATGAGCTCTTGCGAGATGTATGTTCCATCCTTCTCTTTTTGTTGCGCCTCGGGTGTAACGTACTGATCCACAAACTCGCGGACCTTGCGCTGCAGCGCCCGATGCGACTCCTTGAAGTAAGGGCTCTTGCTCTCGGGTCGCAGCCACAAGGGCTCGGCGTAGGGAACCGTGCTGAGCTCGCCAATGCCTTGCACCACGACCTCGGATTTCTCGCCCTCAATGGTGCCTATGCATAGGGACTTGTACTTCTCGAGCACTTCCTGGCGGTGGAGATTGTAAAAGGCCGCTGTGGCATCTGTGCCTGCGACTTGCTCGAGAACAACGGATCCGCCTGGGTGTGCATCCACGAAATCGGACAAGTCGTAGACTTTGTGGTCGATGATGCACCACAGGTCGTCCGACTTGTTGTGTGAAGCAACGGCGTCGCGGGTTAATGCAGGCATGGTGATGGGTGGCGACAGGTGACGGAAAAAGACTGCGCAAACGTAGCGAGGGGAAAAGAAAAGGCCGGCTCGAATGGTGAGAAAGGAGCCTCAGAAAATATAAAGGAAGAAGTAAGGAGAGGGAAAGAAAATCGGACTTGAATGAGCTCCTTGAAGGATTTCCCCACACATGTCGTCGTCGTCGTCGCCGCTGTTTGGGGTAGTGTAAAGTCGGGGTTTAGCTTACTGCTTTTGTTCTTTCGCCCGAACCGAGGTCCCGAGGTACTTGCACATCAGCAGAATCATCTAAGCTCTGATTCGCCCGAGCCTGCTGGACAAAGGGACGACGGTAAAGACCCAAGAACATGTGCTTGATGTTCATGTTTGGTCTTCGATATCCAAGTCTGCATAGCTAGGCATAGATATGTATGTAAACTCCAAGAGCATATTCACGCGCTAGAACAGTGCTGGATGATTCTACCGTATGATGTTCATCAAGTGAAAAAGACTACAATCTGGCCATCCAATGAACAAAGTCCTGATATTCTGCATGTTCAGGCCCCACGACTTAACCAAGAAACCTTTATACTGATACACGATTTAACCGCTTTGAGCCCCCCTCCTTAAAGAATGAATACTCCATACTCCAATAGAGATCATCCAGCATACAACGCAAGCAGCTACAACCATCTCATATCTTGTCCTCCAATCTCGCCGTCATCCCTGTAATCGGAACCTGCTTCGACTTTTCCTGCGCCTCCAACCGCTCCTCCCTCTCCCTTTTCTTCTCTAGAGCTTGCGCTTGCACAATCGCCAGCCTATCCAAGCTCTGAGCCAAGACTGCCTTGTCATCGCTCCCAACCAGCGAGTCAAAGTCAAACTTTGTAGCAAGCGCGAGTTGATCTTCCAAAGCGTGGATCGCTTTGACGCGGACCTCGTCAATCTGCTGTTGTAGCTTCCGTTCGGATTCGAGGCGTGCCTTTTTGGCAGCTTCCTCGCGTTCCGCAATGGACGCTTCTTCGGCTTTCCGCTTCTGGGCGATGAGTGCATCGCGTTTGGCCTTGGCTGCGAGGAACTTTGCAGAATGCCCGAGGGCACTCCCTTCTCTGACTGCGATGCGCGAGCTGTTGATTGGTGGAGCAGTAAAGAAAAGAACGCGACCCTGGTCGTCCTGTTGGAACTGGTCGCGAATTTCCGCTGGGATAGATGCGTTCGCGTGATCATTGAGCGTATATACTTCGACCGGCTGCGGGGCTTTGTATCCCATTGGTGGTTGGTTGACAATAGGTTGCTGGTACTGCGGAGCGGCTCGAGGAGTCGCATACTGGGCTACAGGAGCCTGCGCTTGTGGTGGCTGCGGTGTAGCGAATGACATGTGCGGAGTGATTGTTTGATATCCGCCAGGCTGGGCAATCGGGGGGTGGGACATGTGGGGGGCAGGCGATTGTGAGTGAGATTGAGAGTGGTATTGCGGTTGGTGAGCATGGTGCGTTGGGGTGTAGGCAGCCTGTACGTGATGTGGTTGAGGTGTTGGGGCGGGCATAGGTGAAGCAACAGGCGCCTGTGCAAGTGGGTAACCGCTTTGTGGATTGCTGTTGTAATTGATGGGTTGAGGTGTGGGAGCCGTAGGTGTAGGCATAACTGGCGCTGGTGGAGGAGGAGGGGGGGGTGATGGTGTTGGTTCTGGGGGTGGAGAATCCTGCAATCAAGATCAATCGACATTCGTCTGCCATACCTCGTGTGGAAAACATACCTTTGGGTCTCGAGGGCGACAATGAACGGCACCAATTTTCGGCGGTGCGTTTTCAGCCCCCCATTCTGGTTTAGGAAGATCGTCGTCCTCCTTTTGGCTGTCTTTCAGCAAGTATGCAATTGGACTTGGAACCTTCTTCAGCTTCCTCTGCGTGTCAAACAGGTCCATGACGTAGTCTTTGTCGCGCACCTCATCTGGCAAACAGCTGGCCCATGTTTTGATCTTGTTCAGTTTGTGGTTTTCCTCGTTGTACCGAGCCTCGCACACATAGATCTCTTTGTCCGGGGGGAAATCGCGAGGCCGCCCCTTGTTGTATCTTGTTACAAACATGACGAAGCAGCGATCTACCACTTCGTCGATTGGGTGGTCGCGGTATTGGCCTGTTTTGACGACTTCGTTCTCCAAGAAATGCCGATCGAAGCGATGCACAGTCTGCTCTGGTCGATAGTACCAGCAAGCATTCACCCATTTGCCACCCTCAGCGTCCTGCCAGGTCCGGTAGATTTGCGCAACGATTGGTTTTGTGAGGTCGTTGGCATTCTGAATGTGTACCCAATCTCCCACTTTCCACAGCTCGCCATTGTGGAGTATCCCATTAGGCATTGGAATGCGACCTTCTTCCATCACGAACTCGGAGTCATCCTTTTCTTTTTCGAGCTTTGCGGTTTTGCGGGCCTCCTCTTGCAGATGTAAAGCGTCCTTGTATATTTGACTATCCTCTTCGTTGTACTTCTTGGCATTTTCGAACATGAGCTCTACATCTACCATGAAATGATCAACGGAATTGTACTTTTTACGTTTCAATTTCCGCTTCAGTATGTCCATGGCCATGGGACTCTTAATCTCAGCATGGTACTCGGGCATGACCGACTTGTCAGGGACGCGCTCGAAGGCGGCGACCATGAGCTTGTTGGCGTCGTTTCGGGGCTTCCTGATCGCTTTCATGATGGCTTTAATCCTGGCTTCCATGGGTGTATCGACGCGTGGGGGACGTCCCCTTTTCTTCCTGGACTCTGGGTCATCTTTACCATCATCTTTCTTAGACCCTGCATCGCGTTTGCCGGCAGCTCTGGAACGGGGCGCACCCCTCCTTCGAGGTTTGGCGCCATCTTCGTCCTCGTCGCCTTCTTCGTCCAATTCCTCCTCCATTTCTTCATCCTCGTCGTCCTCTTCCTCTTCTTCGTCTTCATCGTCGCGCTCTTCTTGTTCAGGAATTTCCCCTAAATAAGGCAGTGTCGCGACTTCTTCAGTGATGGTATTTTTCTCAACCAGTTTTTTCAATTCGTCCTCCAACACCTTCTTTACATCGACGGCATCCACGTACGCCTGCGAATCCTGTCGGTTGTAGACCTGCGCATTGTGCGGGATGAGGGCGAAGTCGCGCACGAATTCAGCGAACGACTTGTATTCCTGCGAGGCAACCTTGCGTTTGATTTCGCTCAGGGCCATTGGCTCTTTGATGACCTCGTAGTAATCGGGCAGCGATCGCTTGTTGACTTTTCGCTGGAAGAGTTTCGTGGGATCGTAGCCACTACAACGTCGCGTTAACACAAACAACAGCCCACGGACGGAACCAGACATCAAACTCACTCTTCAGTTCTGTATTGATACACATGGGCGAGCACTTCGCCCATGGCTTCCAGTTCGGCCTCTGTGACTGTCGATGGCGCGCCATCTGTGCCCGGGTCCGCCTTCTCGGTGGTGGGCACGGGGGTTTCGCTCTCTGGGCCTCCAGATGCCATTCTGGCGATTGATTGTTAACAGCTGTCGCTATGATGGAAATGATGGCTGGCGCATTCGTTCCCGCTCCAGTCGCGTCTGTCCAGGCTAGACGTTGATGCGCGCGCAAGAGAGAGATCTAGCGAGGTACAGCCGACTAGCGGGTGATCTGTGCGCAAGTTCAGCACACCCATGCCGTCCGTCTTCGGGCTTGGTTCCGGAATGGTGAATGTCCATGTGTGCCAGTTCACCATGCTTTGCCGCAAACACCGTACAGCTGCGATATTCTGCTTCCTTCGATCCATTATATAATATTTCTACCTTCTTCTTCGTAGTTCCATGACTGATTCAAACCGCACACGGGCCCGTTGATTCCAACTAAGTGGTCACGTCACCGTTCCGAAACGGAACCCCCGCGGGGGTCGCTCTCATCTCGTCTCCCTCTGTATCTTAAACCATTTCGTAGAAGTATTACTTTTCCAGAGTAGTTTCTTTCTGCACACCTCTGCTGTCGCAATCTTTATATAAACACATCTTCTCACCAAACTTCTCATTTACCACATACCGCCACCATTTCGCTCGCCATGACAATCCGCATACGACTACGTGCTCCCAACGGATTACACACCGTCTCTCTAGAGGACACCGCAGCTGTATCCGACCTGCTATCTACGATTTCTGCCGTGACAGAACTTCCCCTCTTCGATCTCAAATGGGGCTTTCCTCCCCAGCCACTTGATCCATCCCTCTACGGCCTCTCTACATCTCTGTCGGAAACAGACCTCAAGCTCAACGGCACTCAGATAATAGTGATAGCCCAAGCAACCGGTGATCCCAGTGAAGCCGCAGCCAAACAAGCGTCCTCATCATCCACCAACGACCCTACAAAACCCGCCGCCCCACTCTCATTACAGCGGAAACAAAATGAAGCCCTGCTGAAGGATACGCCAGAAGTTCCCGTGCCAGCACGCGGAGGCACAATGGTACTGCGTGTCATGCCAGACGACAACTCGTGCATGTTTCGCGCACTGGGCAGCGCCGTGCTATCCTCCTCCCTCGATTCCATGACGGAGCTGCGCTCTATGGTTGCGCAGGCTATTCAGGCGGACCCAGATATGTACAATGAAGCCATTCTGCAGCGCAAACCCGACGAGTACTGCCAGTGGATCTCATATTCGGATTCGTGGGGTGGTGGCATCGAACTCAGCATCTTGTCCAAGGAATTTGATATTGAGATATGCAGCATCAATGTACAGGATCTGCGTGTGGACAGGTTCAATGAGGGCCGCGCAAAACGCTGCATACTGGTTTACTCGGGCATTCACTACGATACCGTGGCGTTTGTGCCCGAGGGTGGTCCGACGTATGATACGGACAACGATGTTAAACTGTTCGATGCGGCCGATGAGACGATCCTTGAGGCTGCAAGACAATTGTGCGCCGAGCTACGTAGGAAGAATTACTTCACCGATACACAGAAGTTCAGTATCAAGTGCAATGTGTGTGCGTGGAAAGGCGCGGGTGAAACGGGTGCTGTGAAGCATGCAGAGGAGACAGGACACATGGATTTTGGGGAGGCGACTTAGAAGTACAGTGACTTCTGCAGTGCATATATCGATCTTATGGCATTCTGGATTGGGAAGATTTTCTTCGTTTTTTGTGTTACGTTAGACACGATATTCCTGTTGGCGGTCTGCCCTGCTTTCTTGATAAGAGGTCGGATATGATTATCAACAACCCCAATACATCACAATGAAGTATACAACACATGCATATATACCGGTGGTCATCGTTTTCAAATAGCATTCGTACTTGGGGTATCAAGACACGCTCGCCATGTGGTACCATACTCATGTCATCTATGCTCCCATGCAGACCCACACTCACGAACCGTCAATACATTGCGACAGAACACTCCACCCTTCTCTGTACCAAGGCGCCAAAACAACAGCCCTTTGCACATCTTCAACGCGGCCAGTCCCCGCCATAGCTCCGGCTAGCCCGACAGCATTCAAGGTGCCGTTCGGAGGCACACTTCCACTCGCCGTCTCCTTTGCCATTGCTGCAGCAAACCCATCTCCCTTCGACGCGCTCGCAAGCTGCGACCAGCCGACCGCCTTCCATGGCGCAAGCATAACACTCGTGCGTGCCTCATCGGCCTCCTTCTCCTCTCCACCAAGGAAGAAGCCGATCGCATCTACGACCTTCTCCACGCGGGCGAGTTGTTCCGCGGAGAGGTCCTTGCTAGTGCGGAGGTGAGCGAGATCGTCGTTGATGGCATCCATAGTGTCTTCATCCTCGTCAATGACAGCCATGGCACCCAGCAAAGTGACGATCCCGATGTGCAGTGGGTGCGAGTCGGCGGCGGCGAAAAGCTGCTCGCGCGCGATCTCTTTGGCGTTACCGTCGCCTTTGGCCCAGAGCACTTCAGCCAACAAGCAGATGATGTCTGGATTGGACTTTGTGGCCTCGAGGGCAGTGCGGAAGTACGGTATGGCTTCTTCGAGGTCGCCTTGGAAAAAGTGCGCTAGACCTGCTGTTAGACGTGCGGACAGTTGCGTTTTAGACAGGGCTTCGGCGCTTATGGCGGATTTGTTTTCTTCTGTGTTGATGTCGGAAAGGAGATCAAGGGCTGTCTCGGCTTCCTCTACGGCTGCGCTATTGAGGTTGTTTGCTAGGAGGTTCCTTGCAAGGTCGTTTTTAGCCTGGGCGTATCGAACAAGTGCTGAGGTAGACTCGGATTTTTCGTAGTCTTGCTCTGCTGCTTCACATAGACTGGTGAGAGCGGTAATGGCGGCGTCATGATTGCCGATACGCTCGAGGTACAGAGCTGCTAGATGTTTGTGCGGAATATCGTACGGCGCTTGATAGGCCAGCTGATGAAGAGCAAACAGGGGCTGTATGAGGTTGGTGATGTCGTTCGACGAGGATGAAGAAGTGAGCAAGAACTCAAAGGTTGACACAGCAAATTGTCGTTTCGTGATCAATGAGGACGATTCGGATAGTTCAAATGCATGTGTGAAATGGGATAGTGCTTCCTTCGTGTCTCCAAAGAGCAGAGCAATGATACCCTCACCTACCCATGCCAGAGCGTAGTCGGGGTCCGTAGATTGAGCACGGGAGAATGCAAGGTGGGCAAGCTCTTGATCGTTCTGCAATAGGTAGAGAGTTCCTAGATTTGTCCAGGTACTCACACTCCGTTCATTCAAATGAAGGGAGCGTACGAAAGCATGCTGGGCAACCTTCGGACTGAGAGTCGTTGTGATGACACCCAGCGAGTTCCAGAATTCTGAATTTCCAGCCTCTAGCTCAATTGCTCTTTTGAAGCATTTCATTGCCCCTCGCAGGAACGTTGTTAGATTTTGATCTTGCTCAATTTCCTGCTCTAGACAAATATGAGCGCGATAATCGGCCCAGCCTAGGTTGTACCATGCAACAGCCTGGGCGTGAACATCATGTGCACAGCTCGCTATCGCTCGTTTGTGTGACAGGAGCGACGAGTCTATGACTTTTCGTAGAAGTGACGTCTTATCAGAAGTCAGTCCTACAAGTTGCTCTTTACCCACCCCGTCGATATCCCTCTCTTCATCATAATCCAAGTCGATGGTGGAGTTGCTGTTGAGAAGTTCAACCACAGTCTCCGCTGGGTATCGATCTAGCTTTTCCTGGACCCAGGTGAAGATGCTGCATGCATCGCCTACGGCTTTCCACAAATTGAAAGCATCCGGTTTGTACTGAGAAATCGTCAATGCGACCTCGATGGCTCGAGTAGCACTATCAGCAGCTTCTCCGAAGAACCCAGTTTCCAGGCACGCCCAGGCTTTTTCGATAAGAGTCTGCACAAGTGCAATGGACACTCCGAACTCTTGAGATCTCTTCGCCGAAACATCTTCGTATCTCTTGATAGCTTCGTCAAACTCGCTGAGCTCCCTGTGTACGTTTGCAAGCATGTATTGCGCGAACCAATTCTCGGTGTCCTGCTTCTTCATGATGACACCGTCTGTTGGATTTTCGGCGTAGTTGAACGCTCTCGACGCGGAATTGTAGCGACCTGAGTTGTGGTAGCTCTCGCCTAGACCAATGTACGAGTGATAATCGTTTGGGCTGATGCGGAGTGCCGACAAAAATGAAACAACGCTCTTTTGATACTCTTGTTTGTTCATCTGAACAACGCCAAGAGCGGAATAAGGCCAGCTCACACCCTTCTTCTTCGACCCTGGAGTGATGCGAACTTTTCCTGAGTCGACTACACGCTGCGACACTACTTCAACTATATCCCATTCACCTTGATCAGCGAACAACCGAGCAAGTCGCTCGGCCGCAACGACTTCGGATGAAGATAGTTCAAAGGCTTTCTGGAAACACTGTCTTGCCCTCTTCTTGTCTTTACTGTAGTCTTCGTAGAATATTCCGAGTTTGGTGTAAGGTGGTGCATAATTGGGGTTTGCCTTGATCGCAGCAAGAAACCGAGCATACGCGCCCTGACGATCCCGACGGGAAGCCTTGGACGGGTTAAGCTCCCATATGCAGACGCCAATCCTATACAGCGTCTGGGCACGAAGTTCTCTACCACGCGTTGTTGAAGCATCGAGCTGAGGATAATCTAGATACTCTTGCAATCTTGCAAGACCCTTTTCGTAGTCACCATTGAGAGCCTGAAACCAAGCGGCCTCCGCTCCAACACGGCCATTCGATGGATCTTGTTCCAGAACTTGCTCGAGGAAATCTACTGCTTGGCCATACTCCTCCTCCTCTCCCAGGATGAGACCAATTCCTATCAATGCAGGCGTGAATTGAGGCTTTCGTTTGAGCATGGATTGAAAGATCTGCTTTGCTTCAGGATGATTCCGGGGTGTTTGATAATAGACCAATGCAGTGGCTAGTGTGCTATTGAGTGCATCCTTGGTTCTACATTGTACCGTCAGCTCTTGAATGGCGCTTCAGACGAGACATAGTAGACCTTTGAAATGCCAGATCACTCTTTTTGGACTCATTGGCAGTTAACTTCAGCCCTTTTCTGGTTGTTTCGACGGCGCTCTCATACTCCTCCAACGAGAGATAGTAATCGCCTAGTAAGCAATGAGCGAGCGGGGAATTTTTTGCTTCCAGAATACCTTCCTACATCAAGATCAATCGTCATATCTTATCAGTTTCGAAATCGGGTTGTATAGCTTACGGTCATCAACACCAAACAGTCCTCCTGTGATAGGGCGACATTTTGGTTCAAAGCTACCCCGCCTTCACTCAGATCTGGGGCGTCATCATCTGATTTTTCTACGAGGGGGAATCTTGAGGCACCGCTGCTCAGATACCCCGTTAGAACCTTTGACAAACCATCCGTTGGAAACAACTGGACATATTGTCGCAACGTCAATATGTCCAGGTCCAGCAGATCGTGTGCGCTGTCGGCGCGTGACGCCATTGTAACGAAGCTCTCCAAGCAGGATGGACAAAACCGTGAAGTCGATTTCCGAGAGTCAAGCAAAACGAGCGTATAAGAGTGTGCCTTGCGTCAAAACAGTGATGAAGGGGCAATGCTTTGGCAGCGTAGCAGCGGAGCTAAAGCGAAGTGGTGATGTTTGTATATTTGGTAGGGCTGAGTTAAGCTTCCACTAGTGCAGGACGTCATTCGTCGCTCCCGTACATATTCTGCCTCCCCTCCTCACTCTCAATGGCGCCCAGATAAAACACAACCGCGCCTTCGAGTGGGGCACCAAACCAAATCCCCTTTCCTTCTTCGAGGAAAAGCGGTCTACCATGTCGGCTAAAGCAGCACTCAAAGTAGCCAAGTCGGCCATCGACGCAAAAAAGTGGGATGAAGCGAAAGAGCAAGCAGAGACAGCGCTGGAAAGGGATCCGCAAAACTACTTCGCAAAGCTCTTCCTTGGACGTGCAAACGATGGTCTGGGGGAACTGGAGCAGGCCGCCGCTGCATACAGCGACGCGACCAAGTTCAAGCCGGAAGATCCTCAGGCGTGGTTGGGTCTGCGGGGTCTGTACGAGAAGCAGAAGGCAGCCAAGGTTGATGAGAACACACATGTCGGCTTGAAACTAGCAGAACTATACGCAGATTTGGACGATGCGCACAAGGCCCAGACAGCCATCGACAAGCTCGTCAACCATGCCCGCGCCAATGGCACAAAGCAACAGTATGCTCATGCACTCGCGACCCAACTCCCTAGTTCGCCCGTATACTCCTACCTCGAGGGGCGCTTACAGAACCCCGCCCTCACATACACACGCATCGCCGAAATACACGAGAATGAGGAAGAGCAGACCATTAAGCGCTTGATTGCTGATCGCAAAACTCGCATCGGCGCCACCCTCGAGAGAACTACCATGTCCGTCAAGAACGAAGTGTTTGGGGCAAGCCCGCTGGAGGAGTTATATCAGGGAATAATTGATTGGACGAACGATGATGAGCTCAGAAGGATTTATGAAGAGAAGCTGCTACAGAGGGCGTATGATGCTCTACTTGCGCTTCCAGCGGGAGAGAAGGCGGAGAAGAGGGACAAAGTGATGAAGCTCGCACATGACATGGTCATCATTAGGCATCCGTTCCTACTCGCATGGACAATTGAGTTGGAATGGAGACCGGGGCAGGAAGTCGAGGCGTATTGATTGGACATGCGGATGGTGTCCATCTAACCGCGGGAAACCTAGCAAGGACCGAAAATAGCTACTAGGAGATATTGGGAGGGATTATCATGATTGATGACTTGAGTAATATAAGTTTAGACCGCAAAATCAACCCATAGAATTGGCAAATTTCACACTTTCACTTTGTTTACGCCGCTTGCCCCGCAGTGGCACCGACAACCCGCTTCTTCTCATCTATGGAGTACATGCTTCGCCCTTGTTTCAGCGCATGAACTAACATAGGCAGACTGCTGCTCTTGAAATCTTGTGCCTCGCGCACTTTGATCAGATCATCCCCGAGCTCACCGGTAACTTTGCGCAGATACATAGCAGCGAATTCTTCATCTGTATCAGTTTCTGTTCTTGGTTGTCCAGCGGTTGATGCTTGTGATTTTGATTTCAATTTTGTTGATGCAGAAGCGTTCGCGTCTGGCATTTCGGTATCCGAATCATCATCTTCAGAGCTCTTGCTGTTCACCTGCTTGGATTTGGCTGGGTCCTGAATAATCGTAAGTTTCCGTGGTTCATTGGACTTTTTCGAGAGACGTTTCGTTGAAAGTTACTTCTCCTTCCTGATCCCTTCATATTCAAGCAAACCTTATGTCGCAAAAAAAAAAAAAAAAAAAAAAAGAATTTGTTTCGTAGGGATACAGGAATCAAGTTGAAGTCATACCTTTTTCGTCTCAGATACATCGGTTCCACTGTCGCTCTCACTGTCGGTTTCCGACGAAGACGACGACGACACGTCCACTAACACATTAAAATCAGTCCTCCTGTCCAATTTTTGGGCAATGTTGGATCGAGTATCTGCTTACCAACCGTGCGACTCTTGTTCTTCTTCCTTGTGCGCTTTTCTACGCCATTTGGTGCTCTTGTTGCCGCCATGTTTGTATGTTGATATCGAGAGTACTCAATTGAGGAAAAAGTCATGGAGTGAATGTTCGGCTTATCTTATCCCCACGTGAGGGACTAGAAGCGGAGTCGGTTGCTGACTAAGCAGTCTACATTTAATCGGTTTTGGTTTACACAAGAGTGGAATGACAGTGGTGGGGTAGTGTGTTAAGTGTCGTTCGGGATATAGTGAGTCTGGAGGTGATTGTTCGGCTCATTAGTCGGGTACTTAATAACTATCGAGCTTTCGTCATTGGATCCGAATTCAATCAATCCAAACGTTCAAAAGTTGTAACTTTCTTTTTAATGCTATATATCAACTTTACAAAACAGTAACATCTACATCGTACTCTACATCTGTTCGAATAACATATTTGGCGCCTTCAACAACTCCCGTCCCCTCATGCAACAAGGCTCCCTGTGCTTCGCCGTGTGGGAACACAGCTACACTTCCCATGATGGGCTTGACAGGGTAGGCGTTTATTACCCCATCTTTCACGTTTGGGATAAAGAATGTAGTTTCGCCACCCTTGAAGTCGTCGTTCAGATAAATCAAAAATGTGAATAAAGAGGACTGCCGGGCATCTTTAGGTGACGCGTCGTATTGGTAGGCATCGGTATCAGGGTCTATGCCAGAAGGTGGCCATGCGCCATCTGTAAGTGCAATCGTCAGCATCTAACGGTATTTGAGGCAGAAGATGGCAGCAATTACCAATATGGCACCGATATTCAGCACCAAAAATATATCTGTACACTCTGAATCTGCGATTAATGCCGCGAACCTGCCGACCTGCAACAGAACTTGGCATAAAATCTTTTACTCTGCTCCAGAGTCTATCGTGAAAAGCCTCGTCCACTATCCAGTAGAAATTGTGGGCGAGCACGCTGGTGTCTTCTCCTTGAGGCCGCATTGGGGCATCTGGAATGAACTCCATCGTCTCGCCAGCAGCTATGATAGACATACATTCATCGGGCGTAAGAACATCCCGAATGACCCTAAGGTTCGGCACTATCGGGTGTTTCTGGCAGTGCGTTGTGGGTGCTTCTCCCAATAACACTGTGTCGTTTCTCGAGGCGAAGAGAACAGCTGGGTGAAGATTGGGTGGTTTTCGGGAGGGGCCTGGGGTCGTTTCGATAATTCTAAAACTATCTTTGAATCCAGAGGGGCAGTGTTTGAATATGGACTTGTTTTGGACACTTTGTTGTACTTGTCGCGTAGGCTCGTTGATATTCCTCAGGTCCCAAGTCTCTTGCAATGCAATAGGCTCTGAAGAAACGTCTATCCCATGCGCAGTGGTATCAGTAGGGCCTGTAACTCTGAGGATAGCATCCAAAACTTGAATCAGTTCGTTATTGTGAGCATTGCCACCTGCAACGCTCTGGCTAGGCACTCGCACGTGGATCGACAATCCCGAAACCACATCGAGAGTTCGCACCCAGCGACACAGGGCACCTAGAGTCGGAGTTTCTTTTTTGATGCGCATCTCTGCCAGCATGATGCGTGCATCCAGGTAATTTCCATCCGTGAGCGCAGCGGATATGCGTGCTGTAAGATTGCTACCCTCTAAGGCCGTAAATTAGTGTTACTGGCTGGCGGTACGGAGACTACCAGTACCTACCAGCCGATATCATTCCCGTTGTGCTTGCCTGACGAAAGTTGTACACTGCGGTTCTTAGATCCTTGCAAGCTTTTGATTTGATGAGAGCTGGATGCTCTGCCAATGCCTGTAGGGTTTCAACCGTAATCTCGACTTCCTCGGAAGAAGTTACCGCTTGAATACTTATGGGCCCAGCTGAGCCATTTGCCTCGTGCGGTGGACTTGGGATGCCGCTCGCAATGGCCTGTTTTTTGACGGCTTGTGAACTGGCATTGTTGCGCTTTCTTTTCGCCATTTTGGGGGGCCAGTGTTCTACTCGAGCAGGTTCAGGGTACTAATAATCCCACAGTATTGTTGTTCCCCAGTCAATATTTCAATGTACAATGCATGGGATTGATGTCGTCGTATGTGGCGAGGTCTGAAGATTTGAGAGGAGAAAGTGCGTTCATCGCATGTGCTAGCTTACTCAGCATCTTCATGCTTTGGCCAATCAACAAAGACGGAAAGGAATAACCAACAAGGGTCACTACATGTATGAATATATGAAAGTAGCACATATTTGGGACAATGTGAATGCTTCGAATATTTGAGGCTTTCTACAATACAACAGGCTCACGATATACCATCGATACACTGTCGGACAGCTCGTTTTGATCCATATATTCCCCACAGGTTCATGCCTTCCAGCCCAAACGGAAACACCAGATAATACACCCAGGGAGTCAACTCATAGCTATTTGTCCCCAAGTTTTTTCCCCTTGCCCTTCCATTGTGGCTCCTGGCGATTTTTCGCCTTCTGCCTCATATGCTTCAGCAACTCATCCGAACTCTCCTCAAGCTCCTCTCGGTGCGCTGCCTTCTCTGCCTCACGTCTTGATTGCTGTTCGTTTTGCTTCCGCGTGTTCTCAAGATCTCTCAGTACTTGCTCCCGGAATTTCTCGCTCTGGGCTTTCGCACGACGGCCCTGCTTCTTCTCGCGACGGCCATGTTCCATCTTCCATGCGGGTGGTGGCAGGGTTTGCTTCTGGCCGTTGATGACTTCCACATAGCGGCCTCGAGCACCCAAGCTGTATACTGGCATATTCCGGACTGGATAGGCTGGGACTTGGCCGAGGGGGGTGTGTTGGGGGATGTCGTGCTCGAAAGCGAAGGCGCGGGGCGTAGGGGAAGAGGGTTCCGTATAGGCGAATGGCTGGGGGACTTCGCTCATCTCCTCATCTAAGTCGTCATCTGCTCGCTTTTGGTGATTGTGATTGCGGCTGCGGTGGTGATCGGAACCGGAGCTGGGGCCGAACATCGTACAGGTGAGGATTGGGATTTGAAAGCTGCCAGCAGAGTATGAACAGTGTCTAGCGCCAGTGTCTCAATCAAGTTGCAGCGGTGGTAAGAGTTGCCAGTATTGGATGGTATTGGAACAGATTGGTGTACTTGACTTGCTGTGTGGTCGCTCATGAATGTGTTATTGGAGGTTGTGGTGGTCGATATAGGGCAGTAAATTAAGTAGCAGGGTAGACAGAACACAGATTTTTGAATTCTGTGGTCTGGTTTGTCCAGTGGTGACTCAGGGTTGCGCGTTCGTCCTTGCTGCGCCAGTCACGCTCATTGGTAGTGGGCGTTTGCACCGTCGATTGAATATTCACAACACACGAGCTAAAAGTAGAAGGTAGCGTTCAAATGTCAGTGCATACAATGCACGTGATCGATGCCTCATGGCTTCAACATTCTACCGCGCTGATCCCGATGGGGAAGATCACTCGATTCATTAGGATATGAATGTATACGATTCCAATAGAGTGGGGGGGGGGTATCTAGATAGGTTACGAAATAAAGGGAGAGAAGGGAATCTTACTTCCGATCCTCATTGGACGATGCCGCTCGAAGCAAATAATGACGGAGCAGTGATTCCGTACTTTTCTCATCGCTCCTCTCCTCGGAGTCTTTCCAGTGACGGTAAAATTCCAGCACCACCTCCACGGCAATGAGCGCGATGATAGCCCACTCCAGCCTTAACCCATGCTTCTCACTAAGCGTTTCGCGCAGCACACTGGCGATTTCCTGCGCAAATCCGATTTTCTCATTCAGCACCTTGATCCGAACACCGACATCGAGTGCACGGCCGACCTGGTCATAGTACTCTCCCAGACCAAGCTCATGTCGACTGTCCCAGAAAATGTCCGGTAGGGAGTCTGTGAGTTCGGAATATAGGTTGAGCTGCGCGCGGATATTGAGCAATTCCCCAGTCTTGCGGAGGATGAAAGACCGCGTGAAGGGCATTTGTTTTCCGCGAAGGGAGATGGTCTCGCCTTTGGCGAGCATGATAGGAATCTGGCGGGTGGCATGTTGGTAAGAGCTAAGTAGGCTTTCCAGAACGGCGAGTTTGGTTGAGCGAGCAAGACCAGAGGAAAACGCTATCTTGGCTAAGATGGTGTCTATCTCATGTCGCTGATCAACTCCCTCTGTTTGTAGCTCTTTCGGTGCATCGCCAGATTCAACCTCCGCTTTGGTTCCTAGGATGATAGTGTCCCCTACCACCTCACTATTCTCCATTGCAGGATCTTCTAGGTAGTCGAGGTCCTCTGTTTCCAATAAATCCAAATGCGAACCTTCTGCTGCTGGGACTAAGATTCTTTGGACGAGGTTGAGCATCTCTCTTTCACGCACGTTCCATGCTACCACAGTACCAGAAGGAAAGATGAAGATGTCACCCCGTTGAAAATCCTTCACTTCGGAGGGCTTCTCGGTTGTTTGTAGGTGGATGACTTGCGGGTATAAGCCGGTACTGTAAGGGTCGACTTCGTAACCATGCTTTTTGACTAGGCGTACGGCTGAAGGTATGTTGTACGTTTCCGCACCGCAGTATGCTGTGACAGTCTGGTATATCGGTCAATTGTGGTCCCCGAGATGACAAATTGCACACGTACCTTTGTGTCGACTTGTGGATCTACAAATCTTTTGTTTCCTCTTCCCATAACAAATCCACGCGACCTTTGGGCCTCCACAGCTACCCGTCGTAAGGACGATGTCTTGCCTGCATTCTTTCTCGCGCTTTTGCGGTTCTCTGCCTTGTCGTCGGTAGATATATTTGCTAGTTCCGCCTCGATTTCTTGTTTTTCATTCAAGTCAACCTTGTCGACTCTCTTGCAGAATGAGACGGTCGAAGAAAATGATCGCCATGGAGATGGAGGAGTGTGCTGGTAGGTCAGTACAGGGCGAGGTCGTGAGGTGGGAGCAATGCCCCGGAACAAGCGAGTGATTGCATTTCTGGGTGGAATGAACGTCATCTCGGGGTGGGCGGGATTCTCAGCATCATGCTGTCCGGTAACAATTCACAATCGAAGAAGTGGAATCAAGGGCGACGGGACCAAAAGGCTGGGTAGATCCCGACCGCTGATTTGGCTTGGCGGCGACATCATCGAATCGGAACCTAGGAACCTAGCAGGCAGTACCTGAGGTAAGTAATCGAGCACCACCGAGACCACCGAGCTCCAGACGTCTGGCGCTCTCGAGCTTCGCAAACCACCACCATCTCGTGTACAGTCCGCAGCTCATGCGTCCTGCATCAGCATGGCTGCGGCAACTACCCAAGAAGGCGACTCTGCCCCAGCTACACTGACCGAAGAGCCCCGAAGTCAACGCACCGCCAGTGCCAGCATTCCCCGTGTCGCTCTACAGTCCGATGACGACGGCGAAGATGTCGAAGACGACGACGAGGAAGAGGACGAGGAAGATGATGATGATGACGACGGCGAAGATGAGGAGCCCAAACTCAAGTATACGCGTTTGACAGCCAACTTGGGTCCCGTGTACAGGAATGGCGACGCGACAAGCACATTTGTGGTAGCGGGCGACAAAATGGTACGGCGCATACATGCATCTTCACCTTCTGACCTGTCGCAAAGCGTATACTGAGTTCTAGCTAGATCGTCGGTACCCATAACGGTAGCATTGTGAGTCCCGCTCTTCCCTGCTTTGCGACTATTTCACTCATTGACTTGCCCAGCACATCTTGACTCTCCCCACTTTCCAACCTCTTCGCAACTACAACGCCCATCCCTCTGCCTCAGTCACTTCCCTATCCATTTCGCCATTTCCTCCCGCGCTTCCCACCTTTCTGGCCGGCTCTACGACCCAAAGCCTGGAATCATCCGATCCCTCTCCAAAGAAAACTACCACCCCTCACAGCTCCACCTCTTCCGTTCGCACGCCACGAAATCAACCTCTCGTGCCCCCAACGCCTCAAAATCAGATATATATTGCGTCTTCTTCCATAGATGGCCATGTCTGCGTCTCATCCTTGATAGATCCGAAAGACGTTACGCTGAGGAATTTTGCTCGTCCGGTGCAGGCGGTGGCGCTATCCCCAGAGTACAAAACTGACAGGCAGTATTTGTCCGGTGGTCTGGCCGGCGAGCTGATCCTGACTACCGGTGGACAAGCAGGCGTACGATCAAATGCCAACACCAGCCATGCGTCGCAAGCTGCACAAGGTTGGTTAGGAGCTATCGGCTTGGGTGGGAATTCCGGCAAAGACACAATGTTGCATTCCGGGGAAGGTACTATCAGCACCATAAAATGGTCTCTGTCCGGCAAATTTGTCGCTTGGTGTAACGAACATGGCATCTGGATTATGCGGAGCAATCTCCACCTTCACAACGCCGACTCAGACTTGGCATGGAAAAGGATTAACTTCATTGGCAAACCAAACCGGCGGATATGGGAGGATATGGCTGGTGTATGGAAAGCACGTATACAATGGGTCGACGACGATCAGTTGGAATCTGACGACGATGCCATCATTGCTCTTAACAGTAGCCACGGTGCTGAAAAACCTGAGGCCACCCTGCCACACCATCGACTGCACAAGAACAAAAAGGACGGCACAAAGAAGAGCAACAACCGACCAGAGAAGATGGTTATTGGCTGGGGAGACGCTGCGTGGGTAGTTAATGTCAATGCTGGTGGTGATGGGACTGGCAAAGACGTAGGTGAGAGATCAGCTGGCAGCGCTGATATTATTCATTTGTAAGTTGCAAATTATTTAAACGTCTCCAAGTACTAACGGAGCTCCAGTCTTCGTTTTGAGGACTGTATTGTTTCCGGAATATCGCTTTATACCCCTTCTTTACTTCTTGTTCTTGCTTACCGGACTCGCGACGATGATGACAACCCGATTCCGCATGATGATTCGATTCCGCGTCGAGGAATGCACAGAAGAAACAACGGATTATCACCAGAACTCAAGCTTATCAATGCTGCTACATCGGACGAAGTGGAAGTCGATTCATTGACCGTCAGTAGATTCGAGAGCCTTTCTGCAGCTGACTACCACCTCAACACTCTCTACGTGCCCCACCCAAAATCAATGACTCCTGCGCAGAGGGGCGCCTTGGAAGCCATTAGTGGCGGCATCTGGGACGTAGGTATCAGTGCAGCCCGGATTTTCAGTTCTAGCGCCAGTGCTGTTAGTATCCCTAGCAGTGCAGATGCCAAGGCCTCTTCTGTGTCTTCTACTGGAGCAGGTTCCTCTTCGACATCCACACGAATTGCCCCAGCACACCCAAATGCATCTGGGGCGGGGCTCAAAGTCTACATTCAAAGTCCATATGATTGTGTCTTGGCAATCAAGCGGGATTTGTCTGATCACTTTAATTGGGAACTTGAACATGACAATTACAAAGAAGCGTGGGAACTGCTTGAAGATCATCCGGAAGTCATCGCGTCTACTATCCAGCAAGCCCCTGAAGCATCTCCCATCAGTAGCCCCTCCAAAAGACAAGGCAGTCTGGAGGATTTTTTTGCTGACGACAGCGCGTCACAAACGACGATAGCGGCATCAAAGACCAACATCAATTCAGCGGTCGAGAAAGAGAAACGACGTGTTGGTGATCTATGGGTACAGCAGCTTGTCACCGCCGGCAACTGGAAGGAAGCTGGCAAAGTCGCGGGCCGTGTCTTGGGCACTTCGCAAAGATGGGAGCATTGGGTCTGGAAATTTGCCCAATCCAATCGTTTCAATGAGATTGCTCCACATATTCCCAAGGAACAGATGCAACCCCCATTACCGTCAATGGTCTACGAAGTAATTTTGGGTCACTATATCATCAATGACCGAATACGGTTCAAACACCTTCTGGAAGATTGGGATCCTGAACTATTCGACATCAACAGTGTGCTTGAAGCGATCAAGAGTAAGCTCTCCACGGGGGATGTTACCGAAGACTCTATAGAAGGCGGTGAGCAAGGAAGAGACTGGCGAATATTACAGGATGCACTTGGCAAATTGTATCTTGCTGATGGGCGGCAAAGAGAAGCACTGCGTTGTTATATCCGCCTACAGAATGCTGACGCTGCCATGTCTCTTATACGGGACTTTCACCTCGTGGAGGCTATACGAGACGATATCCCAGGGTTCGTCTTGCTGCGTGTGTCTAAGGAGCAGATGGAGTCTGCGTCGCTGAACGAACTCGAGGAGTCATCGTCCGAAGCCATCGCAGTATTGGTAGAAGAAGCTTGCCGTGGAAATGTGCCTACTCGGGACGTTGTCGATCAGCTCCAACGTAAAGGCGATAGCTTTAAACCGTTCCTCTTCTTCTATCTACGCACCTTATGGAAACCGGAAAGTCAAGAGCGGAAAGGTAGAACTGCCAAAGAACGTGTCAATGCAGGTAATCTTGCCGTCAACGGGAAGCAGATTGCCGAAGAATTTGCAGACTTGATGGTCGAATTATTTGCAGAGTACGACCGAGAGCTTCTCCTGAAGTTCCTGCGCGAGTCTCAGAGCTATGATCTGGGGAAGGCGACTGCCATTTGCGAGAGGAGGGAGTATATTCCCGAGTTAGTGTACGTGTGGATTGTTTGAAATTTTCTCTTCTTATGGATATTAACATGCTGGCAGACACATCCTTTCCAAAACCGGGCAAACCAAGCGCGCACTCTATCTCATCATCGAACGGCTCTCCGATGTTTCTTTTGCTATCTCATTTGCCAAAGAACAAGATGATCCTGAGCTCTGGGACGATCTACTCGAGTATTCAATGGACAAACCGCACTTTATTCGTGGTCTTCTTGAGGAAGTAGGTACAGCGATTGATCCTATACAACTTGTCCGACGCATTCCCGAAGGACTGGAAATCGAAGGCTTGAGGGATGGCATTGGTCGCATGGTCCGCGAATACGAAATTCAACATTCAATATCCGAAGGTGTAGCAAGAGTGCTTCGTGGAGAAGTTGCAGCTGGCATGGATACACTACGTGCTGGACGAAGGCGTGGCGTCAAATTCGAAGTCATACCCTGTGATGATGACAATGAAGAGGTGCCTGCTCTCACCGAGAAACCATCTACAGCTTCAACCAAAGAGAAGGGCCACAAGGCCAAAGCAACAGAGCTCGACATACAACCCAAGAGCATTGACCCACTCACTGCAGCCAACTTGACAACAAAAGACACATCGACAACCGCTAACACATCCACAAATCCCGATGCCCACCTCGATCCGCCACCACCTGAAGCCCACACAGGCGAAGCTCCGCCCGGCCACTGCACTGGGTGTTACCGCCCTTTCACAGTTCCCACTGTTGAGGAAGAAAGCATCACACAAGGGGCACTCCCGCTATCCCGCGATACACTGGTGGGGTTCGCTTGCGGCCACGTTTTCCACCTTTCATGTCTTTTGCCCAAGACTAGCGCCAGTGCCAGTGTAGCTGCTACTCTGCAACAGCAACTGAGTAGCGACGCTTTAGTTGAGGGAAGCTCAGGCCGCTGGACAAGGAGCGTGAATACTAAGATTACGCATGCACTTGTTATTAAGAATGCTGTTGGCAGAGGATGCGTAGTCTGTAGAGAGAAGGAAGATGTTGTCAGCGAAAACGCAACCTAAGAAAATAACCAAACAGTATGATTTACATGTAAATAAGATAGTTAGGATTCTGGTTGGATATAAAAATCTTTGCCGACACGTGTGCCCATATTGAAGATAGAAACGCATCGCGGACGGCAGCGGGGACATTGTGCATACGGTTACTTCAAACATACTTCAGGTACCTATGTAAGACCAATCAATACTGGACATTTATGATGTGCAGGAGTGATCACACATACACAAAAGATTCATGAACTTCTGGGCAGACTAGATTACGGTTCGCGAATGCTGAACACTGCTATATCCGGTCTAATATCATCGGTTCGTCGATCAATCATGTTCGAATGGCCCCTTGCTAACACGGGGCTGACGTTGCAGCTCCGATGTTAGAGCCGTCACAACCTCCACCTGAAACGGTTTCAAGTTCAGCCAAACATAATCAAGCATGCATGCGAACCTTATAAGGTCTACACGGAGCTCACAACACCGCTGTGAATCTGCTTCAATTTTTTTCTGCTAGCAAAGTTCGATACGTCGGCCATGCTTTCTGTCACCCTCCTCTCCCTATCATGGGCTGTCCTGGCGTCTTCATCCAAATGCATACTACCAATCTCATATTCATCACAAATCTACGAAGTTCCCGCTTGGCTGTCTTTAAATTATTCTTGCACTGGTTCCGCTCAATTATGGGAGGCTCGACCGAGTCCTGGAAAAGGAATGGGAGTGTTCGCTACGAGGGCACTCGAACCAGGCGATATTATCCTTGAGGAACCACCGATCATTAAGATTATACCACCAGATTTCCGCGATGGCGCAGCATATCCACTTAGCAGCATCGACATGCTACTCAACAGTGCTTTCGATGCCCTTTCTGAAGAGAAGCAGGCCGAAGTCATGTCTCTACACGCCCATCTCACACCCGGCGAGGAGAACAAAGAGAGCGCCAACAGGATGTTGATCCCCATCTTCCGAAGCAACGCTTACATAGTAGGCAAAACCAACACGGAGCTTGGTCTGTTTCCAAAAGGCGCCCGAATCAACCATTCCTGCCGCCCAAATTCAAGCCAAGTCTGGATAGATAAAATCGGCAAACGGGTTGTTCGTGCAGTGCGACATATCGAGGAAGGAGAGGAGGTCTTTGCCACATACATCCCTCTTCTGCGAGACCACAAGGCCCGCCAGCAACGCCTCGATCAGTACGGTTTCAAATGCACTTGCTCGGCTTGCACGCATGATCGCGCTACGCAAGCCGCCAGCGACAGGCGACGTGACGACATTCGCAAAGCGTTCGCCGACTTCGAACCCCAGCTCACGCTCACGGTCCCGCAGAGTATAGCGGGGAGAAAGAGGGCAGAGAAGAACGCCGCCGCCAGCGAGGACCTTGCCAGATTGGTAGAAGAGGAAGGCCTGGCAGATTATTACGCTCAAGCTTACCGTATCGTTGCACTCAGCTATGCGCGGATTGAGAAATGGGAGGCGGCGACGCGCTGGGCGCATAAAAGTTACGAGTTGAACCTGGCGGCTGACGAAGATGCGCCAAACACATTGGAAATGCGTGCATTGACTGAGCATTTTATTCAGAACTGGAACACAGATTTATATAACAAGTCCAATCAGCATGGATGAGACATCAGCTGTGTATCATAGTCTACATCGCCCTTGAACGGTTGTATTTCACAGAGGTATATCCAGCCTTTCCGCACCTCACTTTGCTGTGGCAGTCACGTATGCGTACGTCTAAAGCTATGACGGGAGTACAGCATGGATAGCTTGCTATACCGAGTTTGAGGTTGCTGTAAGGTTGAAGCAATAGAGAGGAGAGAAGAGGACTGTGGAGCAGCACCCCTGCTGCTAGGCTGCTATGAAGTGGAAGCTAGAATCTGCCTATCTGGAGCTGATGGCCAGGAGTTAAGTTGTTACATGTGTATGGAATACAGGAGTTTGAGATGGTGGGTAGCCTGTGGCCATGTTAGGTTCACTATAGCTCATCATAGACCAATTCGCATATCAATCGATACTACTGCTAAGCATTTCTTCTCGCTTCAACGATGATCAAATATTACACATTTCACAAGGGATCAAGAAAAATGAAAACGGCAATCTCCAATTATTCAATTACTCGTATCTATTATTCTGCAATCCAATAGGAGCCCGCTTTCCGTCCGCGGCCGCTTAGTACCGACTGTAACCTTAGTTCTAATCGAGCAGTCCACGCGACATGCTCATTCATCACCAACAGCAATCAAACTCACCTTGAATATCCATCTCTCGACTCCCCCTGCAACTTTCGATTACTGAAAAAGAGACAAGGCATGTCGGTGACTGAAGGTGCACCTGCGTACGGCGCGGTGGCGCATCTGCTCCCTCAAACCTACAAGCGGCTAGTCTCGGAATGGCTCGAGGAAGATACACCCAGCTTCGACTACGGCGGATTTGTGGTTGGCGAGGAAATATCCGAAGCCAGACTACTGGGGAAGAGTGAAGTGAGTATCCCATGCTTGATCTACATATGGGATGGAAGCTGGGAAACTAACACCTTTCCGTTGGGACTTTTAGGGTATCGTGGCGGGGGTGCCGTTCTTCGATGAAGTGTTCCGTCAACTGGACTGCACGTGAGTATCACCACATTTCCAATAACTGCACATACATAGGTAGTATTTCTAACGTTTAGCGGTTGTTCAGAGTGGAATGGCACATCAAAGAAGGGACCTCCTTCCAGCCCATAACCCATTGCGCCACCGTCCGAGGACCAGTCCGAAAACTCCTCCTTGGTGAACGAGTTGCTCTCAACACTCTGGCACGGTGCTCCGGCATCGCCACCAAATCGCATCGCCTCCTCCAGCTACTCAGAGATGCTGGATACCCCAACATCCTTGCCGGAACCCGCAAGACGACGCCTGGATTCCGGATTGTGGAGAAGTACGGCATGCTCGTGGGAGGCGTTGATGCTCACCGCGTGGACCTTTCCGCTATGACCATGCTCAAGGATAACCACATTGTAGCAGCAGGGAGTATCACGAATGCAGTGCGAGCGGCCAAGTCGGCAGGTGGCTTCGCGATCAAGGTGGAGGTGGAGTGTCAGTCGTTTGAAGAAGCCGACGAGGCAATTTCAGCGGGTGCGGATATCGTCATGTTGGATAATTTCTCGCCTGATGGGGTCAAGGTTGCAGCGAAGGAGCTCAAGGAGAAGTGGGGGAGGGGTGCGGGCGATCGGAAGGCGTTCTTGGTAGAGGTCAGTGGTGGATTGACTGAGGAAAATGTGGCGCCCTATGTGTGCAGCGATATTGACATCGTGAGTACGAGTAGCATACACCAGGGTGTCAAGCACGTGGATTTCTCGTTGAAGATCGTGCCGAAGGGTCAGTAGGCGGAGAAGGAGACTGGAAACTCCTTCCGATGATCAAAGATGGGGTGAAATCCTTCCAGATAGCGAATGAAGCATCAAATGTACATGTATCATACAAGACTTTCCACGATTCTTCTTGGACTGCTATAGCCTCGACTCTTGGTAGATGTTTTCATCTTTAACCAAAAAAAAAAAAAGCTGATCAGGGTGCATGGAGATTGATGGGAAGAAGATTGAAAAGCAAAAAAGTTGTCGGCTGTGAGGTTCGAACTCACGCGGGTTGCCCCAGTAGAGATTTGCGTAATCGCTTAAATCTACCGCCTTAGACCACTCGGCCAAACCGACATTTATTGCACTTTTTGGCGATAATATTCAATAATTGTGCATTTTTCCAAATATATAGCTTAAGATTTGACGCTGGAGGATGGTCAGCCATGTTCCACAGAGTCATCTGTGGAGCTCCCCCTGAATAAGGGTTTAGCTTGAAGAGTGTCGGATGGTGCAGCATGTGGATGCTCGGGCGATAGAAGCTTTTTCTGTCTAATAGGCGTGATAGGATGGGCCCAGAGAATCCTGCGGAAGATCCGCTAAAGGGGCGGATTAGTGCTGACTCAACATAAATCTTTGCAGGCAGCAACAACCATAGAGTACGTTGACGATGTGGGATTTAGTTTATACTCGTGAGCACTGAGAAACGTTCGTAAAAGGTATGGAGGATCATACACCGAAAGCTATCGAGCGTGTGAATCTAGCCTGCATACAATGTCGGAACCGGCACGTCAAGTGCGATGCCACTCAACCGTCCTGTAAACGATGCACAAGAGACCGCAAGGAATGTACTTACAGGAAATCCAGGCGAGGTGGGCTCGATAAAGCAGCCCTGCTACGGCGGAAGCAAAGACTCGAACAGCAAGCTGCAGAGGAACACCAGCACTCACAACAACCGACTCCCCCTCAACACCATGTCCCGGGATCTGCTACTAGCAATGAACTTCCCGCCGGTATGCTTGATCGGTTTTCAACGAACCTTGGCTTGAGTACACCTGCGCATGTTGGATCCTCTCCTCTGGGGTCTATGGATCTGGCATTCGAGTGTAATACGGGTCGTCTGCTCGATATTTATCACGAAGCCTTCTGGCCGGCTTTCCCCTTCACACTTCCTAATAGCTATCTACAAGACAGAAGTTCGATCATACATCATGCCCTGAAACATGTTTTGCTGGTTCAGCAATGGATCGGCTCCATCTACGCCCCATGGACACCGTCCGAGCCGTATTATGACATCGCACACGGAGCCCTGTCCTCCGGAACACTACCCAAATCCCCATGGACTGTCCAAGCATTTGTACTCATGGCATTTGCGGAGTATTACTCGGACAAGAGGATTGAGGCACGTGGGACTGCCGATAAGGCTGTCGCACTGGCACTGGAGTTGCAGATGAACACTAGAGGCTTTGCTGGAGCCTATGGCGAAGGCGACGCCGTGTTGGAAGAGTCATGGAGAAGAACATATTACTTCTGTGCTTTTCTTGACCAGCATTTATCGGTCATCTCCATGACGCCCTTCTTTTTGCTGCGAGACGTCGAGTTCCAGGTTGATTTGCCGTGCGAGGATGAGCAATATATCTCTGGTGTAAGCTTTTTCGCTCCGTCATCTATGGAATCGTCTTCTGAGTGATCTTGCAGCAAATACCCGCACCCGTAACATGGCAAGACTATTACATGCGAGAGTTCGCAGACGTTGAATACGTATACTCTTCGTTGGTCTATTTGTTGGACATTGCTCAGATTGTGTTGTTCGGTATGTGCTCGTTTTCTTCCTTGATAAGCTACTAACGAGACATAGTCATGCGAACTTTCGTCAGGCTCGGTGGCATTATCAACGAGGAGTTCGCGACTTCGGTTGATACCAAAGTCATGGCTTGGAGCTCACTACTTCCAATCTGCAAGCGAGATCCGATGCGAAAGGATGGCACGGTGGACGAGACCATGTTCTTGGCCCATGAGATGGCGGCAGGTCAGTGAGCAAAAGGGTGGTGGTGGGATGCATCGCGTGATACGTCTCTAATCAACAAACAGTCATATTGGCTACGGTCCATCGCCCTCTGAGTTCACTAGCCTACAGCGCGGAGGAGATGACCACTACGACATTCATAAGCGGTGTCCCATCTACGGATCCGACTACCTATAGACGAAATGCGCACACCGCCCGAACCCTAAAGGCAATCGACATGCAGACCAAGCTCCTCTCCATTCCGTGTGCTATCGAGAAGCACAACATGATGACGAGCATCATCGTGGCTCGACTCACCGCTGCTCAGATAGCGGTCTGCAATGTCCTTCTCGACGACGATTACGGGCTGACCATCGCTCGAGATCGCGTACGTCTCAGCATTGGCTTTCTCAACTCGGTTGGAACGATATGGCCTCTTGCGAAGAAGACTGCGCAGGATATCAAACGGATATCAAGAGCTTCGCTGACATCACTCCCGAGCACGGTAGAGCAGCAAAGTCAAGCCGTGTCGGAACCCGCAGAGATTGAGATTGCGCGTGATGAAGTGCTGTGGCCGCTTGACCCTGCTGCACAGATCGATATCTATGCTGGGTTGAGTATGCCTGTCGACTGGGAGGCGTCCATGATGGGATACACATCTTCGTCGACTTCGAGCTGAATCTTGACGTCGTGCTCTGTATTATTAGTGTGAGCTGAACATGTATGAATTGCGATCCATAGCCCACTCAATCTCAGCTTTTTCTCGCATGGCTGCAAGTCGAGGTATGTGCTGGGGGCCAGGAGAAAGGCACATGCCCAACCCCCATCTTTTGGCGGTATCACGCAGGGACACCCCCATCATTGGCACTGGCGGTGGCATTGCATTCTCGGCATCCGCAGGCGTTATCATGGCAGCCGGTCACCACCCTATCTGCGCGCCCGCGAGCAGTTTAGCGCCCGCCGCTCCCATGCCAGGATCGAAGGGGTCCCGCCCCGCAGTCGCTCGTCACCCGTCGCGTCCCACTGTCCATCTCCATGCTTAAAAGCCAGACCCAGCTCCGACGTTTTTTTTTTCCTTCCTTCTGTGGCGACAAGCACTGGTCATCGACTACAGGTGATTATGCCGGTTTCTGCTTTTGGTTACAAGATGCGCTTTTGTTAGATCAACGTTGAATTTGTCCCACAATCTCCCCCGCTGCGACTTTCTCCAACTACGATAGCTGCGCCAGCCCGTGCTGTGTGTGCATCTTCACTCTCAAGTCTTTGCTCTCTGCAGTCGCAATCGTATAGCAAATCCATCTTCATTCGCATCGCATTCGCCGTATCCAATCGGATTCTGGACGAGGACACGACCACCAATTTTCAACATGAGTGATTCCGACACCAAGATTGACGAGACGACGGCGGGCAATGCGCCCAAGTCAATCGGCGAGGGAGAGGCCCAAATGCAAGAATCAGATCCTGTAGCTGAGGGCAAGCTCGTCCGCAAGCTTGATTTGCACCTGGTTCCCGTGGTCATGCTTCTCTATTTACTCAGCTTTCTCGATCGGTGAGTCCCATCATCCTTCAGCAGCAGCATCATCACCTCATCCAGCATACCTAGAGCAACCAGCTGAACTTTGTCTATGCAGAGTAAACATTGGCAACGCCCGATTATACGGTCTAGAGGAAGATCTTGGTCTCAACCCTTCCCAATGGCAAGTCGCCGTCTCCATTCTATTCGTCACCTACATCCTCTCCGAAGTTCCATCCAATCTGGTTCTAAAGAAGCTTCGGCCTTCGCGCTACATCGCCTTCATCACCGTATCTTGGGGCCTCATTGCAACCCTCACGGGGGTCGTGCAAAACTACGGCGGCCTCATAGCATGCCGACTACTCCTCGGCCTGGTTGAAGGAGGACTGTTCCCTGGGATGGCCGTCTACCTCACCTTCTTCTACACGAAGCGTGAACTGGCGCTACGAATCGGGTACCTGTTCGTTTCCGCCGCGCTGGCCGGCGCATGCGGAGGCCTCCTCGCCTTCGGCATCGGCCACATGGACGGCGTGAGCGGGCAACGCGGCTGGCGCTGGATCCTCATCCTCGAAGGCCTCCCGACCGTCGTCCTCGGCATCGCCACCTTCTGGATCCTCCCGGACAACACTGGCCACTCGTACTTTCTGTCGCCCGCGGAAAAAGACCTCGCGGCCGCTCGACTGACGCGGCAGACGGGGTACACGGCGGCCGCGGCGGAATTCCACTGGGCCGATGTGCGCAAATGCGTCAAGGACTGGAAAGTGTGGGCTTTTGCGTTTGCGCAGTTCGGCGTCGATGTCATGCTCTACGGATACTCGACTTTCCTCCCCACCATCATCAAGGGTATCCAACCCACGGCTTCGTCCTCGCTCATCCAGGTCTACACCATCCCCTGCTACGCACTGGGCGCCATCACCTATCTGGTCGTCGCGCGGCTCTCCGACAGCCAGCAGCGGCGCGGCCTGTACGCGGTCGTGTTCGGCGTCGTGAGTATCGTCGGGTACGCGATGCTGATGAGCGATACGGGCTCCGGTGTGCACTACGCGGGGTGCTTCTTCGTAGCCATGGGCCTATACGTCAATGTCGGGCTGCCATTGGCATGGCTACCAACCAACAGTCCCAGGTACGGCAAGAGGACTACCGCGACGGGGTTGCAGCTCACCATCGGAAACTGTGCTGGCATCATGTCTTCGTTTGTAAGTCTTCATCATCCTTTTTTCCCCGTCCCCGTCCCCCTCCCCCCCCCTCTCCTGTCTTTCTTTGACCAAAGCATATCCAAGAACTGTTGGTAGCTAATGCGCACATGATAGCTCTACCCTGCAAAGGAGGGCCCGCGCTATATCCGCGGGCACGCCGTCACGCTCGCCATGGTTGCCTTCTCCAGCACCGTTTACGCCTTCATGTGGTGGTATTTCTCCATGGTGAACGCGCGGCGTGCTCGCGGCGACGAGGACCACAAGATTGAGGGCATGTCGGATGAAGAAATCGCCGAGCTCGGAGATGACAGTCCTAGGTTTGTGTATACCATTTGAGTAGTCAGATGAGCTGCTTTTGCTGCCCTTGATGGCCCTTTTTCTTTTTCTTTTTCTTTTTTCCTTGTTATGCACTTGGCGCTGGATAAGTGATGGGATGTTTGTAGTGAAGAAGGTCTTGATAATATATACATTTTCATTATGATACTTTCCACGACTGTGGTCATTTTCCCTTGCCTCCTGGTTGAGAGTGACCTTTTGTTACATGTCGCAATCAACATCGTATCACCTATATGAGAAGGACCGAGTTTTCCCTCAAAGATGTATCTCATGGAATTATGTAACGTAATCACCTCAGCCTGGACTCCGTCACAGGTTAGGCTCTGTTCACAAGTCTAGAAACATCAATCGTATACAACAGGGTCGTCTACCATCAAGGACCTCGAATAAAAAGACAGTCGCCCTCCGAGATCAACAGGAGACTGCGTATCAATGCCTGCTTCCACCCTTACTATTCGCTCAACATAACCTATCTCGCCCAGTTCAAATTGTTCCATCCACCTTACATACGCCCGTGTCCACCGTCTCGCAGCGTATCCTCTACGGCTTCGGGATGTGGATTGTCTTGCTGGTCATCAAACAGCCATGCAACACAAACAACAGCGCCACGGGGTGCATCTCCCAGGCGGCACCTGCTCCCCAGACGCCCAGAGGCACATCACCATGTGTCCACCCTTTGTTCGCCCAGTACGCCATCGTCGCAGCCAGTGCCAAAGAAGTTGGAATGGGGGTTCCTTCGAAGAACTTCGATTTTCCGGTACCGTCCTTGGGGAGCATAGCAACGGTTACATTGAAACGCGCTAAGCGCGTCAGGCCGCAGAGGACAAAGAAGGCAAGCAGGATGTGATCGACGGGGGTGCGTAGCCCGAGAGAGAATGCAGCGGCGGCTGGGGATACACCAAAGGATACCTAAGGTATTGTGAGCATTATACTCTTTGAGCCATGTATTTCTACATATTCTGCTCTTCGCCTTGTGCGGCGAAGAGATTTTGTGACGTACCAAGTCGGCAAGGGAATCCAATTCCTGGCCCATCAAACTAGCCTTCTTCCTCCACCGCGCAACTTTGCCATCCATAAAGTCGAAGAAGAGACCAAGAGGGATGAAGCCCAAGGCAAAGTAGAGATTCGTATAGTCGGTGGGGTCGTCCTGTACGCAATACCGAAGCGAAGAGAAGACGGACATGACACCGCAGAAGCCTATATTTCGACTAGGTCAGCACAAGGTCAATCGCAAGTGTAGTGCATGTGCTTTCGTACCATTCAACTCGGTAATGAAGTCAGCGAGATGGAGGGCACGGAACAGGGAAAAGTGGCCAGCTTCTGTGCTAAGAAGGCGGGCTTGCTTGTCTTGCGCTGCGTTGGTGATTAGTTATAAGCGTTTCATCGATCTTATTGCTTCTTATTGCGTACTCCGATCTTCTGCAGGAGGAGCAGTGTCCTTGGGCCCAGAGGGCGCGCCATTTCGTCTAGACATGGCGGAAAAGTGTATGCGGTAGAAAGTAGAGGATGTGTGTAGTACGCAGAGAAGAATGCGGTGAGAGAGGGTTGGGAGCTAGAAAAAGGGTAATAGGGTGTTCAGACTTAGTGCTGGGAGTTGGCAACTGCGTAATGTGGTGTCGGCACTGGTGGTGGTGGTGCAGAAAGCTTGAATCCCAAGGGAGTCGCCTAAGCCTAGGACGTCATCAGCCGTCCGCAGCAATAGGCACGACAACGTGACTAGCGCATTTTCAAATGTGGGAATCCGGGCCCAGCCTCACCCCCAGCACTTGAAGTACTCACTTCACACTAGACGTGCTCACCATTTAGACAACGATTGGCCTCGCACTTCCCTGTTCAGCCGCATTCCAATTGCCGTGCCGAAGAGGGTGGCCGGGATGCCAGTCCTACGCTGCGCTGTAGGCAAAAGGCATTGTTCAAGCGCCATAATTGTGTACGTGAATACATGCTAGCAGTCGTCCTATCTGGCCTGCGCCGAATCTCGAACATTTTACAAGTAGATCCCATCCATACCCCTTAACGCCGTGAACAACCATGGTATCGGCAGCATATCTCATCCACGCCCGTACCGTAAGAAACAACACCAAAGCTCAAGACCTCTCATAGAAATCATCTTTGGCGACCAAGCTTTAATAACCGCCACGGCCACGGCCGCCGAAACCCCCTCCACGACCACCTCCTCTCGAGAAACCGCCGCTACCAGAGAAGCCGCCGCCACCACCGCGGCCTCCAAACCCACCGCCTCTTGGGCCTCCACGTCCACCGCCCCGTGAGAATCCACCACCACCACGGGGTCCTCCACGTCCACCACCCCGGGAAAAGCCGCCGCGGCCTCGGTCACCTCCACGTCCGCGGCCAGCTCCACCGGCTCTCTTGGGCTTGGGCGCGCCTGGGGGAGGCGCAGGTTTTGGCAGGAATCTAGCGTATGTCAGATTGGAGCATTCCGTACGGAACGGTGTATAAATCGTACTTATCAAGCGGAAGAAGCTTGTCACCGCCAATGTAGACCTTGTCACCCGATTTGAATGACTTCGCTTGTATGCCTTCTTGAGGTTTTATCGTGAAATAAACCTGGTTGAGCGGTCCGAGGATCTCATCGACCTTGCCGATGGGGGTCTGTTAACAAGTCAGCCAGCTGTCCTCATCCTGCAGTACGCAAAGCGATTGTACCTTGTTCTCCAGATATATAGGTGCGTTGAAGTAGGGGATCTTGGTGTTTATCGACTCGCAGAACATCTCGCCCTCGACGTCGTGAACGAATTTTCCCATTTCTGCAGATGCATTGATTAGCTTGAGCACAGCAAGCTATAGAGCGCTGAATAACGTACCAAGAACCTGGGCAGGAGGTCCGAAAGATTGAGGTGCACCTCCGCGACCTGCTCCAGAATTAGTAGCTGCGCGAGCTGGAGCTCTAAGCTGCCCTCTACACACCTCCTCTGGATGAAAATCCGCCGCGACTGCCACCTCGTGGGCCACCTCGTGATCCTCCGCGGAAAGACATTGTTCTGGTTGTTGATTGAGTTGGGTAGGTTGTCGCACTGGTCGCGAGGTGATGCGCGGGCTCCGTGTCAAAGTTCGTGAAAAGAAAATCGACATCGAGGCCAATCGGCGCTACCTTTTTCCGAAAAACGCCAGGGGGCCGTGCCTTCCAAACCCCACCACGCGAATGCCAAGACCGAAGTGGGATGTTGGTCAAGTGGGAATTTCAAGCACTCTGCTCTTCTTCTGATTGCGTGTTCAAGCTTTCAGGGTGTCTTTTCAAAGTGAAAGAACCTGGGACGCCTTCTCTAGCTCCGAACAGGTAAGAGAAATCCAAGCTAGAATTTGACTCACGAGTCAAATTTCAAGTCTAGCATTAACATTGACTCATAACAGAGATATATTGTACTGCGCGCAAGCCGTCTCAGTCCAAGCTTCGACATAACAAAGATGGCCGAAGCAGCGAAAGAAGCAGTGACGCAAGCCGTCGAAGGTGTCAAGAATCTTGCCGTCTCCGGCGATGCAAAGCCCAAAAAGGAGAAGAAAGCAAAGAAAGGTGCTGAAGGAGACGGCCGTCCACTGGAATTGAACCCAAAACCAGAGTTCTTTGATCACCGCATCCAGATCTTGTGAGCCTAACCTCTGTTTGAAAGTTACAGTGCTAATTCTGATTCAGTGAGAAACTCAAGGCCAAGTACGACGAAGAAATCGCGCAGAAGCCGCGCGGTACGCATTCCCTTGATTCAAGCTGGCATAGCACGTAGCTGACGTATTGCTTCGCGCGCAGAGAAAATACAAGTCACACTTGGCGATGGAAAGGTTATAGATGGAGAATCATGGGTCACAAGTCCAGCAGATATTGCCCGAGGAATCGCAAAGAGCTTGTTCGAGCGCACTGTCATTGCCCGCCTGGACAAAGGCACTGATTCGGAGACACTATGGGACCTTGAGCGGCCCCTTGAGAAGAGCTGTAAACTGGAGTTACTGCCATTCGATGACCCAGAGGGCAAGAAAGTCTTCTGGCACTCAAGTGCTCACATACTCGGAGAGGCTTCGGAACGGAGATTTGGCTGCGATCTTTGCATTGGACCACCCATCGACGATGGTTTCTACTACGAGGTTGGTCTCAGCCAAGCTTCGATGAGCTCTACACTAACAACTTTTACAGATGGCCCTTCCCGAAAAGGCTGCAGTAGAATCTACCGATTACAAGCCGCTGGAGACTATTGTCAGCAGTATCGTGAAGGAGAAGCAGGTTTTCCAGCGACTGGAACTCTCCAAGGAAGATTTGTAAGTGGCTACAGAGTGTTTGCAAAAGATTGTTGTTGATACAAGATCTAGGCTGGAGATGTTCAAGTCCAACCCGTACAAGCAGCATATCATCAAAGACAAGATTCCGGATGGTACATCCACGACGGTGTATCGCAACGGTCCACTCATCGATCTGTGCCGAGGACCTCATGTGCCCCACACTGGACGGATAAAGCAATTCAAAGTTATGAAGAATTCCGCATCCTACTTTCTCGGAGACGCAAAGAACGACAGTCTGCAGCGTATCTACGGTGTTTCGTTCCCGGACAAGGACCAAATGAATGCCCATCTGAAGTATCTTGAAGAGGCAGCTAAGCGTGACCACCGGAAGATTGGCAAAGAACAGGAACTCTTCTTCTTTCACGATTACAGCCCAGGGTCCTGCTTCTTCTTGCCACATGGAATGATCATCTACAACACGTTACTTGCGTTCCTGAAAGAAGAATACTGGAAGCGTGGTTACCAAGAAGTCGGTTCACCAAACATGTTCAACTCTGCGCTATGGAAGACTTCCGGTCACTGGCAGCATTATTCTGAGGATATGTTCACCTTCGATGTAGAGAAGGAAAAATGGGCCCTGAAGCCTATGAACTGCCCCGGTCACTGCCTCATCTTCAAACATCGTGAGCGAAGCTATCGCGAACTGCCCATTCGAATGGCCGATTTTGGTATTCTTCACCGTAACGAAGCGTCCGGAGCACTGAGTGGCTTGACGCGTGTCCGTCGTTTCCAACAGGACGACACTCACATCTTCTGTACAGAAGACCAGATCACCGAAGAGATTGGTGCCCTGTTCGACTTTTTGAGGGTGGTGTACGGGAAATTTGGCTTCACATTTAAACTTAAGCTCAGCACACGACCAGAGGGTTTCCTTGGAGAGATTGAGACATGGGACAAGGCTGAAGCCCGGTTGACGGAGGCACTCAACCAGTTTACGGCCGAAGGAGGAGGTGAATGGGAGCTGAACCCAGGAGACGGCGCCTTCTACGGTCCCAAGATCGACATCACCATTCAAGATGCACTAAGACGAGACTTTCAATGTGCTACCATTCAGTTGGACTTCCAACTTCCTCAGCGATTCGAGCTCGAATACATGACCTCGGAAGCACGGCCAAAGGTCGAAAAGAAAGAGGAGGTCGAAAAGCCAAAACAAGAGAAACATGACAAAGCCAAAGAGTTGGTTGAAAACGAAGACCTTGCCATCAAAAAGACTCCTGCACCACAACCAGGCTATGCCCGACCGGTCATGATTCATCGCGCCATCTATGGCTCATTTGAGCGTTTCATCGGGTAAGGCATCCCAACACCAGAACATACCGTTCTTTCCCCAACCCATTGAGCACTACTAATTGCCATCTCCCAACAGAATTCTTACCGAGCACTTCGCGGGCCGCTGGCCGTTCTGGATCTCTCCCCGCCAAGTTCTCGTGATTCCCGTGATGCCTGCGGTCAACGACTACGTCAAGGAAGTGCAAGCGCAGCTACGCGCCAAAGGACTTCACGCCGACATCGACATTAGTGGCAACACAATGCAGAAGAAGATTCGCACCGGCCAGCTGCAACTTTACAACTTCATCTTCGTTGTCGGCGCTGAAGAGCGCGACTCCAAGACTGCCAATATTCGCAACCGCGATGACCAAGCTACGCAGCAGCGCGGCGAGGTCATTCCACTTGCCGAGGCCATTGAGAAGTTGACCAAACTCCGGGATGAGAGGCGATTTGAGAATAAGATCTGAATGGGGAAGAGCATGACTTGTATGTGAGGAACGAGGTGGAGATTCGGAGAAAAGGAACAGATGTTCTAATAGGAGATATATGCATGCATGCATGCATGATTGCTTGATTGATTGATCGATTCATGATCAACGAAAGGCGACACTGGCATTGGTGCAGGGTTCACTTTTTTTTTCTCCCTAGGGAAAGACCCGAAATCGTTCAATTTACAAAAATAACCCAAACAAAAACATTGGTCGGTCCACTTGTTTCTTCACTTTCGCATCTCTTGCGCTTATCGCCCCCCTTCTTTGTGACTCGCACTTGCCTGGTCTGCTCTGGATATATGCATCGGGAACGCGGCGACATCAAGGTATACTGGATCTCGCGCAGCAGTGCATTCAGCAATCCAGACTCAAAGACAGACCAATTCCATCGGTCCATCAGAACACCACAGACTCTCTTCATGCCCTTGTAACATAGTTCAATTGTTTCCGCTCTCGCCAAGCTAGATAGCCACACAGCCAAGAGCAAGTGTCTCTGTTTGCCTCTTTGAACAGGTTCCTCTCTATCACTCAGCATTGCAACCCGGTACAAAACAAGCAGAATTACCCGAGTTCCCCCAAACAGCCTTCCAATCGTCTAGCTCCTCAAATACCAAACTGCATGCCCCCATCCATACCCATTGAAAATTATACATTTGTATGATGTGTGTACATGTATTCGCTCCGTCTAATGTTCTGTTATGCGAAAGGAGAAAAGTTCGAAGCAAAGATATAACATTGATCGTGGAGCCTGTGCTGGAAGGACCAGAAAAAAAATATGAGACAAAGAGTTCGTAGTCGGAGTGGCCTCCACTGTAGGGAGGGAAGGGGACGATACACCTCCAACATAGAGCGGGCCGGGTACCCGATGAAAATCGAGTAGCGAACCCCACTCCCTGCGACGATAGATCCAGAAGTGCCTAAAGGGAGTGGGACAGGGCATGATTTCGAAAATGTGACCTGGGCAGATTTCTTTTCGTCTTAGCGAACAATGATCAAACCAAAGCCGTCCAACCACGGTCCACATGACCCGGTCAGACCGCCAATGCCGTAACCACGGGGAGGAATTAGAGTATGCCTAAGTGGTGTCAATGGACTCCCAAGATTCATGGTATGGGTGAGGAGAAACTTACCCGCCACCGCCATGTGGATTTCCGTACCAGTCGCTCTTACGGCCCATTGTTGTCAGTATTTGAATTCCGTCGATCCATGCGCCAGTTCGCAAATTGAATCCCATTAAATATTCTCCCCTTCGCACGTCTATTGGGAAGTCGTGGGCTTCGCCACCTGGCTTGCCAAAAAGCTGCGAGGACCCATCCTCGTAAATGAATTCGACACCGTCTACGCATCCACCGGCAAAGATGCGAACCGTGACGAGGTATTTGGTCGACATGTATGCGCTTTCCAGTATGATCTCATGTGGCTGCGATCCTTCCATCTGTGACATACCCAGCTTGCTACTGCGGAACCCGTATCGACCGTCGGGTAGTCGTACGTGCGCGTTCTGACCACTGAGCGCCGAGAGGTCTTCTACGGTGTGGCTTCCACCACCAGCAGAGAATACTTCCACTTTCAGTCGCAGCCGTGATTTCTCTCTAGGCATCAATTCGCGGAGCTCTTGTTCGTTGAGCACAACTTGTCGCGGGTATTGGCCTTCCACCTCGGGCCATCGCTTCCAGTAATGACAGACATCATCGCCCTCCGTGAAGAGTTCAGCCCAAGCAATACCCGAGCTTGCTGTTGCAATGACACCCCCTTGTGCAGCGTCGACCGTCCATACTTGCACGCTCTCGTCTCCAGAAGGATTGTAATCTATGGGTATCCGGAAGGAAGGATGAAATCGAAAACGTAACGCATCGAGAATATGCCATTCGCACTCATCATTGGGGAGAACGAGCTTTTTGCCCGGCGATTGGGTGCGGGTTGAGTAGGGTTCTCGGGTGGTGAAGGTGCGGTTCAGGGTGACATAGTCGCGCAACATGACGCCACTCTGCTGATGGGGACAGCCAAACAAATGACCAGTCTCGTGCATGTGAGCGCCGATGCCAACGTTGGCCGCTTCCCAATTGCTTCCCGACTCGTTGCAGTCATTGGCAACATGATTAGTGTCGGTAGGGGTACAGTCTCCAAAGGCTTGCCACACTTCCTCGATGCTCGACGGGTAACTCTGTAGAGCTTGCGAGCCACAGATTGCAAGCTGAACTTCGCCATCGCCGCCACCAAGAGCAGCATGACCTCGAATGACACCGACATCCCGATCCCAGTGCGAGTCGAGAATCAAACACGAAACGTACTGCTTACGACCGGGCTTCATTTGGAAGTACTCCTTGACTGCGTCCTTTGCGATGTCAAACAGCTCCCCCTTGGCTGTGCCACCCTCGTATTGTTGGGCGCGATTCAAGTCTCTAATTTCTTCAACGGTTTTCTTGGATCGGATAATGTGAACCTTTGCCTGGTTACGGAATTGGCCCTTGTCCCAGTCCTGATAGCTCAATGTGCCAGGCTCCCACGAATCTTCGAAGCGGAAACATCTCCTGCCAAAACCATGGCGTTGCATGTGCTCGCCGGTGAAAGCTTGCCAGAGGTATGCTGCCATGCGGTATTTTTTTACAGCCATGTCCAGGCCGTTACCCTCGCGATGCATGCGATCGGGGGTAGCATCGTATGTCCCGGGCGAATCGCGACCCAGAATGATGGCTAGCTGGAGAGGAGGGGTGTTGGTCAAAGGTAAATAGTTCACATTGAAGAAGGTTGCGTGAGGAGAGACGGAGCCGTTGCCCGATGGAACTTGTGGAGAATTGAATTCAAAACGAAGACGGTTCCATCCAGGCTCCATGTGTACGAGAACCTTGAAGTATGAATCGTTGACCGGCCAGGCGGTGGAGGGAAAACGACCTTGGTGGTGGTTAACAGTGACGGTGCCATCCAGCGGTCGGTTTGGGTCGCCAATTTGGCCAAAGACCAACAGCAATTGTTGGTGAACCTGTTGCTAGATCAGCAAGCGCCTCTGAGGATAGCCATGTTGGTATGACTTGCCCATGAATTATCGGATATTGAGAGGATGCGCGGAGCAAGCGGGGAGACGGGAGGAGCGGCGTATTGGCCGCTTGACGAGGATAGACCCTGAGAATGGTTTAATGATTGTTCGCGGGGCTGCATTGATTGCGGGGCGTGGATCTCACATTCATGCTGTATCGCTTGGTAGGGTTGGGGCCGGGTCGCGGTGGGCGTGCAGTTGTCACTCCGTTCTTGGGGAGGTTGGGTAGCACGGAAACGTCGCCAGAAGTGGTCGAGGTCGCGGGGGTGGTGGAGATGGAGTTTGAGGCTACGGCGGAGGAATCCAAGGTGGAGGATGACTTATGGCGAGCCAGGCCCTTTTTGTGGCCATTGGCGTGGTCATTGCTGATTGCCGACTGCCGGAGTTGGTCGGTTTGAAAGTTGGCTTTACTCTTCTTGCGCAAGTTGCTGAGAAAAGAAGGCATTATTATTATTATTCTCGTTGTTGTTGTTGTTGGTACTGCCGCAGCTACTGCGGTAGGGCGTCCAAGGCCGGATATAGCCTCATACACGTAGGGAAAGCGAGCGGCGTGGGTCGGAGGTGTTTAGATGGATAATTGTGCTGTACTGGTAGGGCGAACAGAGACTCCGTCAGTGAAAAGGCAATGCAGGCATATACAGTAGGTAGCGTGAATGCACAATGCACAGTGAGGCTCCCCGGAATGCGGCAACGGGGATGCGCAGGGCCGACGCGGAGGTGCTAGGTGAAGAGAAGGAGGGGATGGTTTCCGAGGTCTCGTAGTAGGGAATTGAAGGAGGTGGTAGCAGGGGAAAACGAAGGACTGGGAGGAGTAAAGAAGGGGAAAAGCACAAGTCGAATGCGCACATGTACGGTCAAGGCAAACGCAGGCACATAGATAGGACAGGAAAGGACGGCCGCTATCAGTAGCTCCCCACGGCTATCAAGACGACGAACGCGTATAAAGTTGGAAGAAAGACTACTGTACGCGCACCCGATGGGGAAGGGAGCACCGCGAAGCATCTGGGTAGCAGCAGCAGCGGCGACTGGGGGGAAGATGATGGCACACGAGCAAGTCGGCCGTGTTATCATGCTCCAACACCCTCTTGCTTTCCATGTTGCTTCAATCACGGTACCCTTCGGATTCGTGTCTTTGGGTGGGCAGCGAAGAAGCGCCTGGAGAAGAAGCCAACCAACGTTTATGACGTCCTGCCAAGTAGACACGCTAGTTGTGTGCCAGACAGCATGTTCCATCAGGAGAATGCTGCAGGTATGGGTGCAGCACTGAGCAGCATGACGGATGATGTGAAGCAAGGTGTACCAATATACCTAGGGCAGGCTACCACAATTAGAATTTGATCAGCACCTGCAGGACGCAACAGACGTCGTAATGCGACTTTTTTTTGGGGGGGGGGGAGGGTGGTTGCTCCGACTACTGACTAGATGGCATCTAGTGTACATGTATCAATGTGATATTGTACTGTATTGTATGTATGTATGGTATTGCTTGCTTACCATATGGATGAGCAAAGTAACAATGCCCGCACCGAAACACTTGGTCAGCTCCTCCCTCTCTGTACTGCTGCACTGCACCTCGTTTGCAGCTAGACTTCAAAAGCAATTAACACCAAGGCCTGGTCTTGTCGACCAATCTGTTTGCTGCTTATATACCAACATCTGGACTGGCTGCTGCTGCTGCTGCTACTACTGGCGTGCTTAAGTACTTAGTACTCCAGTACGTAGACATTACGACTTGTCCCTCTGGTTGCCAGGTCGTCGAAACAATAGCGCGGCCTGTGCTGATGGGAACTCGAAGCTAACTACTGGCTGGTCTCTGCCTGATCCATTACATCGTACCCAGCCAGGCTCTCCCTTCCCAACGACGAGAGCACAGTCCACATTCCTTTTGCCGACCCAGCTCCTCCCACCACCCTTCCTCTGCCCTCCAGTCGAGTGCAACGTCTGCGAGAGACCTCCTTTGAACCTTTGTTCATCGCTCGCAACGTCTCCACCACAATGGCGTCAACCGACCAGCCCGCCGAGGTTGCAAGCAAGGTGTTGCGGCGAGCCCAGGTCTCAAAGGTACGACGACGGCTCTGCACCGCTCCGCACTGCGCAAGCCCTTTCAGCTAACATGCAGCTCCTTTACAAGATGACCCGCACCCTTCAGAACCGCCTCGCTCTCGCCAATGTCAAGATCAAGCACGGATGGCAAGACCTCTCTCTCGATCATTTGGAGCCGCGAGTCGACGTCGAGCTCAAGCGGAAACGACCCGGCTCCAGCAACCTCTCGGATGCATCCAGCGTCTCCGAGCGCTTCTATCCCAGCAACGCACTCGACTCCTCGCCCCTCCAAGCCCCCATATTCTCAGATGATGTTCGCCCGTCAAACAGCCGGACTGGCAGCAGCCACAGTCAGAGCAAGCGGCCACGCTACTCCCAAACCTTCAACAGATACCCCGGCTCCTCCAACCACACCCGCGCCAAAGTGCGGACGTCGGCTTCGACTTCATGGAAAAACAGCTTCCAATTGCCTGAATCGTCGCCCGTCTATCACCGTAGGCATGCTCGCTTTGGCCGAACAACCCACGCCCCCAGCCTCTCCTTCGTCTCCGAGACTTCTACCGTCCCCGACGACCGTCGCTCGCCCCTCCTATCCGAAGATGACGACGAAGACCTACCCATATCCTCCTTCCAGATCAACCGTAGCTCCCACATGCCATCTACTCCACCAAGGGCTCCTCGAACCCCCCCTCTCGGTGGTCGGTCGTTCCGTCTTCGTCAGAATGGTTTCAATGCTGCTGGTGCTGTTCGCGAAGGTCAAAAGGGTGACCGGGACGCCGACTTGCTCATGTCCTTTGCTACATCACCGTCCCCCGCCCGTCACGGATCGTCGAAGCCTCGCATCGTCGAACCATCCACACCCCCTTCGAAATCTACACCGCTTCCGTCGTCCATGATGTCCACCCCTGGCGGCGGAGCCGGATCTTTCCCATCTTTTGGTCTACAGACGCCTTCTACCAACATCAACTTTGCCGACTTCCTCAACATGTCGCCCAGTCCTGCCCAGCCCACCAATTCATGGAACCGAACACCAATTGCCTCGAAGACGCCCGTTGCTACACGTGAAGCACGGCGAAGGCTCAATTTCGATACCCTACTGCCCCCTACCAGCGACTCCGCGCGGATCGGCAAAGTCGATGGTCTTGGCATGGATCTGGGCGGTGAGCTTGTGTCCTAGGATCAGGATTACACTGCCAGTCTCCATCACACAACCTGAAACCGCCTTTGATATTCCAAGAGAACGATTAACGGCCAACAAAACATGACAGGGTTGAAAAAGAAACCCCCGTACATATACGTGAAGGCTGTTGGATGTCCATTACGCGCAGAATGTGGGCTTGCGAAAGGCATGTGCTGCCTTTGTGTTACTGTCATTACCAAAAGAAATGCACGGCAATCAAAGGTTGGGCCAGGGGAAGGGGCTCGGCAGCTTTGTTGCAGACTTTGCCAGTTGCATGTATTCTAGGGATTCCCTTTGTATTTCCGCTTTTCCTTTTGGTTATTGTCGTTTTATCCAGCGAGCGTGTTGTATCTTGGCATTGTTTGCGTTTGTTGGGTTCCGTAGCATACATAGGTATCTTCTCCATAGGAAGGACTGGGGGTCACATGCAGGCAGGAGGAGAGGAAATAGAATCATCATTACTTGCCCAATGCAGCAGCAAATGGGTAAAAACGGTGGATTTTGCCAGGTGAATATTCAACCAGGCATGGTATCGCACAAGAAGGGGTAGGCCGGCTGTAACCACACTTTTGGCAAGCCAACATGACGCAAGGCAATGGGTGCAGTGGATGCTCGCCGCGAGGCACACGACAAAGCGCTTTCCCTGAGCTGACGTCTATCCAATAACGTGGAGGATGACATTGCAGCCCGCCGAATACCCAGCCATGGGACCGTGCCATGCATCCATCAATCTCCATGCTCATCCTACCACTACCGTGTCTGCACTTTGGCAACCCCGCAGCCACTCGGGGATAGCAGCCCATCTCGTCGTCGTCGTCGTCCTCCAAGCCTGGGAAGAAGAGATGACAGGCGACGAGTCGTGGATCCGGAGTGCCTGCATGACACAAAGCCTTGATGGGCAATTGTGGAATGTTGCAAACAAACCATCATGTTTGCCGTCGCCTACCCCTCTCTCTCTCTCTCATGCATGCATGCATGCATGCATCCAGCCAGCCATCCAGCCATCCAGCGAGCAAGCAAACAGCAAAGAAAAAACAAGCAGACGAAGAACGCCCAGCGAATAAGCTGGTACCACCCGCCGGCCGACGCGCCCAGTTCCGGGTTAATCTGCACTCGCACGCGCCCAACCCCTCCCCGCCGCTCCTTTTCGTGTCATGTTCGCGCAAAGTGCTTTTTTTTTTGGTTTCGGCCCTCTCCCTTGCTTTTCTTTTCCCTTGTTCGAATTCTCTCTCTCTTGCAAGTTTCGCCGGTTTTGCTACGTCCAAACAGCGCATTTATCTAATCTTGCCTTATTAACGTGCTGCGATTTCTCTGTTTCTTTGCCATTTTGCCAAAACCTTTTTTGTTCTTGTTTTTTGTTTTTAAATCTGCTTGCTGTTGGGTACTGCATTTTCCGACGATTCGCATACTGCTGCAGGATTTTGTTTTTTACATGTACGCCGATACATACATACGCTAGTATTATATACCGTATTGTTATATTTGTCATTCTCCATGTGTAATAATACGACCTTCCGAGGGGGTGCGAAGATCTGCGGAGACCGAGCATAGCCTCTTCGCTTAGCTCTCTCTCTCCCCAGCCTTGTCACTTTCTCAGTCTTGCCTTGCCTTGCCCCATCGACGATCGCCGTCCACCCTGTCGTTGCTCCGAACCCACCCTCGAAACTGACTCTCTTGCCAAACTGCTGTGTGCGCCAGCCAGTAAATAATACCTTGCGTGCCGACGAGAAAAACGTCCTCAGCAATATACGTACACCTCCACATTCTTTTTCGTTGACTCGGAGAATCGTGGTAATGTATTGTGCTGCTACTCTACTATTGACTTGGGAGAAGCTACTACGTGATAAGCGTAGTATAAGGGGATGGGAAAACTCTATTGGAAATTCTTCCTTCATGCATCCATCCATCCTTCCCTTCCCTTGGGTCTTCCTGCCCTTATTTTTTTGCTGGCATCTAGCAGTGTCAAAGCTTGACTTGACAGGTGCCAGTGTAAGCAGCCAGGCAAGATGAGGTACAACGCTGGTGGCGGACATGTGCATTCACAACCATCAATAAACCACAGATAACCCAATTATTCTCATGGTACTATATTGCCATTGCTGACGTACATAATAAGAGTCACAGCAACACTTGATGGAAAAGTCGTCAGGCATGTTATATGGTAAGTTTGTTCATTCATTCAATATGTGTATTGCAAACATGGCTTATCAGGGGGCACCTTTTTCGCCATGGTTTGATGATAGGATCCGATGATGCCGAAGAGAAAATGGCTACAGATGGTGTGTGTATGTGTGTGCCAGATGCTAGAACTCCAACGCCGATGTACCCGTGTCCCAACCCAACTACAGGTACTATGGGGGGGAAATGCAACCAAAAAAAAATTGAGAAGGAAGAAGAAGAAAGGCCGTGTAGAACCGGGGATTGCTCCAGAAGAGGCGGGGGGGAATCATTCAAGAAGACTCTCAAAGCCATCTAACCAGAGAAAAAAAAAAGAAGAAGAAGAAGACGCAAGAATGAACAAGAAGGATGTGGACAACTCGACGCGTTTGATTCGAATCAAGCACTCCAGTTGAACCGCTTCATCTTTCCTGCAGGCGCCGCCGCCTTGTCTTGAGCAGCAGCAGCAGCAGCAGCTTGATACCACTTGAGCCCCTTGACCTCCCAATACGCATCGGCAAAAGCCTCTGGGTTGTTCTCGACATACTCCTCGCACGTAGCAGCGCCCGTCTTTGCTTGGCACGACTTCTCCCACTCCTTGCCAGCCCAGTCTCCGCACAGCGCCGTGTTGAAGATGACTTTCATCGAGTCGAACTTCTTCTCGTAGTCGCAGCCGGGACCCGAGAACTTGGCCAGCGGTTTGCCGAAAGTCGATGGGTCGAGGGAAGCCGGTGAAGCTGCTGTGCCGTTGTTGGAAGGAGGCGATACGGCGGCCATGGAGGACGAGTTGCGGGGGAAGAACCACACGCTGATGGAGGACGTGGTCCATTCCATGGCGTACACGCCGCCGCCCGCCGTGTTGAAGTCTGTGCCGTAGGTGGCAAAGTCTGCGCGCGACGCGGGCGCCTTGATGCTGCAGCCGACGTTCTTGTCCTGGTTTTTGGCATTGACGTCGCAGTTTGGCGTCGAGACGGAGCCCATGAACCCAGCGGACGCGGACGAGTCTGCTGCTGCTCCCGCACTAGTGCTGCTGTTGTTGTTGTTCCCGCTGTTCCCGCCGCCAACGGCGTTGGCGATGGTGCAACCCTCCGAAGTGTGGAGCGTCACGGCGTTGTTTGTTTCGTCGTTGACGCCTTCGAGAAGATCGATTTCACCAAAGTTTGGCCACGACGACGAGTTCTTTTCGGGCCCGACGCCGAGGAGCCAGAAGGCTGGCCATGTACCGCACGTGCTGTCGGGCATGTGATTGATGTCTGCGATCAGGAGGCCCTGGTTCCATGTTTGCTTGCTCTCGAGGCGCACGCTGGCACGGCCTTTGGCGTCTTTGGTGGTGTGGTCAACGCCCATGAAGACCGACTCGGTGTCGTTCAGGTATCCGACGAGGTTGTCCTTGACGGCTGCCTCACGGGTCTGGTATTGTACGAATCCGTTGGTTGGGTCCGGGCCGGAGAAGAATTCAAAGCTGTTGAAGAAGTTCTTGTAGCTCAGGTCGTCCTTGAGAGTGTACTGCTGCTGGGCTGTTGAGACACAGGGCAGAGAAAGAGTGGTCAAGGCGGCCAGCACCGTCGAGGAAATGGTAGGTCGCATGATTGTGATGTTGATTGTCTGTTTACGCTTCGTATATGCTAGATAGAACAACGGCGTAGAGGTTTTTGACTTCCGTGTTCAAAGATGTGTGTATGTAAGGTGGTGTTGAGTTGTATCCACTTGAAGGAGAGAAGTTCAAGTATATATGAATGAATGTAACAAAAATAGGACCTGCCTGAACAATGATATTGTGAAGAAATGAAGAGGAGAAGAGAAGAGAAAAAAAGTGACAGCACAATGCAAAGAATCTCAATAACAGCACATGGACTTCAATGTGCAGCGAGTTTATTGACCTTTATTCTCGTGTAGCCGCGCCATGCCACGCAATAGGGATAGCATATGCATGGGGCTCCACTCGAGCCTGGATCCATTTTGGAAAGGTGAAGGGAGCTTGTCTCCACCTTCTCCAACGCTCACGCCGAATTCCTTACAGTGTTAATAGTCATTCTGCTATGTGTGGTGGGGACCGTTTCAAGAGGTCGACCTGCCAAAGGAAACCAGGGTCTGATTGGACGTTAGCGCGCGCGTTCATCTCCTTGGCGGCAAACTACACGTTTAACCTCCACCAATGGCTCGGCTACCCACACAATGTTTCAAACACCGCTTTCGTTTCAAACGCGGCAGTGAATTCTTTTGACACGTGAGAGGGACCGACTGCTAGGTGGACGGGGGAGATCGAGGGGAAAGTGTGACGAGAACGAACGTAGAAATGGAAGGAAGTAGATGACCAAGAATATCAAAACAAGAACAGGGGGGAAAAAAGAACATCTCCTATTATCTACGCTGCGGCCCTCTCCTCCACATGCATGGGCAACAAACAAAATCTTTTAGGTAAAATCAAACAGAGAAAACCACAAACACCTTATGCCAATGGTATATATCAGTGTATACTGGGACCCCTGCCCACACAACGCGTCCAGACAAAGGAAGAAGAACTATGCCATTTCATTTCTTCTGGGAGGTCGTATATCGGGCTCGTAGAGGAATAGATATCGGTGACCGGCTAGCGTTCCCAACACGTTATCCTTATATCGTAAATCTATACGCGTGAACAATTTCGACTGCGTCAAAGCAATCCGCAATTACATCTAACTCGTCTATCGGAGCTTGCCATGATCCTTCGCTTCTTTCACTTGCTCGAAAACCTGTACACATTGTTAGCGATATCATTCACGGGTATTGAAGGATCTACACTTACCTTCAACATCTTCCTGCGAGCTCCCAGCGCATTTACACCTCGCTTTTCTAGACCTTCATCATCAAGCTCGACCAGCTCTTGCCACTTCAGGTCCTTGAGATTATCGGTGTACTTGTGGAGACGGAGACTCCTAAGCCAGCTTGGGATATCGCTGAGAAGCCCAGGGTCGGTAGGATCCTCTGGGGGCTTTGAGCTACCGCGGCGACCTCGAGGCGACCTGCCACGGTTCATCTCGTCGGCACTGTATCCAAGCCCGCCGTCGCTTCCCATTCCACCGAGGCCGAACTGACCCATGTTCAAGGCATTGAGATTGTTGCTGACAAGGGGCGATGTACCGTAATCAGCAGTCAAGAAGCCGTTGTTCTGCGGAGAAGCAAAGCTCATGCCACCAATGTTTTGACCTTGCATAGCAATACCGGGAGAGTTGGGGCGGGAGCGATGGCCTTGCATAGCTGCAAGCTGTTGCGCCTGGAGGGCGGCAGCTTGTTGCGGGGTTAGCAGTTGGCCTAGTTCGTTGGTCATGACAAAGTTGTTGTTTCCAATACCAGGTGGCAGGCCAGGAGAAAGAGGGGCATTTCCAGCACCCTGCCCCTCGCTGGACCTAGCACGGCGGTATTTGCGCACATCGTCAAGCTGGATCCGGTTGTTGACGGTCGAAAGAGCAGCCAGCTTCATCGCGGTCGCGTTTGCGACCATGTCGGCCTGCGTCTGATTCTGTTGGAAGTTGGTCACCATGGGAGTGCTGAGTTGAGAAGCCCAACTTCCACCGGGAGCATAGGACGGGGAGAGCATAGGCATGCTGCCAGCATCCTGACCTGGCGCATTCAGAGTCGTGGTCTGCACGTTTGAGCTATCCGCAGAGAGGGGTAAGCGTGGAGAGCGAAGTCCAGCGGAAGCTGGAGGTTGAGAAAACTGTCCCATGGGCTGGTGTTGGCCAGAAGACTTGGGGCGGGTGGCAGACTGAGCGCCATCACCCCATGGAGAAGCAGGGACCGTGTTGTCCTTCTTCTCATCCGGGCCAGAAATTGTAGGCGCAGCCAAGGAGCTACGATCACCCACGATGCTGTTGCGAGTAGATGCCGGGGCAAGACCAGTAATGTCTGTAAACTCGGCCTTTTGCTTGGCAATGGCAGCGGCCGCATCAGGGAACATGCGACTGATGGTACTTGAGTCTAGACCCGAGTTGCGCTTTGCACCGGGGGATGGTGGGGGGCGGCCAGTAGGACCCATAGAGTGACGGTTCTCGGGGGTACCCAGTTTGCTCATGGCATCGCTCAGCTTCTGGGTCATTGGGTCTACAATGTGTCAGTCTCTGAGATAGTGGGAGGATGATGTGTTCTATAACTTACCCTTTTCTCCAAAGTTGGCAGGGCTGAGCACGCTGGACATGGGGAGACTCTTGGACATCTGCTGAAGCACCTGAATGAAGAACCTAATCTGGACCTGAGTGGTCTGCTGGAGCAGCGCATACAGAGCGGCAGTGCGTTCGGCCTCACTCAGGACACGAAACCACTGTTCAATGGCGCTCAGCTCATCCTTGAAGTCTTGATCGAGTGTAGCCGTAGCCATCTCCTCGAGAGTGTTCTCATACTGGTCGATATCGGAAAGCCACTGCTGAGCGGCTCTCTCCATCTCGTCTGGGTTTCCCGAGTTTGTGCTGTTGCGTCCAAAATAGACCTCGGAAGCCGGGCGGATGCCACGGTTGGAGAGCGGAGAGGAGAAACCACCCATATCAGCGGAGGCTCGCAGGTGATGGCCCGAGCCGATGGCGCGGGAGTTGGGTGGACGCAGCGAGCTGGACCCCTCGGGGGTGCTGTTCCTGTTGGCAGCGATATTGGACATTGCGGTAGTGGAAGAGAGAGTGACTGGCAAGGGCCGATGAGGATGCAAAAGGCGGGCTGTATGGTTAATAAGGTAGATAGAATAAGATTTCTCTGAGAATGCGAGAGTACTCCTGCAGCCCTGCTGAACCTCAAAGGAGCTCTACGGCCGGAACTGGCACAAGGGCAATGGAGATTCGAGTAGGCAGAATGCGAGAAGAGAATAAACAAGAGGTAGAGAGGGAGAGACAGGAGGGGCGGCAGGAAGGGGGGAGGGAGAAGGTGGTGAGAGGTTAGAGGAGGTTAGGCAGGGTTAAGTGCCCGCGTTGGATGGCTGGCTTTCACGGAGCGCTAAGCCGCTTCAAGACGGCCTCAGTCGAGCTGGATTTATCTAGACTCGCATTCACGGCCAGCTTCACTGGGTGAACAGTTGCGGCATTACTAATGGACATGGTACTGTTCACCATGCTGCTACGTGTGTGTGCGTAAGTACCGACTGCGATAGGTACAGCACAGTACATCCACGCCCTGGCTGTGTGTGAATCGAATTTGCGGCGAACGATGCAGGGAGGCCACCAATGCCAAACAGGTCCACCACCATAGGGTAATCTGCCGAGTGCTATCGCTGCGGTGCCATCCATCTTGAGAATCCCCATCGACACCCGCCCCACGGCCACCCACCGGACCTCGCCCGGTTTTTCGTTTTTGCTCTCGTCACTCTACACATTGACATCGTAGTTTATCGAAAACACTTGTGCCTTGGGGAAGCAACACAACCTGCTACATACTCCCACCAACGGCTTCTATTTATGTCACCGCACCCCTAGTTCTGCTCAAAGCAGGCTGTAACGCATGAACACCACCCCCGGGCAATCACACTCTGTTTCTCCGCCGTTTGACTTTCTGCATCCATTCCCCAATGCACCGTCCAATCGACAACCACTGTTTCTATTCAATACCACCGCATGGACGACAGACAGCCTGAGGCATCAATGCGCATCGCCGCTGTCGTCGTCACTGCTTGACAAAGGCACATCCAATCTTGAACTCGTGCGTTACAAGCAATCCTATTTATGTGTACCCACCCCTCTGGATACCGTTTGCTGCAAGTCCTCTCGTTGCGCAAACCTGTCGGCACGACCATGGGAAACTCGACAAATCCCACATGCTCTATCTTATTTGGCCTACAATGGCTCCGACCATGACAGCAGCCTCACGTTCCCAGCTCCCCGCAATAACCCCCTTGCCCCTGCCCTTGCCCGACGATGCACCCGGCAGCTGTGATCCACGATTGACGCACTCTCGGATAAGATCACGGACCCTATCCTTGTTTGAGCGCAGGGTCCTTGCGGATACCCCCCCGCGCTGCATGATTTCTTGAACCCTGGGCGCCATATTCGAGGCAAAGGTCCTCCAAAAATATGACGCGAGCGAAGACGTGTCCAGTGCTTGCAGAAGGGATTGCAGGAAGTTCGGAGATACCCCCTCTGAAGCTTCGTCTGCTTGCAGTAGCGGATGCGATGGGCGTTTGATGCCTGCCAGCAATGTTTCAAGCGCTACAATATTCTGGCAGCGAGCCGAAATCTCGAGCATTGTCCGGTCCAATGTAGGGAGAGTTGCGAGTGCTCTTGCCAGCGATGCTATGGAAGCCTTCAATTGAGTCTGGAGGTAGTCTTGCAAAGCACTCAACATCAGGGTAGGCTCGAAGGAAGAAATTGTTGTGCTGGCCGATGAGGGCGATAATAGATAAAGGGTCTGCAATGCTGAGGTGGTCCTCGCCTTTGTGTCTTCGGTTTGTGCAAATGTAGAGGCGGAAGACTGTCCAGAGGACGAAAGGAGCGAAGACATGGAGAACTCCTTGACCACCTGCTGCGCTCTCGACGAAATGCTCCGCTCTCCAGGAGCAACCAACTCGTTCTTCAGCGTGTTGACGGCATTGACCTTGTCCAACCCTTCTCCTTCCTCGCCAGGTCTAGTAGCCATGAACATCTGGCGCAGTGACAGGATTGTATCCGCAGACCGAACCATAGCCCTATGGTCCTCTTTCTTCGCACTGCCAACACCTCCCAGCTCGGACATGCGCACTTCCAACTGCCTTCCAAGTGCCAAGCATCTTGCAACTGCTCTACCAATCTTGACTGTATGGACTAGCCTCTCAGCAGTCAAGCGAACTTGTTCTGCGACTTCATATCGCTCAATGACCTCTTTCTCCAAAGTTTTGTATGATTCGGTCAGGGTAGCGACCTGCCCCTCGACGTCCTTGAGGATTGTCCCGCTGGACTCGGCATTGTTCTTGGTATATTCCAGCAGCGGAAGAGCTGATTTGGTAGTGAGAGTGTCGATATGCGTATCAATCTCTTGCACATCGAACAGGACGCGTGAGAGGGGTGTCGAAAGGTCTAGCGGGGTGTCAGAAGGATTGTTGGTCGCAAGCACGAGCGTGTTCGCAAAGGATGTGGCGGAGAAGTCCGGGTCCAGAAACGCTTCATAGTCGATATACGACGGATCCCCTCCGTCGGACATGGTGGAGGACTGAAGCGATATGCCCAAGTACTCCAGTGTGGTTGTTAAACATCAGCCTTAGGTCATCCCGCCAGGGTTCTGCTTGGCCTGCCGCGAAGCGAAGCGTTATCGCTATCAGTCAGTCGTTGGCGCCTCGGCTCGGCTCGGGGGCTAGTCTACATTTCTACAGCTATCACAAGCTTGAGCTCCAACATCCAACGACGCTGCTGCTCAAGCATTGTCTCCTCTCTCGAGCCATCTGCTTGTCATTGCAGCATCCCAGCCCTCAAAATGCCCACTTCAATGCCATGTCCATCTATCCGCATTCCCGTTGAACTTCTTACCCAATCGTCCTTTTCTCAATTCGGCACCGTGATTGAAAACCCCGCCCATTCCCCCCTCCCTCCTTCACAACGCGGCCCAGCACCAGATGCTGTATCTGCAAACCAAGGCTCCGCGATCAAACTTCTCGATGTTACCCACCCCTCAAATCTCTACTCTCTTGCCCCCTCCAAGAAGCCTGCAAAAGCAGTCATGAACATGTTCATCTGCTCACCCCGCGAGCTACGACCCCACGAGCCCAGCGAGAGCATGCCGAGCAGCTGGGGCGATCTTGACTTTGACGAAGACGATTACGGGAACAACGACCGCGCCCTGCTTGACGTTTCCATACTCGAACGCCACCCCTTCACCACCCAGACCTTCATCCCCATGGGCCTGTCCGCCACAGAGCGTCACACACAGTACCTAGTCATTGTTGCCCCCACACTCCCAGCCGCAGCATCGAAACGCCACACCGGCCGACCACCTCCCTACCCTACTCCGGATGTCAAGAAACGCACCACCAGTATTAAGGACATCTTTGCGAGGGCCCGGCCTTCCCCTTTCACGAATGAGGCCGCGCCCCCGCCCCCTCAGTACTCGCGCTTGCACCCCTCGGCGCGGCCGAAGGGGCCTGGGTTACCGGATTTGAAAAACCTCCGCGCTTTCGTGGCGAGCGGTAACCAGGCTGTTACGTACGGCGCGGGGACGTGGCATGCGCCTATGGTTGTCATCGGCCAGCGTCCGATTGACTTCGTCGTCAGCCAGTTCGCGAATGGGGTCGGGATGGAGGATTGCCAGGAGGTTGAGTTGATGGCTGGGAGAAATGCGGAGGAGGGGGTCGTGGTTATGGTTGATTCTGATTCGTCTGGAAAAGTGATCGTGAAGGCTGGTGTTGGGTCTGTCATGGCCAAGTTGTGATTTCGACATTGTTTTTCATACTTTTGCGATCTTCTGAAGGATGGCTGTGTCTTTGCAATCTTGTTTCTTTCCTTATCGTCGTATGACTTCAATGTTTCAATGATTTACGAATGTTTGTATAGTACTTAATGCTTGCAGTTATCGAGAAACAAAAAGGGAAGCCATTGTTCAGTCAGTGGCTGATAATACTTCGCAAAATCATACCCCGAACGTCTGAAGTGCTTGCAACGTACTTAATTGCTCATTTTTACATATGGGGATTCGTCCCACGATTTTACTTGATCAACGACTTGTAACATTCTTGTACATGGACCAGGCAAGTATCTTCATACATCACTTAAGACATAAAACACTGCACAGCCCTGCAAACTATCAAATGCTTCTTTCAAGAAATGGAAAGAGTAGACGGGACCTAATGAAGAAGGAGCCATTGAAATCAGGTCAGGAACGTCTACTGACTTTGAGACTCTCCGTCTCTACAGCCCGACCAGCGGGCTGCGCTTCCAGGAAATGCGCCGTCGTGGCTTCCCCCGAACCCGTCGCTGCCTAGACATTATCGTCTGGTGGTTCAACAAACGAGTAAGGGACTATGCCTGCTTTATTCCTATCCTAACATCTCTTTCCTTACCACTCTACTCTACTCGAATTGCCCCCCGATCCACCGAAAACATCTGCATCGACTTCAAGAACGTGCAGTGTGCGATACGCATATTCTCTGGACAGTGCGTGTTGTCCTCTTTCTTTAATTTCCCCCCCGTCCTGCATAGCTAGCTAACATTGCCCAGGAGCCAGCGACAATGTATGTTATAGCACTCCCCAACTCTCCCGCTCTGCTGGCTGCAGCGCGCACTGAACTTCACTCACTGCTCTAGGAGGCACCACGAGTGTCCGCCGTGCATTTGCGACCCCCAGCCCAAGCTGTACTTTCCGACCAAACCGGACTTGCCCAAATACTGGTTGGCGGTGCCGCTGGTCCTTGTTGCGTTCGCCTTCTTTATCATTTGTTGGGTGTGTTGCTTGTGGTGCAGGGTCAACCTTTGCTGTGAGCGTCAGGGGGATGAGAAACACGATTGAATTCGGTGAGGGTGATGGCGGTAAAGGAGAAGGGGGAAGATGAGGCGAGGGTTGCGCAGGTAATTGGCGACCATGAGAATCACGGGGATCCGATTAAGCAGTTGGTATACCAAGTCGCTTGGGTGTGTGTATAGTGTTGCGAGTGGGCAACAGATGGGAGAAGTCCAGTTGAGGGAAGAACAAAACCGCTACACGGCTTGCTCTGGTTTGAACCGATCGGTTCATGATACTAAAATATGAACTACCTAACAGTCTTCCGGAACAATGATGTACAGTAACTGGGAATTCGGTTTGACGGCAGACGCTGTTAGTCAGGACTAGGCGTAGCATGAATGCTGAAAATATCAAGGACAAACGGGGAATCGAGGGATGTGACAGTTGGTTAATGACTGCGAGGTCGTCAACCCACCTCCCCCAGCCCTTGCTCTTACCCTTACCCTTACATTTTTTATTTTTTTTATCACCTGTTACCCCGGAATTGCTTGACTGGGATGCATACACTGGCGAGGGGAGAGAGAGGAAGAGAATTAAGAATTCGCAGTTTTTCACCACCTTTTTATAGTACTTGAGTAGCGTTGCTTTGTTCTAGGCACTTCAGGGAGATGACTGGGGATGGAAGGGGGGATGATCTGAAATGAGGTATATTCTTCACCTATTCTATTTCTCGGCTATATTTTTTCCTTCTCTTCCTTCTAAATAGGTTGCCATTGGTAAGGAAGGGCGGGGGATTTTCGTTAGTTGTTGGGGAATCCGGATTTCAGGTTGTCGTATTGCGAGTCTGGGAATGTGATGCAATTTGGTTTGTGTTCGAGGTAGGAGCAACCAGGACCTCCGAGATCGTTTGCAACCTATAGTTTTGTTTTTGATATCAGCTTTCGGTTTTTTTTTCGGGTTTTTTTTTGGTCCCAGTGAAGTATCAACTAAAGAGGGATGAAATAGGAAAAGGACAAGGAAGAAAGAAAGAAAGAATAAGAAAAAAGGGGAGGGAGGAACATACACTCTCGACCAAACTCCCCTCACCCGCTCGATCTCCAGATAATTCCCACCACATAGCCCCGCCCAGTTTCTTCTCCCTCACGTATCCAGCCTTCCTCTTCACCATATCCAAGGTATCGTACGAGATCAGCGTGCGCGAGGCATTGTCGTAGGAATAGCTAGCCCCGGCCTCGGCGTCCGTGTACTCTGCGGCGCCCGGCTGGGGCAGCGCTTTGTAATCCCACACCCCGTTCTCCCACGATCCGGGACCGCCGCCCTGATATGGTTTTCCCAGGCCGTCTGTATTGGTGAAGGAGCGTCCGTAGAGGGGCATGCCTAGGACGATCTTGGACGAGGGCACGCCTTGGGCTATGTAGACCTAGAGAATTTGCGGGAAGGCGCATGTTAGTACGGTTCAGGTGGGATGTTTCATGTCGGTTTGTCGGGATTCTCGGGATGTATACTTACATCGACGACGGATTGGGTGTTGAAGGGGGTGGAGTTTGGGTTGGAGGCAGAATGGAAGAGGTTGGCTTGGTGGCCTGCGTTGGGATCCCACGATCCCGAGTAGTCGTATGCCTATCAAAAACATGTCAGTATTTCTTAATCACGAGCGTGAGATTTTCGACCAGCAAATAAAACTTACCATCAGATTGATGAAATCAAGGACTTGGGCGATCGCACCCAAGGGCATATTCTTGTAATTCGACTCTCCAGCTGGTGCCGCAATACTGAGTACAAAGTGTGGTCGCTCGCCAGCTTCAGCGGCAAGCTTGTCGGCGTAAGCATCCATTGCAGACCGAATTTCTTGCAACAGTAGCAGCAGTTGTTGCCCCTGTTCGGGGTTGGAAGGGTATTCCCAATCAATATCGATCCCATCGAATCCGAGATCCTTGATCAGCTTGACGCAGCTGTCGGCGAACGTCTTGCGGCCCTGCGGGGTGGCTGCTGGGGTATCAAAGTGCTTTTGCTCGTGCGCATACGTCCACCCGCCGATCGATAGAAGCACTTTGAGGTTCCGGTTCTTCTTCTTGAGTAAGTTGAGCTGTTTCAGGTTGCCGTAGAGATTGTTGCCTTGGTCGTTCCAGGAGTCGCCGTCGTAGTGAATTTGGATATCAGACCATTGGTCGGTAAGGATAACCTCGCCATCTGGGCGGTTGTCACCGAACGCGTAGAGGACGTGCGTTAGTTTGTCGGCGGGGATGGTTTGTGGGAAGTATTTCCGACCATATATACCCTTCACGAACTCTTGTTAGTTTTGCGCGATGGTTTGTTTCTGGACATGGCACAGGATGAGCAGAAGGATGTTTGGGAATCTTCGTACCCAGTTGACAAAGTATGCTACAGATCGATAGCCTTCGTTGGACATGATGGACGGTTTTTGCGGCTTGCTAGTATGAGGACTGGTAGTTGGGATAACTTTTCGTGAAGAGGTATGTACCTATTAAGATTAGTATCAGAACCGGATTTCAACGATACTTTGTTGTGACACCACACCAATCGTACACATTGAATAATAAGCTAACAAGAACGTGGAACAACTTACAGCAGTAGAAGCTCCAAAAGTCTTTGTGATATATCGCGTAGAAGTGGTGTGAATGGTCCTCGTCGTCGTTGATTTGCTATTACCCGCAAACGTATTCTGATTTGGAAGAGTAAGAGGATTCTCAAAACCTGTTAGCAGATAGTACAAACTGAGAAACACCAAGCTTATAAGCTCCATAAGAAATCGCAAGAGGAACAACAAAAACAAGTGTTCAGGCTATATGCCAATGCTGATGTGGGATTCGATGGAGGGGGGCTGCGCCACAAATAGCCACAGTATGTACGTCATGCAGACATCCAGGGGTGTGTTTACGTGGTGCTATCGCTGTTCCGGCGTAGCATTATTTTTTCTTGTGAAGGAAACTTTCAATGTGGCGAACCATGCGAGGTGAATCCTTGAAGAGCTGAGAAGTGTATGCGCTGGCGGGTTCGTCAAGTGGTTTGAAAGCCACAATTGGGTGCATAAGGATGTCGAGTGGATACGTGAGGCGTGCAAGTTGCAGTTGTTCTTCGAGGTGAACAAGCCAGAGACACAGGCCCTTCACAATCACCACCAATACTCGAGAACAAATCCTAACCATCCCCTCCACCGTGCAGAATCCCCTAATCCACGCAATCAAGGCATGGGAAATTTCATGTACCCACCATCAACGCAGTCAACTTCGCAATCTGCTGCTGCAGCTTCAAAATCTGTTTCTCAGCTTTGACGCACCACGCACATCCCTTGGGTGGTTGCTGAGCAAGGACAGCAGCAGGAGTAATAAGAAGAAGCCCGAAGACGAGCATAGAGAGAGCTCGAGCGACCTGTGCGCATTATGCCCTCACTGTCAGCCCATGCAAATATGCGTATTTGAACAATTTTGTCTTGTAGAATTATGTATGGATGCAGGTGCATTCACTTACTGGCATGATTCCGTGATGTCAACGCAAGAGTCCCACCAAAAGAAAGAAAAGTGAGGGAAAGTGGTGTATGCTTCTCTCGATGAAACTCGGCGTCCAGCGCCTTCTCCTATATAAACATTTGAATAACTCAATCAACCCAAAGATAGCGGGAGAGTGACATGGAATGAGCCTCCTTACTTCTCTCCACATACATGCAGCCAGGGAGCCGCGCTTTTGAGCACATTTATTGCTGGAAAAAGGACGGGGTCTAGGCAGCTCTGGAACGAGATCCCTTTGGGGTGACGCAAGCTCATGTGGCTGTCAGTGAGTTGAACGCGTGCGTGGAACGATGTGTTCATTCCGGGCGTTGGATGGATGGAAGGAAGGGGTGGTACAAAGAAGGGACCGAGGAAGAGCAGGATGGTGCGTGAAGGGTGAGCATACAACACTGATGATCTGGACTTTTGATGTTAGGGCATCATGAGGAAGATGCCTTGATTTATTCGATTTGTTCAAACATGATGAAGTCAACGTACTTAAGTTTGACTATATGCCACCTTTGTCAATAGTGCATAAGACGTCAACAAACATATCAACATTTGAATACCCGGCGCGATACATCAATGAGAACATCACATGTGCACAATCTTGTGAGAAAAGACGATAGTTTTAAAACCACACCAAAGAACACAGTAAATCACATTGGAAGACGACTATCTAAAAATCTCAACGAAAAACCTTTTGCATCTGCGCTTGTTTGTTTGCTTGGAGCAACGACTAACGACCACCACTCATTGGACTTGCTAGCCCCGCATTGCCACCATTCGGACTCCTAAACATAGGCTTCGAGTTGGGTACCGGGCTCATGGGATCTCGCTGGCTGGAGCTTTGACTCGAGGTGCCGGAACTTAGACTACCGCTTCCGTGACTTCCCTGCCTGCCATTGAGGAGACCGGTACCGTGGAAGGGATTGTGCATGACGTGCATAGAAGGCGAGGCCATCTCGTCAAAACCATCGGTAAAGCCGGAAACGTTGGAAAGCATAGAGGAGGAGCGGCCGCGACCGCCACGAATAGAACCCGGGGTGCTATTGACTTGATTGCCGAAGGATGGGAAAGTGAAGCTCTGGAAGGGGTTGGCGTAAGGAGACATATTGTTCATGCCAGGGTGAGGACCATCGGGAGTTGCAGGCACAGAAGTTGGCTGTTGCTGTTGCTGGAGAAGGATAGCTTCAAGCTGCTGAATTTGATGTACCATCTGAGTAGTAGAAAGATGGTAATCATTGGCACGATGCTCGAAGTTCTCAATGTTGCTGCGATATTGACCTTCAACACGGAACCTATCATTCTCCAATGCAACACGTTCTTGCTCTTTGCGTTGCTTAGCAGTATAGCCCTCTTCGTTGGCGGTGATGAGACGGTCGTACTGCTCATTAAGTCTGGCAAGGCGCTGTTGTAAGCGCTCCCTCTTCTGGAGGGCGGTAGAAATGTCCGACTCGATTGCGCGAGCCTGGCGTTCCATATCCGCCTTGAAATTGTCGAACTCGGATGAAGCAGCCTCCTTGTTGTTCCGTTCCTTTTGCCACTCTTGCTTGATAGCCGAGGCCTTCGTAACCTCGTCCTCTGGGATCTCTCCTAGAGCATCGATTTTGAGAGCAATGTCGGCAGTCGTATCTTCAGCTTGGCGGATATTCTGCGTGAACTGAAGAGCACGCTGGCGCTGACGTTCGTCATTGCCTCCAGCATTGCCAAGACGTGTACCCAGGGTATCCACCTCTTTCTTGATGGCTGTTACAGCGGCCTTGTGATCCTTCTTGTTCCGCTTGAGACGATTGCGGTGATCCTGCAACTGCTGATCGGCGGCAGCAATCGAGTTCTTCAGAGTCGTAGTGGGGGAAGATGGTCGTAAAGTCTGGTGTGCTGGGGGGGAGGCGACCGAGGCTAATGCTGCTATGAGTCTTGTGCGGTCATATGATACGGAGGAACGTATACTCACCAAGTTCGGCAACCGGGCTCGGGGAAGTAATAAGGCTGGCTGAATAGAAGACTTCGCGATCTTTGGTACGAACGAACTCGCAATAGTAGTTCGAAAGGCCCGTAAGACCGAAAATTTCTCCCACCCATGAGCCTGTTCCTTCCTCGCCCACGTACCCGTCGGGAACGGTGCGTCGGATGCGGGTCGAACTCCAATCTGCACCGTTGACACGAATGTAGAAAGGCTTCGACTTGTCAATGCCCGATCCGACGCCTTCCTCCTCTTGTTCCTGCACACCTTCGCAGTCGCTAGCACCAAACAAACAAACACGAAAAGAAATGTCGGCATGCCCGACCTCAGAAATCCAAACACGGTCGTCTTCCGATCTAAAAACAGCGTTTCCAATGTGATTTGCGTCTTTTGCATTAGCCTCGCCGGCGTCGTTGGCCGCTCGGCTACTCTCCATCTCCTTGAGAACTGTGACTTTTGTACTAGCCAGGGCAGCCCAGAACGGCTGTTGACTCCTGACATGCGTGGCCTGCTTCCTCTTCCGTCTGCTGCTACTCGCCTTGTCTTTGTGTGTATTTGTTGCGGGCGAGGGCCCAGGGGGGCGGCCGTCGGTGCTCGAGAAATTGGGGACCTCGGAGCTGGAATCGGCGGGGGCAGTGGAGGAACGCTGGGGGTGCACGCCAGCTTCAGGATCGGTTTTCTTACCCGTCGGGAGGGATTGAACAGTGTCACGTCTGGAAAGAGATCGCCGGATGATGCGAACGACGCCTTGAGCTAAAATGTGGATCCCCAGGAGGCTTCGCGGCCATCCGTGGGGGGTTGAGAAGCTTTCCAAATAGGTTGGCACACTCGGTGGGCTCGACAGAAATTCCAGGCCTCCCCGGGCGAGCCCAGTATACAGAATCTGCAGAAGGTGTTGCCGGAGAGGCCTGAATCTGAAGAGATGGTTGGAAAGAATGATGAAGAAACATATAAACACACTATTTGTCGCACCGTTCTTACCGGCAGCGGCACCGCCCAAGGCTATTGCAATAAAAGCCTGGGCCAGATCGAGGAAGAAATTTTGCACGGGAACCCAGAGTACCAGCCAGAGCAAAAGTATCAGGGCGTCGGCGAAGACAATAGTGAACAGAGAAGGAGTGCCACCGGAACCTTGGAAGATGTCGGTAAAAGATGGGAAAGCGGAGAGGGCAGAGAGAGGGGTACCGGCTTGGGGAGGCACAAATGTGAGGGTAGCGAAGAGGAATTGTACAACGGTGAGTACGGTTGGTGGTAGTTGTAGAAGGATTATGAGGATGGCGAGGACGTCCCGCAGAGGACAGGACGAGAGAATGGTGGTAGCAACCGTCAACATATTAGGCATGTAGGCAGGAGGCGTTTTGTTCCCGGGGGCAGACGAGCGGAGCAGGGAGCCGGAAGTAGGCGCAGAATCGTCGCAGGGGCGGCAGGCCTCGAGGCCATCGAGCGAGACATCAGAGCCGGCGCGGGCGCGCTCTTCCAGAGCACTTGTGACAGCGACATTGGGCATAGCGGCAGAATCGGTAGGGACGGAGGGAGTAGCGAGCTGGGAATTGGCGGCGTGAGCGGCGTGGGAGTTGTGCTGCTGCTGCTGCTGCTGCTGTGGTGGTGGTGGGGGCGGAGCGGACGAGAGATTCTGGGAACTGTGATGGACGTGTTGCTGTTGCTGCTGCTGCTGCTGATAGTGGGACGACGTGTGCGGTTGGCCGTCTACCAGAAGATTGCTCGCGGGCGGCGGCGTCGCATGGCCGTTGGCGTGCAGGTTGGAGTTGCTCTTCTGCTTGGGGATGCGCTTGCCGATGGGTGCTGCAAGGCCATTCTCATGTCGCTTGTCGTGCGTGTTCGCCTGGTTCCTTTTGGCCTTTGCTACCATGTACGCGGCGGCGACTGGCAGGCAACAAGCACGGCGGCCCCAGGACGACTCGACTGCTGGACAGGACGAGCCAGGTTGGGGATGCGGGCAGGCCGCTGCTGGGTGAAGGGAGGGAGGGTTTGCGGGTGGAGGGCGAGGGAGGGTGGTTAGGGAGCGTGATGGGAAGTCTGGTTAAGAGGAGAGATTGGGCTGGGCGCAGTGCGAGAGACGAAACACACAGACGCTCTTGCTCATCAGACGCTGCAGGCAAGCACCGTGCCAAGGCCGACGCTGGCTCTGCTCGGACTGGCTGGCTGGCTTGACTAAGTCACGTAATGCCTGGCCTAGGCGACGACGGCGACGACGACGACGATGATGAAGATGGTGAAGAGGGAGAATCAAGCATGGCACAGGAGCATGGCATAATCACACTACTGCTATCTAATCGACAATGGCCCGCGAGGAGCGAGCGAGCGAGCTGATGGCGGTCGTCGCCGCGCAGGTAATTAACCAACCAACCAACGCCAACGGTGGTAACAAAAAAAGAAGAGGAGGACGGCCAACCCAGGTACTGGAGACAGACACCTCCCAAAGACTGGCTGACAGACGGAACTATGGCACGCTTGAGGGCACATGGAAGACGACCCCCAATTCCGGACACTGGACCGCCGCTGACTGGTTCTCTCTTTCTTCCCCCCTCCCCACGACCTATCCCAGCCATCCAGTGGAGAGCCTCTGCGAAAACGGAAAAGAGGGTAGAGAGAGTGAGAGAGTAAAAAAAAAAGAAAAAAGATTCGTCGTGCATTGAATGGAAATGAAATTTCAGCCTGCTAGTGCGTGGTGGAGTGGCTCCCGCCGTGTCCGTCCACCAATGCCCGCGCCGCCTTGTCGAGCTTCATTTTTCCCGATTCATGATTCTCATCTGATGAACAAAGGCCAGCTCCGCTCCGAGGCCCCAATGTTTCACTAGTCACCACCTTGGACTCGCTGTAAACATGCGTGCATCCGCTACATGTATGCAACGACCGTCTTTTGTCGTCGCCAGCCATCATCATCACCCGCTGATGGAGAGATGGATGCGTCTGCTGCATCCCGCAGTGCAGAGCACACGACATTTGGTCGCAGCTTCGCCAGTGACACTTGTCCAATGAATGATTGTCGACGCACTGCCCCTCCTCCTCCCTCCACCCATCCATTGATCCTTTGACCACCCTCATGTACTGTCGATCATGACCGCTGAGAAAAGGCTCCGGCCTCCCAGGATCGCCATCTCCAGCCCTAAACGAGCAGCATGCTAGCCCGATGCGTGATGCTCACCACTCTGGGTCGAGACAGCGCCCTTTTGGGCTCCGTTTGTCGGCGGATATCTGCTCACAACTCTGCTGGCACTGCGTTTGTCGTTATTCTTCTGTTAGTTTGCCCTGCACGGGGACTTGCTCTACACGTTTGTTCGTACGCGCATGGGTGGTGGTGGCATTTCCTCTTATTAACCACACCATCCGAGTTTTCCTGCACGCTAGCCAAACCCCCCCTGAATACATGCTTTGCTAGTACACATGGTAAGCATGAACCCACCAGCAAATCACATGCTGTTTATTGTCACACCGCATCATATACAGCAGCACTTCACTCTACAGGCAACAATGCGGAAACCCGCCGTAGCCCCGCCGTTGCCTCGTCCACGATGAACGCCCCGAGACGAGTGTACGTGGAAACACCATCTCCTTTGAAATCAACATTCACCGTCCAACATGTGAGTGCCTGATCCGTCATGGAAGCTAGTTGATCGCTTCCCGTGTCTGTAAGCGCCACAAGATCCATCTTTGAAAAATCTCCAGCCAGCCAAAAGGCGATCGCTCAATCTATCCAGTCTTCGGAGCATTACGATACGGCTCGTAGCCCGGAACCATACCCGCCCCTCCATCACTCCCACCATGTCAAAAGCTTGTCCGCAATAGGCCAATGACGGTCGCCCTGACGTGCAAACCGTGAAATTCGGGCAAGTCACGCGTAAACGGGCGCGCAGATCACCATGATTTAGAGGCCGAGAACACCCATTTCACCATCATGTTTTCCTTTGAACCGCGACAAGCAGCTTTCATTCCAGTCTTTCTGAAGAGCTACCCGCGGCACTGTCCACCCGCTTCCTTGTGCAGTCAACTGGAGCTGTGTAGCTAAAGTGTCTTCACGGGCCCGTGGTCGCACTGCCAAAGTCTTCTTTGGCATCGGGACGATCCCAGCTATCCTTCTCCAACTTCTGCACCTGTTTGAGCAGACGGCTGACCCGCTCACCGTTGACCGCTTTGGCCTGCTCCTGCAAGTCAAATGTTTGCTGCAGTTTGTCAATCACGAATGGCTGCATGGGCGATTTGCGTCCAAGCTTGTAGTCGTACACCACAATATCCTCTTCGCATCGTGCTGCGATTCTCCTGTGTCTTTCCGATAATATCAACACGTCGAGCATAAAGTGATCGCTCTCTGCCTCCGGTTTATTTCTGAGCTTGTGCAGGACCGTCACCCGGTCTGGGTACACCATCGGCTTACCACCCATCCACAGTCAGTTCCCTCGACAGCCATGTACTGCATAGCAAAAAGAGTCCAACTCACAAACTTGTAATCCGTCTTGATGCTGCGAAGAATGAGGCCTTTGCTCTTCGGCGTCATCAGCTCCAACCATTCATTCCTGTGTGCCTTGTCGGATGCTGCAAACGAGAGTAGCCAGTTGACCCTCGCACTCTCCGCGTAGCGATTGTAAACCACGTTGTTGACATGACCTGATCACACGATCAGTCTCTGCTTCACTTCCATAGACCAGAACGAAAAAACATTCGTACCCTTGCGTGCGTATTAGCTAGCCAGTTCTGCACCACACCATTCATTCTCGTCGAGCTCGTCTCACCATGCTATCCTGTTTCCAGCCCGACTTGCGTTAGCCGTTGCACAGCAGTCATTCAGTATCGGACGGGAAGGAGGCCAAAAAATCTAACCATTTCGCCCCATACAACTTCCTGGCGATAGAGACCGGCTTGGTCTTTGCTCGCCAGGAAGCCCTCACTGCCTGCCAACAGTTCCCGCCAACGGTCCGTCAGCTCATGCAGTACGCCTCCAGCTTCCCGCGTCTGCTCAGAGCTGAGCCCAAAACTTATGCATTTGCCTATGCGTGTGCGGGCTTCGGAAAGCCATCGCGGGTTCGGGCGTGTTCGCGTGCTCGACGTAGATTGAAATCGCGCGGTGATCAGCGGAATGCGACTGCACGTTGTGCGGAGGAGGGATGGTGGAATGGCAAGTGCCGTGCGCGCAGCTGTTCGCATCTCGAGATGAGGAGAAGGGGGGAGGCCAAGCCAAAGCTGTCGTGTCTAATGAGTATTTTTCTTTTTGCGGAATTGAGCCTCTTCGAAACGCGCTGCGTGGATGGATGGATGGATGGATGACGAATGCCGAAATGGCGAGCTTGAGCTCCAGCTTGCCTTGACGTTTTGTGGGGCCGCCCAAGCTCTTCCCCCGCCGTGAGACCATGACCGAGACCGAACCCTGGAATCATCGTAACGTCAGGAACAACTCCAATCACCTCTCACCATTCCATAGCTCAAACTCCCGCCGTGTCTATGTAGCTTTTGGGGACGTTGAATTTGTCATCTCACGCTCGAAGTATGGCCGCCGTTCAAGTACCGACCTTGAGGCATCAGGTCATTCGCATATACAAAGGTAATGGATCCAAGATGGAGTGAGGGAATTCAATCATCTGATGCGAAATAGAATTGCTCTTCCTGGGTCGCGAATATCCACTCGGATACAGCTATTACAAGACACGACTCCATAAAGCCTTTGCCAGCCAACAGCACTTGACTGACGAAGAGGATATTAAAAAGGGCATAGCAAGGGCTGAATTTGTCAAGAAAGGTTAATATGGCCCGCTACCTTTCATATGCGCACGCATGCATAGGTACTGATACCAAAGGTCGCAGAAATTGAAGCTTTATACTATCTGAAGCGATACCGAGCACTCCGTCAACGGTATGACGTAGGAGCGTGAACTTGAAAACAATAAACAAAAAAAGTAAGGATAGAATCAAAAATCGAAGCCATTGGTCGATGTGGGGGGATATCTTAAACCTCAGAGGACGAAAAGGAAACGAATTGGTACGCATCGACTTTCTCCCCCTTCTCCTTATCGTCATATTCACACCTTTTGACACCACCAAACTCCAATTTCCAAACACTCTCCGCTGCTGGCGCCTCTCTGCTCCAGCAGATCAGACATCATGTTTCCCCACCATCGTTGCCACTCTTCTTGTGACTTCCCGCTGACCTCCTTCAGTAGAGGCTCTAAGCTTTCAATCATCTGAATAACGACAAGCAGTGCCGTATATCGCAAGGCTGCCTGTTCCTCCGTGAGAGTCGAGCTATCCACGGAATGGCTCCCTTTCTTGCCTCGGGATACTTCGCTCGTGCGGCGCTTTGCAGGATCTTTACCTGCCGCGGCCTCGCGCTCCCAACGCAGTTCACCAAGCGGAATGGCCACTCTGCGATTTTCTACATCTCGCAGGGTTTCTGTTTCCTGGAGTAACATCTGCGAAACACGCGCGCAAGGCGTAGTCTCGAGCTTCAGTTTGTCCAAAGCTTCTTGTATCCATCCATTTGAAATTTTGAGGAACTTGTTGTGGACTTCTGTGAAGGGTGTTCCGGGGGAGATGAGAAATGTGCCTGTGGAGACTGCGCAAGCGTATTCGTTTGGATTCTTTCCTGGCGGTGGGGGCGGATGGGGTAAAATGGACCGTATAATGTGATCTGCCTCCCAAATTTCAAACGTACCACCCGACTTCAATATGCGCGTAGCTTCGTCCAGGAGTCGCTGCGAAGCACTGCCCATAGTCACCACCATACTCATGTCCTTCATAACCACAATATCGAATTCTCCATCATCGAATGGCAGTGGTATTTTTCGGAGATCATGCTGAACGAATTTCCAATCTATGCCTTGCTTTCTGAGGTCTGAAGCTATAGGAGCAATATCCAAGCCAGTGAATGAGACATTCTCATAGCCCAAGCTAGCCAAATAGCTGTGGCACATGGATGACCAGTATCCAGTACCGCAGGCAAGCTCCAGGACCTTTTTGGGCGGCCGCGATGCTTTCGGGGTGGAGCTCAAAGCGCAACCCAGCACAGAGGTTGCCAGGAGGGTGTGGAGATTTTGGCGTTGCAGCTCGGGCAGATCGCAGGGCAGCGGGTAAGGCAGGTCCCGGAGATAGCGGCGGCCGTGACGGAGTACAAAGGGATTCGCTAGATGGCCAGCATCGTCAACGCGGGCGCTCTGAGCGGTGGAGGCGCTCGATATAGAGCCGCGTGAGGTGTCCATGGGGACTCCCAACGAGGTGGGGGCGGCCGAGGCAACAGTCGACACCGATATGGTTCGTCCGAGGGCGTCAGTTTGGGTCAGGTCCCATTGCTTTGCTTCGACAGGTGGGCGTATGGGGGTGCCGTTGGCATTTCCGCCAGTATAACGATACTGGGAGAGCAGAGGTCAGGAACATGCCCTTTTGGCAGGGGAGAAAAAGTTACCATCATCCACTCAGCCATGGGAAAAACGGGGTGGTGCTTGACACCCTTGCCCCACACCCGTCGTTAGCGTGCGCGCTCGAGATTGGGGGGTTTTCCCGGATGGTTGGAAGCGCACGTCGATTGTAAATTGGGGACATGAGCCGGTCGACGTGGGGAAGCGTGCGAGGATGGATGCGTGGTTGCGTCGCTCTCTGCGTGTGTAGGTACATGTATGTACTCTATGTATGTCTGTTTGCATGCAGTGCCGTCACGAATGAGCGCGGGCAGTGGCTGGTCAGCTGGCTGGGGTGAAGCTGAGGAAATACGACGGCATTGTGAGGCCGAACACAGCACTTGCAACAGAGGCAATGTCCGGCGGCGGCGGCGGCAGACGTGGAGGACGTGTATGCAATGAACGAGTGAATGGATCAGTGAATGGATCAACAAACGATGTGAACGCAAACGTGCCCCCTCCTCCGAGCCAAGTGAGGAGAAGACAGCCCTTTGTACGAACGTATGCTGCGGTTTGCAGCTTCAGCCGAGGGGTTTGGGCAACAACCACCCGTCTCCAATCAGAACAAGGCGGACGCCCTCAGAGTCTCACTCTACATAGCCAGCATGTCACCAACTTTGTACAGGTCGCGATGTCATGTATGCATCGTACTGCACTGCACCTGGACTTCGGCCCCCTCAGATGAATGACCATCCCCTTTGTCATGCCTGGAAACACCGGCCGTCTGCACAAGCGTTTGGGAGGCAAACCATAAATCTCCCTCCGAGCTTCAGAGCCGCCAACGCACTCTTGGTTCGCGTTGAAAAGAGCGGGCGCTTGTTCGTTCATGCTTCTGTCTGTCACGCAAGAAGGCGCCAGAGGTTGCTGCTCGGACAGTACGATGGATGGATGGATGGATGGATGAACAAAGCCACCGATTCTATGCTCGATTGCGTGATAGTTGTCGCTGTCTTATATATGCCCAACAGTAATTTTCCGATACATGTATACGTATACACAGATGATGATACCAGCCCCTTGCCGTCGTTTTTGGTCAAAAGCAAATCAAGGCATGTGTGTTGGATCGTCGCCATTCACAGGTGCTGTATCCACTACCATTCACGTATATACTCAAGGGGAGTGAATGCGAGAAGCAAAGGGCAGCGGCTGAACAATATTCCGGTCGGGTATGGTCCGAGCGCACTTCTTGGGGTTCATCGTGAAGCTCGCGGAACAGCCATACCATTCAGTACATTCTCTATTCTTCCCCACGCGCGTGCTTGGAATTGTCAACTCTTCTCTTAATCACCATTGAGATCGCTTGAATACCTGCAAGTCTGTCCGATCCGACCGCTGCTGTAAGTGTGCGACTTTCCATCCGCTTCTGCGCTCGTCTATCGCGCTGCCGACCAGCCTGCTCCCCACCAACACACCAGCTGAACAAGATTGAAAGCAGGCACAGACGTGAACTCTGACACCAAATCGCCGTCTCCGATACCTAAGCGCTCCCTACTCCATCCTCACCACCCGCCCTCTGCCCCCCCACCCCGCCGCACCACCGCACTTGAGCTAGCTTGCAAGCCCCATCGGCGGCGCAATCCATGCCCTCTGGCAACACGTGTTGCCCGTCCAGTATATGACGGTATTCCATTCACTCGCCCATGTTAGAACGAAGAACCTCGCCTCCTCCAAAACCCCCCGCCTACTTGACACGATCCTCCTCCATCCACCCCCCGGGCTCCTCCTGTGGTGAATCGCCGCAGCCCCGGGGCTCCTTCTCCTCGATCACATCCACCTCGACATCATTCCATGGCCGATTATTTAGCCTATCAGAAAGGACACGCTCAGACTTTCTACCCGCAGCACGCGCAGCCGAACATTCACCCTCGCAATCCCCCGAACCGAGTGCGATCGCCGGCTACTAACGCCCGCATCTTGTTCAACGCCAATACTCCATCTCCCTCAAGATCTCCCAGGACCAATTCGCCCCAGCAATTCGGCATGTTCAACCAGCAGAATCATGGGCAGCACGGCCACAACGCGATGATGAATGGTGGGGGTCACCAACGGTACATGCAGATGAATTTGGCCAAGCCGTTTCAGCACAACCAAACTCACCAAACTCACGGGCATGCGCACCAGCATCAAGCTGATCATACTGGTGCTACGCATGGTGGACAGTACAACCACCAGCACAATGTGTCGAGCGGTGGCCTCGCGAACGTGCAACCCCATTTCGCAGCTGGCCATTTACAAAATGGGACGCCTGGTAGTGTTCACAGCGGCTTGACCAAACCTCCGAATGAACATTGGGCTGAACAACTGGCCCTAGCGCAACGGGCACGAGAGATGGTACAGTCGCATGCTCATGCGCGAAACCACCCAAGTGTGAATAAGAGTGTGGTAGCCGGGACCTCAAATGGCGCGCAGAAGGAGACTGAAAGGGAAGAACGAAACCGACCCATTGCACAATCTGCACAAGACGCCAAAGAAAACCATGTGTGGACAATTCTCGATTTCGGTGGGCAGAACCTGAAAGTCATCACGTCTTCGCTTTTCCAATATCAGTTTCTTACGAAGCTTTATTTGAACTGCAACAAGCTTTCTGTTCTGCCTGAGGGCCTTGGGAAATTGAGAAATCTGACACATTTGGATGTTTCCCTCAACGAGCTACGATCGCTTCCGGCCGAAATCGGTATGCTGGTGAACCTCAAGCAGCTCTTGCTCTTTGACAACAATGTGACATTCCTCCCAGACGAAATAGGTTCGTTATTTCAGTTGGAGATGCTGGGTATCGAGGGCAACCCGTTACCAGAAGACATCAAGTCAATCATTGTCGAGCAGGGAACTGGAGAACTCATCAAGCATTTCCGCGAACATGCGCAACGTAAGTTTTCAGAGTTCTATACATGCGAAAAAAAGCCCTAGCTAACAGTAATAAGCTCCCAATCCACCGAGAGATCGCGATTGGCTAATGCTCGATGATACCGATTTGTCTACTCAAGAGACGGTGACGGCGCTGAGTTACAACATTCTTTGCGACAAGTACTGCACCCAAAATCAATACGGTTACACTCCAAGTGGAGCTTTGGCTTGGGAACACAGAAGGGAAATGATTCTGGCGGAACTGCGCGCACGAAACGCCGATATTGTCTGTTTACAGGAGATCGACCAGGAGAGTTTTAACGATTACTTCCGTGAAGCTTTGGCCCACGACGATTACAAAGGTATCTTCTGGCCTAAATCAAGAGCAAGGACCATGGCGGAGAGGGAAGCGAAGCTTGTGGATGGGTGTGCTATCTTCTACAGGCACAGCAAGTACATTTTGCTGGAGAAAAAACTCGTCGACTTCGCGAACACCGCCATCAATCGCGCAGACATGAAGGGAGAGGCCGACATCTTCAATCGTGTCATGCCTCGAGACGACATTGGAGTTATCGCGTTGCTGGAAAATCGAGCCACCGGGTCGAGGATGATTGTTGGCAATGTCCACGTTTTCTGGAACCCCGCATTCGTGGACGTGAAGATGGTACAGATCGCAATTCTCCTGGACGCAATCAAGAAATGGGCAGACGAATGGACAAAACGCGAGCCGTGCACAGACAAGGTCATGTACCAGTTCACAAACGGCGACAGCGACGACGGGGACCTTGCGTCGGAAACAACCCAAGCACCAGGTCCCTCACAATCATACGCCCGAGGTGAAGACATACCGCTCCTGCTTTGTGGCGACTTCAACTCGACGCCCGATTCTGGTGCTTACGAGTTCATCACCCAAGGAACCATGTCCAACACCCACGTGGACCTTGGCAGTCGTAAGTACGGCAACTTCACGAGAGACGGCATGCACCACCCGTTCCAACTCAAATCGAGTTATGCGGCTATTGGGGAACTTGCTTTCACGAACTACACCCCCGGTTTCGTTGGTACTTTGGACTACATCTGGTATTCGACGAACACGCTGCAGGTGGTGGGCTTACTGGGCGACATTGACAAAGATTACCTCAAATGTGTGCCTGGATTCCCCAACTACCACTTCCCTAGTGATCATGTTGCCTCATTTGCACAGTATATTGTCAAGGGTCGAAAGGAAAAGAAGGCGGTGGAGCAGCCTCCTGAATTTCCTCAAGGAAGAGGCCGGGACCGGCGGTCGTGAGAAGCCCTGGCATGCTGAGATCGCTCGCGAACATCTCCAGCTGCATTCTCTCACTCTCTACTTGGAACTTGTCAATAGGCGCGTTTGTGTGGGAGTCTCAATCGTTGTTTGGGCGTCATTAGTCGGTGTCTGGGTTGCTTTCCATCTTGTAAGTCAGTTTCATGGGATCATATTGGAGTGGCATTCGAGAGAGGCGGAGATGGGGCTGGCGGGTACATTCGAGAATCTCACATGCATATGTTGTGGTTGTTCGCTTTCGCGGCCCTCCTGTTTTGGGGAGACGAGGTGTATCTCGAGCTCTCTGTCCTGGATGACATTTTCATCACAACTCTCACTGCAATCAGTTATCTCGTCGACGAGGAGGGCATGTATGGGTGGTCAAGGGCAGGCTTCGTTGTGTTTGGGACTTTGTGATGCCGGATTTTTTTCTTTCTTCTTTTCTTTGCTTCTTGTTATGTATGAGTTAGGTAGCTAAAAAGGCCAGAGCATACCCTGCTTCTCTTGTGAGATTCGGGTTGACCTGTGCTTTCACCCTCCAAAGTCCGACCCTTAGTTTATCGTGTGATGACCCAGTCCAAGGCTCCAAGCACGCCCAGTTGCTACTTGCGACAACATCGTTGGGCAGATAGATATCCGTGTGTGGCAATGAGAAGATAAATACGGTGCACTGTCTCACCCATGATGACGGAGGCGGAGGGTACTTTATCCGCAAAATAGTCAGCGGCGGCTGTGGGTCAGATGGCGGTGCTTCATTGGTGCGTTGGCACGATTCAGCACCAAGACAATCTCTCACATTGGGAGTGCCCCTCCGCAGTTCACGTGCTTGGCTGCGGCTAGTTACATAACCTACTCACCTACCCAACTGCCATTCAATTATCGTTTCCTTTTGCAACCTTCCTCCACTCCCCAGTTCTTCTTGACGGACCCCCTACGTCCTCGTATATTTATCCAAGGCGACCAATTGATCCTCTGCTCAACATGGCTGCTCCCGCCGCCACAGGACACGAGCTCAAGCTCGATCCCAAATACGACGACTACGATTTCCCCACCACGGCACCTGTGGCCCAGAACGGGCATCCTGGACATACGACTCCTGAGCAGGATGCCCAGGTGCATCAGCTGAGGAGCATGCTCGAGGCGGAGGGATACACAAAGAATTTGGACACCTTGACTATGGTAGGTGCGGGGCGGTGTACAAATGTGCGTGGAGAAATGCTTACAGGGGTATAGCTGCGATTCTTGCGTGCGAGGAAGTTCAACGTGGAGCTTTCCAAGCAGATGTAAGTCTATGTGCCAGATTTTTTTTTTTTGGTAGGGCCTGTGGGGCTTAGCTGACCACCGTGGCTTGTCAGGTTCATCAACACCGAGAAATGGAGGGCCTCGTACGCGACTGTCGGTGTAGAGGAACTGGTCCGTACGTTCGACTACAAAGAGCGACCCCAGATCATGCAATACTACCCTCAATACTATCACAAGATTGACAAAGTATGCCTACTTTCACCCCTTTCTTTCATCTAGGCAGCTGTACTAACCAAGCTTCCCCAGGATGGCCGTCCCCTTTACATCGAACAGCTTGGCAAGGTCGATTTCGCAGCTCTGGAGAAAATCACAACCCAAGAACGTATGGTCCAGAACCTCGTGTGCGAATATGAGAAGATGACCGACCCCCGTCTCCCTGCTTGCTCTCGCAAGTCCGGCTACCTCCTTGAGACATCGTGCACGATTATGGACCTCAAGGGCGTCGGCGTTGCCAAAGCCAGTCAGGTCTACGGCTACGTGCAGACTGTTAGTGGCATCTCACAAAACCATTACCCTGAACGACTTGGCAAAATGTACATCATCAACGCACCGTGGGGTTTCTCAGCCGTGTGGAGCTTCGTGAAGAAGTTTCTCGATCCGGTTACCGTCCAGAAGATCCACATCTTGGGTGGTGGATACGAGAAGGAGCTGTTAGCTCAGATACCTGCGGAGAATCTTCCCAAGCAATTTGGTGGCAAATGCGAATGCCCTGGTGGCTGCGAATTGAGCGACGCCGGTCCATGGGACGACCCGGCGCTGGTTCGCCCACCCAAGTGGGCTAAGAAGGCGGATGACAAGGATGCTATTGACAACACAAAGCTCCCTGCCCCGACCGAAGAGTCTGCAGCACCTGTAGCTGCTCCTGCTCCTGCTGCTGGCACCGATCCTGCTGCCGCTCCTGCCGCTGCTCCAGCGACGTCGTAGTGATCTCGTTCTATCTTCTCTTTCCTTGGCTCTTGGGCAGCAATTCAGTATAGAGATTCTGCGATCGAAATATAAAATATCTGACCGGCATGAACCAATCTGCCCGTAATAAGCAGCGATTTCAACCTCCACGATGCTTGTGAATCCATGTCTTTGTACTCCCGTCCTTACCTTAGCCTGTGGGAACAAACTGGAGCTGGAACACGGAGCACTTCAATTTCTTTGTTGTCTAGCACGCACTACCCCGCCCCCAGAACCAACTCGTAAGCACCTTTTAAATCTCATAATGCGGTTCGTTCTGTGACAAATGCATCGGACATGTCATCCATCCCCCAAAACTTTTATATGTGAAAATGTTTTCCCCATCTCGAAGTACACAACGTTTTGGCGTCCAATCCCCAAAGGCTCAAGCTGCAACTCCGCTAACATATTCGCTTCAACTGCCATTCATTCTACTTACTGACCGCGATAATACCTCAGACAATGGCCCTAGTGCCACTCCAACCGACTTGAACGCCCTAGAAAGCATCTGCAAAGCCCTTAACAGCAAAGGTGTGCAATCCGTGATATGGAACCCAATCCCGTTTGCAAAGACCATCGCAAAGCCTAAACTTCCGGGATCACATATCGACGCAGAATCAGTCAAGAGACAAAAGGAAGCATGGAGAGTTGACGAGGCGAATCGTTGGACCCAACTCTTGCAGCAAGGAAAATGGATAATACGTAGTCCTCCGGCCAAAGACGAAGATTTGTCGGACGCGCACGGGTTACTCGGTCCCTGGAAACACGGCGACGCGACGCCATCAAAGGACGAGGCTAAAGCGATTGGGAAAAAGATCTGGTCTTGCCCGTTCTTGCTGCAGAAGTTTGACGTCGTGGTGCATGATCCTAAGCGCTTCGAGCCCGAGGTTCAGATGATTTACGAGGTCCTTGCTATGTTGGGTGGGCTCACGGACGGCACTACGTTGAGAATTGTAATTGGAGAGCGGTGCTGGCCTTGGGTGGCATTTGCGCCGCCCATGGATGGGCTGTCCGCAGCATATACTAGCAATGTTCTCTCGCCATTGTCCTCGCCGCTTTTTTCACCCCGTGTGCGAGGAGTTGACTCGGGGTGGAGTGAAGAGAAGGTTGCAAATCTTCTTAAGATGTGGCTGGTTTTGGAGAAGGAGATAATGAGCGCGGGTGCTGTGGACATGCTACGGACACATTGGCCCTTGTCTCATCTTTTGACACACAGTGCTGTGGAGGCCCTTCGTGACGCGAGGAAGACACTGATGAAGAACGTCGCGGATAGGACGAGACCGGATGGTGGCAAGCGTAGGGCGCGGGAGGAGAGAAAGGGGGATAAGCTACGGAGGCGGTCTGAATGGGACAAGGCGTACAACGAATGGCAACAAGACTTACAGTGGCAAGACGAGGATGATCAAGAGCTCGAGGAGATGCTAGTCCTGCAAAGAAGAGGATGGTGGGATAAACTAGAGAAACTCGGCGCGGGCAACATAGTAAACCAAATCCACAAGCAAGAAGTAAAGGGCCAAAAAGTCGCAATCTCTTTCCAACTGGGAGACCAAGTACCACAATCCCTGGATAACGAAAGCGAAACCGCATCCACAATCCTTACGCCTCAATCCGTTGATCAATTCACACTCGGAGAGCCCAGCCAGCATGCTTCTGGGGGGGATAAGGAGGAGGAGCAGCAGCATGCCTATAACGACGTCGAGCCTTTCCCACACGTAACTGCCATAAGCTTCCCCATCCCCGTCCGCACGCTATCCTCGCCTCAACTCCTCACCTATCTCTTCTTCCTCCAACACATCATTCTCTTCGCCACCGAAAACCCGTCAGAATACGTAGCCCCGTCAGTCTCGTTCCTCGGCGACAGAGTAACCATCCCACACCAACCTCTCGCAACCGGTCTCCATCGAGCAGCGCTTTTTGTCGGGCTGAAAGAAGCAATGGCCACTGAGCTGGTGAACTTGGTAGAGAACAGCGAAAGAAGAGGGGGCGTTGATAAAGTGGCGAGAGAGGAGCGTAGGTACGAGAGAGGTAGACGGGGTGGTTTCGAGGGGATCTCGGCGCTGGTGGATAGGAGGCGGGATATGGGGAGGGCGGGGATGAGGAGTTGGGTGAGGTGGTATGAAGATGCTGGCGGGTTTCATGTGCCTCGCAGGAGGTCACTTCTTCGACTTTTGGAAGCGAGTGAGAGGTAGGTGAGTGTCATTACGTGCGCTTCATGCCGATGTAGGGAAGGTCAGTAGCGCTAGGAGGCATGTGGAGGATACAATGTGAACAACCGAGGATAGAACGCAATGCAGCGGGAATATGAACAGCATATACTGAGAAGACAATTGAGATTATGTGCTTGGGGTATTGTAAGACGTCAAGAGGATGCAATATGTGGGGTTTGCCTTTTGACGGCACGTCTATAATAATTTGAATTCCATGCCCGTAGGCTGTGTGTCATGAGTAATTGAATTGTTACATCGACTCGAAGCCGCTCCACCGTCCTTCGTCCCCTGAATACAAAGACATAGTCAAAGACTGTTGGTTGTTGGATGTCGATGGTAACCTGCCCGCTCACGCAGTCTCGTCCACTCCTTCATTCCTCGTACGCCATCTAGCAGTTGAGGATCTGAGTAACGGTGACGCCGTCGCTCTTGACGCACATGCCGTGGTTCTGGCGAGCCTCCTTTTCTGAAGAGAAGTCAGTATACAAGGTAACAAGTCTTGTTGGAGATTGTGTAAGAAACGTACCGATGGGAGCAGCCATGGTGAAGGCGGCCATGGAGAGGACGGTAGCGATGATGGTGGTGAACTGCATGTTGATGGTATTATTGATTGATTTGTGTGTGGTTGCAGGTGCAGGGTATCAAAGGTGTTGGATTGGATATAAGAGAAGTAATCGCTCAGCGATGGGAAAGAATGTGCAGTGGTCTGGTGATTAAAAGTTGAAGAGAGGAAGAAGAAAGGAACTTGTTTTGTATGTAGAGTTTTGGAATAATGGGTGAAGAGCAACGGCGGCTCTCTACCTTTAATAGCTGCCTGAATCCAATGCCAAATGTCGATGCCCTGCCCTACGGAGGATTCACTTGGTAACCGCACAGCGTCAGGTTCGCTGTGGTTGTGACTATGCCAGTCTCGTAGTCTTGGCCTGAAACCGGATGCCAACGTTCCTGAGGTTCTTGGTAACGGCATGATTGATTGCGGACCAAGATTGGCGCTGGGGATGGCCCCATTGGGGTATGTGCTTGGGGCATCTTCGCTGTGTGATTCTGGGGCTTTGGTTCTGGTTGGGTGCGTCGAGGGGGAGTCGTGTGTCAGATTGTGCGGGTGGCTTGCCTCAGGTGGGACGGGGAACGTGAAGGGCACGTACCGAACGCAGGGAGAGGTACGCGCGTCCACGACCGAACGGCTGAACTGTGGATTCTTAATACCTCGCGGGCTGACGTCGAGCTTTGTGAGGGTCTGCATAGTCGCTCTTGTTTATCATTCTCCTCTATGAGGAGGATGCGTTGGATGGCTCTCTGGCTCGATACTCCTCGTCAATGTACTTCACACACGAATATGGCATGCTCGCCCTAAGCAATCATCAACAGCACAACGGATGCAATCTAGGCCCTGCCAATTCTATAATTCGATCCAGACCACAGTGGAGAAAGCGACTAAAATGATCGGTACTAAAAGAATCCGCCTATCGACGTTGTTCTGGAGATCCTCGCGGGTTGGGTTGTGATGAAACGGCGCTCAAACCGAGACGAAACTCGCAAGGAGGATCGAGATCATTGGCGACTACCAAACCAAGCGTAGTTTGGGGGCGAACCTGGTGTCATGACGTGGTGCACAGAAAGATTTGAATTCATGAAAGGGATGGAAATACTATTTATGAATGTGAAAGCTGTGCATCTGTCAGTGGTTCTGACAACTGGAAACTACGGTCAAGACATTCGACCGAGGTTTCCGAGCAGACAGAAGGGAATAGTACAGGGTGAGAGTCATGGACACATGACAACAAGCGCACAAGTGTTTGAATGTGTTATGTGGATTATGATTCTAAACATTCAATCATAATTTTTACAGGTAGATTGAATCACGCGTTCAAGTACATAGATATGTATGTAGGGTACGTACATTTGTAAATAGGCCTGAAGGCCTCGAAACAATCAGCCGCCATCGTCATGGTGAACCAGTCTGTTTATTGTTCTCTATATTCATTTATTACTCAAGGAGAGGGAAGAAAAGGTCTTCAACAACGGAATGGAATTTAGTAACAACTATTCACAGCTATCTCAGCAGTGACATGTTTACACAACGTTTGATCTTCTCCACAACCTGACGCCAGTTCACCGTCGGTGCGCTAGACCCGTTACGGTTTAGTGACAAACCGTTCCTCAAACATCAACTGACATGGCGACCTTTGTTTTACGCATCAAGCCCATACATTCTCATCAACTCATGTTTCTGCAATATCCTACCCTACATTCTTTGATACTTCATTTGCATGTATATATTTCAACCACGTAGTCTTGAATACACTGATGACGCGGAGTGACGGAGCAAAGCGGATGCCAATTGCGTCATGCGGCCGCAGCACATACGGACCCTGGCAGCCATATTATCGATTTCCAAGCATCCACTCTTTCAGCAGGCTTTAAAGAACAGGTTTCCCAAATCCATAGCCAGCTCTTCTTGCCATTTCTGCGATTCTGAATCCTGTTACGAGCGTTCTCACAAACTTTTGTATAGCGAACATTTGACTCTCCAAAGACGATACTTCTGACGCTACACGGCCATGCATTTTTACTTCCAGGGTGCTACTGCGACGCTGCCCGCCCACGTCATCTACGAAGGAGACGCCTCGTATGATTGATTGAGGTGCTAGAATATTTTAACAATAATGGTCGAGCTTTAGATCATCTAGTAGAAAGAGAATGGACATAGCAATGTGGATTCTTGACTACGGCTTTGGCAAGCTTGTTTGCTGCCTCAGCACGTGCTAGAAGCTGCACTACATGTATACTTGATAATGGCGTGGATCAAGATGCTTTATAGCCACCCACTCCTTGGGGAGCGCGAAGGAGAAATGCTATGAGCTGGCAAAGCCAACAAACGGATACGCAAGAATAAGATACCGGCTGGGACTAACAACACTCGCTTTGCACAGCATGTAAATTATAAAGACGATTCAACATAGAACCGCCTGGATGACTTGCAATACCAACAAAGCAGTCTCCGTACACGGTATGGGATATTTGTCGTTCTGTCGTCTCTCATATCGACATTTGCTCACGATTTGCTAGGTGAACGGGGAAGGGGTTTGATTGCATCTGTAGCCATCATTCACTGCAGAGCGAGCCGCGCGTGGTTCGGCTCTTTGGGGTTCTTTCCGTTTGTGTCCAGGCTGTATCTGCTGTTTCGGTTCTGGGAAGTAGCCTCCAGACCTTAAAGTGGTCACCAGCAAACATCCACCAGTTCTCTCACCTTACCCTCATCTGCCTCAGCCCACCACCCCCGACATCGCAAAAATGCCTGACAAAGCTGGTTGGCGGAGGAAGAATAAGGCTCGGCCCAAGGAGTTGAATCTGAATGTCGATACTGCGCGTCCATCCGTCGAGAGCGGTCGCCCATCTTCAAACTGGTTGAGGAATAGCCGTCCAGGCACGCCATTGAGCGCAACCGCCACTGATGACGCCCGCAGCGAGAAATCCGTAGAAACCCTCACTCCCCGGCGCGCAACGAGGCCGAAGATCTCTCACTATCTCTCCGGTATTCCACATTTAAAAGATGATATCGACCCCGACTTTGCAGACGAATGGTGGAACGAAATTGAGCCGCTGCCGGTGGAGCCTCCGGTCGACCCCCAGACTGCGATGCAGTTAGTATCAAAATTCATGCACCAACAGCCACTACAGCCGATTCCTGTCAGCATGTACAGCAATATCTTTCGCATCTTCGAGGATTACCGAAAGGTCAAAGAGGAGACCGGTGAAAGCAGCCACAGATTGCACGAAGCCTTGCAAGCCCACGAGGAAGCGGAAAGTGCTTGGGTTAAGACTGAATCTCAGTACCAGGCTGAAATCAAACGGCTTGAGCTCCTTATTGCGCGTGGGACCGCTGGATTGACTGGGTAGGTCCTATTTATTGCGATGTATTTCTATATGCTAACCAAGACCCAGACTCGTACATGCAAGACAAGGGAGTGTCGTGAAGAAAAAGCGTGGAAACCTCCATAAATTCTTCAAAAAATCAATTGCAGCATTGTCTTTGGAATTACCGCCAGCCCAATTGGATGCAGAGATAAGATCCAGAAGCAAGAAAGGTGAGTCCACACCAGCGCCATTTAGATCAATCATCTAGGTAGATTCTGAAAACAATTACAGTACTTCTACAGCGGCCAGTTTCGCCTTCACGTCAAATGGCTGTCTTATCGAAACAGCTTACCATGTCTGGATACGCGGATGATCTCCATATTGGCACTCCACCCTCAAAAAGAACTGATGTGAGCTTATCGCGGAGGGTCAAGAGCGAATTGGACTTGATTAAGATGAGCGGTGCCGTGTCAGAAAGCGCCGCCCTGGAAAACGTCGGAAATACGATACATTTCGATACTGCAAGCTCATCATCATCATCATCAGGAGATTCCGAATTTGAGATAGCTGGCGACCTGTTGCCAGATGAGATGGAAACGGAAGTTGGGCCAAGCTTCTCTCTTTTGAACTCTACGATTGACAAAGAAGCTTTTGTTGCTCTCCAAGAACTCGGGGTTCTTGTAGCAAACAAGCAAGGTCTTGATCCGCGAGTTTTCATCAATGGGTTGATGCAACTATTGGAACCAGATCAGCCCCAATTCAATGTTATAGGTCAGTACCAGATCTTCCTAGATAACTGTGAAGACAGCCCCCACTTATAGTCCCATTGCAGATGATATCAACCCGACATATATCGATACGATGGAGCACGACATGAACAAAAGTAGCACGCAAGATTCCTCGATCTCAAACTCCCAACTAGAAGATGCTCGCTCTCGCCCACGGCTAGATTCTGATGAGAGATGCCGCCGTGGTCGTCATTTCTCTTTTGAGCCCGGCGATGATACGACGTATCCTATGACGAGGATGCAACCACCACGAGACGGCTCTCAGAAGCCCCAGCTTTCTAACAGATCGGTTTTGTCAGCGGCTGTGTCGGATCCCAGGAGAGTATCTAAGATACCTAGTCCCATACACCGCCCTGGTCTGTCGAACGTACGACGTGAAGGTTCACTGTCGAGTTTCCACTCGGGCAGTAATAAGATAAACGATGACGAACGCCGTGACTCTAGGTCATCTGTACTGACAGCATTTCGAGACCAATCTGGTGACGACCAGAATCTCCAGCTGAGTAGCTCGGATGAGACTCTATCTGTGACTGGTAGGACGAAAGAGAACTAAGCCCCTCAAGCGCGTTGACAACGAAGCGTGTCCCCAAGAACGTTTGTCGTTCCTGGTTGTCATCTTGGATGGTGGTGCTTTGTTGACTCCTGCAGCTACCTCTGAGGTGGCAAGTTTACGGTAATCTCGCATACGGACGGGTTTGTTCTCATGATGTTCCGAAGGATTTATTTCCTTGCAGGTCTTTTCTCAGCATGATGACTGAGTGGTCGAGGAAATGTTTATGTGCGACCCCAGTCAATAAAACAGTGGGTAATGTAGCTGAAACGCCCGCTCCAGGATCCCATCAATCAAACGGTGGCGAGTGGTTTATATGACTACGGCTTTGGATTTGAAGGACAGGCGATTCTCATCGGCAGGTGGAATAGCGAATCAGAGATTAAGATAGCGGATGGGCGAGCCCGCCGATTGAATCAACAGGCAATACAGGATCAGTCACACATTTGGTCATTGCAATTTCACAGATGCATGGTGACTCTGTCAGCATGAAGAGAGGGAAGGTTTTGGAGACTATAGTTCCATTCGTGTTTCGATATGACTGCTAACGAAGACGACAGAGTGTCTGACTGGAGCCAATCCGGTGACGGTAACACCAGAGGTTCCACGACCCCTCCTTGGCCGATGCATCTAAGAATTGGGCGCTATTGAATGGAAGAGGAGGCAAATACGGAGAGACGATGATTGGAAAATTACGTTCAACTGACCTGGAGCCAAGGTCCCCGGCACCGAAATGTTACGCGTTACTTGTAGCGACGAACGAATCACGGTGTAGCAAGAACGGGTTTGATAGGGCTTGGACCATCCCCATGGAGTTGGTCTTTTGGGACGACGATCGTTATGCGCCACGCAACTGTGGCGAATGAGTGCTGCGCCACACACCATGCACCCGCTTTGGGATGAATGTCCAGCGATCCATCTCCATGGCGTGATGATGCGCAAACGTATGCGACTTGGACCAATCGACGTAATGTTTATCGCTGCACCTATGACCAAACTCTGTGATCGGCAGCGACTCGGAGAGCGGTGGAGGGGTAGGGCGGAGAATGCCGGAGTGGTTACGTATGGGCGTGTGCAACGAAGGATAGGAATTTGAAGATACAATGACGAGATGCACAATATACGGCGAGCATAGTCAGGCAACGCAATTCACACAACGATGGCCGAGGAGAGTACACGGTGGCGGCGGCTACACGGCGAGTGTTTCGAAAGTCCTTTTAATCTCGGCTGGACGATGAGGGGGGGAAAGATTGGTTTATTAGCACACAGTGGAGTTATTTGGCAAGCGATCTGGATGATTTGATGGCTGGCGAAGGAAGGCGTGGGATTGGCTGTGGAGCATAGCGGGCTGACCTGGATAGGTTACGCAGGGGTGGACGGCGCCGAAGCGTAATTGGAGGGAGATGGGCCCTATGAGAATCTGTGGTTTGATTCCGATTTCCTTTTGGATCATCGATGGCAGTTGAAAGGCTATGGCGACGAGTCAGAGGGGGGAAGAGCATGGGGGAGGGGTGCAAAGACTGGACCGAACAGGCCAGAAGGCGGGAGACGAGACTGGCAGATGTCAAGACACGATGCAGCGGCTACGGGCAGGAGAGATGGTGGACGCGGTTGATTACGAGCACCACCACGCGCGCTCACGGACGGTGCGATTAGTGGGCGTTGGAGAGGCGCGATTACAGCAGGGCCTAGGCTTTAGAGCCGGAGAGGGCGCCGCCAAGCGGACAACATCCAGGCCCGCGTGGCACGAGGAGAGATGGGATGCACTGCGACGTCTACCAGAAGATGATGGCAATCTGCACCGCTTTGGGACGACGGATGGCGAAAGATGTGTGTAGGGCAGGTGGCTGTGCACGGCAAGATGGATGCAAGATGGAGGCAACGGGTGGCACTGGGAGAGAGGGAGCTGCTCCGTGACAGCCGAGACGACGAGATGATGTGACATGCTCGGTAGGAGACGGAGGTGGATGGGCGATGACAACAATAGGGGAAAAGGAGAAGAGAAAAGAAGGACATGGAAAAAAAAAAGAAAGAAAGAAAGATGGCAAAGGGAGATGCACGCTCGGTGCAGCTACAGTGAGTGGTACGGCGACAGAGGTGAGGGGAGCATGGGTGCAGGCTCTGCGTCGTCTGGGCCGGCTGGAGCAGGTGGTAAAAGCGGCGAGATGCAGCAACCAGCATGGGCGCACGTCCTCAGGCCGCAGCCCAGCGCTCGGGGGACTAGCCCGATGCTTCTGCACCTTGGGTACTTTACTAACAGATGCCTGACCTCGTCGACTCGTGCACTAACATGTACTCTCGTCCCTAGCCCTGCTGTGGCTTGACTCCTACCTACCTTGTGGCATCGTTCCCATTTCCACGCCCATCCATCCCATCCCATCATCCCATCTTTCATCAAGCCCGTCTTCCCCAACTCCACCGTCTCGCTCTCGATGCTCACAGGCACCCGACAATTCTGCTGCGAGCTTGCCAGCGATGTTTCGAAATCGGTACGTTTCCCTTCTCCTCCTCTGCCTCGCTGTCCCGCCCGCGCGCGCGCCTTGTCCTCGTGCTGCTGCTGCTGCTCGTGGTCGTGGTCGCCGGTACCGTACCTGCCCTGGCTGCACCCGCTGACCGCCCGACAGGACCAATTCGCAGAAGCCGAATGAAGAGCTTCTCGAGAACTTCAGGCAGTCTTTCCCCCATCTGGTCCAAAATGGCCGCTCTCAATCCTTCAATCACCCTCACGGCTCCACCCTCACAGACGCCCTCGATGTAGCTCATCCCACCCGGTACGTTTTCGGCCCCATCACCTCTCCGCGCCCTCCCCTCAGTCTTCGCGTCTGGCATGCGCCCGCCCGTGCCTCTCCACCAGGACATGCCGCCATCCTTTGCTTTCCGTCTATTCTTGTCGAGCATCAGAATGCGACTTGTTTGCTAACGTGCACTGCAGCCAATATCCCGACCAGGAAGACATCAAAGATGCGGACCCCACGCCACGAGGAAACAACGAACCATGGCGCTTCACTCCATCTCTCCTCGACCCAAACAGCTTTGCCTTTACTTCCTTTGCCAACCAGCCTCCTGGGTACTATACGCCCACCCCCGGCGGCACCAACACCCTTTATCACAGCCAGGCCGGCGACCTGCACACTCCCGGCTTCAGCTTCGGCCTGGGCACACCTCTGTCTTTGCCAACCTCGGAGGGGGGACTCCATGCTGGTCAGGTCGCCCCATCCAACCAGATCCATGGCTTCAACCCGCACGCTCTTGGAGCTCACCACTTCGCCAACCAAAACCCTTTTGCCATGCAGGCACAGCATGCGCCATCTTTTGCGCCGCATCAATTCTCCCATCAGCCTACAGCCTTTGAGCACGCTCCTTTGGCGCAGACGCACGAGAACTCGCCTTTGGATAACATGGTTCCCGACGTTGAGATGCAGGAGCAGTCTCCCTTGATAGGCTTCGCTCCCCAGAATTTCGAACAGCAGGCTGTGCCCCAGCAGCCCATGGCGCCCCCGCCCGGTGAAAAGTAAGTCACTAACCCACCACTCCCGGTACTCGTTTCACGAGCTGCACTGACTCTGACGAGCAGTTTCCGATATCACATCACCTTGAACGCACCTACCGCCATGATCAAGCACGCAGATGAGATTCCTGTCACGTACCTCAACAAGGGCCAAGCTTACACCATCTCCTTGGTGGACACGGCTCCTGTCCAGGTTTCACCTGCACCCGTCAAATACCGGACTTACGTACGCATCTCATTCGAAGATGAGCAGCAGCGACAGCGTCCTGGATCGTGCTGGCAGCTTTGGAAGGAAGGTCGTGGCACTAATGAAGCGCATCAGCGGGGTGGTCGTCTGCAGGCAGTCGAGTTCGTGGATCCCAGCCAAGTCGGAGGCGGTGAAATACAAGGGCGACCAAAGATCGAGCTCGACACAGCTTCCTTTGATGGATTTGCCGTTACCTGGACCCCCGTTCACAACACTGCGCCCGAATGTTCCATCGCCGTGCGCTTCAATTTCCTCTCGACCGATTTCAGCCACTCCAAGGGAGTAAAGGGAATACCTGTCCGACTGTGCGCAAAGACCGAGATGCTCCCCAGTACCCCAGGCTCTCCCCAGGACCCTGCCAGTGCCGAGCTATGCTACTGCAAAGTGAAGCTATTCCGCGATCATGGTGCCGAGCGAAAGCTTTCCAACGATGTCGCTCATGTGAAGAAGACGATTGATAAGCTGAAGCAGCAGATTGCACAGGTTGAATCGGGCATGAAGGAGTTTGGCAAGAGAAAGCGCAGTGGATCCATCTCAAAGACTGCACCGAGTTCGCGACCCGGCAAAGTGCCCAAGCACAAAAGGACATGGTCCATGTCTTCCTCCAGTGAAACCACGGGCGCCCGCGCACCTGCTGAGGAAGACCTACATCTCAAGTTGGCCAGTCTACAGGATATGTTCAGCTCCACCAGACCTGCTAGTGTGCTATATCTCAAGGGCGAAGATCAGGACGATCCAGACCTCCACCCCGTGCACCTTTCTGGAACTCCACAGGAACTGGCCAAAATCGATACCAGCGTGGACGCGACCATGTGGGAAGGACACAGTTCACGTGCGGCTTCTTCCGTCGTCTCCCCTACTCCAAGCTCGCAATCTCTACACTCGGAACGACGCAGAGGGTCCAACTTTCACCAACCACTGCCATTTCAACCGCCTTCGCGCATGCCTTCTGGCGAATGGCGGAACCACCCCCAGACTGCGACTGGCGAGGTCAAACCCCCAACTGGCATACCTGCCGGATCGGATATACCGACAAAAGTGCAGAGGCCGTACAGCGACGATCATGCCCTTTCTGGGTGGATAGAAGCTTTAGGCGTCGATCAGACGTATCAACCGCCACCCGAACCCTTGTTAAAGCCTGGTACGTAATCCCGCATCCCCCCCTTGTCCATCTAACATCATATGCTAATTATAATTTTTTTTTTCCAGTGGCATGTTTTTTTGTGCAACCCAGGATTTCAGGGAAACAACCCGACGACAATTATTTCAGGGCGGTATACCTAATGGAGCGCACCGTCAAGGCCCTTGTCGGCGGTATTTCTATGAAGATCAATATTGAACCCACAAAAGTCACCCGGACCATACGCGTCAACCAAAAAGGCTTGAAAATTCTCATGGACGACGATGCCATCCAGAGGATTCCTGAACAGCAGGACATGACGGCCGAATTCCATGAGATTACACCCCAACAGCCTGTCAAACGCGAATGGGACGCTCCCCCCACGGATATCCAAACCGACGGAGATATCAGCGTAATCGAGAATGTCAACTCTACTGGATACGAGCTTCGACTACTATTCTGAAGGCTTGATTCGACTGCCCTTGCCGATTTCCTCGCTCTTTCGATCGCAAATTTAGCCATTATAATACACCTAATGATCCTACGTAATGATATATACACAGCCATGTATATGGTCTGCAGCCCTGGTTGGTCGCTCTTGGGGGCTGAGAGAAGGAAGGAGGAAAAGAGAGTGTACAGTAGTCACCCTGTGGTGATACTGGTCGGTTCGATTCTCGGGCGGCGTTTTCCACGTTCCCTCTATTAAAGATACCACCGCTCCTTGTGAGCCTTGCTTTTATAACTTTCATATGTTTGCTATTTTCTTCTTCTACGATACCCATTACTTTACAACATTTGGACCTCTTTTGAGATGAAGCGGTGGATCGAATAAGTACACATGGGATTTCTACTATGTTTTGAAAACTTTTTTTCTCTCCTTCTCTCGATATGTTGATCACGCACGCACACACCTACGTACACATATACACATGGCAGGATGGCAGGATGGCCCTGGAGGATAGGCATGGTAGCAACAACGGGCCGGGGACAAGTACATGCATGGACGGAACAAGGGCAGTTTTGGGGGGGACAAAACAAATGGGGACACACAGCGGAACCACGACCTCGATGCGCATATCCCATGCACAATAAGAGGATGGCATTATCACCCTTTCTGGCGCTAGAATGACGAAGCTTTCTCCTTTGGAAAAACTCGGAAATGGATAAACAAGATGAGATTTGCCTCGCAATGACCATACTAGAAAACCAAAAAAACAATAACAATACAAAGCTATTATTCACCAACCCGCCCATGTTACCTTATATCAGTGCACTATATAGATCATGCATTCTTTTGTCTTCTTTCTTTTTGTTGGCTTGGCCTTTTTGAGCGCGCGCCCCCCACGCACGAGCTTGTTTCACTCAGTCACTCACTCACACTTCGATGCATTGCGTGCCCAAGCGTCGCAGCACTCGTCCTCACGATCTAGCGATGGAAGCCTCCCATCCCGATGCGCGCGTAGAATATCAAACCATTCCAATCATCGTATCTTGCATATCGCGTGTGTGCGCGCGCGCATGCTCGCCGTCGTCTCACATCTCCCCTTGTCTTGTCTTGTCTCAGCATTATCCCCCACAGGCAAAGCCTCGTACAAAACTAACTTGACTTGACTTGACTTGACTTGACTTAACTCGACACTAAACCTACTACGTACCATGGGACAGACACAAGATTCCATCGAGCGCGCGCGCGAAAAGCCCTCACAAAGAAAAAAACGGCCAGCGGCCAGCCCGCGCTCCCCCTCGATTCCGACAAAGCGAATCGATATCGATTATCGTAGACCAGGCCGAGGCCGAGGCCTAGCTTAAGGGAAAGAAAAGGGGACCTGACCCGGAAAGCCACCCCCTGTGCCTAGCAGGACAATAAGAAAAAAAAATAAAGGCTCCATCCGCCGCCGCCGCCGCTCCCCGATTCGATGATCGATGGGGGGTGGATTTTCGTTATCGATGACTCTTGGGGATGGATGGAGTGCGTGCGTTCGCGGTATTATAGGTACCTAGGTATACAGGTTAACAAGGACAGGCAGGATGGGTCCGGGTACGGTACTGCGCGTGTCATTGTCATGTGTGTTGTTGGCTCTTGGCTTAGCTAACTGGGTTGGCTCGTCTCCAAGGTATGCATGTAGTCTAGATAGAGCACACGCGCATGCGCATGCGCGACAAAAAAAAAGGGCAAATTAGAATTAAGTGAGATGATGTGTTCTGTGTTTTACTTGTCTTGCTTCTATTATTAAAACGAAGGGGGTTTTTGTTATTGGTGTATGTAGGAAAGAGAAAGGAAAAAAGGAAGTTATTACAAAAACTAAAACCTATCCCCCACCCCCCCCTCCTCCGTATTTCTTTCGCCTTTGTAAATGATAAAAACTTACCCAAAAAAAAAGAGGAAAATATGTCCTCCGAATATCGCATCTACCATTACCATCATCACCGCCATCATCATCATCATCATCCCACAACGTCATTATCTCCCTAGCCCCCGCCCCATGAAAACGGGAAGGAAAAAAAAGTGGTTGGCTGTAGGGGTAATAGGGCCGAAGAAACAAAGCAGACTATCGTATCCTCCCTCCTTTTTTACCCCCCCCCCCCCCCCCCCCCCCCCCAATCTCCATACCCCCTTTGCGATGACGGAGGACGGACGGGTAGGAGAATCGGCATAGCATTAGGGAAAGGAAGGATGGGGGTTTTTCAAGGGGAGTAGGAGCGAGGGAGCGCCGAGGGAGGAACATGGGGGTGGGGAGGGAGAGAGAGAAAGGAGGTACGTGGCTATAATCGAAGTATTTTGTAAAAAAATTTCCTTCGTCGTTCATCATATTTGATTGTTTTGTTTATTATGTTGGTTATACATTTGCGGAAAGAAATAGTTCACCTGCTGATACTTTTTTTCTTCTCTCTCCTTCTTTTCGAGAATGGAGGAGAGGAAATCTCACATACGCACAAACCGTTCTCTAACGGCAGGTAAATTTTTTTTTTCTCTTTTAACTATTCTTACTAAGACTAAACGTCTGGTCTGTAACATAGGTTGCATGTTATTGTTAAGCACGTAGCATGCACAGCACTGAGCACCTAGATTGGGAATAGTCTAGTCTACAGTATAGTATGCCTGGGCATCTCGACCTCTCGACCTTTGTTACCTCTTCCTCCTTTTTTTATTTTCCGTCTCTCTCTCTCTCTCTGTGCGTGTATGTGTACTTTGTTCATGGCAACGGCGGGCAAGAAACCGTTCAAGAGAGGTTTATTATTTAGTTGTTTGGGAAGGCTTGCTTTGGATTGATTGGGCCTTTTGGAGATAACTTGCATACATCAATTCATACTTGGCATACATATGTACATATATGCATGCATGCGTGCATGCATTGACGCTTAGAATTTCTTTCTCGTTAGTAACGCATTTTGTCAAAGGGCTGCGTAGCGTGCTTTGGATTTTATTTCCATGTTACCGTTTCACTGCTGTAGAGGGAAAATACAATAATAGAAGGTACACTTTGTTGCTAACTAGGCGTTTATTGACGATTTTTACCGTGTTCTTTCCACGAGCGCCGTTTTGTTCGTGCTAGCTGGTGGATTGGTTGACCGACTACTCGCCCTCGGAAGCATTTTGTGGTTTGTCGTCACTACGTATATGGTAAGACGTTGGCATTATGGAGCATGTGGATTTCCAACGGTCCCGAGGGGCGACCGAGAAGTATCAATATTTTTGCTTGTGACAATTATCTCATTACTTTCAATTGCTTTTGCCGTCTCCGAGTCGTCGGAACACGGCGTAGGAGATTTTCTTTGGATACATAACGTCCTAAGGATACTAACCATGGATGCTCGCTCTCTCATTCAACCCAAATTGGGAAGCTAAGAGTTAGATTCAAATCTCATTCTCCGAGCCGCGTTGTATTGGTTCCCCAATACTAATCGGTTATTAAGATGCTTTATTCCCAAGGGTCTTCCCTTTTGGAAGATGCTACCATCCAACAGCGTTCCGAATCCGATATCCGCCACCATGTACAGGCAGGCGGGCGGGCGGAGAAGAATGGCTGCAGCGACCGCGCCATGCACGGGCTTTCCGGCCTTCTTTGCTTCCTTCTCCCGTCATCAATAAGTCTAGTTTGGCAGTCGGCCGTTTGGACTTTTATTCGATGGTCTTGTCCAAATTTCCAAGTCTGGTGAAGGCGCCTTTTCGCTAAAGCACGAGGGTGAGACAAATTTGGTAGCTTCGGGGGGTCCGCGCAGATCCAATGGAGTCTTTTCCTCTTTTTCCCCCCTCTCCTGTGCCTTTCTCTACCTTCAAGGGCGATCAATAGTTGCAAGATCGACAGTGGAGTAACGTAACCATTAAACCGGAGTTACCCAGACAGGAACTCAACAGCCACAGCGGGAAACCTCTGAGTGCTCCAAGCTTTTTTTTCTCGTCGAATTCTTCTTCTTTTTTGCCACTCGGTAATGCACCTGTATGTTTCGTGTGGCGGACTGGATAATTAAGCGTGTGGCTTTAGGTTGTGGCGAGTGCATACCAGACACGCACGCGTTACGCACGCTTTCATGCACGTTCTGGTCGTTGAAGCAGCGTCCATTTCACTCGCCACAACGGCACGGGCGACTGCGCCTCACTACGGCCGTCGTCTACACGGTTAGTTCGGTCGACGTCGCGAAAGCTCCATTGTATCTAGATGGTTGATAATACATCCCGGCGTTGCGTAAGCTGTTTTGCCACTCGAGTCCTCCGCAAAGTATTGGATCTACACTCGTCCGGACGGCTCGTCCATGTGTTGGTGTGTTTAGCTGGTGCGTAAACCTCTGGTAACCGACAAACCAGGGAGGTTTGGGCCCATCGGTGAGTGAGCTCTGGTTCGTACAGATTACGGGTGCGTGGCTTGATCACTACTCTACTCTTGTACACCGCAGTTCCCAATTCAGACACCAACGACCCTGTGGCGGGATACACCTTTCTGTAGCTGCAGATGATGCAGATGATGCTTCCGGAGCTCAAAAAGTTCAATAGTGTGGGGTATAGGCTAAGCCGGTTTGATCAATTGAGAGCTCAGCTCTCCCTCTCCCTGCATTGGATATTGTATGCATGTCGCGCTAATCAGCATGTCTGCTCTGAATTCCGCTTCACATTGCGAGATGGGCTTCCCAGGAGAGGTCTTGCTGAAGGCCCTTCTTCGGGAGAGCTTCCTCTACCGTACGCTCAAGAAGCTGGGTTGAGCGTTGGTGCATTCCCATCAATCCACTTTGGAAAAGCCTCTGAATCGAGCTCAATGTCCGACAACACCACAGTCGCTTCCTTTCGGAGTGGAGTAATGCAATGAAGCTAGCACGCGGCGCTCTTGGTGTAGTGCAAAGCAGGCACGCTTCGGGCAAGTTCATGATGACGATAGGGAGTCGAGGAACGGTTGGCTGAGGGAGGATGGAGACGACGCTGGGATCTGATCTCCGCACCGTTGGAATGTCCCAAAGCGGCGCAATCCCGCACGATCCAAGCTCCGTCCAGGATCACGTTATCAGGCAGAGGTTCTGTGCGAAAATCCTCCCATCTCGCGGTCCTGTGATGCGGTGTCGGGTCGGTTAGTCCCGTACACCTCGCTCCCTGTGGGCACGTGCAATCTATCGCCCACTACTACATGCTCGTCCATGCGCTGTCGTCTTGTCGCCTCGATGGGGTGTGAATCGTAGGCTGGTGGAAATCCCCACCCCCTGTCCCCTTTTACCGCTTGGAAGATTACGTGGCGGCGTCGTGTAGACGAATGTGCGAGTGACACGAGGACGTAGAGGGCGTTTTGCTGGAGCATGGCGTTGGGGAGTTGATGCACACCATGGGCTGCTAGGCTTCGGTTACCCGTCCGTTTTGCCAGCGAAAAGCTGTTTCAGACCGCAACTTGCAGCGAAGCACTCCCTCACTCATGCATGCCATCGCGTGACGTCAGAAGCGGACTAGCTCTCTTTCTGTTGCATCAAACCACGCGCCAATCACACCGGTCCCACCGTCTAAGCATTCACCCCGCTAGCGAGTAGCTCCCCCGGCCATTGGATGGCTGCCGTTATTTCCCTCGGTTGCTGTCTGTCAGCGAATCGAAATTGCGCAGCCAACGCTCCACTATTCGCCAGAAATCAACGCCGCGCTGGTCGAATAGGATTCCGTGGGCATTTGGGGGGAGCTAGCCAGCTGGAATAACGCCGGTTGGTGGAAGCTGTCCGCAATCCATCCATCCCACATGTCAGCCCTCAACTCTGCTGTGAGGACATCAACAAACCCACGCAGGATCCGGCTATCAGCATCGTCAGCAACTACTACATGCCTGTCAGTCACTCACTCACTGCTGTCGCCGCGGTAGAATAGGTACATACATACATACAAACATCCTGCAGCTTGCCGACAATTATCCCACCGTCTGTCTTGTCGCGCGCAACCGCGGTACCCCTTGCTGGCACCCCAAATGGCGGGCAATCAACTAAGATGAAATGCTGTCATTTCCTAAAAGCAGCGCCTTCCATCGTACCAGCGAGCCTGCTGAGCTAGCTAGTTGCTCGATATGTTGGTTGATGGGTTTCCTCCAAGGATGCGGTGCTTGGTCGCGAAGTAAACCATTTCCACGCCCCTGCGCCCATCTGACAGCCCGTCGGAAGTCACATCCCCCCTAACCAGCCCAGCGTGCTATGCATAATGGTCACTGGCCATCACGCTATGCCTGTGATGAGTCCATCATGTCATCTGTGGGGAGCTGGTTACTGCATCCAGAGATTCATGTCGTGGCCCTCATGCAACCCGTGAGAGCCCTTACACTCCTTTCACCCTTTCCACCCCACCGATGCAACTCAAAGGGGCACAATACATATGGAACGTGCCTTAGACTTTCGGGCCTCGATCCCTAATTGCTCAATCAGACCATGACGGACGCACGTCGACCCTGCCTTATGCGAACCGCTGTGATCTCTGCCTAACCGAATCCCGTTCCAATAGTTGGCTTCGGGCAATGGTCGCATCTTGGGAGATCGTTCCCGGCGCGTGGTATCCGTTCCGTGATCAACACAAACGTATTCGCAACCACCAACATCGAATATACCCCCATCAACATATAATACAATGTCAGACGCTTACAGCAGCGAGAGGAAATCTTGCAATGCATTCGTCACGTGGTTATTCTGATGCCTAGACAGCTTCGCTGCGCACGTCGCCAATTGACCCAAGACGGAACAAAGGAACCAAAGGAACCCATCGGTTCAGACAAGGCGTCAATCGTCTAGTTCTTTCCCAAAGTCTATCAGTCGTATCTTCTTTGCGTCCTTTGGGTGGAACTGTGCAATCTTTGCTCTGATCAGGAACCGTGAGGCTGCCGAATCCCTCTTCAATTCCAAGTATCCCTTTCCACCCCCTGGGCCAGACATTGTGGCAAACAGATCCTCGATGAGCTGCCGCATTTCCTGGTCAGCAGCTTCAGCCTCCGTCATCGGTTCGTCGTCGTCGCCGCCGTCTTCCTCAATCACTTTGGTGCCCCATATCTGATCGATCCTTCGTTGTCGTAGCTTATCCGAGACGACCTTCTTCCCGGACTTTGCTTTGCCCTTCTTTGTAAATCCAGCAGCAAGAGTTTCATTCTCTACATCAAACATGTCTCCCACAACTGGCCCGCCTAGCTCCTCAGCCGCGATCATAGCGGATACGTAGTCGTTAATGAAGTCGTTCATAGCCTGCCCCAGCCTCTGCATCTCCTTATCGTAGGACTCCGTTTTTGCGCGCTTTGAAGCCACCAGTTCCTCCACTACTGCTGCAGGCGTTTTCTGAGATCGATCATCGTACTGTGCTCGTAGTCTAACGATTCCATCTTCGAGAGCTCGGGTGAGAAGCTTCGCATCATGGAGACTCGCTTCTTCGCGTCTTAATGCACCTTCTCTTTTCGCAATCTGGTCCACAGTACTCGAGATAGCCATCTTACTCTCTTGAATGCGTTGCTGAAGATTCCGCGTAGCTAAAAGCGCTGGCACTGCTGAGCCCTTGCCCGGGAGTTCAGGAACCGTTGGTATCAATCGAGTGTACGCATCTTTGACGACTAATAGTTGCTTGAGCTTTTCGCGTGGATCCTCCGATGCGTAAGCTGCTTGTTCAATATCAATGTCCGATGCTGCGCGTAACTAGTTCACAGTTAGCTATGAAAATGTAAAGCTTTGCGTGCGATTGTACCTTAGCCAGAGCAGCCTCTTGTTGTTGTACGCGTGCCTGCAGGTCTTTGATGGTACGCTCCAAACGCGCTTCGCTAGAGGAAGTGGTGAAATCCATGGAATCACCATACCCACCACGAGTCGCTTCAGCGTACTGCCGGATACGTGCCAGTGCTTCGTTGTGCGATTGCGCCATTGCAGAGAGTTGAAGAAGTCAGTTGGTCGTTGAAAACGGAATTCGGATGTGTATTTTGAATGTATGCGTCTGTGTGCCCGTGCAGGTCAGACGTCAGTCTGTCAGCAAACTTGAGTTCTATCGCAAAATCTAGCAAAATCTGCAAGTCACGATGACATTGCTCCATCAACAACGATATTAAATGTTGGCGCTGCATTCGTCGAAAGTCGCAGTGACATTGGACTACACGTGACCTGAGGTCGCTTAGCGCCTTGGCGTCTCCGCATAATCGTAACCTCGTGTTCTCTGTCCAGCTCCCACTACCTCACCAACATTACCATTGACTCCATCGGCAACTACTCCATCATTGCACCCACATCATCTCTGCTGCTTCCAAATTGGCTGCAGCTCGCTCAAGACAGGAAGCTTGTATAGATCCGAGCCTTCCTCTGCATCAGGGACGTCGGCTTGCTCCTCAGAAGGTTTGACGAGCGAGCTTTCTTTACTTAAAGCCATTTCTTCTGCCTCGATATTCTACCCTCCCACCCAACCAACAACTTCCATTCTCTCTCTCCGACATACCGCTCCACCTGCACATATCACCAGCACAATCACCAGCACCTGGTGGCATCTCGCGCTTTGAGACGCCGCCTTTCCGATCCTTCCTCACCCACACGCCCAATTCAATCTCTCCCTTCAGCGTTCGACGACTCTGCCTACCTACCTTCCGCACCCTCAACCGCACCCGCACAGTCGCAACCCCATCCCATCCGCCATCACCAGCACGTTTCCCTTCACAGCCCCCCGCTGTACATAACGTGGAAAGAACCGATTCAAATCAAATCAAATCAAATCATCTCAGCACTTCGCTTGAGCTATAGCCTGGACTGTGATTCTTGATATCCATCGTGCAATTCTCAATCGAGCAGGAAATAATGTCTGCCTCCCCTACTATTGCGGCTTCTTCGGCCAAGCGGCCTCTGGAGGAGCCTTCTTCTCCTACCGGCCCCAACGACCAGCCCGATGCCAAGCGACCTGCCCTTGACAAAATGGTCAAGGACGACCAAGATGCTGAAGAAATTGACACGGCGCAGCCTGTCAAGGGTGATAGTATCTCGACCGATGACATCAATGCGGCAGCTGCCAAAGCTGAAGAGTCTGCTGAAGCTCTCAACTCTCAGAATGGTGCCAAAGGTGGGCCAGACACTACGATGCAGAATGCTCCGCCGTCCGTCACCCCGCTCGAGACGCAGCCCATTCTGTCTACATCTAGCGTTAATGGCCGTTCCTCCGCTCACCAACAGCAAGACGAGACTAACTGGTTGCACTTGCGCGCCTGTATTGGTACCAGCGAAGCCGCTACCATCATTGGCAAAGGCGGTGAGAATGTTACCCAGATTCGACGTCTCTCGGGTGCGAAGTGCACTGTGAGCGACTATTCTCGTGGCGCAGTCGAGCGCATTTTGACCGTGAGCGGTCTGGTAGATGCAGTCTCCAAGGTACGTTGCGCCAATCCTTACACAACTGCGACAAAGATGCTAACATGAGAAGGCTTTCGGCCTCATTGTTCGCACCTTGAACCAAGAAGAGCTTGAGGCTCCATCGACATCCACCTCCAAGTCCTATCCTATGCGCTTGTTGATTCCCCACGTTCTCATCGGCTCCATCATCGGCAAGGGAGGTATCCGTATCCGAGAGATTCAGGAAGCTTCTAATGCCAAGTTGAATGCCTCGGATTCCTTGCTTCCCAACTCCGGTGAACGCTCGCTTGTAGTGCTTGGTGTAGCGGATGCGGTTCACATCGCTGTGTACTATGTCGCCCAGACTCTTGTCGAGCAGCTGACAGAGCGTTTTGGTGGTCCAGGAGCCTCTCAGTACGCGACTAGGAGCGGCACAGCTGCCAATGTCATTCCTGGTGGCATGTCTGTTCAGCCCTATGTTCCCCAGCCAGCTGGTGGTCAATATGCTTACCCCGATAACTATCGCCGTCATGCTAACCCAACCCAACGCACTCCGGTTCACGGTGGTGGTCCTGCACAGCCGTACATGCAACAGCAGCCGCAGCAAGCTTACGGCCAGCCTGCTATGCCTTATGGAGCTGGTTCGCCCGCTCGTGGATATCACGGTGGCCCTGGCCCACAACAAACCCCATATGGAGGACATCCTGCCGCTGCTGCTGTCCCGCATGGTGCACCGTCTGCTCAACAGGGTGTCCAGATGCCTGGTCAAGTACGTTATAATTCACATATCAATCTTCTCGTGTGCTTGCTAACATTGTCGTAGCCTCTTACCCAGCAGATTTTCATCCCCAATGACATGGTTGGCGCGATCATTGGTAAGGGTGGGGCTAAAATCAATGAGATTCGTCAATTGAGTGGCAGTGTTATTAAAATAAATGAGCCGACCGACAACAGTAACGAACGCCTGGTCACGATCACCGGTACACAAGAATGCAACCAGATGGCTCTGTACATGTTGTACTCGCGGCTCGGTTAGTTCATGAGCATGATTGCATAACGAATCTTTTACTTACTATCCACAGAATCCGAGAAACACCGAATCTGAGTGTGTGGTATAAACCTCCACGCGTGCACATAAAAGACCTATGCAATGGTTGCAACAGAACGGGATGGGCTTTGTTCGATGGGCATTTACAATTTATCTCGGAGCATGGCGCAGGCTAATCTTGGGTTTTCGCAAAACTCTCTCTAATCCACTTCAGGCCAATGGATTCATCAAGAGCTATGGGTCGCGGACATTATATCCCGGAATGTGGGAATACTGGAAGGGGTGAACTAATGAAATCATTCGGTATTGAGCGATTCAAAAAAAATTGGTACTCTGAATACGCAGACGTATCCACTTCTATCTGCGAGAAAGCCTATGAAGTAATCATATATCAAATTCGTCTTTTCCGTGCCCGCCTGCGTTGCGATCGAAAATGGTGCTCGGGTACGAGTAGACCTGTGCCAGTGCCCTCTTACATGATTGGCATTGTGGTTTCCAAGACTACATTATGGTAAGGAAAGAATAAGTCCAAGTAAAAAACTAACACAGGAATAACATGGGCAGCTTAGCAAAGACAAAAACCCTATAGATGTTGTGCGCTCGTTGCTTGCCGGATCTGGAAATGAGTCTGCTTCGGTAAGACAAAGACAACGCTGCACGCATCTACTCCTCTGCATGTCGAATGCAACAGCCTAACTATAGGAACACACAATCCGGGACACTCTTCTTGCAGCGTAGACATAACGTGCATTCCTGAGACTGTCCTTAGAACGGGTTAAAGAAGTTGAGCAGTCGACGCTTGCAGTTTGAGTATATCAAGGCGCCATATGAAAAGCATGGTCTTGGACGCCGAGCGGATTCTATTCTACAACGAACGTCATACTTTATTTGTTCCTTCGCTACGCTTTACGACGTCAACGTAGGCGTGCAGACTTCATTAGTGGTGGTCTGGAGCTCGAGTGCGAAGAAAGATGACGCGGGAGAACAGTGTGGCTAGCACGCAGCGCGGCCGCATTCCATCGACATTACCACCCCCTTATACGTCAACTAGCATACGCGCGGGATCGTTGAGGTACGTAGCAGTGGGTGGGGAAAGAAAGAAGAAAAGGAAGCAAGGGAATGGAAACCCGCGATTCTCTCACCAGTTAACCACACTAACACCAACCAACCCCCCCTTTCAGAGCGGATTCCGATTCCTTCTCCAGAACCGCCCAAATCCTCGTCGGGCCCAAATCCACGCCGTTCCAGATCCACACGACGCTTCTAACAAGCCAGTCGCCCTACTTCCGCGCCTGTCTAGACGGAGCGTTCCTAGAATCCGCACAGCAGTCCATCACGCTCGCCGACGTCAGCGTCGACATGTTCGAGCTGCTGGTAACGTGGCTGTACCAAGCGCAGCTGATCCCCGCGCCTTTCAAGGACGGCAAGCCAGCGTACTACACGCTGCTAAACCTGTGGATCCTCGCGGACCGCCTCTGCGTCGAGGCGCTCCGCAACTACGTAGTCGATCTCATGGCGGACCTGGCCGATTCCACAAACTCGGTCCTGACGCCGAGCGATACGCGGATCCTGTACGAGCAGATCAGGGAGGATGCCAAGATCAGGGAGCTGGTGCTGGATCTGTTCGCGTTCAAGAAGACGGATAAGCTGCTGGATACGCACCAGGATCGGTGGCATGCGGGGTTTTTGAGGGATCTCGTTGTCAGGCTCAAGAAGCCGTGCCTGCAGGCCATGCAGAGACACCAGTTGGGCATGTGGTGCCCGAGCGCGTGGCATACCACGAGAGCGTGCGAGAACTGCCGTGTTATTTTGCCTCCGAGATACGGCGCCATTGGCTGTGATGTCTGCGCTTGTGCTTTCTGCTTGCCCTGCGTCGAGGATGGTGTCGGTATGGCAAGTTGGGAGGATGGGAGGGCCCAGATTCCTCCGCTTAGTGGCAGAAAGGTGGGGAGCGTCTTTGGGTCCATTTCCTCTGCCTCAGATGCCATTGTGGGCGAGGAGCCAATGTATGTCGAGGGTGATAAGATTGCGAGGTTGAGGAGGAGAGCTGCAGGGAAGAAGTTGGAAAGTTGTAAACCTTGGAGAGGGAGCCGTTGTAGGGTCTATCACGAGCATAAAGAGACGGACTCTTGTGGCGATGTTTTCATGGGGAGATGACGGTATAATGGGGAGAAATTTACGTGGGATAGGTTTCCACTCAAACTATGATTTCCTAGCTTCGCGCCTGCCCTCCTTATAGCTCAGGGAGATTATCCAAAACAACAATTACTGTACATGGCTTAAGTGTCCTGCAGCCTTTTGAGATATAATACAAATGGGGGAAGATGAACGGGTATTCAAAAGTTGGAAGAATCGTCTACTGGATGAACTTCTTGACATCTGCAGAAGATTTTAGTAATTGTAGACTGTGCGTGTAGAATGGCGTGAACTTACTCTGTAGCCAGCTGATGTACTCCTTCTGCTCCTTGTGGTCAATGTAGTCTGGCACGAAGAGAGCCATCCTCGTGTTCACACCGCGCTCCTCAAGATACTTCTCCAGAAGGATTTGCAAGTCCTCGTCCAAGTTGTTGAAAGGAGGTCCAGTGTACAAAGTCCGCCTTTGCCAGTCCTTCTCCGCGGAGACTGGGTCAGCGAGCTCGGCAGAAGGGAAGTACCAGAGATCCTCGATAAGGATGTCTCCATCCTGAGCTGTGGCATCAATAGCGAGGGCGCCCTTGCCGGGCCTGTCGATGCGAATGTTCATGTGTGCGGGATAGCTTGCCTCGTTGCCCTCTTCGTCGAACTCCTCAGCCAACTCTCCGCGGTCGGCCGGAGATACTTGATCTTCGGGCGCAACACGGATGTTACCGTTTTGTGTGTTGCCCTGGTTGATGGCTCCCTTGGTGTTGGCACCACCAGATTGTCCGTCCAAATCGTCCATCTCGTTTTCGTACGCGCCAGACTCGCCCAGCTCCTCGCTGGATGGGCTGTTCAAATCGGCGGTGGTGAAAGTCACACGGATGGTCTCATCGCCGAATTTTCGGGTCAAGACGACTTCCTGGTGACCAGGTTTATCTTCCAGCTGGATACGTTAGTTGTAATCAACTCAAGATTGTCCTATATCCACGGACCTTGAAAGCACTGTTATCGAGATACTCGCGAATATTCGCGGAAAGTTCATCATCGTCCTTCATGTCTTGCTCCAAAGAGATTTCATTCTGGAGTTTTGCGACGAGCTCCTCCTTGACTAAGGTTGCGTTAGCTAGCTCTTTTGAGGTGGATAAAATCAAGCGGCTCAGTACCTTCAGACTCCTGCTTCCGCACTGCTGAGATGTGGAATGAAGCTGTGAGGCGGGGAGTGAATTGTGACACTGAAGGCTTGAGAGCTGCACTTCGAAGTAGGGATGGTTGCGGTCGGATAGCTCTGGCGGAGAAGCGTGCAGCTGACTGCGGCGCAGAGCGGGCGATGTTTCTAAGGGCGTACATTATTGGTGTTTAGATTCTGTTAACCAATGAATAGCTGATGAAAGTAAGAGTTGGTAGGTAGTCCTTAGGAATGCGAATGGGATGAAGGTGATGACGATTGAAAGGTACATGTGAGGCCTGGACAACTTTTCGAAGTGGGTCCGAGCTCAATGTTTTTGGCGGGAGCCATCTTGGCGCCGCAACAGCTCTATCATTTTGGTACACCTCTGCCGCTATCGGCCAGGACGAGTCTCCCCCAACATATATAATTGTCGATTGTTGTTCGGTCTACGAGATATACCTTCTTTGCTGCATCTCGCGTCAAAATGGCAACCACAACACCGTCAGAAAAGAAGAAGGTATTGCGAAGCATGAAAAACGTCATCGGAACAAGACACTAAGATGTGATAGCCATCTGCGATGCGCTCAATTCTGGCCGGTGCAACGGCTGGAGCTGTAGAAATTTGTAACAACCCCATTTACGCCGTCTTTGAATGCCTGGCTGACCTTGATCCCCAGCAATTACTTATCCTGCTGAGTGTATGTGACTGCTCTTCTCTTCAACCTCACGAGGCCCTCTTGTTAATCTGCCCATGCAGTCGCCAAAACCCGATCACAATTGAATCGAAGATTACCGGACGGGAAGAAGCTTCCATGGCCGCCATTCGGTGCACAGTGGTATGCTGGATGCACAACACTGATAATTGGCAATTCCCTCAAGGCCGGAATACGTGGGTGGCACATTCTCCGAGCCAGAGACAGCTACAAGTCTGACTAAAGATAGGATTCGTTGCATTCGACGTCTATAAGAACCTCTTAGCCGATGCTGAAGGAAAGGTGTCTGGACCAGCCACCGTCATCGCAGGCTTCGGTGCCGGCGCGACAGAGTCTCTCTTCGCCGTAACCCCCTTCGAGAGTATCAAAACACAACTCATCGACGATCGCAAAGCTGCAAAGCCACGTATGCGAGGCTTCCTTCACGGCTCGAGAATAATAGCACAGGAGAAAGGCATAAGAGGATTCTTCCAGGGCTTTGTCCCAACAACCGCAAGGCAGGCTGCCAATTCAGCAGTACGGTTTTCAAGCTATACCGCACTCAAGCAAATGGCACAATCCTACGTTGCGCCTGGCGAGAAACTAGGTGCCGCCAGCACATTCGGACTCGGTGGGCTTGCCGGAATTATCACAGTATACACAACCATGCCCATTGACACAGTCAAGACTCGGTACAACAAACCACGCTTTGATACCTGTTTCGATATTTGGCTAACCGAAAACTAGAATGCAATCGATAGAGGCACGAAGTATGTACAAGAATAGTTTGCAGTGTGTGACCAAGATCTTCAAAGAAGAGGGTATTTGGACATTCTGGTCCGGTGCTGTGCCACGTCTAGGCCGGCTGATCCTAAGTGGTGGCATCGTATTCACCATGTGAGCGGAATTCGATCGTATACCTAACATTGTTTGCTGATTACTTTCCAGGTACGAAAAATCTATGGAGTTCATGGACAAACTCGATCCTCAAGGAAGGTACATATGATGTCGAGAACGCCTTCGACATCCAAGCGGCGTTTCATGTTTCGACATTTTCCCTTAATTTCGCGGAGATCAGACAAGGTGTTGAAGGCCAAAGCGGGTGATGTACACGGACTAGTCTATGTTGAATAGATGGTCGGACCTTGTCATTGTAAGATTAGTCATCAACCTTCGCACTGCGTTGCATCGGAGAGTCCGGAAATCACGTAAGTAATCCAGTCACGTAGCACTTCTGAGCCGCACGGGGAGTCTGCTGGGTTCTCACAATGTATACGTAGACACACACACTAAAAGTAGTCATCAAGATGGGGTTAGGATACAATACAGTTTGGTAAAACAGATCAATCACAACAAGATTAAGCCAAAAATTGTTCATTATATATGGTAGGTCGAAGAATGGAATCCCAGTGCTTTCCTGTCTTTCACATTCGGATAGATCTGGTTCTGATAACGGAACAATTGACTTCACAATTCGCACCTGAAGACTAAAGACTAATCGCCTCGCTCTTGGATACTGCCTTACACTCTCGAGCTGCGGGCCAAGAGTCATGGCTGGAGATCCTTGCATTGAGGGGAATTGGCCCCTTCAACATCATACGTTCGTTTAACGAGCTTGGTATTTCTAATCACTTCTATAACATAGCGGTGGTTGAGGCTGAAAATATATACTGACAGTTTCGATTTAGAACTAGGTTGGTAAGCTTTAGCGGTCTATCTACCCCCAGATCGAATACTGGTTTTGGCTTTTCAACCCACATTTCAGTCACCGCTTGCATTAGACGGTCTAGGTGTCGGTATCGGATCCAATTCAACACGAAGTGAACGAGAATGTTCGGCCTGACTGCTCTGACAACATCAAACGGATTCACGGTCGCAGGAAGCAGGTGCCGTGAGAGTGCCTACTAGTAATTTTCAAGAATTTTTCTACAGGCAGCATGTACGCATTTATGCTGCACTGTGACTGTTCACGTAGATGAGAACATACCCAGAGCTACTATTATGCATCCGTACGAGTAAAGATAATAAGCTAGGCCACACTAGTATTTGAGGGATTACTACCTGGCTACCGATATTGGCGAGCAGGCGCAGTCTAAAGTCTAGGCATTTGGCCCCAAAATCACACTCGGAGTCTTCGTAGTGGGGGACAAAGTCGCTTCCTTTGGAAAATGACCTCAACATATTTCAATTCAGTCTTTATTGCAGCCCGGCCAAGCATCGGACGTTGTCAGCAAGCACATACCCTGGAGGATCCCTCGCCAATATACCCTTCCGGGCGACTATTGGCGACTTTCACTATTCATTTGCCGTGTCGGATGAACCACAAGTCCCGACTCATAGGTAACTCTTGAATCCTTTCTTTCCACGAGCAAGGGCAAAGCTTTATAGCCTTTGGTTAATGCCCAGCGCGTGGGTAACTATATAGGTGGACTTTCCCGTTCTCCATCGCCATTTAAATACTGCTCAAATTCGATCTTTACCACCACCTACGCGTGTGTGATAAAGTTATACAGCATACCCATCACCGCTCATATAGTGGTATAAAACATCGCCATAACTATGCCCGATCAATTACCACCTTCACCCTCTGGACACCCACATGGTACACCGACGTCTACAGTCGACAAAGGCCGGCACCGGGACAAGTCTCCTCGCCCGCGACGCCGGAACCGCTTGATTACATCCTGCCTTGAATGCCGTCGAAGAAAACTCAAGTGCGACAAGCAGCAACCATGCGTCAATTGTCTCAAGTTCTCGCGATCATGTGTGTTTATCCAAGTCGACCCAAAAGCCCAGGCAAAGCTCGCCGAGGTCAAGGAGAAGATGGGCATTCTGGAAAGAAGTTTAGAGGAGGATGCTGCACTTAAAAACAGGAAGAAACGTGAGAGCAGGTCCTCGTCCTACGAGATGCCCATTCTTCCCGATCAAGACGAGGATGAGGAAAGTGACCAGGAAGATGATGAGAATGTGAAGGGTATCCAGGAAAACGTCCTCGTTGTGGAGGATGCATCTTATTATGACGGTGACGATAACGAGAACGATGATTTCGTGGACCTAGGCCTTGCTATGGGCAAGATGAGGATTACTGACAGAATTGGTGGGCTTGTGAGACCCAGGTTTGCTGATGAGGTGAGTGCAATACTGGCATGTTTGAACAAGGCGGACTAATTACCCCCTAGATTGCAGCTTTCTTGGACGTAATCCCTGGGGATGACTCCCCTAACCTTTATGCCGGACAGTCTCCAGAAGCATGGATCGCTCCAGGAGTCAACTATGTGGAGCCAAGTTCCAGCTTTCTGCTTGATGCAGCGTCAGATAATACGTCACTTCTTGCTTACCTTCCCTCGAAGGCACTCGTGGACAAGATACTGGCACATTACTGGAAGTACGCACATGTCATAGCACAGACTGTGCATCGGCCATCGTTCTATAGGGACTATGCGACTTTTTGGCGGAACGTTTCAGCTCGATTTGAGCCCAGGCCATCATATCAAGCGCTCCTGTTTGCCATGCTTCTCTGTTCGACCATCTCCATGTCCGAAGACAAGGTGCAAGCTGACTATGGTGTGGAAAAATCGAGCCTAGTGAATAACTTCAAACAAGGGACCGAATCAGCGTACGTATACCTAATATAGTGGAACGCTTTGAGTCTTTTAGATGCCCATTCAAGCATTGACCCACAAACTTTACTGACTATGCACCTTCTTTGAAGACTGGCAAGGGCGAATCTACTACGGACTACCAAGCTCGAAACTATTCAAGCGTTTGTCACCTATCTTGTGAGTGGATCGATACAGATTCTTCGCTGGCACAGTATTTTTTTGCTTTGCTTGCGCCGGTGAGAAGCATATAGCTTACAACCACATAGATACCATTGTGTCGCTCCGAGGTTTCCCGTGCTCACTCTGCACTTGTCGGTACATGTATAAGACTTGCAGAATGCATGGGCATGCATCGTGACCCAACAGGCTACTCGAAGAACCCGATAGAGATACAGATTCGGCGGCTAATCTGGTATCAAATCATCTTCTTGGACACTAGGACGGCCGATGCCGTTGGTCCTCGTGCACAGATTCGTCGCGATGAGTACGACACTAAACTGCCGTGGAATGTCGATGACGAAGAACTAGACAGAACGGCGCAGTCTGGTGGGCAAATCACGGGCGATAGCAAACACTTCACTAACATGACAATCACTCGTATGCGAGTGGAATGCTACGAGATGTTCAGATACACGGCGAACGAGAGTCCCAAGCTGTTCAAGAAGACCGACACGGGAGAAAAACGGGTGACTGTCACCTCGCTTCTGAAGAAAATCCAGAAGTTTCAAAGAGCTGTGGAACAGACCTATCTACCCATGTTTGACAAAACCATTCCGTTGCATGCTGTTGCTATGGAGCTGTACGGAATCTTGACCGGTCGATTCTACACCAAGCTATTGCATTCGTTTGCATCGTCCACATTTAACAAGCGAATCATGCCCGAACGTCTTCGTCAAATCTTGATGTCTTCGTGCATCATGATGCTTGAACATACCATGGTTATAGAGCAACACCCGGTGCTATCGCCATGGGGCTGGTAAGTATTCCAGCAGCGTTGTCTCAGGACAGCAGAAACACATTGAAACGGCCGATTTTGAACTTTCACTAACTGGGTATCCTTATCCTACAGGTATATTGGGGCAATACATCAACACCAGATCGCGTTGCTCTTACTAGTGGAAATGTATGTGACGACGCCAGACCCCTCATTCGCTACACGAGCGTGGCGTTGTCTCGATTACAGCTTCAATCTCCCCGCAAGCCTCCCACAAACGACGAAGGCCAGAATGGTGTTGGTCGAACTTTCGGATAGAACCAGGAAGTATCTATCCATACGGCGTGTGCGAGCGCCGACAAACATGCCACATGTAATTGCTACTGGCGATGCCACGTCTGAGAGTCAAACGGCACGCCAAGGCTCCGAAGAGCAGAGCAATATGCAAAGAGACGATGGCACTCTTCATACCACGTACAGCGGTCATACTTTGGGCGAAGTCCCTTTTGATCAATTCCAGACTCAATCGTATCAAGGGCACGGGCAACCAGAGCAACCCTACATGCCAATGGGCTCAATCTCGCAGACAGATTGGGGACAGTTGGCTATGGGAATCGGAGATGGTCAAGCACCACCACTTGTTACGAGTGCTCCCGGAACCATGGATTTTGGGGCCTTGGTGCCACCAGTCCCGTTTCCTGATGCGCCATCCATGTCGTTTCTGAGCAACGACGGCGGCTTTTCAGGTAGTTCAGGAACGAACAGCACTGGAGCAACAAATCCCGGACGCAGCACAAGTCCGATGGAATCCACGCTCAGTGATATCGATTGGGTCAGTACTTCCCCGAGAATCATGGTCTACTGCTGTGTGAGGATGTGAGGACAGTGCTAACTTTTGGGTCGCAAAATAGAATGAATGGGATGGGCTGTTTGGAAATGCACAAATGGGGCCCGATCATATGGTAATCCTGCCTTTTTCTTTTCCTGACATGGAGACGTCCGATTTGCAATGGCTGGATCAGCACGGATCGGGGTTGCAGTGAGGGAACAGCAAGCACAAGGGAGGGCGGAGGTTATGATACATATGCAGGAGCCAACAAGATACAAAAGTTGATAGACAGAGCCATCCGAGAGTGACGATGAATCTGATGTGGATCTAGGAACCATGAAGACGGACGGCAGACGACGTCGTGCGCGGGGGGTTAGTCATCGGGGGTGATCACGAGGGGTCAGCCGAATTGCGACATGCAAAAGTTCCGTCATCGGTCGTCGTCTCGGCGAAGGAAGGTGGGGGCGGGGCAGAGGGATGGATGAATTTTGCGGAGGATCCCCCTCCACGAGCGTCGAAAACAAAAAACAAAAACAGCCATCTCTGCTATTGCGAGCTCCATCATCATCGCACGGCCACTTGTTCTGGCATCGTCGCCATTTAGCAGGAGGACCTGACATCCCGCCCAAGCTTGACAAACAATCAGTCACTCACTCAGTCGCTGACGCATTGCCCCACGGGTCCCGCTTGCCGTAGCTTCAGCGGCGCGAAAACATTTTAATTGGACAAAGGCGTGCTGTGTGGGGGAAAGACGTCTCATGAGCAACTGAAATACCCCGGCCCTCTGGTTCCTCATCCTCTGCTTGCTCTCTCCGCCTCTCCCCACCGGATCATGTCCGTCACTGTCGTTCTCGGCGCCCAATGGGGCGACGAAGGAAAAGGAAAGCTCGCTGATATCCTCGCCCACGAATCTCAGCTGTGCTGCCGCGCCCAGGGCGGCAACAATGCAGGCCACACCATCGTCGCCAACGGCATCACCTACGATTTCCACATCCTGCCCTCCGGTCTCGTCAACCCCGGCTGCATCAACGTGATCGGAAGCGGCTGCGTCGTCCACGTCCCCTCCTTCTTCAAGGAGCTGGAGGAGTTGGACAAGAAGGGATTGAACACACAAGGGAGGATTTACATCTCGGATCGCGCACATGTCGTCTTCGACGTTCACCAGCTCGTCGATGGGCTGGAAGAAGTCGAGTTGGGTCGTGGTTCGATAGGTGCGGCTCCCATCACATTGTCCAGGGAGTAAAAGACGGCTGACAGTTGATGGAACAGGAACTACCAAGAAGGGAATCGGTCAGTACCAATTCGATTCATCCCGTTTGAAATCAACGAATTAAGTCGAGAACAGGCCCAGCTTATAGCACCAAGATGACTCGGAGCGGTCTGCGCATGTGTGACCTCTTTGATGAGGAAATCTTCGAAACAAAGTTGAGGAGGGTCGCGGATGGCTTCCAGAAACGATTCGGAGACCTTCTCAAATACAACGTAGAAGATGAGATAGCCAAGTTCAAGGTATGCTCCTGGAACAACGTGGCAATCATCATGCGCTAACGAGCTGCTGCAGGAACTCCGACCCAAACTACAGGAATATGTCGTCGATCAAGTTCCACTACTTGCATCTGCCAAAGAGAAGAATGCAAAGATTCTCGTCGAAGGTGCCAACGCAATCATGTTGGACATCGATTATGGCACCTATCCCTTTGTTACATCCTCGAATACCGGGCTTGGGGGAGTACTGACAGGTCTGAGCCTGGGATGGCGGTCTATCAAGGAGGTCATAGGTGTAGTCAAGGCATACACGACACGAGTCGGCTCGTAAGTCCCCCGTACATAGGCTACCGTGCCTTCGAATGAGCAAGGCTGACCCTCATATAATGCAGAGGCCCATTCCCCACGGAACAGTTTGAGGAGATAGGCGAGAAACTCCAGTCGGTGGGCCACGAAGTCGGCGTCACTACCGGACGTAAGCGACGCTGCGGTTGGCTGGACCTTGTCGTGGTCAAGCATTCTCATGCATGCAACGACTACACTGCCATCAACCTCACCAAACTCGATGTTCTGGACGACTTCGACGAACTCAAAGTGGCAACGTCGTACTCGTACCAGGGTCAGAAACTCGAGGGATTCCCTGCTAACCCAGAGGTGCTCGCAAAGGTTGAGGTTACCTACGAGACGTTGCCAGGATGGAAGAAACCCACGACTGGCGCAAAGAGCTATTACGACTTGCCCAGCCAGGCCAGGAAGTACATTGAATTCATTGAGCAGTTCGTAGGGGTCAAGGTGAAGTGGATCGGAGTCGGTCCAGCGCGCGACCACATGGTCTCTAGATGATACGCCCTTGCCTGCGCTACTCGATTTCTGGCGGGGGTTGTTTCATTCTAAAAATGCCTTCCTGGCATACGAGCTACCTTTCTAAAACAATTCCACTACCTCTTCAAAAGCAGCGAGGGGCGAGCAGACTTTTGTAAACACACATGTATAGCTCAACAAAAAAAAGGGATACCGGCAGAGGACGATAGACAATAGAAAGTCGCTTTTCAGTAATCGCATGTTGATTGCCTCATGAGTAGAAGGGGTTTTCACTGCCACAAGACGCTAATTGACCCTCGACCTCCGATTATGCAGAATAAGGTTACGCGACCGAGCATGATCTGCCTAGCACACAATCTAGCAGCCCTTCCCGTCGCGCGGTATGGAGTGCATAATGGTACGGACAACTCGAAGCCATAATCCGGGGTGTGTGCAATCTATTCAACCTCGAGGCGTACCCTTGGCAGTCACCCGTGGCTAAGATTACATGACGGCTTGTCTCGTCTTCTACTGCGCCAACGTCACCACCCTGCATGGCCCTCTGATTTGCTCGAGCGAGTGCTTATACATCACGTTTCCTGCTTTACACAAGACTGACATAAGACGCTACATGCACTACGCAATTTACATGCTCTCTTCCTCTGCCGCTCTGTCGACGAGCACTGCCCTCAGACCCTCGGTTTCACTCGGGATCCTTCACTTGCCCATGGCTTACGAGCATAGCACATCTTCCCCGAATCGGGTGCAGCATACGTACTGGTCGTCAGAATGTCTCAATGCAACACAGGATTAACGTCGTCTTACATTGGGCGCTTGTTTTGATAGCTCATGGATGAATTTCCAAAGGTACTCGGGTCTTGGGTGTTGTGTTTCCGCGTCAATGCTTGCATGTTTCACAGCTCGTTCCTAGAACGCTTTCTCGGCTGGCGAATCACCACCTGCTGGCCTACGGACTCCACGCGCCTCTCGTTTCCCCGACGCATCGTTTCAAATGCGTGTTTCTTTATGCGCGTACATGGTGCCCCTGCTACGCCTGTCCAGTGGATGATTCGTTTACCTTGTTGCCATATAGTAAACCATACCAACGGCAACATTACCCTGCGTAGCAGCATGGACGGGGCAGATGAGCATCTGGAGCCTCCGGGAAATTGAAGGGATCTATTTCATTGCCCCAGCTGGGCAGGAGTCTAAGAGACCCAGGTACTTGATGCTTGGGCTGTGCTGTGTGGGCTTCATGTATGACAACTTGAAATGAGTATATAACCGGGAGCTGCGTGCTGTGTGTACAACCCTCGTACTGCTCTTCATCCCGCTTCATTGTTTGCAGTCGTTCCTTTCGGATCCCTCCACCACATTCATTTCTACCAATTTTCAATTCTACACATTCATTGAGCAGGGCTCTTTTATCGCTTTTGTCCTTTTTTTCAAATCTTCATCACCATTTCTCCATCCAAACACAATGAAGTCTTTCACTTACCTCAGTGCCCTCATGGGTGTCAGCTCCGCCTACGTATACCCTCGTGGAACCGCAAACAAAGCTGCCGGCTTCGTCGATTCCGACTGCCCGTCCCCAGGAGAGGATTTCTGGGCCCTCTCAGCGATGGTTGCGGGGGAGGAGAAGATGAAGAGAGAACTGTTGGAGCAGGATCCAACCAACGTAACATTGTCAGCTAGAGCCGACGTTACCATTGACACATATATCCACATTGTGGCTACTGGTCCGAACCAAGCGGATGGCATGGTTCTGGTACGTTTTCAAAGACTCCTTCGTCTCCCTCAGAACGCCATGATATGCGTCAGTGTTGAAACCACACGCTAATCCCGCTGCTATAAAAAACAGGATGACCAGATCATGAAGCAAATGGTAGTCATCAACGACGCCTTTAACAAGCGCGGCTTTTCTTTCAAGCTTGCCGGCACGTCGAGAACCGTCAGCCAAGACCTCGCCATCATCGACAACAAAGAAGAGAAGACGGAGAAACTGGGCGCCAAATTTCGAAGGGGAAACTACCAGGCTCTCAACCTCTACATCGTAAAGGATATGCCCGGCAATATCGCTGGAGACTGCAGTCTCCCTATGACCAGGCACGGGGGCAAGTACTTGCACGACGGCTGCCGCTTCAATTACGATACTCTACCGGCCAAGGGTGACGGCAAGGTCCTTGTTCACGAGTGAGTTGTCCCACCTTCACAGCATCGCTGCGTCACACGAAGAGTCATCAGAGACTAACCACTGCTCCACAATGCAGAATCGGCCACTGGCTCGGTCTCGCCCACACCTTCCAAGAGGGCGACACCAATACCCTCAACCCAAGCTGCACAGCCGGCCACGGCGACGACGTCGCGGATACACCCGTGCACCTCCGGCCTCAGACTGGTAGCTGCGATCCCGTCAAATCTTGCCCCGGTGTCGCTGGCTCCGACCCCGTCTGTAAGTCCCACTCTCCGTCGCTCCTTTCCGATCGCGTAGACACGGGCAGCTCAGCTAACCTGTTTGCTTTCTTTCCTCCTGTAGCCAATTTCATGAACTATACGCCTAGCAAGTGCTGGACTGGATTCACGGATGGTCAGGCCACCAGGATGCACAGCATGTGGGAGGTCAGGAAAAACGCCAAATAGACGTGTGCATCTTCTCAGGGTGTACCGAATTAAAAAAAGGGGGTTTCTGAAAAGCAAAAGATGAATAAAATAAGGAACGGGAAACCGTGAAAGAAGAAAAGAAAAAAATCCAGAAAATTTTTAGATTCGAATTGTACATGTACAAATTTCCAACCCGCGGATCCAGCTTCAAGATGGAATCCAAAAGAAGATGAATGTGTGTGTGTGTTATGGGTAGTTTAGCATCAAGCAGCCAAAATGAACAACATGCATCATATTACTTCCCAATACTCCGCATTAGAAGCATCCAGCACATGTCTTATCCGACTTTCAAACACCAGCTCCCGTCTTTGTTTTCCATATCCTTCTCCATCATCACACATACTGCCGCGTTATTATCCATCCATCCATCCAAACACCAGACCAATATCCCGTCTATTATCCATCCACCTTCACCATACCCCACGTCATCAATTCATACACCACAGTACTGCCCGAGGATCCTCCCCTCATCCTACACGCTCTAGCCTCCGCGCAAAAAAAAAACTTACTGAACTACCATCTATAGAACTACTCGTACACAATCTTCTCCAAGACGTAGTAGTCAACAGGCCAGGCTATCAAAGACCAAACTATATGATTTAAAAAAAAATAAAAATAAAAAAGCCAACAGCCAACAGCTCGTGTCGTTCCCGAGACCCCGGAAAAAAAACAGGAGTAAGTTACAATGCATACCTGCATGTGGGTATATGCGGTCCCTGTCCCTAATGTTTCGTATCCTTGTTTCCAATCCACCAACACCAACGTCTCTCGGTCCGGAAAAACCAACACGCATACACATCTATTCAGACAAAAAAGCGAGCGTCGTCGTCGGTAATTCGTACAAAACTCCCCGATTAAAAATCGCTTTGGCTATGCACCATTTGTCTTTTTTCTTTCTCCCCCGTGATTGCTAGTTCTTTATTTGTTGTTTGTTGTTGTTCGATGGGATGGGATGGGATGGGATGGGATGGTTTTGGGGGTCGGTTTTGCTTTGCTTCTGCGTTTTCACTCGTTTATCATGGTATGCATAATACATGGTACAATTGATATTGTAGGTGTGTATATCGTGTTTGGGAGGGACATGTTGGGACGCTCTGGCCTCGACTACTTATGTAGGTAGGTATGTACATTATAGGGCTCGCGCGCATCCTAAGAATGGATTTATCAACAATCTATCCGAGTCTTGATTTATAAGTGAATGACGTTGAATATGCGCTGAACCTCATAACAGTAGCCATATTCCACGCTTCAAACACTAGCTAGCTAGCTAGCTCATCAATCAATCAATCATTATCAGTCAATCAAGCACTTATACAACACACACCATACTCATCAACAATCATTATAACCCCCATTCCCCTAGAACTAACACGAATAAACTACAAAACAACCCCCAACCCCACAGCAGCCACCGCCCCCACAAGAATCCCAACTACCCACCTCCTCTCCCCTCCTCCCATCGTCGCCGCACCACTACCAGCCACCCCCGAAGCAGACGGTAACGTAGTCGTACTCGTTCCCGTCCCCGTCCCATCCACCCCCGTAGTATTCTGCACTCTAAAATAATTCGCCGCAATCGACGGGCCTAATTTCGCCGCAAGCACGAAAGCTGCAATGTCGAATGGCACGCGGGTGGTTAGGAATGGTTTGAATGCTTCTGGGAAGATGAAGTCTCGGTCTTGGAGGAAGAGGAGGGTTGTGTATGTGTGCGGTATGTCGCCGGGAGGCGGGTTGGGTTGGCCTTGCAAAGGAGAGAGGATAGAGTTAGCTAGATTCTATTTTGGGAATTGATGCAGGAAAGGAGATGTCCTGATTTATAGATTCAATGGGTGTTTGGTATCCATCATTCTTTGATTTTTTGATCCTTTTTTGGAAGGGGGAGTGAGAGGAATAACAGAAGAGAAGAGGAAAAAAAAAGACATACGATAAGGAGCCTCGGCAACACCCGCAGGAGGAAGTATCAACGTGCGATTACCAGATTCCATGGTGACGTTGGTAGCCAGATAATGCAGCAGCTGCACGCGTGTGCCGTTCCTAGGTACGTCGGTATCGACAATGACGACAACGGCGCGGTTCGCACTGCCCCATGCCGGCGAGGTGATTGTGGGGAGATTGAGCGTGTCTAGCCATCCATTGGTTATATACAAAAAAAAAGATGCTGTGGCGCACTCCAAGGCAAAACGGAATAAGGAAAGGAGAAGGAGAAGGGGGTTTACTTACCAGCTCTAGGAATCAATTCGCCGGGCGGAGACACGTTGTTTGTACCAAATGTAAGGTTGAGGTCTGGCGTGTTACCGACGACGGGGAAGTCTGGGGGATAAGCTGCCGTGGCGAAGCTTGAAAGCGTCGACAGGGCAAAAGCGTTGCGGAAAAGCATCGTTAACCAAAATGCCAAAATATCGATATCAATATCAATATCAAATGGTAAGTCGAAAGGAAGAAAGGAAGGGGTGAAAAGTGGGTTTGCTTGTTTGGTTTATTGTTTTGAATCTACCAGATACGGGGGAGAGGTGCGTGCGAGTAAAAAGCTTCTTGACATTGATGTGTTGGTGCGTATGTATCTATGTATGTAGGTGTAAGGAGTAGGTTTCACGCCCCCCAGACTTCATAATGACGTTCTCCAAGCCACTAATCGAGACAAAAACAGCTTTCTCTCAACGCTGTCACAGCCGATGTGTCAATCACAGCCTCCCATGCGTATCACCCACGGGGTTTTCGTGGGTACTATGCATAGCCAATGGCGCAGATGGCGGATGGGGGGTCATGTACGAATCAGAACCTGGCTCTCCAACACTTGCGGTAAGTGGATCTGCGAGATCGCCTTACGCTGTAACCTTTCCGACCTATCACCGTCGTGTAGCTACCAGGGCCGTGATTGCTGTGCGTGGGGTCCGTTTACGACGCAGACCCGTCTATCCGGCATCAGGTACGCCATGATCCTCGTATCAATCGACATCTTCAATTAAATTCCCAGAGCCAGCAAAAAATAAACCGTGAAGACGATGAATGTGTTTGGCGTGGACATGCGCATGGTGAATATACATTCATAGATACACAGATCTGTATCCACAAGTGCGGGGAAACCCCAAACCAAACTCCTCCCTCCCTAGACTAGCAAGACTACGTCGGACAGCTAGATAGCTAGCGGACCGGGGAAAAAAGGGAGTGCGAGTATGGTGTGTGGACTAGTTTGCTAGAGTACCGAGGTATGCATATATATATCTATGGTGCGCTGGTGCAAGGTGACGACTACATGGCTGCACTGCACTGCACCGCATTGCAATTGATGATGGAGTCTTTGGTGGGGGGATTGCTGGAGTGTGTGTGTGTATACATAGTATGGAATAGGGATGAAGTCTACGGCGGGAATGGAGGAGATATGCGAAGACGGTGATGCGGAGAAGAAAGAGAAGGTGTGCATTATCGCTTTTGAGACTGGCTGAATACGGGAGAAAAAGAGAGGGTCGAGTCAGTTGTCGTTGTGATGTTGGGTATCGAGCGAATCGATCTCGTCCCGTCGCTGGGATATGGGTTGATTGATTTGATTTGATTTCTCATACCACGTGGGTATGTCTTGCTATCGAAAGCAGGGTATATGGGGAATTTTTTTTGCTGTGTTGTTCTTCCTCTTCTTCTTTCTTCTTCTTCTCCTCCCCGCTTCCCGTCCAACTCAACTATAAATCGTACAAGAAGGTATCTATCCAGAGCAGTGTAGTAATAAAAACAACAAGAAAGAGAAGAGAAAACAAAAGAACGCTGAATGACTGTGTGATATCTTAAAACTCCTGGACTTTTTTTTCTTTTCTTTAAAACACTTCCATGCATTTCCCCATTGGCTCCCCCAGTGCGTCGACCAACTGGCTATCAAGCCCCGACTTCCACCACGCGGATCGTGTTGGAAGCTCCGGCTCTTTTCACATCGGGGGATGAGGCGCTCTCCACCTCCGAGTTTGGTTTCGTGTCTGGGCCTTCACTGTTGCTGTTGGGAGTTTCGACCGTCTCTGGCTTCTCGACGTGGGCCTGCGCTGGCGTTGCCGGCTTTTCTGGCGTTTCCACCTCCACCGTTTCGCTTGCCTGCTGCTTCTCCTGCTTTTGTGTCTCGTCGGTCGTTTCTGCTTTCGGCGTCTCTGCTTCTTGCGCGGGTCTCCCTGTTTCCTCGAGTAGTCTGTCTTGTTCGCTGACCTTGGTATCTGCTCTCTTCCTCGACCCAAGTCCGACCGTCTCTTCTACTGCATCGAATCGTCCCGTCGCACGGCTGCTACTCCTATCGAAGAAGCTGGCAGATGATGGGCTATTTAGAGCAGGAGAGGGACCAGAGCGGCTCTTTGAGATGGAAAGCCTGAATCTCGACGACCGTTTTTTATGCAACGAGTCATTCCCAGCTACTATTGTGGTTGTGACTGTGTTCATGGGCAGGCTATCGCCTCCTGGAGAGGGAGACCGGTGTGATGGAACAAGGCCATGCAGGTGTTCTGTGGGAGTGGTATTTCTTCTTGACAATGGCGGCGATTTTCTCAAGGTGGCTGCCGGGCTACTGGTCGAGCCAGTGCGGGATCGGGAACGCGGATCGGCTGGCGAATGAATGTAAGTCTGGGTGGTGGGTGTGAAGAGAGCGTCTGTGAGAGGGAGCGGCGACGCGGGAACGGGGGATAGGCGAGAAGGGTGCGATGTGGGCGCCGGGGCAGCTGAGGAGTTGTTGCTGGGCGGTCGTGATGATGACGATACACTACGAAGCGAGCTTTTGGAGCTGTAGGAAGAGAGTCGCCATCGATCCTTCCATCGCCTCAATGTTTTCCGTATGCCCGTGTTTTCGGATGTGCTATTCATTGTGCTGGCACTGGATTTTCTGTATACATCCATGGCTGGGCGGTCGGGCTGTGCTTGTCCTCTCTTCTCAGCGGCGTGTGGGTGGTCTCTGGGGGGAGGATTTGCTTTTCAGCTTGGGGCGGCGAGGGAGGGAAAAAGAATGGAAAGGGCTGGGGAGCGAGAGATGAGGCCGCACGCGGCACACGACGGGACGTCTCTCCTCTTAAAGGCGCAGGCTCGTAACGACCCGCTCCAGCACCCAACAAACACACTGGGGCCAGCTCTCGGGGAAGCTAGATACGGTTCGCGGTGGATCCACAATGGCCCGGGCCCACAGTAAGCAGGGGTAACGGACACGTTGTGAGCTCGGCTAACGTGGTCAGCTTGTTCTGGAAAGTTTCTGGGTAATTCTGGCCTCGGTGATGGAACCGGGAACGTGCGCATATGCAGATGGATAAAAACGTTGACCATGCACTGACGGCGTGATGGGCCTCGTTGCCATGTGCCAGTGCCAGGTACGGCCGTCGCTTGGATGAGCCTGCCGCCAGCCTCGACGACTTTATGCACGCCATGTCATCAAAACAATCTAGGTGGCCTGCTTCTGGTGGGACAGGCACGAGAGGGGCGTGGTTGTGGAAGTGATGGGAAAAGATATCCCGTGCATGTGGCACCCCTGCGCACCATGCGAATGTTGCCATGTATGATTCGTGCGACGGCGGCCGACATGGTCCGCATTACTACTCAGACGGTAGGCCATAGGCTGTGGAGTGCGAAGATATATGGCTTCTCACCGAAGTCCGTCAGAGACACACGACTTTGTCATCTGCTTGTCCGTCTTATTCGCGTCTATCGATAACACCTCTTCGCCACGCCTCGCTGCTTACCGTGTTTTGTGCATCCCAGCAGCCCGTCACCCTGTTGTGTTGAAGCTCATCATCCATCGCGCTAGCTGCGTGTCGCGCTGATCCTAGTTGATAAGACGCATTGTGATTTCAGCTCTACAATTTCGTTAGTTCCCAGTCACTGTCACATTCATCCACTGACTGCACTTACGTCGCAAACGTCCCCGCGCTAACCGGCATGGCCCTGAGTAAGGTCGGCCCGACGCCTCTCCAGAATCCCCCCATGCCTTCCGCTCTCCACGTCTTGGCAAAGCAGTCCCGCATGCTCTTGTACTTTTGATTCTCCCCGAAACCGTCACTCTGCATCTTGCTCTTGACCACATCGAATGGGTAGCTGCTGATCCAGAGCGCTTCACCGGCGAGTCCACCGTAGAAGGCCACCTTGAGAGTGCTGATTTCGGAACGATCAATGTTGTTGCGTTGGGCATCCTTGTTCATCATGTATTCGTACGCAGTGAACCAAACACCGTACGCTTGAGCTTCTCTCATGAACGTGACTGCCGTGCCTCGGTATGGTCCTCGGAGAAGGCCTTCATGCGCCGAGAGCTTCTTGACGCAGTCGATGGGGCCATTGTAAAGACGCCCTGCGCCATGCGGCTGTGTCTGCAACCTGATGCGGATGTGCTCAATGGGGCTGGATAGAACTGTGTTGGCTATACCGGCAAACGCTCCTGATGCATAGTACTGTGCGTAAGATAGTTGATGGTTGCCGGTCTTGGTCGTGTTCTGCGCTTCAAATGCTCTTCGTGCGTAGTGGAATCCTCCAAACTGAACAGATACGCAGGCACCTATACCTATCAACGGAGTGAGCGTTCCCTTGTAGAAAGCTAACGGCCCTTCGCTCTTGTAGATTTTGGTTGCCGCATCCAATGCTCCCGAATATTGCTGTGTGGTCTGGAGCCTGACCTTGACAATGTCGAATGGTTGACCTATCACTGTTAGCCTGTCATGGCATCGAAAGCGGGAACAAGAAAAAAAAAACTTACCCAATAATACCTGAGCAACACCGCCCGTTGCTCCCGAGAACAAGTCTTTCAAAGTCCTTTTAAGACCATGCTCCGGAGCCTCGATTTCACTATCTACTCCCATGGTTGCTGTCAAAGACGACCACCGCCCTCGATTGCTTGTTAATGCGGGAGTGCCGACACCGGATCGAAATGTGGAGACGGCGGGGTCACGTTCCAGCAAAGCGGCAATATATCGATGCTTCTTCCGAAAAACACTGAAAAGGCGGAAAGGGCGCAATCGACACAAGCAAATCGGGAGAAAAGTTGTAGAGGTACATGTATGTCAGGTAGATATGAGTTCCTTGGTTGACGTGATAGCGCCAAGACGCCTCTAGGCCCACAGCAGACAAGACTGATCTGGCAAAATGTTCCTGCATAGATACTGAGTAGCGGCCTTGTGTAGCGCGAAGTAGTTTCACCGAAACCTGCATCATCTCTGACCCTAGCGTTGAAGTGGTTGAAGTATATCGATTGATTATCAGAGGGTATCTACAAGAAAAAAAAAAGGGTGCAAAAGCAAGAATAAACAGAAGGAACAAGCATCAAGCGCTGACATATCCGCCTTGGCATCAACAGTCGTACACCTTTTATCTCCCGCCCCAACAAACCTCAGCGGCTGGCCGATAGCTAAATCAATACTATGAGGCGCAGAGCCCTGTCCATACACCAGTGTGATATCTACGCATGCAAAAAGCAAACAAAAGAAAACCTCGAATGAAGAATGCTGCCTACCAGCAGCGCAGCTTCTTCCAGATACTTGGGGATTCGGCATGCGCCTTTTCATTCGATGCATCGACTGTGGTGTGATCTTTGTGGTTCGTAGGAGTCAGAGCGGCTGTCCGGACAGGGTGTAATGCATTCGATGAACCGCCGGTCGCGGTAAGGCGACGAGCTTCAACGACACGACGCACCAGTACTGTGTTCACGTAAGCATGTTGCTGTTACCACTCTGGAATGGGAGTGCCTACAAGCAAACGTTTCCTCGATATTGACCATCTCCCGTGCGCTTGTTTCCATGAATCCGCATCCACGCTTCCTCGCCCACTCCAATCCCTGCTGACTCTTGATCACTCTCTGACTGCTCAAATCGCATTTGTTGCCAGCCACTATCTTCACGGGGGGTACCTCCCCTTTGTCAATGCGATTGTCCGTCTCCATATCTATCATATCTGTGAAGTATTCGAGGCCATCGAGCGAGTATGCGTTGGTGATGTCATAGACAAGGAGGAACGCATCGGAGCGTAGGTTCGTTGAAGCCCACAATGAGCGGTACTCCTCTTGGCCGGCGGTGTCGGTGAGTTGCAGAAAGTAGGGGATCCCATCTATGGTGCGGGTTACGGAGTAAGAATCTTCTGTGAGATGGTTAGCCATCTCGGAACGTGGAAGCCGAAACTAGTCGTGTGACTGGCTTCGTAGGAGCTCCCGATGTCTTCATGGGGGCATCTTCAACCAAGTGTTGCAGATGCTGGTTTGCAGAGATAGCGACGTACCTATGGTAGGGTCATAACTAAGCAACCAAGGCGGTTAGTACACGCTCCAAGTATCGTTGCCCAAGAATCAGCGGTAAGCTTACTCGTGTGTCCACTCGCTCCTCACCAACCTGAGGGTTATGGAACTCTTTCCACATCCTCCATCCCCACAGATTGTGATGGTGATTCTGTTGTCCTGATCCATGTTCCGCGATCACAGTTCAGCACAGCACAGCAACCTCGGGCGGACCAAAGGCTCCGTCCAACAACTGCCAATGGGTATGTGCTCTTTGGGAGTTGCAGCGCAAGAGAGCAAGGAAAGGGACCGCGGACGGGCGGCCAGGAGGATATCGCAATGGGCTGGTTTCACGGGGTCGTAGCAGGTGACGGCAGCCGGGGTCAAGGAGGTTTGCGCAATCGCGAGCACAGCGAATTTGTACTCGAGCGTCGTTGTCTATGTATACCTGGGAGAGGCAAGGCGAGAAGAGAATTGGGTCAAGGAGTGTGTAGGCGGTCTTGTTCGGACGCAGGAAGCGAAGAGAAGAAGGAAACGGACAAGTGGAAAAGCAGAAAAAGAAGGGAAAGGCGTAGGGCAAGGCAGCCGACGATGTTTGAGCGTGGTGAATCGAGGCAAAAGAGATGGGTGTGGATCCAGCCAGCCAGCCGCAGCCGTTGGGCTGGGTGGGAATCAGTCAGCCAGTCAGCCAGCCGGTTCCAGCCAACAGGAAGGGAAGGCATTGCCGTCCGTCCCACCCATGCGGCGGCCGTGTCTGGCAATTTCCCTCGGCCATCGCAATTTCCAGCGCTGCTTCCAATTCGACTGCTTCTCCGCTTCCAGCCCTGTTTTCGATGCCATCCATGTCTGTCCACTATACCTCTGTACCTTGCAACCAGCTATAACATCACCATCATCATCATCGTCCCTCGCTCTCTCTATGCGACGCACGCCAAACACGCCCCAAACTCACTTGCCCTCAAACCACCGTCTCTGCGCACCGAGCACCGCAGCCACTCAATTGGGGGGGTCTTTTTTTTTTTTTTTTGCTTTTCGTGGAGACGCTTGTTCTATTCTGCACAATGGTCCTCTTGTTGGTCTGATGGTCTAACAAATAAAAATATCAAACATCGCTACCCAACGTTATAATAATATGTACATGGAACATCATCCATCATAGTCGTCACCCGCACAGCAAACAGCCGTGCCTCCAGAACGCCAAAATAGACCTGGGTCAAGAGCCCAATACAAAAGTCGTGTATGTGGCCGTCATATTCGTCTACCTAATGGGAGCACTTGCAAATTCTCTTTGCAGCTCAATCCTGGAAATGGTGCCAACCAACCCAGACGTCGGCGTGTGCGTATGGACTGCCAGAAGAGTGGCTATGCTCCCCCGAGGAAATAGCCCGTCAAGTTGATACTTCAAAAGTCAAGAATAGGCTCCCTTGCGTGTACAGCCATGCTGGTAGCGACGACGGCAAAGGTATCCAAAAGTCATGTCATCACGCTAGAGTGCATGGCCCATCATCAAACGCATCAATCTGGTGGTTCGGTTCCCTCTTCGATTTTAGGCGGTACGCTGGCGCTTATGTCGTAAGCCGCGCCAGTCCTAGCGATTTTGGAAGAATGTGCGTCGTGGTCGAGCTGTTGGTGATGAGGGCTCGAGTGTGCCGGTCTTGACGCCAAGCCCATCTGCTTGCTTTTCTCTTGGTCTTCTTGTATCGTCTCTTGCATGATATTGGGGAGGATGGTTTGGTTGTGCCGCGGAGAGGCGCTCTTTTTACTCTTGTCGCTTGTCTGGGACGAGGTCCTAGGAGACACACGACCTTGCTGTGACCGCGCAGTCAGTAGCTATTCATCACAAGCTAGAGCATCAGCCATCACTTACCTGCTTGGCCCATCTTAAGCCACAAGAGTTACATAGATCTCGGTTTCCAGACGGCCCTCTTCTCCACTCGGGCGTAGTCCTTGTATGGCAATTCGCACAGTCTTTTTGCGCATGCCCTGCCCCCTTTCTTCGCTTCCGTTTCTTCTTCGCGGCTAACAAGCTTTGCACTTCCTCTGCTAGATACCTGTTTCGCTTCTCCATCTGCCGCAACTCATACTGCCAGCTCGAACTCCTCGTCGTTTTCAATTCATCAAATATGTTGTCCTCTGATGCCAGCGAGTGGTCTTGATGCCCTATCCGGAGACCATTCTGTCCTGCGTACGTAGTAGCTGATGATTCGGTCGACGTAAACCGCGGGACATTCATTTGGTCTGACGTATTGAGGCCTGACGCTGAGCCACCTGCCAGAGACGCATGCAAAGGTGACGCTCCTGTCCCTACGGAGGTGATTGACAGCCCGTCAGAAGATCGGTCTTTGCTGTTGTACATCGACGGCCGTAGCCCAGAACTGTTTCGAGAGTATTTCAAAAGACGGGTTTGGGCAACAAGGAACGTTGGCTTTTGGCCTTCGGTTGCATCTCCTGGATAAATCGTGGTGAAAGCCTGGAGTACCTGGCCTCGCTTGTTGATTAACTCGTGTTTCACTTCGCCTTTTCTGCCGGTTCTTGCCAGTTCAAGAATCCTCCCAAAGCTCTGCTTGGATTCTTGGCGCATCAACATCTGGATGCTGGTACCCACAAGATCGTCCGGCTGTTTGTCTAATAGAGAGCGAACATTGGATGACACGAACAAGAACATCCCAGACGTTGATAGCTTTGTCCACAGCTCATTGTCGCCGACGCCTCCGGATGCGCGCACGATAGACTTGCTGAGCGTGTAGACTGGTCTTTCCCTTCCAACTAGTATAATGCACTTTCGGCCTTTACCTTGTTCAGTATGCAGCGAACCATGGCCTTCAAACCACATATATCCACTATTTTTCCGTCGAAGACGGAAAACGACGTTGACAGAAGAACCATTGCCCATATCTTTCAACTCTCTTGTGACAGGAACGATATCACTAGGATGGCATACAGATGATAGAGCAGTCCCCACAAGCTCCCCGGGATCGTATTCTAGAATCCGGCTACTCGATGGGGATAGATAGAGGAACAATCCTTTCAGTGACAAGACATGTACTACGTCATCGGCGTTCTCCAGTAGTATTTTGTCCCAGATGCGCCGTGTAATTTCCGAGTCGCTAGTGGAACCGTAAGTGGACAATACATTTGAAACCTCCTCTTTTGATATTGTGTGTCCATGATGGTGCTCCCCATGTGATTTATGGTCAGTGAATACGTAACTCGGCATCGACAAGCCTCGCTGATAATTGACTCGATATGTGCCATCTACCAATACGTTAGCATCAATAATCGGATGGTTCAGAGAAGCGACCTACCTGGGTTCTTGTTGGTCATTGATCCAGGTTGCTCTACCAGATCGACCTGGAAGCCAATAATGAATTTGATTGGCCCCCCACTTTCCCATGCGATGGGAATCATGGTCAGAAGATTCATGAAAGGCTGACCCCCTCTCCTATAGTTGATGAGACTGATCTGAGCCTCTTGCCGGTTCTCCACCGTAGATTTAAGGTAATATACGGAGTCATCATCGACATATCTTCGTTTAATGCGAGGCTCTACTTTACCATCTGGCGACTGGAGAAATCGACAATTCCTACCAAGGATCATGTGCTTACTGTAACCGGTGAGTCGTTCAAAGTTCTCCGAACAGTAGACGATGGGTACATCATCCAACTCATAGTCACACACCACGAATGCACAAGACAAATCCACAGAGCCAATGTCAATCTGGGGATTGGGTCTGGTGGCGACTCGCATCTGCCATAATTGTTAGCAAAGTTTGGTTATTCCTCAACCAAGCACACGTACCAGTACGCCCAACATGTCGAAGCCAGTGGATGAATATGCGTTCTTGTATTCAGTTTTGATGTGAGGTTTGGCGTCTTTCATAGATGGGAAACCACCGGGAGGTGTTCTCCAGGGAAATTTGATTTGACGAAAAGAGTCGGATTCCACTTGTTGTTCAGTGGGGAGAGCAATGGGCTGTTGTTTTTGGAGAGATTCATGACTCATTTGCGAGGGGTCCCGAGAGGGATCTTGCTTCTCACTTTGTGCACGGGAATTAGAGCGTTGGCTGGTTTGCTCGTGACTGTTGGAGCGAGTTGGACCAAAAGATCGTCCGTCGGGGGTGGCACTGGACGATTCACTCCGGAAACGGCCAGGTCGCTGAAGGGGCGCATTGGTTGGGGGAGGAACAGTAGGAGGGGCGGCGAAGTCCTGCGCGTTGGAAGAATCTACCATGGGACTGGCAAATTGCGAGTTGGAGAACATGTTCATGTCGGTAGGCATCATTTGAAGAGAATCGGGCATGTCAAGAGGAAGCGACATGGCTGGGTACGGACTCGTGATGTCCATGTCGAGGCCGGTGTGCATAGGAGAGGCATAGGCAGAACCTGGAGCGGGCATGTTTGGATAGGGAGAAGTCGAGTTTGGGAATTGTGTGTTGATGGCCAAGTCGGTGCCGGGGGTGCGGTCGGCGGCCATCTCGTTTGATGTCTGGGGAAATGTACCATGGCGCATCATGCTCTGCATTCCGGCATTTGTGGGTATATCGAAATGAAAGTCCTCCATGATGGAGTTGGTGGGGTCTCCAAAGTTCATCTGAGAGTAGCGGCGAGAGTTGGGACTGGCTGCATCGGCAAAATCCATGGGCGCATCGCTGCGGTAGACATCGACGGGCATGCTCCTTCTCCTGAGATCTTTATCATTTTGCGAGACGATATCATCCAGAGACTGGCCTTGATTCATGTCGAAGGTATCCAGGCCATCCCCCGACATGTCCATCATGTTCCCGCCATTCGCGAAGGACCGCTGTGAGTAGGGATACCCATTCATGGCAGCGGTCCGCTTTCAAGCTCATTCAGTGGGCAGCAGGCAAAGATTACGGACGCATCGAGCGTTGCGACGCCCCGTGGGGGGCAGAGGTGGGATTGCGTTGGGCGTGTGGCTGTAGCGACGCTGGCGGCAGCGAGGGCGGGAGGAGCGAGTGCGGCGATGGCGGAAGGACAAGGGCGAGCACAACAACAACAGCGGCGGCGGCAGGGCAACGATAAGGTGGTCCAGGGGGGAATAATGTTCTGGGGGATGTTTTTGTACGGTCCGAAGGTAGTTGTCTGTGAGATGAATGAAGAGTTGGTAGAAAGTAGGCACACACTAATTCGTAGTCTAGCCCAGAAGATTGACGCCCTTGTGTGGCTTTCTTGTGTCGTCGGCAAAGACAGGCTACGGCGATGCACCAGATGCGAGCAAGCGGCGATCAGCAAATGAGATGGAGCAAGTCAAGACGGAACAGGATCGAAGGGGAGGATGATGGGCTGGCGGCGGTGGGGCCCGCAAAAGCAGAGAGGAGGGAGGAGTCGCTGCAGCGTGTATCGACGCCTAATGCGATTCTGCGATGCGAGACAAAAAATGCCATACTGCCCAAAACGGGGGAGAGCCCCATGACAAGCTGATCAAGCTGATCTGAGCCTTGAATACTGTACGGGGCCTTGCACGTGATGCACCGCATCGTCGCATATGTCCCAACCGTCAACCGCATGAATTGCATCCATCGCAGCCAGACTGCCATCCCATCCCATCCGTGTGCAGGCGAGCATCCCCTATCATCGCGAACCACTGCCCACGGTGACGAGGGGCGCCTGATAGACGTCATCGTTCTCGGATTAAGGTGTCGGACGGGTGCGGCATGCACACTACATAGCACACATGTACCCACACGCCCACAACTCAGAGACCTGGGCACTGATCATTCCATTATCCAGACCTCTCCATTGTGCATCATTGGTTGCTATCTATTCCTAACATGTAATCATCGCAATCGCCCCTCCCAGTCTCCCTACTGTGTAATGAATGTATTCTGTATCAACCATCACCGCCATTGGGCAATTCAAACACAAGACACCATATTGTTGAGGCTTCTCCCGTGTGCATAGTCTTCGAGACTGAGATACATTGTGCTTGTTCCTATTCTCAAGTGCTCTCTTCTTTGACCTCAAACCAATGGTCGGAAGCATGGTGTGGGAGTGCGGTTTTTGCAGCTTCGCCAAGACTTCCGTCCAACTAGGCCAGATCGAGAGCTAGCGCGATTCACTCAACATCTACTACGCGCTGTCGCGTCGGGCGTGCAGGTACCGCATCGAGTACAACCAAGAAGCTCTCCACTCCCTTTCCCCGCTCTCTTGACATTGCCCTCTTCACTCAAGATTGACGGCGCGAACCGCGACATGGCGTAACAGCAAAACTAGATTCGGCCTATTTTTGCTATTGACCACCCCGCACAGCGGCAAAAATGGGCATCTCTGGTTAGTGTTGTGGGGGAGAGCGAATGCATATACAAATGCCCACGAGCTGACTATCCATTCACCAGGGCTCCTTCCTCTGTTGAAATCTGTACAAAAACCATGCTCTCTGAAGAAATTCGAGGGCAAGACGATCGGTGTGGATGCCTATGGCTGGCTTCATAGAGGCACGGCCGCCTGCGCCATTGAGCTGGCCCAGGGGAAGCCGACGACCAAGTAGGCTTGATACCAGAAACCAGTATGACCTCGAAACCAAATCGTCTTACAAATGCTACAGATATGTCGACTTCGCCATGAGCCGTGTTCGAATGCTGATCCACTTCGGCATCACTCCGTATATCATTTTCGACGGCGATTATCTTCCGAGTAAATCTGGGACGGAAAAGGACAGAGCTGCACGACGGAAAGAGGGCAAACGCTTGGGACTGGAACTGCTCAAGGTCGGAAAGATTGCACAGGCTCAGCAAGAGCTCCAGAAAGCGGTCGATGTCACGCCCGAAATGGCTCGCATGCTGATCGAGGAATTAAAGCATCACAACATTCAGTATGTTGTTGCTCCTTTTGAGGCTGATTCCCAGATGGTTTATCTCGAACGCGAGGGCATCATTGACGGTATACTGTCGGAAGACTCCGATCTACTTGTGTTTGGTGCCAAATGTCTGATTACCAAGCTGGACAAATATGGCGAATGCATCGAAGTCAACCGGAACCACTTCACGGCCTGTCGAGAAGTCAGTCTGGTAGGATGGACCGATGCTGATTTTAGACGAATGGCCATCCTGAGCGGCTGCGACTATCTTCCCGGTATTGGCAACATGGGGTTGAAAACGGCGCATCGCATGTTGCGTAAACACAAAACAGTTGAACGCCTTGTGAAAGCCGGTCAATTCGATGGGAAGCTCAAAATACCTTCTGGTTATTTGGAGGACTTTTATCAAGCAGAGAAGACTTTTCTCTACCAATGGGTATTCTGTCCAATCGCAAAAGAGATTGTGCATTTGACTCACCTCGATCCGGGCGTGGAGGCAGATAACATGCCGTTTATTGGGGAGAAAGTGCCGGCACATATTGCTTATGGGGTAGCACGCGGAGACTTGCATCCCCACAGCAAAGAACCACTTCGACTCCTTGCCAAGGGCCCACCAAGGGGCAAACCATTGAAGCCCTCAATGTCGGCATCTTTTAGCGCATGTACACCTGCAAAAACACCCGCCACTGGAAAACACGGGAAGCCCATCGAAGCCTTCTTCAAACCAAGGCGGACCCCATTGGCAGAACTTGACGTCAACTTGTTCACACCCTCACCGAGCCAGCAAGTGCTTTTGGAGCAGGAACAGAATAATCCTGGATGGGAGGCTGTTGCAGCGCCACAACAAGCTCCTATGACGGCACCTCAGCCTGTCAGGAGGACGACTTCTGATTCCATCACAAGCAGAAGATCACTCCCGCAGCCACCGAAAAGGCAACGCCTTTGTACAGAGCCTGTTTCCGATACCCCAGGTGATAGTAAGGGAGAGGATACACGAAGTCGGTTCTTTGCAGCATCCGTTGCGGAACCCAGCCCCACACTCCGCGTCTCCAAGACATCAAAGAAGAAATCAAGGCATAGTTTCGAGCTTCACTCTGACGATTCTATCGAGGACGCTATGAATGAATTGGTTGATATTGAGGAAGGTCTTTCTCAGCCTAGGAAGAAAATGAGGATCTTCAGCGACAGCTTCAACTCAAGCATGAACAGCGACTCACAGTCATCCATCTTTTCCCGATCATCAAATCGAACCCTGACAGACTCTCAAGAGTCTGGAGTATCAACCCCAGCAACATCATTTGGCAGTCCGGAAATAGAGTCCAATCTCGGTGCGAGCATGCCTCAGCAGATGAGGATTTTCCGCTCCAAATATTCGTATAACTCCAGTTCACCCTTGTCTTCAGCACGCCCCACCGCATCTTCCAGGCGAACTTCAACTGCAACCAGTTCGAGACTAGCACAGAGCAGCATCCGATATTCGTCCCCAGAGACCTCAGACCTGCCTGATTTGCGCTTTTGTGATGGTGCTGGCGACGACGAAGAAGAAGAAGAACAAGCCGAAGTCATCGTTCCTGCTAGCGACAGCGAGTCCTCAACACCCCGCAAAACAGTGTCGTCGAATGTTATCGATGTCAGGGGTAGTGAAGAGTTGCTGGTGCCTGACAGTGATGCGGAAAGCACGTGTTCTCCACGCAAACCTTTACTGAATCTTGGGCGGTTCGCGTTCAACGGCTGATTCTAGCATCCCTTATCTTAATGTATTCATACGAAGAAGCTTTTAGCTACTTGCGATCAATACGTTCAGTTGAATAACGAAATTCGTTTATGATTGTCTATGAAGAATCATTGTCCAAGCCAAAAGGTTCAAGGTTGTAAATAAAGGTCGGTAGATCCATGTCTATTCTTGCATATTTTGGAGCGTTCGGACTGTTGGTTTATCATTCAATACATAGCGATAGCTCAATACCCATGCATTCATCCTTCAACCAGAACTTCTCCTGCATATGCAACTCCCGCCGTCCCCGTTTATATTATATCCTTCTATTAAGAATCTCAGAGATTTGGAACTAGCGTTATCCTCTTCTCCCTTTACCATTCCACGCCGATACTCCCCACGTTAATCCCCACGTTAACGGACCGGTTGACGCTTACTCCCGCGCCTTATTCTTCTTATGCTCCTCCCAGTCCTTTCTCGTCAGGCCGTAGAAGTGCGTATCGTACACCTCGCCATGTTTTTCAATGCCCCCTCTCCACACGCCCTCGTGCTTGAATCCGCATTTTTCCAAGATACGCACTACAAAAAAGGACGGGGTAAGATCCCCCAAAAATTAGCCATACTGAGGCTCACATCATTGCTTCCTAATACTTCTTCATCTTCCACATCCCAACACCGTACCACTTTATAAGAAAACGAGAAGAAAAGAAAAGAAAGAGAATGAAAGAGACTTACTACTCGCAGCATTTCCACTGAAAATCTCAGCATGCATCCTCGTCAAGCGCTTCCCACCGCCCTCGACAGCAGGCGGCGGATGCACTCTGCTCTCAAAACACCAATCGACGTACGCGGCCACGGCTTCGGTGCTCAAGCCGCGTCCTGCATGAGCTTCGCTGATCCAGTATCCGATCTCGGCCGTGTGCGAGGATGCGTCTGTGCCTGGCTTGGCTCCGATGCCTGCGTACAGTACCAGAACAAGTTGCGTTAGTTCATTCCACGTTTTACGATGTTTTTTTGTTTCACTCTTGTATTTCTCCGTCTCACTTTTTTTTCTCCTCCCCCCTTTGGAAATGGAAGGGATGGGAGGGGGAAGAAGGGATACATACCACCGATACACACATCCTCGGCTCCCTTCTCGCAAATCACGAAGTGGTGGAAGGGGGGCTCGAGGTTCATCTTCACCCATGTTGTAGCGTGGTCCAGCGTATATGGGTACGCAAAGGCTAGGGACATGTACTTGTGGATCGAAGCTGGGGAAGCGGCTGCATGGCTCGAGGCTATGTCTTGGATGTGGTAGGGGCGGATGATGAGGCGTGGGGTTGTTACTATGGGCGGTGGAAGAGAAGAAGAAGAAGAAGAGGTGTTGGTGTCTGTGGTTGGGGATGCCATTGTGAAGACGTGAGGGAGCTTCCTGGGGTGAAAGTTGAAAAGTGGTGCAGTTGCTTGGTGTTTGTAGGTGAACTTGCTGTATACATAACCCGACAGTCCTATCTATGGGTTGATGAGTCATATTTATTGATTCACAGACTCGTGTGTCTATTTGAGTACCGCCACACAATAACAGAAGGGCTGAGGATGGGTTGCACCTTCCTCGCTGGGCGAACAATACGCTCTATGCGGTGTGTAAGACGCGCTTCTTGGGAGTAGCGTGCAACTGAGGGACAAGAAATAGCTTTGGGTCCGGGATGAAAGGCTTGTTTGGAGGTAGCCTGTGTTCAGCAGAGGCAGGGGCATGATTCCTGGCTCACTTTCCATGAATTGATCTTCTTCTTTGGGGCATGCACACAACTCATGTCGTTTCACCAGCAGCTGTTGCTAGATAGATTAATCTATGATTGTTGGCGCAGGAATGAATGTAGGGAAGCAGTGAAATTGGCAGTGGTCGGACGAATCATGGAGGCGGAAAGTCTAGTACTGACAGACTAGCGCCATACCTTATCGATAGCCTTTTCAGCCTCCTCGACGCGTCTCGTCGCGTCGCCCATGTTTAAAAGTACTGCGACCATTCTTCAAAATCAACCCACATTAAGCGACATGTCTTTATCGGTCTCCAAGTCAGTATTATGGGTCTATTTCCAAGTCCTGTGCATTAACATTCTACAGGAAGGTCGTCCGAACTTATTCGCGATTACGAAAACGCTCATTATACGACGATGAAGAGCCACCTACCAAACGCGCCCGCGTTGAAGAACCAGTAGGAGTGGAAGGGAGCAAGCACACCGGCGATGCACACATACCGACATCCACGAAAAATCTCAAGCCTTCAAGAGACTCGTCAGTAGTCCCTTCATCAAGTCCCAGACAATGCAACGCCATCTTCTCCGACGAAGCCCCGCAGTCATCACCACCTTCCTCGCCAACACACCAAAATTTCTCTCCTCCTGCTCGGAGACGGCGGCCAGTGTTTGCATCTTTGAAAAGGAAGACAAAAATTATACGCTTTGTAAAAGAGCCTCTGGCACAAGGGAGCCACCACGTCGCCAGTCTCCATAAGCAGCCACCCCAGAAAAAGAAGGTGCGCTTAGTGCAAACGCAACTGGACCTGGCATCGGATTTCACGAAGACTTGCAAGGTCTGCGGAATGGATTATGTTCCTTCGCATGTCGAAGATGTAGCTCTGCACAAGAAGTTCCACGCTATGAATGTCGGTGGTCCTGACATACCGAAAGCGCTATCCGAGAAACTCAGATTGAATCAGGTTTGGTCTGGTGGTGACGGGAGCTTCATTTCTGTAATAAGCAGAAGGGATCAGGCTGCGTTGCGTAACAAGGCGAGCCAGGTGCTGAATGTCGTCAATACCGAGCTAGGCGCCGTGCCTACACCGGACGGTTCGCTGTGGAGCCAGCTACGTAATCCAATATTGACGGCTGGGCCTTCTTCAGGGGGATTACCACAGCAATCCAAAAAGGCGACTGTGGAGTGTTTGGTCAGCGACAGGTTCAAGATTTACGTATACATACGGGGACAGAAATGTATCGGAGCATGTTTGGCGGAAAGGATCCAAGAAGCATTTGAAGTGCTTGACCAGGATGACGCGTCCACGCCCGTCGGTCAATCAGCTGCTGACAATACGAGCTCCTGCGTTTCCGTCGCCAATATTGCGAGCCCGGCAATGTTGGGGATCTCGCGAATATGGGTATCTAGTTTGCACCGCAAGCATGGCATTGCCAGTCGATTGCTAGATTCTGCGAGGTCCAACTTCTTGTACGGCATAACGGTTGACAAGACCAGAGTTGCTTTCAGTCAGCCTACGGAGAGCGGCGGGCAATTGGCCAGAAAGTGGTTCGGCCGACGAGTTGGGTGGCTTGTTTACATGGACCAATGAAGATATTATATCATGACATTTCGGGAGCTCCTGTTGAAGCGGTTTGCCGTGATCGTGGCGCGCAAGCTGGCGGAGCAGCATCGTACGGCGCGCGAGGATCTAATTCCAATGCAATGTTGAGCATTGACGACGAGACCCCACAAGTTCAATACAGGCAACTAATAGTGGTTCTTGGGGTGACGCAAACAGCTATCCATAGGTGTGACGGAAGTGCCTGGAAGCGTTCATGGTCGAGGTTGAGCCGAGCCCTAAACGACCGGGGTGTGCAGCTCTTCGCTGTCCCTCCATGCAGCAGGCGTCGAGCGATGATCCTTCAGCAACAACGACTTCAATACTCGCAGCTCGTCCTGAATTACTCACGCCACTCCCGAGAGATGCTTTTTATGTAAATAGAACAAAATAATGCATTGATTCCAAACTCCCAACATGTCTGGTAACCCATTCCGGGCATCCCTCGTCCCCCAATACCCCGCCGCACCGCCGAGCAGCTCCAATGATACAGACAGCGGAACACCTCAGGCTCGCCCTGATCGCGGCGGCGATGCTGGTATACACACCCCTTCATACATGACCCATTGGGATGCACAGGATTCATGAATAATGGTTGTACAGTGCTCGACTCGACTTCCATGCCTTCCACCAAGACAAAGAAATCCGTCCGCATAGAATCCCCCACTGAGACCATACCTCCGCATCCGGGCTTCTACGATGCAGATAGCCCTCCCCATTTCCCTTCATTATCCGATATAGACAATGCATATCTACCGGCGGCCTCCGCTGCGCAAAAAACACAGGTCGCTTCCTCGAGTAGCTCACAGGGCGATGGAGTAGGCGACGGATCAGACCCACGACAGTTTTCGAGTCGCGCCATGACAGATGCTTCAACTGCATACTTCGATGCCCCTGGAATCAAGAAATCATCGCGGGGTGCTCCACCGAATCCGTTCGCGAAGACTTTGGCGCATATTGAGCCTCAACGTATGGTCGGCGGAGAGCTGGAAGAACCGAACAAAGGTGCGTATAAATAACATGGACCAACGGGCACCCACCTGGCGAGTTGGATTCAGCTATGCGCCTATTTTAATATGGTATGGAAGGGGGATGGATGGTGTGGATGAGCAATGAACCGAAACCGACATTTACGAGCCTCATGTATGCTAACATACTTCCTCATCAGATCGAATAAGCGGGGGTGAAGCAGCATCAAAAGCTTCAAGGACGACATTAGACGTAGAGAGCTTCAAGAACATGCTCATGACTGGCATATCCGGGAGTCCGCGAGATTCCGGTCCACCACCACCACCACAGAACGCACTTGCCGCGAACTCTATCAGTGCCCCCGTTTTGGAAAGCAGCAGCACAGACACTTCGTCCACATCCCGACAATCTATATTTGAATCCGTTCAAGAATCACACCCCGAATCACCACATACGATTATGGCGGCTTCGGATGACGAGCAAGTTGCCTTGATGGCGGAACTTGGCAGCAAGAAGGAGAAGAGGAAATCCCTGCCGCCGCCGGCCCCAAAACGACGACATGGAAAACCAGTCGTGGCTTCGAGGACTCCGGAAACCGTTTCATTTGAAGGGTTTGCTGTGACGCAGCCTACGGCTACTTCTCCGCCGGCTGTCAAGAAGAGCGATTCTGATACGAGCAAACCGCTTCCGCCCACACCACCAACTGTATCGTCATCACCGTATATTGTTTCGCAGCATAGTGCATACAATGCATCGGATAGCAAAAAAACAGAGACTGCGAGTCTATCCGACGCGACTCCTGCGGCTCAAAAGAAAGTGCCACCCCCTGTGCCGCTTGCTCGAAGACATTCTCAGCTACGGAACCCAACGGCAGGAACCAGGTCACGGAGCAATTCATCCTTAACGATGACATCTCAGCACTCAGCCGATTTTCCCATCAGTCCAAGCGTCAAGGAAGAACACACATCAACACCAGTCCAAAAGGCACCGCCTCCCCCTCCGCCCACAAGACATAGAGGATCAGCAATACCGGCACTTGGAACATCTAGCGCAAGTTCTTCGTTGACAGATGTATCTACAACTGGAACTGTACGCCGACCCCCCGTCACATCTCCTAATCCTCCTTCCTCCCGACGCACGACCGTATCATCCGATCCACCATCACCTAAAGCAAGTCTTGGTCGAACATCGTCAGTGCACTCAACCCGCAGTAGCCAACGCATCGTCTCAAATGAAAGCGCTAGCTCCGCAATGCCACCACCCCCTCCACCTCCCCGCCGACGCCAATCTGGACGCACCCCCTCCGATAATCAACAACCACCCAGTAACCCCAGCTCTCCTATCCTTGAAACCAGGCGCTCAAGCACCGAGTACAAACCCTCCAGCCCAGACAGCAAAAGACGTACCAGCGTAGCCAGCGAGAGCTCCCTAAAGTACGAGTACGCGCCCGCTGCTGCTGCCATCGACAATGAACATCCTCTATACTCACCACAGGAAGAGGAGAGCGAGGACAAAGTAGGTATGGACCAAGCGCTAGACCACTCGGCGAATAGGAACAGCATTCTGGACGATATGGCTCAGTTTCAGAAGGAAATCGAGGAGTTGAGGGAGCGGTATCATCATGCAGCTTAGAGGGTTGCTCGGGGCTTACCGCTGATGTTTTCAGCGTCGCACTTGTCGTGTTGAAAGGGGAAGAAGAAGGAAGAGAATGCGAGCGAGGGAACGTAGAAATGTGCACATCCCTTCTTGTAAAGAGCCTTTTCATGTTCTTGTTGGGCCTGGTTGGCCCCTGCTTGCAAAAGAAGGCGGTGTTGTAGGTGGAGACGGGACCGCATATATGCATTTATTTCTTGATCTTGCTTTCTGCACCTTATTCTTCTCGGTCTTGATAGCTCTGCTCCTTTTTTGTTTCTTGTTTCTTCTTTTCTTTTTCTTACTGGCAGGACGAAACCGCCAACAGGAGATTTTTTATTTTATATAATTATTATGTGTTCTTGTACAAAGGAAGAAAAACATTGATATAACTACTGGCCTTGCTAGTACTCGATTTGTTTTTTGTTCTCTCCATGGCTGGAAGCTCGCAGCAGAAACAAACGGGAGCTACGTCAGTGCTGCGTTTCGGAACCTTGGGTTGATAAATTTTGTTTTTGGGAGTTTGGATCAGACTTGAACAGAGTGTCATTTGCATATAGACTCGCCATGTATTGTCGTTGAGAATCATCTATAGGCATATTCTTCTTTGTGATAATTAGCAACTAGAAACGAATATCATACAGTAGATGAAACACGGCCTAAGCTACATATTGTACAGAATTGGGAAAGACAAGGTATATAGCGCTCCTACAATCGTAACAAAGATGATACTCACGGCCCCGGCTTAGCATGATAGCTAGCCAGCTCCATCAACAGCATTTCAATGGAAACGTTATGCCTCGCTCTCTTCACCACCAAGCACGTCTCCCCTTCATACGGCCCGCCCTCAACCAACTCCCTTGCTCTCTCCTCCCCCAGCAGATCCACTAGACTGTACACAGCGACCTTACGGCCCCTCCAGCGCGAAGTGTTGTACTCCAGCGGTGGGAACTGCAAGCGGGGCTTCATACGCAGCAGTTTCGACTGCTTGCCGTACCAGGCAGGCGGCTTGTGCGTGACACCAGGTTGCTTGTGCGGTTCCTTTATGAGCAAGTCCGTCAAATACTCTGCCCACTTATCCAGCTCGCGCGAGGTTTTGCGGAGACGCACGTGCAAGTCATCGACGGAGGATTTCAGCGATCCAAGGTAGAGGATGCTAGAGACGTCGTCGATTGTGTTGGTATGCGTTTCGTGTGGGCTCGCGCAGGGTATCAGCTGTCCCGGTTGGCTAAAATACCATCTCAGTTTCCCCTGGAGGCGCTTCTGGAGCAAATCCAGGATCAAGTCGGCCATGTCTTCACGCCAAATCAAAGCGTCTGATGTTTTGCGGTTGATTTTTTGGAGGAGCCGAACTGAAACGCTGCGAGCCCAGTGCTTTTTCGAGTTGGAAAGGTGAGCGGCTACATATTCGTGGGAGAGAAAGCGGAAAGGGGTTCCCAGGGAGCGTTGGGAAGTGGTGAGGGAGACGGGAAGTAGCCATGGTGCTTGATTATCGGGGTGTGGGCGGGGGTGGAGAGTGGTGAGGAGAGCCTCTGGGAGGAGAGCGGAAGTCGCGCGGCACTGGCGGATTGGAGTGGCTAATGCGTGTGCTGTGATGGGATTGTTGTTAGTATTGCTCTTACTCGCTTGTTGGAACTGGCAGTACCATATGGGTTTTCCCAAAGTTTGTTTTGGAAAGGAGTGAATTCGGCGACATGAGGCTTTTGCTTCGGCTGTTTCCATTTGGAGCGAGCTGAAACAATTATCGGGTCGAAAGAGGGTGGGAGAGGAAGCGGTGGTCCATCTTCTCGGAGATAGAAGCTTCTGTGGGACTTTTCATCGCTGAGAATGGGTCCGATGCTTGGAGGGCTTTGGGTCGAGTATCGTAGGCATTGGGTCCGAAGACGCGGTTCAGTAGGGCGGAGGCATGTTCGCGAACACGGGGGTATTCTGCCTGGCATCAGGTAGAAGAAGAGTTTGGCGCACTCATGATCTGTCGTCAGTGGTTCCGAGCATGCGGAAAGGAAAGGAACGGTTCCAACTAGTGGCTTACTCATCCGATCCTGACAAGCAACTGATCAATAACGTGCAACCAGATCCAATCTCTTTGCATACATTTGGAAAATGGCTTCATTACTACGAAGGGCTGCGAAGCCGGCGATAAGCACGTCGAAATCGTATGGATTGCGCCTGTTTTCCTCCGGGACAGCAGCGCGTTCGTCCCCATCGTCTTGGATGCCTGTACCGTTGGTGACGGAGACAGTTGTAAGTATTTAGGCCGAACAATGGCCACTACATTCGCTGACCGCCAGGCTGGAGGTTGGAAAACCTCAGACATCTTCTCGCGCCTCCTCGCCGAACGAATAATTTGCCTCAATGGCGAAGTTAACGACCCCATGTCCGCGACTGTTACTGCACAGCTACTCTTCCTCGAATCCGAAGCGCCCGAAAAACCCATCTCGCTGTACATCAACTCTCCTGGCGGCTCTGTCACAGCTGGAATGGCTATATATGACACCATGAACTACATCCGCTGTCCTATAACCACCATATGTATGGGTCAAGCCGCCTCTATGGGCTCACTATTGTTGTGTGGCGGGGCTGCGGGACAGCGATTCATTCTTCCGCACAGCAGAGTGATGATTCATCAGCCCAGCGGGGGATACAGTGGCAAAGCGAGCGACATAGCTGACCATGCAAAGGAAATCCTGAGAGTGAGGGATCAGCTCAACAGGACGTACCAACGGCATTTGACGAAGAAGAGGGATCTGAAGGAGATTGAGAAGTATATGGAGAGAGACTACTTCATGGATGCTCAAGAGGCATTAGATTTTGGAATTGTGGACAGGATACTGGAAAAGAGAGAAGAGGCGGAAAAGAAAGAGTAGGGGCTGAGGGAGCTTGCCATGCAGCCGTGTCTCGAGGACGCCCCAGACATTTGGTAGACCCTATCCAGAGTGTATCATTCAAACAATAAGAGAAGAAGGGGCAAATATATCGATATGCCCAAACAGCCTGGTTTCGTCCCGATAAGGCAAGAGTCAAGATATGTCACACCATTGTTTTCACGATTCAATGGCAAGATACATAGGTTTGCTGGCTCCTGGTGGGGTGTAGCTGATAAATCTGATCTTCGAACCGGTGGAAAGCTGTACCCTGCAGCTACGGCCCGCATAACCCATAGTTATTTTAATTGTCTTCCTATCCGACTTCCGTTTGTACACAGGACGCATCTTCTGTAGAGGACAAACTTTGGAATACGAGGCTGCAGGCCTCCGGTGGAATTCGAAGCACTGTAAGTTCTCATGGCCATTGTTTCTGATCCGCGCTCCAGGAGCCTATTATCAGTACGCGACTTGCGTATGTATGTACATGTAATAGTACATAGAAATTCTGTGCAGGATCAATTTTCCAATGGCATAGCTCCCATATTACATTGCCAGTCTCAGCTGTTTATGTAGTCGTTTCGTAAGTGGCGTGAAGGTGATTTGCGCTGCCTGGCTGGCTGCCTGCACGTGAGAGCGTGAGCTGTCGTGCGTCCCCGCTAACCTGTCGTACACAACCTTGTTGGCCCTCTCCACTTTCCTCACCTCACCTCACCTTGCCTCCAATTAACAACAACTTGAGGAAAGCAGAGTGGCTTCCAAATCCCCGAGGGGCCACTGAATCGGTCCTGCTAGCTGCCAAACTTGACTGAGGCCCTATTTATCTGGCTACTTCCACCTTTACGTCCACCTTGACGCCCTCAAGACCACTGTCGACTGAATCACTCCCATTGCCGGGGTTCAATCTCCAGTGGGGGCTTTGGTGAGGCCATGGACATCTTCATCGGTAACATACCGCCTCACACGAATCATGCTGAGCTCAGACTCTTTCTCCGCGATCACCTAAATCAAGTTGATATCCTTGCCTGCGACATATTCAAGAAGATCGGTCAGAAATGGGCAATTCTGACAGTTGCCAATGCACAAAATGGACGGGCGTTTCTTGCGAGTCACGGAGGCACATTTCCATCGATACCTCTTCTCTATAAACGGGGACGGTTATGGCCGAAAGACAACGCGGGTAGAGGTCAACCAGACCCACTCAAAGTGAGAGCTTTACTGGATAAAGAGATGGCAATACGCGCCAAGCGGATGAGCAATAAAGGTGCTCCTACTACAGCTGCTACAGCACCAGGCCATCACGGACGGTTTTCGTTTCTGTCCTTTCAAACAGGAATCTGGCACTACGACAGCGACGACAACCTTGCATTCGACCCCAAATATAATGACCGGCGCAGTGGTACTATTACGTGTGGTCAACGAGAACTAGTTGTGTTTTTGGAAGCGATTGATAAAGACAATTATCGGTGGCATTGCCGCATTGATATTCCGTACAGCATCATCGAGCACATCGTCTCTTCAGACGACAGCGTACAGCGTGCTAGATTCACGCTGACGCTGAGAACGCCGCCCAAGATCTACAGGATTGTTAGTACGGATGATTTGCACCTATACTCAGGTAGTGAGCCTGCTCCACCAAGCTTGGAGATGACTCTGGATCAACTCAATCTTCGGGACCATAAACAGAAACGTTTGGAGCGAGTGTGCAAGATCTCCGATTCTCACGGTAAGTATCTCATGTCATCATACGATGTGTGACTACCTGGTTGCTTTGGTGACCAATATTTTTGTCTGAACTCAATTGTCCTCACACCCGTGCTTTTAGATAAAGCATCCGCTCTTTGCATGGTATATCGCTTTGCACTGCCCTCCGTTGACTCGGCTACGCAATTGTGGGTTCATGTGAATCGTTCTGCTGGACTCTCGTTGGAACAGCAATGGAGGAGTATGATTCCATCTCGACTTGCCGCATCCATCGAGGTTGATTACGATCTGTTTAATCGCGAGATATCGAGCGCGAATGAAATGGACCTTGGCGAGTTTACCTTTGCTGTCCGATTTCAGGTCTTGGCTTTGGTCCTCGAAGGGATTTCGACTCCCAAATTTGCCTTGCAGATGCTTCCTTACGTTCGCGACGTGTGCTCCATACATGGTGCCGTGGTCACGGCTCGTGCCATTCAAAAACTGGGTTTTCATCTGCCAGCGCCCGGTCCACTCGCTGAAGCAGATGACTTCGACTTGCAATCTGTTTTGGATAAACTTATACACACTGTGCAGCAAATCAAGGAGCTATCCGGTACCAATAGAGACATTGATCTGAAGCGACGCCAGCATAATCATCTCATCTCCACGTATAAAGCCACTATCACACCGACAGGTATGCTTTTGCGGGGACCAGATATGAATGTGTCCAACAGGGTGTTACGTAAGTACGCAGATCACAGTGGACATTTCATGAGGCTTTTCTTCGCAGACGAGGATGGCTTGTCAGTTCTACACGATCCTCGCGCAAGTCAAGACCACGTATACTCTCGGTTCAAACACCTACTCCTCGAGGGGATCACTATTGCCGGTCGGACGTACAGCTTTCTTGGGTTCTCAAATTCTTCCCTGCGTGGCTATCAAGCCTGGTTCATGGCGCCTTTTTATCACGAAGGTCAATGGATGACGTCGGAGAAAGTTATTCGAGACCTTGGCGACTTCGAACATATCCATTGTAGCGCGAAGTGTGCAGCTCGCATCGGACAGGCATTCACAGATACGCTCTTCTCGATTCCTATTGCATGGGATATATATGTTGCGGAAAATGAGCCCGATATAGAGCGGAACGGGCATTGCTTCTCGGATGGCTGCGGTACAATTTCCCAGGAGTTGCTGGATCAGGTCTGGAGAAATCTCACGCCTGACCGCCGGAAGATGAGACCCACTGTCCTCCAGATACGTTATCGGGGTGCCAAAGGAGTACTGTCTCTGGATTCGACGTTGCCAGGAAAACAGCTCCGCATCCGCAAAAGCATGACGAAGTATACCGCGAAAGAGTCTTGGAGAGATCTTGAGATCTGCGGTGCTGCTTATAAGCCACTCCGACTATACCGTATGTATATCCACTACTTCTGGATTCCAGGTTGAAAACCCATTTGGGCCCGCGCTTTGAAATATACTGACTATCCACCTTTGGATTTAGTAAATCATCAATTCATCAAGATACTCGAGGATTTGGGTGTCCCAGAATCCAACTTTGTGGCCGTCCAGAAAGACGCTTTACGGGATCTCGAGCGAGTCATCAAGCATCCCTTGAATGCAGCGAGCTTTCTCGAGTACTCTCATTCGGGTGTGGCAGCCAAGATACCCACGTTGTTCAGTCTCATGCATGCGATCGGAATCAATTTCCAAACCGACAGGTATGTTATCCGCAACAAGAAAAGCAGTAACGTTTTATCCTATAACATCTTAAGCACTTGAAGTATCGAGAGCTTTGCCAACTCTGGGCATGCACAACTGTTTCTATCTGAACTATACTGACGTTCTACTCCTACCATATAGGTTTCTGACTGACATCGTGGAAGTTGCCGCCATGGCGAGTTTACGAGATTTGAAATATCGTGCTCGCATCCCAATAGAGAAAGGCTACCTCCTATATGGTGTCATGGACGAGTTCAACGAGCTGAAAGAAGGAGAAGTATATGTCACTTTCGCTACAGAAGACAAGGACGGGCATTGGGCGCGAAGGGTGCTCTTGGGCAATAACATCGTGGTTACCCGAGCCCCGGCGCTTCATCCGGGCGATATCCAAACTGTGCGCGCCGTGGATGTAGCTGAAAGCTCACCTCTCTGCAAGCTGAACAACTGCATTGTGTTCAGTCAACAAGGTACGTATTCCAGGATACGAAGTCGTCGCAGACCACGTCACTGCGAGGTGCGGTATCTTGACGGACTTATTATGCACTCAAACGTAGTTGCATGGGTTTCATTGACTTATATACTTGAACTCAGGTGCGCGAGATTTACCCAGCCAACTAGGGGGTGGTGATCTAGATGGCGATATGTTCCATATCATCTGGGATGAACGACTTTCACCATCCAAAACCTATACGCCGTCCGCATACCCTCCAACTGAGGCTCAGAACCTCGGTAGACCTGCTCGCGTCGAAGATATTGTCGACTTCTTCGTGGAGTACATGAACTCGGATCGATTGGGACAATTATCGAACAAGCATAAGATCAGAGCCGATATTCACCCCGAAGGCACGACGCACTCCGACTGCATCAAGCTGGCCAAACTGGCGTCCGACGCGGTGGACTTCTCCAAGTCCGGTAAAGCGGTTAATATGAGCCAAGCGCCGCGAGGGACTGATCGGAATCGTCCAGATTTCATGGTATGTATGCTCTGAGTGCCAAACCCCAAGCCCAATTACCCCATGAAACGCTTCTCCGAGACGAAAATAGCCCATCGACGCAACTTGGCGTGAGTTGTATTGACTTCGTCTGCGTGATTATAGGCTCCCGGTTCGAGTTTCATCATCAACAACGCGGGAAAAGCAGAAATCGAGGAAGAGGATGAAGATGATATCGACAACCCTGATGGCATAAGTAAGTCAAAGGCCCCCTCGACTACTATTATGTACTTGAAAGTTTCGAAAGATAGCTAATCGTATACACTCCAGATGTCTTGAATCCTGATAGATCCCCTGCACGTTACTACAAGAGCAACAAAGTCCTCGGCAAGCTCTATCGCAACATCGATGAGAACAATTTCCTTCGTCATATGCACAACGACTTCGAGTCAGCTCAAAGCGAGTTTGGCAGAGAGACTTTGATCCAGAAGCTAAATCGTTATGTGGATCGCGAGACCAGCGTGTTCCAGTGGGAGCAGCATCGCGGTTTCGCAGAAGAGTTGCGCGAGGCGTACTGTGACAATCTTTACGAGATCATGGAAACGCTGCGTCCCCACCGTGGTAAGCCGTTGACCGAACTGGAAGTGTTCAGTGGCAACATTTTGGGCAAGAAGAATCGAGCATCCAGTCGGTATGTATACATCCCCGGCTACTGAGAAGGCCCAATTAACGAAGATAATAGATCCATGCGCGAAGCCAATATCGAAGTGCGAGAGCGTTTCGACCGCGACGTATCTGCCATGGTTCGACGAATTGTTACCGGCGATGGAGACGGCGACGCAGCATCCGAGGCATTGCCCAGGGCAATTGCTTGCTTCAAGGTGAGCCTGGACACACGAGGATGGGAAGAATACCTCGATCTCAAGAGTTGGAAATATGTGACTGCCGCCGTGTGCTTGGAACAGCTGTGGATGTTCATGAACTTCCGCTTGCGACCTTTGTAAGCCAGCTTTCTCAACAGTGGGGAGGTCATCTGGTCTAAAGGGGTTTTCACGATTTTATAGTCGGTAGGATCTTCTTGCATTATGTGCTGTATGCATCGTGGGAAATCGGTGTGCCTCATGGTCAACTCTTTGACACACCAAACGAACCTCAAAGTACTGGGGACAGTTAATGATATACCCATGATTGCACTTTCCAAACTCTATCTCTGGAGCAGTGCTCTCCAAAAGCCCCATCGTAGTGCATGCATTGCAGGAATAGGATATATTCAGGGCAGAATGGAAATGAAAAAGAGCCACTAGATAACGCCTTCCCTCCTTCCCTCCTTTCCTCTTCGCCCCCATCCTCCTAAGCCCACTTAGCGGGTACAGCTAATGACGAGCGAGTTTTGCAAACACGAATCTATATCAAAGGAAGGAGGGGGAGGAGGTGTGCAAGGACGGATTGTAGGAGGACCGATGATGATATAAATATATCCTGCCCACCTTCCCTTTTCCTTGTGGGATTCTGAGGAAGCAGAACCCTGCATGCTAGGGGTTAGAAGAGGAAGTATCCAGATGTCATGCTTAGGTATATATGTTCGAAATACGCAGTGGAGCGGTTTGATTGGGTAGGTGGTGAGAAGTGAATGTGCGAAGGACACGTGGAGTTGTATCGAGATCAACACATGCTGGTGATCTCGCACATCCGATTCTGTCATTATACTATACTATACTATACTATACTATACTATACTATACTCATTTTGCGCATTTCAACGTCTTTTTTCGGCATAGCACGTGGGCCAAGGTATCAGAAAGTCATGAGCTGAAGCCCAGGAGGTGTGTGTACGCATGCAAACTAATAATATTTGAGGCTTTTGAGACGGTTCGTAGTCATTGCTCCTGCTCACCAAGCGGATTGCAGATAATCTTCCAGTAATCCGGGATCTGGTCGGGGAGAGCGCGCCGTAGAAGGTTTAATGTATTTGATATTTTGAAGCTCCAGGGCTGACCAGGCGTCAAAGTCAAAAGTCGCGATAGTGTCTTGGGATATGCAGAGGTGGGATGAAACACACTAAGTTCGCAATGATGGCTCCGAGCCGGCAGATGCGAGGAGATCAGAGGGAGGGATGAAGGGTAGAAAGCGACTGTGTTGACAGACGTGATGTATGATCGGCCTTGGGTGTACGATTCAAGATCTCACGAGAAAAGGATGCGAGTAGACGCACTCCAAGACTTCTTTATTCTTATCATTGACGTTACTATTCATCAGATTGGAACTGGATGAACTCTCCGGCCGCGGAATTCATCATCGTCAGCAGCTCGCATATGTCGAGACAAGCAATACAACAATAGTGCCATGTGTTAAAAGTCGGGATCTGCAAAAAGAGAGAATCGAATGCACTCGCCCCTTCATCCCAGCCTGCGCGAGTCGTGCTATATCACTTAGCTGTTATGACCCGAACATGAGAGGAAGGGGAAGGTCCAGGATTGATGCACGGTATCTTTTGTACACTTCCTTCGGCTTCTGTTGCAGATCCGGGTGATGAGTTTGCAGCGGGTATGCACGCGGGCACTGGCCATTGCTACGGTGAGACAGCCATACAGTGCCTGCATTCGAGGCATAGACGGGTTGGTGATGCAGCATTTGGAAAAGTCGGAGATGCTTTTCCTGATGGGAAGATGAATCGCTTCTTCCCTGCTCAAGCAAGCGAACCCTTTCGATTTGCGCAAAGAGCAACCGCGATCTGCCACAAGGAGCGACCTCACCCTCGGTCGCGTCGCGTAGAGCATGAAGGTTGGAAGAATTCCAATTTCGTTCGCCAACGACGATCAAATGCGGTCAAGAAGATGTATGCGTCCAAGCGCATAGAAAGGGACAGGGTTTCGATGGTCAAAGCAGGAAACTATATGTACATACCCGGTGCTATAATACAACACCGCAGAGCAAGAACGCCGACCACATGCGTCGGAGACACGTAGGTAGAGAAATCGTCACTATCAAAGCTCTCGATGCAATAGGGAGATATCACTATAGGTTATGGGTAGGCGAAAAGCGCGGGAATCTGAACCTGGTCGTTACTCTCGTGTCACTGTTTTCTGACAGTATCGGGGTTGCAGGGTTCGGAGACAGGCAACATGCGCTGGTAGGCGTCTTCGCCTCCGATTACAGCTTGCCTGTGCGCGAGAAACGTCTGGATGCGCTCGTCACGGTCACCGGATACGGTCGCACGTTTGGAGCGGGCGAGCTCCATGCTGGCTTCTTTGTGGATCTTGTCGTGGTGCTCCATTGCCGACGAGGTGAGCATACTAGCTCGGGTGCCCTGCATGATGCCTCCGAGCGATACTATGGAGAATACAAGGATCACAAATGCGAAGTTGGTCATGAATGCATCGCGAGGTGATGGTTGATGCGACGGATCGTTGCGGTGATGCCATCTTTCCCAATCTTCCCAGGTAGCATTCTGGTGGGGATCATGACCGGGTGGCCATTCGCGGTAGTCTGGGTGCCATGCATACGTCTGGTTATGTGGATGTGTTTGGTGATGACCCTGCCAGCCATGACCGTAAGCATCATAAGCCTTGCGCTTTGAATCGTCGGAGAGAATGGCGTGGGCAGCGACAAGCAAGCGGTAGCGCTCGACGCGCACAGCATGGGGTAGGCTGGCGACGGGAGAAGTGGAGACGGAGCGATCGGGGTGGTACAGCTTCACGAGAGAGTAGAAGCGGTGTTTGGAGTAGGCATCGTTGGGGCTGCAATGGAGAATCTGGTAAGGGGTGGGAGTGGTATTGGGGTGGACGGGCGCAGGCCAGGACAATTCAGCGTGGTCGGGAGGCGAGGAGGGCGGGTGGGCATGCTGGGCGAAGGAGCGTGTTGAGAGTGGAGCCCAAGTGTGTGAGAAGGGCGGGTAGCGACATGACGTCGTATACTTGAAGGTAGGCGAGGCGTGGCAGAGACGGCTGCTAATGGGGAAGAAGGCGAGAGCGGACTGTGTGGGTGGTGGCATAATGGCGCAAGGCGGCAGACGCAAGCATTGTTTCGGTGCTTGAAGCAGGGCGCCTTGCTGGGATGGGCGAGATATGTTGGGGGTTGGAGGAGAGGAGGAGGAGGAGGAGGAGGAGGAGGGGTGGTGAGTGATGGACGATGGTCGCAGGTAGGAGGTCGCTTAGAGAATGAGCTAGGGAAGCGCGTACAGCTTAGATAGTAGTGTCTGTACCCTTTACTTAGATTGGAACGTTATATCTGAACAGAGATGATGTGTATATATGGCAGTCCATATACAAGGTGAAGGATGGTCTTCTCAGGTTCTCGGATCTCCCGGAACTCTGGAGCGGACTGGGCCTGGCATGTCGTCCCTTCAAACTCATATCAGCCCACGATAGCATCTTATCATAATGGCTGGCAATAATAAGAGGAACAATAATCTTCCACTGCTATAACCGACGGCTTGCCGCTAGGACCGATGGAGTATCCCCAACACCTCTTGACCTCTTCGTCCTACTCCTGTTTCTCCTCCCCATCCACGCTTCGCCTTGCTTGCTTGCTTTTCCCGTTTCCCTCGTCCCGCCGCCCGCGGCCGCCTTGTTTTATGGACAGCATGTTCCACGCATAGACACTACTGGCCTACCAACCCCGATCCAGCCACCCGTTCGGTTTCGTTCCATCGTTCGTGTCGTTTGGGACTTCTGTCAACGCGGCCCAAGTGGGGTCGTCTGCAATGCGTCCATTACTCTTCCTTCACCATGAGTTTGATCTGCTTTCCCAGGGGTCCATCCTGTCGCTTGTGCATGCCTCTCTCTGCCTTCGACTCGTTCGGTGGATCCCTCTCCCCTGCTTGCATCACCCAGACATATACCGTGGTACCTGATCGTTGTGCTTCACGTGCTCTCCCATCAAAAATATACTTATCTGCATACATACTCCCGGTACCAACATACTTGTTAGCTACCTTCACTTCTTCTTCCCTCTCTTCCTTCTTCTTTTTCTTCTTCTCCTTCTTTCTGCGGTTGCCTACTTGATCGCCCGTGGCAGCACAGCTGGGCCATGCACAACCGCAATTGCACGCACCCAGACGACCACGAGGACGTGGACATGCTGGACGCCATCAACCCACGGCATGCAAAGGGTCGTGTCGTGCCCGAGGGTTTGTACAATCTGACACGGCGTATGGAGGACGAGGACGAGGACCAGTTCGACGTGGATGTGACCATCATGGACTTCCTCGCATTCAAGGCTATCAATTTGATTTTCGAATGGCGCTCCAGCATCAATCCTTACATGTCCGATTTGCCTTCGGCTCTGGCCTCCATGACTGCAGGTATGCCATTGACTACGTCGTATCCCAAAACCAAACATGATTCACATGTTGCGCCCGCCCAGCCGTCGCAGTGCCGCACCCGACTCTTGTTTTCCTACTAGCGCTGATCATCGCATAGAATTCAGAACTTTTGTAAAACACAAACACGGCGGCCGCCGTCTCAACACCCAAGCCGCATTCCGCTCGCGCCTGCTCCAGTTCTCTCTGCTCTTTAGCCACCGCCTGAATCATGACAATACCTGGACTACAGAGCAATCTCTCAACCATCTGCGTTCCCAAAACAGAAATCGTGGATCCTACTGGCGCCTCCACACCTCCCATCCTCCCGCTCTCCATCAGCCCTTTGATCCTTCGAGTGAATTTCCCCTTGCTGACGGTGCCCTCGCCGAAAACCGCCATGAGCTGGCTTGCTCTTTGGGTCAGCCCCAGGACAAGCGGAGGTGGGTCACCGACCTGGATGGCACGCCCACGCTTCACTGCTTGCTCGCTCTATTCATGGACCTCACGGCCGCAAGAGTCGAGCTTGGCGACTGGGACCCGAGCGATGGTTGGATGCATCTTGTCGGCAACTTTATGGTCCAAGCCGCCATAGAGGACTACCTGAGAAACGGTGCCTACGGCGAGGAATCATTCAACACTATCTTTGCTTTTGGTTACCCCGGCACCTCGCGGCGACCCGAAGATGGTGCCGACATCCAAGCTATGCGAACATTGTTCCGCGCCCAAGGGAGCACTCGAGAACAAATACCCGGCTGGTCTGAAATCAGGCAACATTATATTGATGAGGTAGGTTTGTGATCCATAGTCTACTGGGCGCAAAGAAAACTAATATATACAAGTTGTTGCCGCAGCGAGACCAGGGTGCATCGTTCCTGCAAGCCATATCCAATGCTCAAGAGCGCCATCCTTATGTCGAGTTTGAAGGGCAGATGCTTTCCTTTCTAGAATATCTCCACAAAGACCTCGTGAAGCCAGACCTGGTACAGGTCGAGGAAGGCCGCATCACCATCGATGGTAACGATCTGGGAGAGGCCGAATCCCGGGAAATGATTCGACGCATAGGTCTTTGATTGGATACTCCATGCTAACCACTCTTTCATACTTTCTTCTTCCGCCCTGTCAGCAGACACAAGGGGGTTCTTTCTTTTTCACCTTCGCTTCTTCCCATGAATCAAGCCAGCATCGACTGATGGCTATTTTCTTTCTTTTTCTTTTTTCTTCTTTTACCAATTTCTCCTACTGCTGCTGCTGCCTGGCACTCATTGAAGTGCACGAGATTATGCCAGCATGCGATGGGCATACTTCATGTACAATCCTCCATCTTTTCACCTGGGCATCTACCCTGAACAAAATATCGTGTGTCGAGCTTTAGTCTCGCACGAGATGACAAACATCACCGAGCTTCTTTTTCGGCCCAAAATCTCAAGACCTGACCATTGATGTGGTCAGGATGAATATGTGTGTTTTCAGCTTTGCTTGTAGCTGCCTACTATTCAGGTCGACAATGTGGCACTGCTCTTCTTTGCCCCAGAACACCTGACTGGGCAGTTGCAATGTAAGCTTACAATACCTTGCAGAGCTTCCAGTGACACTGCGCCACATGTGTACGGTAAATCCACGTAGTATTTTCTGCGTGACGAATAGGGACAAACTGATGAAGGAAAGTCTCTCAACCCATAAATCTCTAGTGATAGGAGGATGCCATGTCTTACCCAATAACCAGGAACTGTCATCAATATACTGTCCCGTGATTCTAGTGGGTTTGCCTCGTTATGCTGACAGGACTCCCAATCTCGCTGCGCCGTAGAGGATTCGCGATACGAAGTGCCTTTTACCACCTATGTCGCACTCACTCTCCACGAGGACGAGACCATGTCTCACAAACTTCGTAAGTAAGATTGGATTGTTTGGATGTGCCTTGTTGCATGTGGAAGGCGGACAGTCAAGATCGCCGGCATCGGAGCGCAGCCAATGGAAAGGGCAAGAGCTACAACTTGAGGAAGGAGTAGGAGTGGAAGCTCTGGTTAGAAAAGAGAAGGTGATCTCCCATCTCTCTTGTCACTCTACTTCTATCTCGTACTGTCTTTGTACCTGAAGTACCTGTCACTAGCAACACCTACTGCATAGTTCTCCTCGGATTCACGGCCCTCGCCACTACTTGACGATCAGAATCCCGACCTGCAGCTATGAATCTCCTGCTACTTTTCTCGCTACACTGTTTCCTATGGGCTGTCGGTAAAGCTGACGACGGGCCCACTGACTTGCATCAATCGCGTCCAGCAATCTTGTTGGTCCCGGGCGCCTTTCACCAAGGGCAGATAATATACGAGCCCGTCCGACAGCAACTCAAGCTTACTGGTTACGACGAGCATCTGATACATGCTATTGATCTTCCTTCAGTCGGCAGTCTTGCAACTCGTGACGACGATGTGAACGCTGTTGTCCAGGTCATGAAGAAATACCTCGAACAAGGCCGGGACGTTGTCCTTGTTGGGAACAGTGGGTTGCAGCTGATGCTTCTTGGAATATATTTGGCTAATAATCTGCAAGGCTATGGCTGTACCGTCGCTGGGGATGCAGTCGCGGGCATTCCTTCTGCCATCAACACTTCTCCTTACGACCCCAATGGGCGTCGCCGAGGACGTGTTTTGAACCTCATCTTCTTTTCGGGCTATCTTCCTTACATTGCTCATGTGCAACATCCCGAGACTCATCCGGATATTCGCCTCGTCTCCCCAACGTGGTTCGCGTTCTGGCCGAATGGTTCGCCCTCAACGATTCCCTTGACAGTTCGATGGGATGGAGACCTTGTCAATTTTCCACCGCAAAAGGAGTTCTGTACGTAAACTTTGAAAAGTCTAGTCTGGTGAAGGAGATGTACTGACCTTCCAGACAATGTTCTACAGCAAGAGAACCCTCAGCAGGCAGACTACTATGTCGAACAGTCGGTCTACCCATCCCCAGTAGAGTCTTACACGACTTGCCACTATGTGAAGTGACATTTCAACACTCCGATAACACACTGCCACATGTCTAGAATAGTTTCACTGACATTGTATTCGCACCCATAGGTTGAGAAACAGCTCGTTCGCTGCATTGAACGCAGCGTCTCGCTACATTCCGTACACTGGTGACTTTGAAGTCATTTATGTCGCTGGCAAACAAGACAATAGTGTTCCTGCTCCGCTGTGGGAATCCTATGTGAACCAGGCGGGCGCCAAGTTCACACTAGAGATGTTAGACGCGGACCACGTTCCTATGGTGAGCCGTCCTCGCGATGTCACTGACCTGATTTTGAAGTATGTGCAATTGGGGTCTGTCTGAGAGTACGAAAAGATGGTTTGTTGTGGGGCTGTGTGACCTGACGTGCGCTGAGATGACGCGGAAATGATGGCAACATTCACATACTCTGGCATGGCAGCTATATAGATGATGGAGTATAGACCTATCTTTGATAAAGAAGAGTAAGTTACCAAAACATGTCATTTGAGCTTTCTAGTACCAGCAATGGAGGGTCTTCTTCATTTTCTGTTTTTCATAGATCAATAGGAAATCTAAATGTTTATCTTTGCATGTTGCTGTCGTCTAGGATGCTATCATGCACGTCCTAACGTCCCTGTTCTATTCTTACAGCGATAATGTTGTCAACACCCGTCCACCCCACCCAGATTATTCGAATATGCTGGCTTGATAATATAAAAGTAAACACCACAAAATCCGCGTACATGTAGTCGTACAGAAAAAAACGAACCCCCTCTTCAACAAACTCCCTGCGAAAAGCTTCCCCCCATCCACCCAGCTCTGCATACACACTCATCTACTTCCTAAACCAATCGGCCAACGCCCTCCTCAGGAGATACTCCTTGACGCCCAAAACAATCATGCCGCGCTCATAGCACGCACGGCGCAGCTCCAGCTCCCCAAGGACCTGATACCCGCCGTCTCTAACAATCAGCGCATCGTCCGTCTTCAAGTACTCGAGCCTTTTCCCCACGAGTCTCTTCAACCAGGATTTCGGCGGCGTGACGAACAGCCGGTCCCACGTCCACCCGTGCAAGTCCAGCCGCGCGCTCAGACTCAACAGCGTGTATAGATCCATATCGTCTACGTTGGTCGCGCGGACGCCGGAAGCGCGGAGTACGTCGTCTGGGGAGCGTGGCGTCGACGAAGTAGAAGGAGTACCTGGTCTGCGGTCTCTTGCGACGAGGCGCGCAGCTTCCAGGCCGATCCTGCGGAGGCGCTCGGTGCGGCGTTCCTCTGATTTCCGCAGCATGCGCTCGACTTGGCGCGGGATGCGGCAGGGTTCGGGGATGATGGGGGTCAGGTAGAGGGCGACGAGGGGCATCCACTCGCCGAGGATGAGGACGAGGACCGCAAAGGGCGGGAGTCGGAGCATGTCTGTGCGGCTTCGGCGGGTGATTTGCCATTCTGCGCGCGTCAGCACGCCTGTGTCATTCCCTCTTCCTCCTTGGGCGTCTGTGGAGCTCGTCATGCGAGATGATTGTTGCTGCTGTTGTTGTTTCTGTTTCTTGCGGAGCGATTTTGCGAGTTTGGAGGTGCTGCGCACGTTTGCGATGCCCTTTTTGTAAAACTGTATGTACAGTTTCCCGCATTGGAAGAGGTATTTGAACGAGTTTTGGCCCGGTTGCTTGCTTGGGATTGTGAGTTCCGGCGCGTACGTATCTTCGGGTGGGTTAAGTTTTGCGAGGGCTTGCGGGAGGGGGACTTTTGGGGGTGAGGGTGAGGGTGATGGTGATTTCGCGGGGACGGAAGAAGAGGAGGATGCATGGCGTCGTGATGGAATTGTCGTCAAACGCGTCCGCGGAGATGATATTGAAGCCGTGCCATGTGAGTGATTATGCGATTCCAGCGTAGAGTAAGGTGCTGTTGAGAGAGAAGGAAGAATGGCGCGGCGATTCTGGAATTGGGAAAACCGACATGTTATTGGGCGACGAGGGAGAAAAACGGAAGTAGTTATCACAGGCCGTGGCTTCATCTTTGAATGGATCGAAGGAGAAGAAAAGAGAATAAAAGTACAGAATAGGGGAGGTGAGTGAACGTATCCAGAATCGAAAGTCTAGCACAGAATTATTAGACGTCGATGTTGGACGTCAGAATAAAATGACGCACGGACGCGCTTGATACAGCGATGTCATCTTTCTTCTAGCAGATGCACTAGTATTAGATTCGCACGTTATGATGGAACATGACATGCACGCAACGCAAGAAAAGGCACTTGATCAAATGCAAAAACAACAGGAAGCACATATCCAGGAATAAAGAGAGCTCTGGTCATGTGTTATGCAACGAGGGTGCAATATTGTAGCTGCCACAGATGATGCTCTAGAGAAGTCTCTTAAGGCTTTATTAGCTGGTTATGATTGGAGGTTTAGAGAAGCGAACGGAAGTATCGCCAGCTACGATGAACAGTAAAAAAATGCTGGCTACCTCGATGCTTCCAGATGTCTACAGCGATGCCATATTTTTTACCTAGGTTTTAGTGCCGAAGAAGCTCTCCGGGGCTGTGGATCTAAAGAATGAATATTCAACATTACTTTACCCTTACTTCTTAATAAAAGTCTAGACAGTGACGCGTTGAAAAGTCAAAGTGTCTTTGTTCATGGCGAAAGCATGCTTTTTCTTTCTTCCCTTTTATGCTATTCTGACCCAACGCTTAAAAAATGGGCTTCGAGGATTTTAAGCCATCGCCAGCCTTATTGGCATAGCTTGTAGGAGATCCCGTTTGTCAACGCAACGTGTCGATTAATTTTATTGCTAGTTTCGTACAATAGTAGCTTAATTGTTTGTAAAGTAGCAAGGTGTATACCTGCTTTTATTACCAAAGAAAAAACTTTCGCCCATGTAGAATGTGTTGGATCAACTCCATCTTGAGCACGTGCTATAACGACAGTAATTCTTTGAATCTCACGTATCCTTGGCTACATAAACTGAAGATACAAAAAGTTTACAAGAAATAGGGTGAGGGTAAAAACTTCAAACCAAACCTATCATCATGAACCAACCTACTACTACTATTCACCCGTCCACACAGGCGGGCCAGGAGCAACCCAAGCCAAAAGATTCTGATAATACCCATACTTATCCCAAAACTCCGGATGGTCCAAATTCCCTATTCATTATCAGCTGAAACCTGTACAAGAACAATTCATATGGGAGCAAGCTTTACCTGGATCCTTCTCATCGTAAACTCCAGGAAACTTTGCAAAGGGATACCCTTTGAGACTGCCTCCGCCAGGACCAATAATATTGACCTGTGCGCAGTTGACGAACCACTGCTCCCATTTCCTGTTGTTGTCGCGCCAGAACTGCTCGAAGCGGAGGAGGTATGTCCCAGGGGGGGTTGTGGCGGGAATGGTGATGTTTGCCTAGGGGGCGCGCGACTGGGTTAGACCAAAGTGAAGAAAATCGGCGGATAAGAAGAAGAAGAAGAAGACAGAAGAAATCTTGTGTGTTACCATTCGACCTGCAGCGTAGCTTTCAAGAACCCAGCTCTCGTTGGTTTTTGCTCCTAGCGTGGCAATCTTGAACCAGTCGCCGTCGGTGCCGCTGAAGTCCTCCAGGGCGACTCCCTCTGGAGGTTTTGCCAGATAGGCCTGCGCGGGTCCGGGATGATTGAGGCCAGACTAGAGAGGAAGAAGAAAGATTCAGTATGACACAGATTTGCGGACCATATACGTACAGGGAAAGGTTGTCGTCCCGAAAGAAACCTACGTTTAAAGCGCCTTCGTCATCTGGTGCAAACCCTTGATTGACTCTGAACGAAACTACTGTTCCAGCGATAACGTCGGCAGTCTCCGTCGTCTTCGCATAGTCAATGGCAAGCCGACCACAAGTGAAATTCGTGCTGGTGGTATCGTATTGGGGTATAGCCATTCCCGGCCCGGGGAGGCTGTCCCAGTTTTCCCCGTCTTCGTACCCTATTGCTACGTAGCTGGCTGGCGTAAGAATCTGTTATAGCTTTACTCGAACTATAGAACCTACTTACCGTACGTATTGCCACATTCGCGGGAGTGTGCCGTTGACGTAGAGCCAAGGGAATGTGTCTGAGGGCTTGTCAGCATTTTCGTGGATAAGGATTCAAAAAACCGTCGATGGCGTACAGTGTGCAGTTACTATCGGCGCGCACAACAAAAGACAAAAAGAGTTCTTTGACTTCATCATCGTGACTGCGTTATTGTCTGATAGATGTCCAAGGGAAAGACCTCTGCGACATAGTCTGCAATAGTCAGCATACAATCTATGCTTTATAAAAACCCTCTTCTCCTGAAGTTGATCGAGATTTCGCACTCGCACGAAACATGGAGTCATCTGATCAATCCAGCAATCTGGGTGTGCATATCTCTAGAACGTAGTCTCTCATTTATCTCATGCTTCTTCGAGCTACAAAGGGCACAGAATTGCCCATGCACATAATTAATGGCAGTTCCTGGGCGTCTGAGCAATGCAGAACCAAACAATAAATCAAATTGTACGCTTATTTTAGTAGTTCAACCAAAAGAGGGCAGCTTCCCATGTCTGTTAGAGTATATATTTCATCATGCGCACCTAACGCTTATTAGCCATATAAGTGTTGCAGTTGCAGATAGGCAAGCACTATATACCTGCCTAACTTACTTTAGCCGCCTAGATAGGTTTGCAGCATCTTCACTTAAAATAGTAACTTTAATGTAGTAGGCTTTAAAAAAAGAAAAGCCTTTTATAGAGAAACTATTATTTCTTTAAATAATTACTAATTATTTTAATATATTTTCTTTTATAGCTTATTTTTTTTATTTATTTAAGCTTGCTTTTTAAGTAATTCTTAGCACCTAGTAATAAATATAACAATTTTTAAGTAATAAATTGAGATTTTATTTTTTTAATAGTAAAAACAAGTAATTTGTTTAAAAGTAAATTTTTTATAAAAGCTAAATTTGAACTAATAGCATTTTAAAAATTTATAATAAATTTTTAAATATAGCTAAGTGCTTGCTTACTATACTGTTTTACTTCTTTTATAGCTTATTATATTAAATAAAATCTTTTAAGTTTTTTTATCTTTTTTTATTAAAAATTATAGTATTTTCTATATTTTAAAAAGTAAATAAAAATAGTAATAAAAAGTAAATAAGTATAAAAAAGTTTAAAAAAAATCCATTTTTATACTAAGCTAGAAATATAATAGTTAAAAAAATACTAGAATAAAAAAAATGCTAATGCTTATTTATAAAAATAATAAAAATTTTGATTAAACTTTTACTTAAAAAATAAAAATAAAAATAACTTTAAATTTTTACTTATTATTTTAGTTTTTAGTTTTTTTATTTAAGCTTGCTTTTTATGTAGTTCCTAGCACCTAGCAATAAATATAATAATTTAAATATAAAATTTAGAATTTTATTCTTTTAACAATAAAAATAAGTAATTTTTCTAAATAAGTAAATTTTAACAAGAGCTAGATTTAAACTAACAGCTTTTTAAAAAAGATTTAAAAATTTATTTTTAAAAGCGTCTAGGTGTTTACTTACTATACTATCTTGCCTTATTTTAGTTTATTTATTATTATTACTTATTACTATATATTTTGTTTTATTTTAAGTTAAAGTTAAAGTAATTCTACGTATAGTAATAAGTAATAATAATACTAATAAATAAACTAAAATAATAAGTAATAACTAAAAGAATAAAATAAGTTTTACTTTTACTAAGCTTATTAAGTAGTAAAGCTTATTAAGTAAAAATTAAAAAGCACTTTTTAGCACTAGCTTAATTAAGTACTAGTACTAAAAACTAAATCTTATTTACTATAAAAGTTGTTTTTAATTTTATAACTATAATTTGCTAGAACTACTAAAATAGTAATAAAAACTATAACTATTATTTATTTAATATTAAGTTTTTTTATTTTAAAACTTATAATAATATTACTGCTTTTTATATACTTAAGTATAAAACTTATAAATATTTTTTTTAGTAATTACTTATTATTTTAGTAAACTTTTTATTATAAACTCTTACTATGCGTAGAATTACTTTAACTTTAACTTAAAAAAAAATTAAAAAAAATTAAAACTTATAAAAGCTTTAAGTAATTTACTTAAAATTCTAGTACTTTACTTATAATAACTTAAAAATATTAAACTATACTATAATAATAAAATATAACTTAATATTTATTCTTTTAGTAATTGCTTATTATTTTAGTTTATTTATTATTAAAACTTTTTTCTGTGTGTAGAATTACCTTAACTCTAACTTAAAAAAAAATAAAGAAAAAAATAACTTACTATATTATAAAAATACTACTTAATAATTATAAGATAATTATTCAAATAGCTAATAATATTACTATATTTTATATTTTTATTTTTAATACTTTAAACTAAGCACTTTTTATTTTAATGCGTAAAAACTATTACTACTTTTATTTTTAAATACTTTTTTTTAAAATTATATATTATTAAAGGTTCTTTTAGTTATTACCTATTATTTTAGTATTTTTACTTTTATAAACTTATTGCTGTATGTAAAATTACTTAAACTCTAACTTTAAAAAAATAAAAAATAAAATACATTATTAAAAGTTAAACTAAAAACTATTATATATAATATTATTAGTAAATTAAAGTATAATAAAGTAAGCTTAACTTTAATAAAAAAAAAAGCTAATATATATTTACATATTATTTTTTTAGTAATTACTTATTATTTTAGTAGACTTTTTATTATAAACTATTACTATATATAGCATTACTTTAACTTTAACTTTATAGAAAAATTTTTACGCATAAAAGTAAAAGTAAATATTTAAGTTTTATATAAAATATACTTAGTAATACTAGTAAAGCTTAAGTCTTTTTAGTAATTACTTATTATTTTAGTAAATTTTTAACTTTAAACTATTACTATATATAAAATTACCTAAACTTTAACTTAAAAAAAATAAAACTAGTAAAGCTTATACGCATATACGCGTAAAAAATAAACTTATATTTAAAGCTTTTTTTTAAATTTTATTTTAAAGTAAGAGTTTTAGTAAAAAATAATAATAAAAAAGCTAAAATAAGCTAAAAAGGTTTTAAAAATAGTTTATTAGTAAAAGTAGAGTTATATACTAAAAGAAGCACTAAATATAGTAATACTAGCTTAAATATTAAAAGTATTAAAAAAAAACTAGTAGATATTAATAAATAAAGTCTTTTTAGTTATTGCTTATTATTTTAGTTTATTTACTTATTATTATTTTTTGCTGTGTGTAGAATTACTTTAACTTTATTTTTTTAAAAAGAATTAATAAACTAAAGAAAACTAAAAGCTGTTTTAACATACTTAAGTACCTTTATTCTTTTAGTTATTACTTATTATTTTAGTATTTTTATTATCATAAACCTATTGCTATGTATAAAATTACCTAAACTTTAACTTAAAAAAATAAAAAAGAATTACGTGCTTTTTACTTTTTTTTTAATATATAATTATATATGACTTTACTATTTTTTTAAAAAAATAGTAAATATTATACTAGTTAGCTATACTATAAAGGTTTTTTTAACTTATAAGCTATTAATAAGTTTAATTACTTACTTACTTTAAATACTTTTTAAAAACTGTCTCTTTATAAGTTTATAGTAATAAGTAAGCTAAGTAAGCTAATAACTTTAATTACTATACTATATAAATAAAAAGTAAAAACTATAACTAGTATTATAATAGATTTTAAATATAAAGTAGTTTTTTACTTTATATATATTTAATATTTCTTTATGCTAGGTGCTTGTTTTTTTATATGCTATATAAAAAGCTAATTATTCTTTTAGTTATTACTTATTATTTTAGTATTTTTACTATTATAACTTATTGCAGTAAGATAGTATAGTAGGTAAGTACTTAGCTACATTCAAAAATAAATTTTAAATTTTTAAGATACTATTAGTTTAAACCTAGCTTTTGTTAAAAAATTGCCTTTAAAAAATTGCATATTTTTACTTTTAAAAAATAAAATCTTAATTCATTATTTAAAAAATTACTATATTTATTGCTAGCTGCTAAGAACTACTTAAAAAGCAAGCTTAAATAAAACTTATAAAAATTTAGTAATTTTTTTAGCACTTTTTATCTTTATATAATTTTTTTATTAAGTTAATTTGTAGATATATTAGAGCTATACTATACTTATATTATTATACCTTTTAGTACTAGTTTAAATTAAAATAGCTTTAAAACTAGTTTTAATTAAGTACTAATGCTAAAAACTAGCTCTTTTTTCTACTATACAAGTTTTTTTTAATACTATAACTATTATTTATTTAAAAATAAAAATTTTTATGTTAAAACTTATAATACTACTGCCTTTTATAAGCTTAAGTATAAAACTTATAAAAACCTTTTTCTTTAAGTAAGTTACTTATAATTCTAGTACTTTACTTATAACTATATAAACTATAATACTTTATATTATAAAAAATAAAATACTATTTACTCCATTATAATAAAACTACTTAATAACTACTAAATAATCACTAGATAATTATTAAAATAGCTAATAATAATATTTAAGTTACAGTTATACGCGTTTTCCTTTACTTAGTACTTATAATAACTAAAAATTAAAAAACTAAAAGCGTTACTATTAATTAGCTCTATTTACTAAACATAATAAAGCTTAGATTTTTAAAAATATTACTTGTAATACAAAACTTATATAAATTCTAGCTACTTACTTCTACTTCTGCGCGTAGATAAACATTAGCTTATCTTTTATTTAAAATAAAGTTACTTTATTTTATTTTAATCTATAAATAATATTATATATAATAGTTTTTAGTGTTGATTCTTAATAATATATAGTTTTAAAAAAAAAGTATTAAGTAATAAAAGTAGTTTTTACGTGTTATAATAAAAAATGCTGAGTTAAAAGTATAAAAAATAAAAACTAAAAATATAGTAATATTATTAGCTATTTTATTAATTATTTAGCAATTATTAAGTAGTATGTTTATAGTATAGCAAGTAGTATTTTATTTTTTATAGTTTAATACTTTTAAATTGTTATAAGTAAAGTACTAGAATTCTAAGTAGCTTACTTAAAAAAAATTTATAAGTTTTATACTTAAGTGTATAAAAAGCAGCAGTATTATTATAAATTTTGAAATAAATTTTTTTATTATTAAATAAATATTAGTTATAGTTTTTATTACTATTTTAGTAAATAGTAGCTATAGTATTAAAAAAAAAACTTCTAGTAAAAAAGTTTTAGTTTTTTAGTACTA